TTTTCAATGGCCTCGAACAGAGCATCACCTTCTTCCATTGTTGATGGTTGCTTGAAACGAAGTGAGAGAGTTAGAGAGAGAATCAGAGAGCGAGAGAGAATTTCTGGGAAATGGGTGTGTAAGGGGCGGGAATGGGAGTGTCTAACTGAATTTTTTCAGTTCCCTGCTTTGAGCAAGAAGAAAAAATGAATATGCCACGCTGGATTAAAAAGTCAAGTAAAAGTCAAACTGGTTGTTACACTCTGACGGCTGAGATCACGCCACGACACCACCATTCTCATTTCTCCGTTCGTTGTTATAGATCGGGTTATTTTATCAATAAATTAGTTCATATTTTTGTTTGATAATCCTTTTTAATTACAATTTCATATATTACATACAACTTTACAATTGACAATATATTTTTGATATCAGTTTAGAAATCTAAAATTATATTATTTCGATAAAAATAGGTTGCGATTTAACTTGGAGTTTTACTAAGTTGGAATGCGCACAAAATAAAGCTTAAGCCAGAAAATGAAACACGTAACAGAAATCATTGTTATTCATCATCTTTCAAAATTTATGCGCCTTTCTTTCAAAATGAGCGTTTATGTTTTTTTCTCAGAGTTAAACCTTGTAGTCGGAGGCGGTTAAAAGTGCAGTACAATGTAAGATGTCGTTGGTGATTAATGGTTATTTTGATTATATAATCTATTTGATTATTGTTTATAAATTACACAGATATCTATCAATGTACCTTTATATATTTCCGGGTTATTGCTTGACACAAGAATGTCATTGTCGATTAGTAGTTGTTAAAGCTAATATCATTAAGAAGCTTGTGTATTTCACAATCCTTACTTCATCTATGGCTTAACACCAATTAGAAAACGGATCATCTCCGTGGTGCATATGCCACAAACCTTAATTAAGAAATATTACTACAATGGGGTTTGTGGCATATGCACCACGATACCACAAATAGAAAACAATAACATTGTCTCCTCTTACTTTGTCTGGCGAATGAGATTTTTAATTAATGCTTTGAGAGATCACAGGAAAAGAACATACTTTTGCATTTCTAAAATGTCTTATAATCACATGGGAGCATCCTGAAGGGGGGAATGATAGTTCTCTTGGCACCACCCTGAAAAAAGGTCAACAATTTAGAACTTCGAGTAATTTCTCTTTATTACATTGATATATGAACAAAATAAAGTCTATGTTACTGAAAGAGCACTAAGCATAATATAGATGGTTCTCAAAAATACATTTATCCATATGGCAACATGCTGTACAATATATACACCACTATTTACCTAGTATGTAACTTGATTATGGCTTATATACGACTTACTGAGAAATCTATACTCAAATTAAAGCTTCTTATATATACAGTAAAACCTCTATAAAACAATAATGTTGAGACTTTGAAAATTTATTATCTTATCGAGTTATTGTTTTATCGATAAAATAATAATTATTATTTTAGAAAAATATTCTATAAAAAACAAAAAACTTTATAGAAATATATGTAAGTAGGTACACGTAACGAATCAATTGTGACTTCAAAAACTCTTCACAACTTTTGGCCCAGATATTGTTGATGCAATAAGAAAAATTCAAGATGAGCTCCAACGAGAATCCAACTTTCATAAAAGACAAACTATATTGGAGTCATATTTTACTAAATTGCCTTAGATATATATGCCTTAGTTTTATAATTATTATCTTAGCCTATTATTGGGACTATATTTTTACATAGGAGTTTCAAAAATATTATTGTCTTATCATCTTATCGCATTATGCTATTTTTTACATTGACCCGAGTTGGGACTAGAGAAATTTATTATCTTATAGTGTTTATTGTTTTATCGAGTATTGTTTTATAGAGGTTCTAGCTTGTTTTCTAATTACCGTACAACTAATTCAAGAGACTGATAAATGAGCACGTTTAGTACCGTTTAGAGCTGCGATAGAACAGATTGTTAAAGGCTTAAAGCCATGCATGTCCTTACAAAAGAAACTCTTTCTTTGTGGTTGCTGATTTCTACCGGAGAGGCTGTTGATATATTCTTCTTACTCGAGGAAGACACTGAGCGGAATATCAAGTGAAGACGGTTGCTCATTAGTATTGGGCCATTCTTATTTAGGCCCATTACACGTTTTACATATAAGGCCCAGGTTATGAAACATTGTGGCAACAATATCATCATGGCTTTCTCGTAATTATTAACAATATCATCATGTATTCTAGATATATGTAAACTCAGTTAACCAAAACAAACAATAACGTTTCATTTTTCGATTTTGATATTTACTTTTCTTTTTCATGGTTTTCTCGTAATAAGAAGAAGAAACAAGTAAATTTGCCACTACCAGTAAATCGTTTCGTCTTATCTGTTTTGTTTAAAGTCTAGAGTTTTGACTTAAAATGTTTAGGATCATTTAGCTATTTGTCTCTAATAATTTATTAGTTAGCCACTTTTCCTTTTCCGCCATAGTTGAACTTGAAAACCAAATAAGAAAGCCGAGTATAGTACTAGTTTAATATTACACTTTAAGTCTTTAATCGCTGTAGTTATGTGGGAATCCAATGTTTGTCGGTTAATCATTTCATTAGCAACGCAATATACCTAGTAGTTAACAACTTGTCATTGATTATTACTCGAGCTAGCTAACTCCTCAATCTTGTAGAAACAAATGAATACAATCTTTTCAAAACGCAACCTCTAACTAATAAACTAACTAGATAAACATCCACAGTTAAAGAGTTTCGTGGCCTTTATTTGCACCATTTTCACTTTACTCCTCAAACAATGTTAAATTAGAGCCCAGCTAATAGTTCTTGTTCCCCACCGGTTCTCGCCAACACATCGAACCAGAAGTCCATCTCACTGTCGAAAGCCATCCCATTTTCAAAGGAGCCAAACTGCTGAAACTCTTGTTGTGTCTCATCAAAACCAGCCACTTCAAGAATCGTCGCGTTGTTATGTTCATCTTGGCTATAAAGCGTCTCGTTCCAGAAGCTTTCGTCGATGTCTGTGCCAAAATTCTCAAAAGAACAGCAATCTTGATCTATAGTACTGATGTTTCCCAATTTGTTATCCATCTTTGTCTCGTTGCTATGGCCTTCGTGGCTCATGAGTGTCACCGAAGAAACCTCACTTGTGGAAGGTGATGCCGAGAACAAGCTTTCAAAAGAAGGGTTTGATGAGTTTGTGAGCTCCGATTCGCTTCTAGTACTGTTTGATTTCGTTATTACGGATTCAGATGTCGGTTTAGTATCTTTCTTTTTGTTGCTGATCTTAGGTTTAGCGGGTTGATAATCTTCGAGTCTTTTCTTCAAGTGAGTGTGCCACACGTTCTTGATCTCGTTATCCGTTCTTCCTGGCAATTTTGCAGCAATCGCTGACCATCTATATCAAAAGAAAAGAAACAAAGAGCTTTAATACAAAATCACATAAATAAAGTTATTGTATATACTTGTTTTTGTATACTAGGACCAAGACTGTGTTTAAAGTTACTCTTATGTGATCATTTGTGTTGTGTGGAGAGTATAAAATAAAATTATATGTATTAGTGTTATACGTGACGTATATAGACATAGGTGTATAAATTTTTATGTAAAAGTAGAAGAATGTAAATTAATACCTATTGCCAAGGATTTGATGTAAGCTAATGATAGCATCCTCCTCTTCTTTGGTGAAATTACCTCTTTTAATATCAGGTTTTAGATAGTTCATCCACCTAAGTCTACAACTTTTACCACATCTCAAAAGACCTGAAATAACAATTACCATCAATGTTAAGAAAATTATATAGTCATATTATTAGACTATTAATTACATAAATTGGGTTTTAATTTGTTCATACCAGCTTGTTTTGGGAGCGCTCTCCAGTTACTATGGCCATGGTTGTGGATAAAAGAGATCAAGATTTGATCTTCTTCTGGCGTCCATGGACCTCTCTTCAACCCCATCTTCTCGCAGCATGGAGCTCTTCCCATCTTTTTGATGATGTGGTGGTGATAATTTTGAAGTTTTGTCTTGTAGTGACGATCGAGATCAAATGCTTATGAGCTATGTGATCAAATGTTGTTGATGAGCATGAGAATGACTGACTAATGGTTTTAGGTATTTATACTGAATTTGTCAAAAGGGATGTGGGAGAATTCAAAAGCATTTGGTGAGCTTCCCAGAAGGAGGATATTAGAGGGAGAAAGAGAGAGAGAGATAGTAAGAGATATCTTTTTTGTTGTTTGGCACCACCGTAGTCAAAAAAGCATATTGTATTATATTGCATGTGGGAATGAATGATATTGTTTTTTTCTTTGGACTAGAAACAATATAAAAATAATAGTCTGCATGAAAATAATGTGTATAGAGTTGTGATGGTGAGTTATGTGGTGTAAGTGTTAGTTCCGAGTAAAACAAAGTCGTCGGGTAGACGCACGTAGTGCATTATATTGAGCCCACACGTACGTTTTTAGAAAATCAACGTTTACCAATACATACGACAAAAACAAAAAATCAGGATTTATGTTGACCCAGAAACACTATTCTTTTCAAGTGGTTTCGTAAATTTCTTCACTTTTTATAATTGAAAGTTTTCTTTTTTTTTTTAACATTCATAGAACTTAAACTTCTTAATCGTGGTAGTAAATCTTGTTTAGGTTAACCGTCCATTTCTAGTAATTTTAATGCATATATATGTATATTATAAATATTTATTATATATGTATATTATGGTACCATGTTCTTATTCTAGCTTTCAAATTCGTTTCTCTTTGATTTACTCATTGTTGGCCATTGTAATCATTTGAAGAGAAAAATATTCGGTTGTTTCCAAACTCCAGAGATTAATATGAATTTTCAAGTTCATTAAAATCTCCATAAGTTACTATATTGATTATTGAAAAACGTCATTTTAATATATATCAAGAGAGCATTTCTCTTCGACAAGTGTTCCTTGATTCTTTAAAATAATTGGAATTTCAAGGTAAACAATATTATAATTAATTAATACGTGAGTAGATATTTCTAAGTAAACAATTTTACTTGCTCATAATTTTACTTGCTCATAATTAAATTTCAAGGTAAACAATATTTTAATTAATTAATACAGTACGTGAGCAGATATTTCTAAGTAAACAATTTTACTTGCTCATAATTTATAAATTACAATACTTGACATGCGTAAAAATGTAACTTTTATTCAGTTTCATAACTCCTGGAATATAAATCAAAAAAAAAAATCTGTTTTGGTCAACAAAAAAAAAATCTGACCGGGCGAAATAGCTCATTTGTGCATGTTGACTACGCGTTCACACCGACTGTAGCCGTTCAACAAAAACTTTACCCTCAAATATAGTAATAGTTTGTATTTTAAATTTTCTTTTCTGCTAATAGAAGTTTTTGTTCACAGTTTATGTGGTCAACGAAAGAGGCCTACGACAGATTTCGACATTAAACGATCTCCTTTTTTACCGAGCCAAATCATTTTTTTTGTTAAAGTCCGAGCCAAATCATGTTTAGAAGAATATTGATGGGTGAAATCATTTAATTTGTTTGTTTTCACTGGACGTACTAGGTTACATAATTAGGAGCAACTAATACTTGTTTATTTTAATAAAACAAAGATACTTAGGTACTCGATCTTATATGTTTTTATTTGTTGAAAACATTTTTTCTGCAGCTACATAAATTGATCATTAGTAAAAATTCATACACTGATATAATGCTGAATATTGCGGTCCCATAAACACATAATTCTGTCTGATTATATAATTATGATTTTCACATGCAAATATTTTCCTCGCTTGTCATAAATGACATCTTCATGACTTCATCGAATATCGTATTAAAGATGGTGCTACACGTATCGATTCATAAAAATAAAGTTCCGTCAAAAATAAGTGATAGAGATTTTGATGTGTTCTCAAATGTAGTCATACGTACATACAATTAATGTATTTGGTGCAGTTGGCTTAGTCTGCAGTGTAGATAGCTGATCAACAAAATTTGTATACAAATGGATGTATATACCAATACGTAGTGTGTTAAGGACTTTTTCTCTAAAACAAAAGTCATGTGTACCAAAGTAACATTAACTAAATACCGTTTTTCGAGTGTGGACGCAAACAGTTTCAAATTACCTGATATTGCTAGTCACTTTTTTGGTTCATGATGCCAATTAATGAATGACGACGACCAGGAAATTTTTACCATGTGTTTATATCACATATCATATGTATATTAAAATTCAAATCTGAATGCAAATGATTTCAATACGAAAGAGCTGTTAAAATATTGACTTCATGACACAAATCACACATATTTTGTTGATACATTCATCTTTATATAAATGGAAACAAAAGTTGTTTGGATATAAGAATAAGAGAAAAATCTATTTGGATAGAAGAATAAATGGAAAAAATTGTTTGGATACAAGAATAATAACTTAAAATAAACCGATGGTTTAGAAAACTTCCGTTTTCCATCTCTTAAAAATCTGCAAAAAAAAAACTTAACATAATCTAACGATAATTCCAAATCAATAGAATATGCTTTTTGGATTTTCGGGTTTTTATAGACAAGTTCGGGTTTGGGTGAAAATCTGAGACATAATTTTATAGAGATATAGAAATTGTTCGGGTTTCTTTGAAAATTTCTGTTCGGGTTAGGTTCAATTTTTTTTTTCAGTTTAGGGTTTTCCGGATTTTTTAGATTTCTGGTTTTCGGGTTTAGATATATTAAAAAAATTGAGTATTTTAAAATTTTGATTAGGTATTGGGGTCGGGTTCCGGGTGAAAAAGTTTCCAGATTTTTTTTGTTCAGTCAGGGTTTTCGGGATTTTTTTGATTTCGGATTTTCATGTTTAGACCTATTAAAAAAGTTTGGGTTTTTAAATTTTTTGATTAGGGTTTTTTGTCGGGTTCGGATTTAGGGTTTAAATTTTCTACACAAAACAACAACGTCACACCGCACAAACGTGCGGGTACTCTACTAGTGTAGTTTAAAATCCTTTATCAAAAAAAAAAAAGATGCATTCATATAGTTTACAAGTAGCTAGATTACGGAGTAACGAAAGTGGTTGCCAAGCTATATCGGCTAATTAATAAATTAATACTAGTACAAAGTATAAACTAATGGAAAATAGTGGAATAAATGAGAATGTGAAAGCATGTCATCCTTGACTGTTCAATTTGGAAAAGAATTAATCAAATAGATCACTGCATGCAGTTCTAAAGATTTATAGGCAGTACTTTTTAACATTTGAATAGATTTTCTTCAACATACAAGTTGTAATGTTTTATCTAAAATTTTGTATTATACATCGATTATGGATGAAATACTCACATAATTAGATGCAAATAAATCATATTTTAAAAATAGCATAAAATCCTAGAATTTCATCTTGTAAAAGTAAAAGCTGACTTTAAAAGAATGATAGGGAAGTCAACTACATCAAATTTCTAACATGAATCATTAACTCACGATACTGAATTCAAAGAAGTAAAATGGGCATAAAATCTGACATCAATTTCCGGATTCAAAATGACATCATTTTGTATTGTTTTTTTTTCTGTCAACTGTTATTATATTTACAAACGCGTTAAAGAATAGAACCATGAGGAAAACTAAAGTCGCCCAATAGTTCGTACGGAGAGTGATATAAGAAGATGGGGTTTGGTGCTTTTGTCCTGTCCCCGAAATAGTCGCGGATTTATAAATAAGAGGACCATTATTCCACTAATCTTCATCTTCTTTACATTCATTATTTCAATAATATATTTTGAAAAAACATTGGATTTCCTTTTTGGATACAAGTCTTCTTTAACTCACGGGTCAATTATAAATTTAGTTGCGTAATAGAAACTTGTTAAATTAAGCATATATATTATAGTAAGCGTTCACACTCGATAAAGAACAACAATGAATTCCAAACCTGTCGTGTGTTCTTTGACAACAACAGTATTAAAAATCATTAGAATACAAGTATCGGTCGATAATCTACATTTAACGTGGCTAAACAGATATACATAATCAAATGTAATTAGCAGACGATCGATCAACTTCTACTCTTATGTATTTTGTTCCAAATTATGTGAACTCAATTTTTGAAGACTTATGACAATTAATACCTCATCAACTGAACCAAGACTAAAACAACAAAACGTAAACATTATATATACAGAGAAACAGGAGTATTGTTGAACGTTTGTGTGTATGTGCACAAAATGTCTAAGATTCTTTTCAAAGTCATAACGAATTAAGATATTAATAAATTATCCGCGGAATAATTTACTATAACTTCTGTCAATACTTTGACTTCACACACGTTAATACATTTTCCCGCTTCATAAGGTCTCTGGTATTCATTTGATAATTTAGTTTCAACGAGACATTTTGGATAAATTGAGTTTGGATTGTCGTTGAAGCAATGCATTTTTATGATAATTTGAGTATATCTATACGACACATGGATACAGTTGGATATGGAGGAAAATAAGGTATTCTTATCGGATACGTATTCGAACGATTACAAGATTTTAATATGTGTACAAATATCAATCCGAAAAATCTGGATATCTTTGGACATTTAGATTTTGAATATACACGATAATAATGTTGAATCGTCGGTTCAGTGTATCATAAAACTCCGCATTGAGTTTTCTTATTGATATTTGTTTTTGTAAGGACCCAATGACACAAAAATAATGTTACGCTTTTACTGCTTGTCGACAACGAAGCATGATTTACTTTTATAATTTTCTCTAAAATAAAATTAAGAAAGAAAAAGGGATGATAATGGGCAATCGAATGTTTTCCACTGATTTTCTCTAAGAGAACCACGTTTATTTCGTTTACTGCTAAGAAAAGTTGAAAGATTAATAAGTACTGTAATGGCGAATCTAGTGGATCATTGTATAGTTTTGTGCTATTATTATTGGCGGGCTCATTCAAGTTTCAATTTTTATCATCCTTTATTTGAGAAAATGTTGGTAACGTAACAAATTTTACTTCATGGTTCGATAAGACATAATAGTTTTGTAATACTACTAGATTAATCCACTAAGACCTATTTTATTTTACCTAACTACTACTATCATTAAAAATTATAAAGACATGATTTTTTTTTGGTCGAAAAATTATAAAATTATAAAGCTATGATGATTATTGAATTGTAGCCCCAAGAGGTTTACTAATCAAACCAATCCATTTGCTGAAAGAGCAAATGATTTCTCAGAATTTGGTACAAATTTTCCACTCTGCTTTGAATAATTAGCTGGAGATGTGCACTTCGCAAGACTTCTTCTCACTTTACTTTTTATTAAAATAACATTAATAAGCATTTCATCTTTATTTATGTCATCGAAATGGTTAACATGTACGGTGGCGGCTATACCCCTCTCGTAATGACAGGTGACTGGTAACACCTAATTCATAACTGTGCAGCATCGGTTAATTAAATATTCAAAAAAGATGGTCCATGCAACAACGTAAATATAATGAGGATAATGTTAGTTCCTTTTCAAAAGTTATTTCATTAATGATGTTTTTTTTCCTTCTAAGTGTAAACAGATTTAATATTTAAAGTGGCATATCCACGATCATACTAATATGTATTGTTATAAATTGATAAGGTTTAGCTTTTCTAACGTTTTTAAGGTCTTTAAGCTCTCCTATATCCATGATGTTTAGAGTTTATAAGTTTGTTAGAACATACAAATTATTCAGTTTTATGGTTGATTAATAAGTTTGATAACCTCGATAGCTTTTCATTGACTAATTTTACATGAATTTTACGAAAAACTTGTTTACTGATCCTACATATATCACTAGCTATATGATATTTTTCATGGTTTGCTCACACAATACTATAAATGATTTATTGATAGATCACGCATCCTTAAATTGATATAGATTAAGCACATTTAACTCGAAAATTCCTGCCGAATTACAAAAAGAAATATACATTTTAGTAATTGTATATCGATAGGTGATTGTGATTGTCTACTATTTGACAGACATAATGTTTGCCTAACTTTGGAGAAACTTCAGCTTACGTACGCCTTCGGGTCATTGGTTTATAGAGATGTTATATTCTACAAGCATAGGTTCCGGTCATTAGTTTATCGAGATTGTATCTTCTACCTTTTGAACAAGAATTCATTGTGAATATTTGTAATTAATTGGAATTTGATTCCTAAGCCTACGGCCTAGCCTACATATTGTATAGCGCCCATATTGTAAGAAATTAGTGGTAAGAACCCATATTGTAAGAAATTAGTGGTAAGAAGAAATATTTCGCAAACTATTTGACTAGTATTGTACATATACTGTATATGTATATTGGTTCAAACACTCTTCTAGATAATATACTGTTAAACGAACCTATTTCATAGTAATCTAAGATGCATGACATTATGGAAGTGCTTATGCTTTGTACATATACGAGTTAACAGAACCCAAACAAATATTTTAGGTATCTTTTTATCCAAAAAAAAAAAAGAGTATCTAATGGTGATTTCTATGATCAGTCTAAAAATCATGCAAAAGTGTGTCGTTCTTGGCCATCCCAAAAATGTATTATCTTGTCGAAAACTGGTTGCGAAACATGAAAGTCTAATAAGGAATAACTAAACAATTGGATGCAATCCATTACACTTACCAAAAAAATCTTACTATAATATGCAAACGCAAAAATCCGTAAGATGGGCCTACGACTGTCAGTAAGCAAAGAGATAATAGACTTAGAGTTGGATAAGCATGGGCTCACAAGAAATTGATGAAGTAAACTTACTGAAAAAGTGAAATGGATTCAAAGCTTATTTCATTGGACTTTTTTTTTTTTTTTCATTCAAAGCTTATTTCATTGGACTTAAAGTTGGATAAGCTCGGGCTGACAAGAAATTGATAAAGTAAACTTAACGAAAGAGTGAAATGGATCAAAAGCTTATGGTTATGAAAAGAAATGTCAATACACCAACATATATAGAGCCATGTTTCCAGAAGCTTAATTTGGAGCTTAAGTTTAATGAAAATTTCGTACATAGCAGAGCGGACCAAACAAACCAAATAAATTCAACGGTAAATTATGGACAAAAGCATAAACCAAACAGGCAGTGAAAACATACAAACGATGTCCTCCTTCTCTTTCTAAAACATATTCCTTCAAATATATTCCCCTAGACAAAAATAATTAACACTTTGTTCCGGAATTGAGTTTCTTTTTTTACAAATTTCTAATATTTTAGGAGTATGTACACATTGATTCTTCACAACTTTCTCCTTTTATTTTGTGTTTCTCCAAACTTCTTGTTCTCAAGTTTGAGTTGTTAAGTATGATAATGGATGATAAGTTGTTGAACATATAACAGTTGGTCAAAGCCGACGATAATAGATAACATATTTGATTATTGTAGGACCTATATAATGATTGTAAATCTACAAATTCAAACATTTTTTAGTATAAATTAATAATATAAAAAAAACATATAATATAGTTCGTCACTGCTAACTGTTAAATAGAAAGAATCGGACCAAGTTCGTGTTCTGTGGAGTGCCAAGTATTAAATGTTTATTGTTTGTTTCTCAAGCAAGCAAATGGATTTTGTAAAACAACTTCGTATTGTTTTTTTTTGGGGACCAAATTCAGTTAACCATTATGTGGATAATGGATAAGCTATCAAACACGTCACTATTTTAGTCGATGAACAGTAATAGTTCAGAGTATTTACATATGTCTATGCCTTTATCACTTAACTTATGTATCATTAGTTTATTTTTAATATAAGCTTTTTCTTATGTCGCCCCACAATCTATTGACCACTTTGGTCCACCATCTTTAAAACAATAATCTTCTTTTGTTTTGTTCTTCGATTCGCCGTCGACGTTCAAAAACACGTGCCGAAATAAATTTTGCATACTGCTTAATTATATACACGACAAAGTTTTAGAATGATGAATATAGGTGATTATTCAATTGTAACTTAAAATTAACATTTGATCAGTCAAAAGTTAACATTAACATCTTCTGAAAATATATTTTTAATTCAAAAATTTACTCTCACAATTACCACCGATTTCACGAGATACTCTAGCTTACATAACTCGTGAATCAACTATAGCACAAAATTCTAGAATGTGCCAGCTAATTACATGGAAGTCAAGTCACGATTTTCATTTGACCACCCTGACCATCATTTTCAGTTGGGGTCTATTCAAAACAATCACTTTAAATTTCCTTAATTATAAGATTTAGGTTGCTCCTGATTACAAAAAGTATAAAATACTAAGTCGGCCCAAATTACTCTTAATAGCATCATATACCGTTTCCAAATCAATTTTTTTTTATGTAACTTAAAAATGAGAAAATCTGCCTTCTGAATATTATTACAATAGATACAAGATGAGAGTTTGTCTCACTAGTTGAAAGACTTTATCATAACGTGAAATTCAACAAGCACAAAATAAATACAGTATATAAAGAATTAGGAACTGTTTTCCATGTTTTCTCTATAGATCAAACATCACTGTCACAAATGAAAATATTGGCGCAAAATTGCGTAAAATAAACATACATGGGAAATTAGGGGGCTAAATTTAGAAACGTCTAAAACTTAAGGGACCTATGAACACAAATTATTTAACAAAAAAATTTCACCAGGCCCCACTATTTTCAGAAGAGCCCAAAAGCTCCTCAAGGTACTGTTCTCCCAAATCCTCAAACACGACGACATTATCTAACTTCACTGAGCGGTGATCAAAGTCAGTGTCTTTCGTCTTCCTATTGGTCATTCTCCGTCTCATCGAGTGTTTCCTCTTCAACGCCACAACCGGAGAACACCCTTCTTCGTAGCTGTACTTCAACTCCGAGAGCGACTCTTGAACTCTCTCCGCCGGAAAATTTAGAATCGCCGACGAGCCTCTCATCGAGAAAGCAGCTTGGTCGTAGGCAAGAGCCGCTTCTTCCGCGCTTTCGAACGTCCCGAGCCAAACCCGAATACCGTTTCGTGTCGAATCTCTTATCTCCGCCGCGAATTTCCCCCATGGCCGTCGTCTTACGCCTCTGTATGACTTCTCTGACTTCCTCGAAGTTCCAGTCTCTTCCTCGGATTTTGTTGGAAGGTCTTGATGATCAGATTCAATGAGGCTTTGGTGCGCGGATTGCTCGATTAAGCCGTAGAGAAGCATTTCTTCTGAGTCGTTCTCGTCGAAGGGGAGAGAAAAGCTGTTGGAAGACGAGGATGAGTAAGATTCCGGAGAATATTCCGGCGAGAAGCCGGAGAACGGTGACTGAATAAAAGAGGGATCCATATAACCGGAGAAAATGCTCTGTTTTTTTTAGTACTCTGTTTTTCGACTGTTCTGTTTTCAGTTAGGATCATCGTTAGTGTGATTGACGACGTCTATATATAGGGAGAAAAAGTCTTGCTATGTGTGTGGAAATGTCAAAAGTGGACATGGATTTTACGGTCTTGATGAAGATGAATGCCATGCAATAGAGGGTGAAATGGGAATTTATAGAAAATGTTACATTCAAATGAATAATTATGTTTTTTTTTTGTATGAGGAGAAATTATGTTGCTTCGTCGAAGATTCGAACATAAGTCATAGTTTGCATATTTTCTTCTCTCGTCGTGTGAAGTGTATTGTGTCGTAATGATAAAATATGATCAAATGGTTTTGAAATTTTGTTGCATTTTTAAAAACTTAATTACATGAGATTTACATGAAAATGAATATTGTTTAATTTATCCCAAACTTGTATGTGTATACTCTTTATATATATTGAAAAGGGTGGATTTGTTTTAATCTTCAACTGTAAATGACTAAGCATTTTTGTTAAAAGAAAATGATTTTTTTGTTATGTGTATCAGTTCGTCTTATCATCACATGTATCATCGAAATTTCGGCACTTTTGTATCCATAAACGTAGAAATTATGATGGTAAAGTTCCATGAATCATTATAAGGTTGACCAAGAAAAAAAGTTAATGAATCATGAAACTATCGAAAAAGATAAACCACATATGAAAACTACTTAACCATTATATTTGGTAGCGATTCCAAGATCAATCTATATACCAAGTTCAAGTTAAACTGATTCAAGATGAAACACGATGATAATTTGAGTAGAGGTTAATTGACTGTAAATTTTATTCGACAGTTTTGATATACCATTTATACATATCACTGTTCTAGAGTCCATGTATCTTATCTACCTATTAGTTACGAGTAAAACAAATAACTACACAATTTCACATTTCACGCATAGAAATAACAAGATCGATGTGAAACTGATGAAGCCAAAATCCAAAATAACTGCTGGATCAACTCAACTAGACAATTTTTATGCTTTGGCGTTGCAAATATGATTACAGAAATATCAAGTCATTATTACTTTAATCTTAGGAGGCTGTATATTTAATTAGTATTTTTTGCTGTTCTTTCTTTCTTATGTCCAAAAGCAAGGTGAAAGAGAAAATGGTTCGTTGGAAGGAGTCAAGATACATGCCCCCTTGAACCCCAAACAACAAATAACTTCAAGCCATCTCATCTTTAAAAGATTATTTGGCTTTATTTTCTTTCAACGTCTTTCTCAAAGTTAAAAAGAGATGTTATTTTCTCTTTTCTATTACTAGAAATTATTTAAATTCATTCAAACCGATTACAGAACTAGTAAATCCTTGTTCAAAGAAAAAAAACGATAGCATAACACATATATACACACGTTATAAACTTATAATATATAGAAAAGTACGTAAAAATGTGACTAATTATATGAGAGTGTATTTATATATATATAGATAATCAAACCGTAAGCGAACACTACACATGCATCATGACTCCTACAGTCTACAGGGGTACAAATTCATTTATTCTATCTTAAATTCTTAATGCTTTCCAAAATTGGTCACGAATTTGGTTTATTTGATATCCCGCACATGTTCAAACACAGACATCCTGACCTTTTGTTGCTTTATTTCATACATCGTATATGTACAAAAATGATTGAAAAAAATTAATACTCCCTCTGTGTCAATATACAGTATAAGGGGTTTTAAAGTTTTTTTTTTTGTTTCAGTATTGACTTACCAAAAAAAAGTAACCCCCAAAAAAATTGCTTATTCGTATCCGTTGCTAAACAATTTCCATATGTTGACAAAATAAAAATCTCATCAAAGAGAATCTTAACCATTTATTTATAAAAGTTATCTTCTTCACAAGAAAATGAACACGATTTTTTTGAAAGTTTGCTAAGTTTTTTCAGTATATTTTCTTTCTCTCCCTGGAACCGCTCAAAAGTTTTATGTTCTTAGTGATTGGAATTAGTAGTTTTAGTCCAGACCGATGTCGAGATCTCATCATTAGAATATGTTTCTCATATATTAGACTTATAGCCTATGAAATATTCATCTTCGGAAAAAATAATAATTAAGAACGTGTTAGCGAAAGGCAAAAGGGAATAAGGGATTATATAACTTATAAAGGTGAGAAATCGGCAAATATAAAAAGAGTCTTATTAGTCAAATCAAAAACGAAAGAAAACGAAGTCCAGTAAAGATCAATTTTGACTAAGGTGTTAATTAGGCGTAAGGCGATAGCTACACGTTCATGGTACGTGGTCATATTATTAAAATAAAATAACATATATTTTTGTAGTCATATTATTTATGTTTTAAGAATTACATCACCTATTTTTTAAGGAGATTATTTTCTATATTTTCTTATTTTTTCTTCATTGTACTTTTTTACTTTTAATAATGGGGAAAAAACTGAATTCCTAACTTACAGCATAAATTCATATTGATTTAATACATAAGAGTATCTTCATTAGTTAGTTACATTTTTCATTGAATTCCTCTGAAAGAGCTCTAACCCTATTACATTTTCGCTATTTTATTCAATTTTGCAATAAGATATTCTCCAACATATTACATTTTTAATTGCAAAATAATATAATGTTATTCGTGTTTCCAAATATGCGGACATTTAATTATATATTATATTTTGCATTTGTACTTTTCTATAGTGTATAGTTAGCAATATACACATTTTCATCAAACTTTACAAATTAACCAATTCATTTATTTTCTTTTAAAAACATCCACAAAATGTGATTACTTTATATACAGTAGTATTAATAAAAATACATTACACTACATTAATAGATGTATCGTAGTTTTAAATATATTTACAAATATATCAGTATATACAAAAACTGTACAAACCATGAACATTTAAATCTTTAATGCTCTTAACTAATTTCGTTTAAGATATTTCTATAATCATTTTCTTAAGAAAAAATAATTTTATATAATTTTTTTTCTACAGTTTATGCTAATTTATTCTTAATACGTATAAAGACTAAACACTGGAAAAACTTAAATTTAGAAGAGGTTTTGAGGTGGCAAATCTGATGATGGGACTTGGAGCCATTGTGGAAGTCCTCTCCTTCGCAGCCTCGGACCTTTGGGAATGGACGCCGGAAGCTTTCGGAGTGTATACGCCGGAAGCTTTCGGAGTGTATCTCCTCTTCTTAGGGATTTGTGTGATCTGTGATCGCCTCCGTAATTAGTTATTTCTTTTAATAAGTATGTTTTAATCGTGATTATGTTTGTATTTTGGAAAGAACATGTATTTTCTATGTTGATTTCCTTTTCTGCTTAAAGAATTGGATGTGTTTTGTTTAATGTGAGATTTTATTTAATGATATGCTTCAATTTCGTTGATCACTACGGATATAATTTATTTCGGAATCCAAACTCTCATAATTAAACGTGAAAGAACAATATTGTGTCACTTCTCGGTTAAGGAATTTCTGCATTGTTTGATTTTGTGCAATTAATTAAGACGAAAATTCTCCTGCTAGAAACTTGTCTTGGATATATGTTTATCGTTTTAAAACTAAATGATACTGTAGTATAATTTACTCGTCCATAAATATATACTCCCTCCGTTTTTTTTTTTATAAATTTTCTAGGATTTTCACACATATTAAGGAAAAACAGATTTTTAATCATTAGTGTATTGATTTCTGCAATAAAACAACTTTCTAATTTTTAACCAATAAAAATATAACAAATACAATCATTGTTTCTTGAAAACTGAAAAAGTGTATCAAAAAAGTATAAAATTTATCTTTGTAAAACAACAACTAATGTCTAGAAAATTCATCTTTAAAAAACGGAAGGAGTACTTTCAAAACATCAATGACGTTTTAGCATGTTTTTTGTAGAAGAAAACTTTGTTGTTTTGATTAATTAATTTTTACTAGTTGTGATACTTACTTTCTACAGTACAAAAACCAATCAAGAAGTTCGTTGGCCGTATCTGCCAAAAACGAAACAAGAAACTAAAAACTAACTAAAATTGATCAATGAATATGTAAGAGAACAAGAACAAGGAATTGTGCTTTTAGAACCAAAGACTCAAACTAAAACATGTAAAAGACGAAAACAAAACCTGAACAAAGTTAGCTAAGTAAGACAAAAAAAAGCTAGTAACAAAATCGATAAATGATTCTGTAATCGAACATACAAAGATCGAACAGCAAACAAATACTAAAACTCAAACATGTAAGAGACAATAAAAAACAAGATCATCTCGATGAGAATTTAGTACATCGATCATCTGGATGCCTTTTTGGGTCTGTTCAATTATGTAACACCAAAACTTTTCAATTTGAATATTAAATATTTACTGGCTTCCTTTTCTTTCGTTTTTGATTTGACAAATACTCTTTTTTTTTTTTTATAATTGGGTGATATAAAATCATAAAATTCATTGTTTTATTTGCAAGGCCTCAAAAAAAGGAAACTTAAATCATAGGCTACAAACTGTATATGATATCGATGATAAGATAAAAGGAAAATCTTAAATCATACTGTATACAGTACTTTGTTTCAGAGTTTGCGTCAGCAACTTTTTGAGGAAAGGAAACTTTAAATCCAACGGTTGAGATTACGTTGCTAAAAACAGCGGATGGTCAGGATTGATCAGGAAGAAAACTCAATTATATGGCCTCCCTTGGATTGTATCGCCGTTCACTTTTTTTTAACCCAGTAGAAGAAGATCCTAAGAAAAAGAAGATCTTGTCTCCAACGAAGACATAAGACATACTTTTGATCTTGTCTCCACCGCATCATATTCATAGGTAACTCTTACTCGTCTTGTCTTAAGTTGTAGTATAATTTAGTGAATTTGTAAGCAAGAAACCAAGACAAGTTTCCTCGGTTGCTGGGTAAACTTGGAGTAACTAATTAAAGCAAAGCATTGTTATTCACAGATGGCGGGGACGGTGGTGACGAAGAGCTTGAGCTGGGAGATAGGCAACTTCTCGGAAAGAAAGAATCCGATGGCGTCGCGTCAATTCTCAAGCGGCGGCTGTAAGTGGTAAACAGAGAAAAAAACTCAAATCTGTTAGGTTTAGCTTTCGATATTCGTTTTTTTTTTTTTGTTAAGAATTAAAAGGGTTTTCTCTTAGGTATGTTACGGTTGATCCCGAAGGATTCCTTGGCTGTGATCACTTGACTCTGTTCCTGTGCGTTGGAGATCGTAATTCGTTAAAAATAGGATGGAAAAGGAGAGCTATGTATTGCTTTTTTCTGTTGAATCAATCCGGGGAAAACCTATACAGTTCATCTGGTAAGGGAACTTGATTATGTTCCTTTTTCATGTAATCTGGTTGATTTTTTTTTTTTTTTTATCTTATTACAGGCCAAATCAGAACGTTCTGTAATGAGGCCTCAGGCTGGGGTGTCCAAACGACGGTGCCTCTTACCAAGCTCCGAGAGAAAGGGTTTCTGAAGAAGAACAAGCTAACCGTTCAAGTCTTCATGAAAGTAGCAGAAGTTGTTCATCAAGGGAAACCAACTGCGAATGATATGTTGGATTTCGGTAGATTCCAGATCACTGCTTCTCAAGTAAGTTGAAGGAGTTGAGTCTTTAAATTAACCACGAGAGTCTAAAGGTTTGGATCTGCTTAGCATAGTAACATATTGTTCTTCTCTGTTATCATTGGCAGGCTTGTCGATTTGCCGAAACTATCGAACAACATCCGGACTTTGCAGTAGATGTCATAGGAAAGAACCAAGAGCTGAAAACAGCACACAAGGATCTCCTTCTCGGCCTTATCGAGACGCTGAGCAAGTCTCCACAGAACCTGTCTGTTGCTGAACTAAGCAGTGCTCGGAGCCAATTCACTGAGCTGACGGAAGCCGGTTTCAAGCTCGACTGGTTGAAGCCAAAGCTAAAGGAGGATTCCTTGGAGAGGAAGGAAGCACTTCCTGATGGATCTTCGGTGCAAGAACTCGAGGAACGGCTTAAAAAAATGGAATTGACTCTGTGTGATCTCGAAGCTAAACTGGAAGAGCACGAGAAGATCAAATCCGCTGCTGCTGCTAGAGTTTATTCGTTTGAGTTCTTAGACTTTTTCATTACGAGAATCTTTCTCTCTTGCTTCTCAATCTCAAAGCATTGAGTGATGTATGTTTTAAAACAATATAATCGGTTATTATTATGTTACCAATAACTTTTGTGTTAGCATATGTTTTTATAGTCAGAGCTTGATCAGCATATATGAGAACGCTCCATCTGCAACCATTGTTGTGTCATTTCCCTCATAAGCTGAAGCATTTTGCAGGTTGGTGGTGATGGAATCAGAGTCAGGAGGATACCACTCTGTCCTTGGGATCGATTGTAGCACTTCAGGAGGTCGTGTCCCCAATCTTGCCACATATTTGTAATGGCCAATTGTTCTTAAGGTCCATAGTACCACGTGAATGTGTTTGAACTTTAAATCCACTCGGTCGTCATGAACAAAAATATATGTAATGGAAATTAAGTTGCTGAACTTACATGTTCTCTGTTTTTGTCCTTCAAAACATGTTTGAGTTAAGGGACTGTTTAGGACTGAAATAGTTTGGCATGTTTTATGCCATACAAAATAGGATAACTAAAACTGAGCGAGCTCTAATTAAACTTCAAAGCTAGACACAAAATTTTAAACCCTAGGTCCTAAGTTAACCCCAATGGAAAACAAATACAACAAAATCTTGGGGTGAGGTGACAGACATGCATCAATAGTCTTGGATTTTTTTGACCATTTACATGGAATATTTTTTCCATATCACTCCTTCTCGTTCCTTATTGTTTCTAGTGGTCAATTCAAAGCTTTTGGTAGTGAAATCAGGTTCTAAAGAAGTTGATTGCTGTGACCAAAGTTGGTATTTTCCATAGGCCTTCGGTGATACAACATACAAGACATAGAGTGAGACAAGACAGATATTGGGCCCATATCAAATTTTACTATAATTAAGAGAAACAGAGTCTTCTTTTTTCTTCCTCGAGATAACCAATGGAAGTTTTTATAAACTGTTGGTAAATCCTGGTCAGAACTTTGGTAAAATCCAAGGATTTATCAGAAGAAAAAAAAAGGGTAAATTCCAAGGTCCAACACAAGTCAATTTTATTACCCAAGTAGAACGAAGTCAAGCATTAAACTCGTCCAATCCAAGGAGAAGCGACAAAAATAAAATCTACGGATCATATACTAAGTGTGGAAATATCTGAACAAGAATAGAAACGGCTGATCCACTGTATTATTATGGGCCCAATCTGGACCAGATAAAAAGAGGAGAACAAATGGAGATTACAAACCCAATTTTCATCGAGACTAAACCGGAGCCGAACCAGATAATTCGTGTCGAACCGGAATCTTTTTCTTCCATAGTCACAAAAACCGGCATCAAAGACAACTCAAACCATGGAACGGCGTCGTTCGGGTCAACGTTTGACTTTCCACTATTCGGTAACCAAGCTGTGACATACGCCGGTGAAGGAGGGACAAGAGACGTGTCGTTGACGCTTGGGTTACAGAACGATCCTGTGAGTTTAGCTTTATCTCCAGTGACGGCTCAAGGGGGCCCACTTTACTACGGTAGGGACCACATGAAAGGATCGGTGATGTTGGACGGTGGTGATCAAGCGCAGAATTTGCCTTACAGGAATTTGATGGGGAGCTCAATTACTTCACGATATTGGTTGAAGGAAATTTTAGAAGTTAGGATTCGATACCAATTACAGACTGTGTACGTACTATACATACGCTACGCATTAATATGTGGTGCTTCAAGGATCCGGTAGATAATGCCGATAATTCAAAGATAAGAATTGGGATCTTACCCATTTTTGTTTTTCACTTTTTAACTTATGAGTCAACTTATGAGTCATTTTGTAGTAAGTTTTATATTTTTATTTTATTAAATCTATGACCATCCATCAAAAGACGAGTATTTTACTCTTAATCTGCTTTTTGGTTTACTAGGCAATACGATCTTGGGTCTGCTTGGGTCTGTCACTCCGTTGCTGCTACCTTCTCTCTTTATTTGTATCTACGTGTGATAAATGAGATACGATTTGATAAGTGCTAAAATATGATTTGAACCTACCTACAAAAGTATGTAGGACCTACCTACAAAAGTAAACAAAACAAAACAAATTCGTATGCCACAAACACAAAGTATGGGGGGTGGAGAATTGGCAGTATCTCTACAGAGCAAGAGCAGATATGCAAAATAAAAGTTTGTCCGCTTTGTAGACTGATTTTTATTTTTATTCTTTCTTATTTTTACTTTTTGGTCAACAAATGCAAGTTGAGAATAGCAGTCAAAATGAGAGGTTTTTTTTTTTGCTAAATTGTAAATATTCATTATAAAATGAAAGGTTTGGTTTTACAGCTTGCTTTAACAAAGTGTTTAACCTAACAAATGGTCCCATGGCAAAAAAAGGTAAAAAACATGGAAGCATAGACAATCAGTACTCTGTGTAGCACTCTGCAATGAAGCTAAGGCCACAAAGTAGTGATAATGTGCTTGTAAGCTCTAGCAGAAGCTGAACACAAAGTTTACCCAAAGACGGACTAGCAATTGAAAGATGGATAAAAACGCCTTCTTAGCTGAAGGAAGCTATTTCACAGGTAGCCCGAACAATGTAATATTACTCCAAGGAGCTAGTGAAGGCTCGAGCAAGACTGTCCTCAACGTCTATGTAGCGACGCTCCACCAACAAAATCCTAGGCTCCAAAACTAAGACGGAGCTACACTGGCCACCGGAACTAGATGAGCTCACTCACTCTTCCAAGTCCATTCCCCGAAGTCGGCAAGCACAGAGCCCAGCAGCATCATGGAACCAATAGCCTTACTATCTCCTCCAAAAGCACAGAAAAATCGAAATTTCCACACAAACTAACAGCCAATCCAAAACCAGATTACCCTTGAACAACACCCTCAACTCCAGAGACAAACAATTAAGAGCTTTACCGGAGGTGAAAATGGAGCCACACGGAAGCTAAAACCAGAGAAAACAGATCTCACCGGAAAGAAGGAGCTCTGACCTCCATCCGGTTCCAGGAGCCCGATGTAGAGCCACTACAATCCAGTCACCGGCAGAAGCCAAACCGACCAATCGCACCACCGACGAATCCGAAACAAACTAACGACGAAATCAGCCACCAAATCCAACCGCAAACCTGTCAAGAGGAAACCGCAGAAGCACAACACCGCCGGCACAGAGACCCGTCCTCAAGGACCCTATAAGCCACCGTTGTCGAGATCTAGGCGCGAGAGCCTCCATCACGCAGGGAAGTCAGAGATCTACTCCGTCGCTAGAGCCGCCGAAACAGATCCATAAAGCCAAGAGAGAAGAGAACTGGAACGCTGAAGAAAGAGGGAAGGAAAAGCCTCCCCGACGACGGCGATGAGCGCTGGCCGCCGGGGAGATACTAGATCTGGAAAACTTTGGTTGGCGGCGGTTTGGTTTTGAGAGAGAAAAGTAGGGTTTTCGTTGAGTCCCACTGATGTATCAGACTCTTACGTAACCTTCCTCCAAAAATGAGAGGTGACACGTACTCTTATCGAGTTTAATCCCGCTGTTCTTCTTTCAGAAAAATTATGAATATGAATTGGTCAATAAAACAAAACTAGTCAGTCGATGGTATTTGCATATATGTAAAGTTAATAATTTCATGGGTGTCACACCATTAACTAGGATAGGATTTCAGAAAGTTAATTATTAATCGGTTTTAAGATCCAACAAGTAAGCTAGGTGTCGTCTTAAGAAAAGTAGATATAGTACATATAGTATAATTTAGCTTTTATAAGATGTTTGATTTTTATCTTTTCTTTACGGCAATTGTTTAATCCAACAAGTAGCTAGGTCTCATCACTTCATCTCACACAGTTACAACTTACAACTGAGCCCCAGTTACAATTTCCCGTGGATAATTCCTGAAATACTAAACCATCCTGCTGTACAAAAACTCTAAAGGATCCTGGATCCATGGCATTTTTTCTAATTTTTATTAAATAAAACCATTTATTGTTTTCCCTCTTTGAAATGTTGACAAAAATAAAACTGACTGGAAAAGAATTTCGTCACATCCTATGCATATAGTTTTTAAAATTGCTAGACCATGGGTTTAAAAGAATATTCATTCAGGCACGTTCGTTATCACAAGAGAACAAAGATCAAGTCACCCACTCATTTTGAAACGAGACAAACTTTGTAAAAGAATTTTGTACACTCAAAAATTTGGGCTACAAATCACTAAACCCTAGCCGCGCGCGTGGTCACACGCTCTAAAACTTGCGTGTTGTTAAAACACTCACCAACACTGATATGAACAACCTTATAATTTCTTTTTGATTTTTTTTCTTGCGAACCCTTATCATCCGATCAAAGACCCAATCCAACGGTCCATATTAAATCAGTACAAACCGCCTGGCAGAGAGAGAGAGACAAACAGTCGACAAAAACCTCAGAGTATAACGTTATCGTTCCTCGTGTCGCCGCCTTCTCTGCTCACCCAATCAGTAAACGCCACATGTTAATCTGTTTGCCTTTTACTCGTATTTGTTTTCTTCTATCTCTCCGTCCAATCACAACACGCCACGTCGTTATCTCTCTTTCTTCTTCCTTCTCTGTTTCCTTTGGCTCTCTGCAAAAATGGAGTTTGGGTAGTGGGTACGAGTTCGACACGCTCTCTGAGTTACCTCCACTTGCACAAGAATTTACTTATTTTTAATTTAATTTATTTTTTTAATTCCAGAATTTATTTTAATTTTTATTTAATTAAACCATTTACTGTTTCCCTAGAAGAAATTTGTACACTAAAAAATTTGGGATACAAATCCCTAAACCCTAGCCGCGCGCGTGGTCACACGCTCTAAAATTGCGTGTTGTTAAAACACTCACCAACACTGATAAGAACCTTCATTGTTATTGATTTTTTTTCTTATTGCGAAAACCCTTATCATTCATGGAATTATGGTCATTAATTTGTTAGCAATGTTTCCCTCAAATTGATTGTCATATAACCCAGAGAAATTAAAGCACCACACATACTTATGAAATGTACTATATTACCATACTTTTTTGGCATTTTTTGTATAAACAGTAGCATGACTTTATAGAGGTCAGGGTTAGGGCTTGACTGGGAGATGCCATAAATCAAATCCTGAATTTACGAACAAAGTTTTATTTTATCGAAATGTACATTATACATGTCTTCAAAATCAAATTAGCTAAAGGACACTTTAACAGTTCAATTCTAACACGGATTTTTTAACTTGGAAAATGCTAAGAAGTACACTTTGAGAAGGAAAAAAAATAGAAGATTGGAACATTATTAACGATTTTACGTGAGATGGTATATTTGCAACATATGTTTGTTCGTTATATTTGATTATAACATCTATGGCGGTGACATGTTTAAAAAAAAAGAATTTAAAAGCAAGTAAAAGAACGTTTCTTTTACCACAAAGAAAAAGAAATCAGATTTTTGCTATTTATCAAAGAGAGGAACAGTGTTCGCACTGCACACTTTCCGATAACCCAAAAGAGAGAGAAATTGAGGGAGAGAGAGAAATGGAAGATCAGAGCCGTGATACCTCCGGTGAAGACATTGAATCCGCTCGACGCGACGCCGGAGGCATACGTGCCGGAGACATTCATGACAACGCCGCAGCCACCACCCGTCCATCTATTCTTCTCCGCCTTTTCACCCCTTTTCTAGCAGTTTGGACCCTTGTGTCCACTTGCTGCGGCCGACGTGGTCTCGGAGGCAACCAAACTGAAGGATCTGCTCTCATCGACAACGCCGGAGGCAACCCAACTGAAGGATCTCCTCTCATCGGCAACGCCGGAGGCAACCCAACTGAAGGATCTCCTCTCATCGGCAACGCCGTACCCATCCGTCGATCTCCTCTCTTCCGCCTTTTCACCGGTTTGCGAGCGGTTTGGACCCTTGTGTCCACTTGCTGCGGCCGTCGTGGTTCCCCAGGCAACACGGCTCTGCTTCCCGTCGCCGCTCCGTCTGATGAGGCGCCGCATCTGTCAAACCGCCAGGTCCAACCGGCCATCAACGCCAACGACGGTGGTGAGTGGAGCAATTTCGTCAAGGATTCGAACGAATTTATACAGTGGATGATAACGAATATTTTCCTCTTCCTTCCGGTCAAGACGTTTTTCTTATATCTCTCCGGCGACGATCTCTCTTCGATCCGGGAGGAAATTTTGAAGCTCCTCAAGTCTCTCCCACAGATGTTCATCCCGACCGTTCTGCTCTACACCTTCTTCTTCTTCGGCGCCAGGGCTTTCAAAGGCCAAAACATCCGGTTCGGTTTCGAGCTCGTGAGCTTCTTCATCGGACTAGGGGCCATGGCGGAAGCGCTTGCCTTTGCAGCGGCGGACGTGTGGAAGTGGACTTTGGGAGCCGGCATCTTCTACTTTCTAATCTTTGGAATCTGTTTGATTTTCGACTGTTGCGTTAATTACCCTAGAAATTAATCAAGGTTTTCACCTTAATTACCCTAGTAATGATTCCTTTTTCTCGGCTTAGGATATGTTTGTGTTTCATGGATTTTAATACTAGTTTCTAATCATTTCCTTTTTCTCGGCTTAGGATATGTTTGTGTTTAATGGATGATTTTGATGTATGGAAGTAAACTATTTAATCAAATCCTCTAAACAAATCATATGCTTTAATTACGACTGTAAAAATGCGTTGTCTCATTTTTTTGCATTGAATACGAATATTCTCCTGCTAAAAACCTGTGCATGTTAGATATTCTTATGATTTCTAATGTAAATGACACTGTAATTTACCCGTATTCCTGCTGCTGTATGATTTAAAAGTAAATGTTAATCAATCCTATTAAAGTCATATGCTTCAATTACGACTCCAATTAGGTACAAATTTCGGAGCATAATATATTAGCTCCCATAAAAACTTGTCTCGTTTTTGTGCATTTAATGCGAATATTCTCCTACTAAAAACGTGTGCATGCTAGATATTTTTGTGATTTTAAAAGTAAATGATACTGTAATTTACCCGTATTCCTGTGGATGTATGATTTTAAAAGTAAAATGTAATCTTGTATTCCTCTAGACCGGATAATTCATAATTTATTTACTTTTGATCATAACTGCTTGAACCCGGGTTAATTAGACCACTTGGCAATATATATATTAATAATAATAATAATAATAATTAGAAAATAATAATCTGTGTGTTCTGGTATTTTGCATACCATTAAGATAAAAAGAAAAAAGTTACAAAGAAAAGAAAAGCAGATGAAAACAAAACTCAAGAAAATGAATGCAACAGAGATGTGCGACCAACAAGAGACATGGGAATTGGGCAAAGCCGCCTGCCATCATCCTTCCGTACGTATGTATAATTTATATAATTTGTTCTTTAGCTTTTTTTCTTTTCTGGCTGTTTTCCAAGTTTCATTTTGTTAACATCCTTTTTAAAACAAATTGAATTTATCAACAACAAATGTACTGAAACTATTCGGATGGTTTCACTGAGTGCACAATATCAAACCTTTATTGATCAAGTCTATTATCAATGTTATTTGTATATTCTAGGCCTTTCTTATGTGACCGTATCAAACACAGTACCAAATCGTTCTTTGTCTATACTAATTACCTAATGAGTTCCTCAAACAACGGACGCAATTTCTTATCTAAACCCCAAATACATATGATTCTGATTCCAGTTTCATACGTATATATTCAATTCGTTTTAGAAACAACAAAGTAAGATACAGATCTTCCCTCAAAGACCATCAATTTCTTTCTAACGTGTGCTTTCCGATTCACTCATTGTAGCTTGGACGACAAGAAAAAGTTGGAAACAATCCAACTATAAGTACAAATTAAAGAGGATGAATTGAATAATTGAATACAACTATCTCTACAACTACAAACAAGACAACAAGTTTGGTTTTGATAAATGAATACTTCTTACGTAGACATAATGATGAATATGCAAAAGTTTTAGGCTGCAGTTAAGAAATGCCTAATATTTATACTCACGTATTAGGCTATTACCTGTATTTATATGCTGAAATATCACATCACTGGTCGTGTTTTCTTTGAGATATGATGGTACACATATATGTTAATTATAGACTCTGGAGATAAGTTGCATGGGGAACTGGGAAAAAAATCCGAAGAAACTTGAAAAAATAAAAGGAGAAACAGCTTTTTCTCTGATGCTAAAAAAGCAGTTTTTGCCCTTTCTTTTGTAAACCTGCGAATGGGACAAAAACTATGTGGACAGTTTTGATTTTGTTGAGTGTGGACTTTTATCTTTTGCTACATATGGATGGGTGCGACTCGTACGTGTGTGATACTGTGATCATTGTGATGTATGTGTCATGTATATCTCTGACTTTTATTTTTTAAATAGCAGTATTATTTGTATTAATATAACTTTGATTTATGTCTTATGATCAAATATTAATCATATTATATTACATGATTCTGAACAAACATTTAGATTATTAGAAGGGACTTATGCTGAGCAAACCCCTTATTAGAAACCTGAGAATAATAAATAATCCAATTGCCTTATGTTGAGCAAATGTCATTTGATATTCTTAAAAGTTTTAAGTTCTTTTTTATTTATTTTTTTCTGATCGTGTATATATATATATATATATTGAAGAAGTAATAACATAATTGGTAAATTTTGATCATTTGACCTGCTGTATGTTCCAAAATCTCTTTACAGTAATCTTTTTCGAAATCCGAGGATTATAATTGAAATGAAGACGTAATGTGACAAGTTCATAAGATTTTTTCGAGAGCGTTGAGTCCTAAATCACTTAGACTTCATATCAAATATAATAGTAAGTATTTTTTAATCGATTATAAATCCCTTTCCATTATAATTTTTGGCGGCGGTTATGGAAATGGTTTATATAAATTGACGTTTTATAGCATGCTTTTTTTTTAGGAAAAAAATTGTTGTTTCGGTTGATTAATTTATATTTAGTTGTGTACTTGTATTACTTGTTTGAGGTAATAGAGAAGAAAGTATTCTTGTGTCTTATTGATAATAGAAGAAGGTTTATATACAACTCTATGAGAGAATATTCTAGACTTGCTATGCAAGATACAATCTCTAACAATATGGAAACTATGATATTGACATATGACGGTTACGGCCCAATACTCCCCCTCAAATTGGCGCATGAAGATCACGAATGCCCAACTTGCGAGTCAAATAATTAAACTGTGACGCACCAAGAGCCTTTGTAAGCACATCTGCAAGCTGTTCGGATGTATGTACCTTCGCCGTGACCAAACCTCCTGCTACTATCTCATCCCGAACAAAATGACAATCTCGCTCAAAATGCTTAGTACGTTCATGAAAAACTGGGTTCGCCGCAATGTGCAGTGCAGCCTGACAATCACAAAATAGAACGATGGGAACACTATGTTGTATACCAAAACAAGAAAGCAGTTCCCGATTCCACTTTAACTCCTTCAACGTGAAACCCATCGCTCGATATTCAGCTTCTGCGGAAGATAACAAGACCGTCCCTTGTTTCTTGGTTTTCCAAGAGATAGGAGAGTTGCCGAGATGAACCACGAAACCGCTGAGAGATCTTCTTGAAAGAGGACACCCAGAGAAGTCTGAATCACAGCCGAGATACGTAGATCACCACTAGACGATAACACAATCCCCTTGCCAGGACTGCCTTTTAAGTAACGAACCACTCTAAGTGCTGCATCCCAATGTTTCGCTTGAGGTTTATTCAAGAACTGAGCCAAAACATGAACAACATAAGATAACTCAGGTCTTGTAAAGGTAAGATAAACGAGTCTACCCACCAACCGTTGATAACGACCTCGCTCTGTGAATAATGGACTATCATCTTCATCTTGAAGATGACTGTTTTCTGCCATAGGTGTGGCAACTGGTTTGCCAGCTAAAAGTCCACATTCACTTATTATATCCAGCACATATTTTCTTTGTGATAAGTAAATCCCCTCAGGAGATCGTGCCACTTCAATACCAAGGAAATACTTTGCTGGACCCAAATCCTTCATGTGAAAACACTAACCCAAATAACCTTTGAATCGTTTTATGGTCTCCGTATCATTCCCACCAATGAGTAAATCATCCACATATATCAAAACATATAACCTCACTTCTCCACGAGCCAAAGTAAATAATGAGTAATCTGCATATTCTTGAGAAAACCCATATCCACGCAGCGCATTCGTCAACTTTGCAAACCAGCACCGTGGTGCTTGCTTTAAGCCATATAATGCTTTCCGTAAACGACAAACAACGTTCTTCTTCTGAGAGTGAAAACCCAAAGGTAGCTTCATATACACTTCCTCCTCCAACTCTCCATGTAGAAAAGCATTATGTACATCCATTTGATGTACTTCCCATCTCTTAACCGCTGCCACTTTGAGAAACATCCGTATTGTTGTCAACTTTGCAACCGGTGCAAATGTTTCCTCATAATCTCGTCCCTCAACCTGTTTGTCACCCCTGATCACCAATCTCGCCTTATGTCTTTCCAGAGAACCATCCGCATAATATTTATTGGTATAGATCCAACGAGAAGCTATTGCTTGCTTGCCTGGTGGGAGTTCTGTCAAATAAAAAGTACCTGCAGCTTCTTGTGATTTTATTTCTCTTCCCATCGCATCTCTCCACTCTTTGTACTTCACCGCTTCAGCATAAGTCTCAGGAACATAATGAGAATCAATGGCTGCAAGAAAAGCTTTGTGTTTCTCCGAAAAACGATCACATGTAATGTAATTCGAGATCGAATAAGGAACCGTACCTTTAGAGGAAGACGCTGAGCTTGGAGTGAGAGGTGAGGGGTCTATGTTACAGCGAGCAGCATACAACACATAGTCACTCAACTTAGATGGCTTAGATCGTTGTCTTTTTCCCTTGCCCATTTCTGGTTCTGTCTCAACTATATTTTCAGTGCTTGGTTCCTCACATCCGGAACTCCCCCTTACGTCATGATCATCTCCCAGACTCCCCCTGACTTCTTTATCTCCTGAACTCCCCCTCAAAACGAGACTAGTATCGGAGACTATAGGAGAGTTCACCTCTTCGATAATGCGAGAATCGGCGGTAACGTGCTGATCGCGGTTCTGAAAATCATCATCCCATGTTTCTTGTGTAGAGACAATAGGTGTGGTCTCTACTACGACTGGTTTAGAAGCAAACGGAAACTCACTCTCATGGAACACAACATCACGAGACACAAAAATTCTTCAGTTTCTAAATCAAATACTCTCCAACCTTTCTGCCCATTGGGATATCCCATAAAAATGCATCGTCGGCTTCTCTCCCCAAACTTATCTTTTTCTCTAGAGATCTTGTGAGCATAGCATAGAAAACCAAACACCTTCAACCGAGTAAACTGAGGTGCTTCTCCATAAAGCATTTCATATGGTGTTTTCCCATTTAGCAAGGTTGATGGTGTGCGATTGATCAAGTGTACTGCCGCAAGCACACATTCTCCCCAAAACTTCACTGGTATGTGAGCTTGAAACATAATTGATCGAGAGACATTCAATATATGGCGATGCTTACGTTCAACTCGACCATTCTGTTGAGGTGTATACACACACGATGTTTGATGTAGCATACCTTCTTTCGCAAAAAAATGTTTCAAGCACATAAACTCCAACCCGTTATCACTTCGCACAATGCGTATCTTCTTATCAAACTGCCTATCAACCATAGCACAAAACTTTTCAATTGTGTTAGCCACCTCTCCTTTTTCCCGTAGGTGATAAATCCAAACCGCACGAGAGAAATCATCCACAATTGTAAGAAAATAGGATGCTCCACTAGAAGAAACTTGTCGATAAGGCCCCCAAATATCACAATGAATCAAATCAAATAAACCAGCTGCTTTATTAGAACTTTCTTGAAAACAATCACGGGTATGTTTTGCCCGAAAACAAGTATCACAAACTGCTTCTGCCTCAGCCGGTTTCCCAACATCAACATAGCTAGATAACAACGATAAAACCCTACTAGATGGATGACCTAAACGTCGATGCCAGAGATCTCGTGCTCCCGAACTCGCTGCTGTTGTTGAATGAGCACTAGCTCCCATGACACCTCGAAACACATAGACCCCATTGCACTCCTCACCCGCTCCAATCAGCGTCTTCATAGTACGGTCCTGTAAAACACAAAGATCTTCAGTAAACGTAATGGATCCTTTCGTAACCTTTAGTAATTTAGCTACGGAGATTAATGAACATTTTAACTCAGGGCAATACAACACTCCACGTAGCCACAAATCTCCACCTAAACAAATATCTCCTTGCTTAATGGCCCAAGTTTTATCTCCATCAGGAAGTCCAATAGAACAAGGATGAATATCCACAATATTGTGCAAGAGATTAATTTTCCACGTCATGTGGTGAGATGCTCCAGTATCAATAATGAATTCAACATTATCTTTCTTACCAGTCAATGTGTCCACCGAATCAACTTGTTTTGTATTCAGAAACTTTACCACCGAAGTCCATTGCTCATCCGTCAGATTTGGCAAAGAGTTACGATCAAACTCTGTTTTCTGGACAAGACTTGATGCCGCTGTAGCTGTTGCTGGTCCAACTTGAACCGCATTGGCACGACCAGCCGGTGCGCCACGACCCCCGACCAGCAAAGCTTCCAACCGCACCTCCACCACGACCAAATCTACCTCCACGACCTCCACGACCAGCCATGTTTCTTCCTCTCTCGCCCCACCACTCCGGATATCCCTTGATTTGGAAGCAATCAGACATCGCATGTCCGTACTTGCCACAATGTGTGCAAGTGACGTCCTTCTCACGCTCTTGATATGAGGGCGTGTGATTACGAAACCCCGTCGAGACAGCAAAGCCGACATCATCAACTTTGTCGTCTTTATCTCGAGTCATATTCAGTTGTCTCTCTTCTCTAACTATCCTCTGATAAACTTGTGAAAGTTTTGGAAGGGGCTCAAGACTGTTAAGCGTGGACCTCACGGTACCAAACTTGGCATCCAAACCATTAAGAAACATGTTGGTGCGTTCTTCATCTCGATCAGCTTCCAACAGCACCGCCATCTCTCCACACTTACACGATCGAATTGGTTTATACACAGCCAGCTCATCCCACATCTTCTTAAGTTTCCCAAAGTATACCATCACAGTGTCTCCTTGCTGCCTACAGTTCGCCAAATCAGCTCGGAGCTCACTAACTCTCGGTCCATTCCCTGCCGAGAATTGTAACTTCAAATCATCCCATAACACCTTGGCTTCCTCCACCATAGAAACCAAAGATTTCAAAGTGGGTTCTATGGTGTTCATTATCCATGCCACCAACATCGAATTAACCACCTCCCACTGTTCTACCTCTTTTGTCGTCCTTGGTTTCGTGATAGTTCCATCAATGAAACCTAGTTTCCTTTTAGTCCGCAAGGCATTCCGCATATGCTTGGACCAATCTTCATAGTTTTCCCCTTTCAATTGAACCGTCGTAATGAGGTTCCCCGGACCATCTGATGCATGAAGATACATCGGTGAGAGAGTTGCATCTTCAGCAGCTCGTGCACGTACAATCGTTCCCTGTTCCCCCGTCATCGTTTCTTTCTTCGTTTCTTTTCTTTTTTTTTTTTTTTTTTTAGGGTTCCTGCTCTGATACCATGTAAGAGGTAATAGAGAAGAAAGTATTCTTGTGTCTTATTGATAATAGAAGAAGGTTTATATATAACTCTATGAGAGAATATTCTAGACTTGCTATGCAAGATACAATCTCTAAAAATATGGAAACTATGATATTGACATATGACGGCTACGGCCCAATATTACTCACTGTCTACAATACAAAAACCAAACAAGAAGTTCGTAGGCCGTAGCTGCCAAAAACGAAACAAAAAGCTAAAAAAGTAACTAAAATTGATCAGTAAGAGAACAAAAACAAGGAATTATGCCTTTGAAACCAAAGACTCAAACTCAAACATGTAAGAGACAAATAAATAGAAGACCATATTTGCTGTTGTCAAAAAAAAAAAAAAAAAGACCATATTGAACCTAACAAAAATCAAACAAGAAGACATAATTTTATAAAATGTTATCGTTGTGGCTGCCACTTTCTATAAATGATTACATCCAACCATCGAAAGAAAACCAAATAAAGCTAACAAGTAACAACAATCGAACAAGAATACAAAAGATTACAGAAAGTTGCAATTAAACTAATGGCCTCAAGGCCTAAGTGTAGAACGACTGGCTAAACAATTTGTACAATCAATATAATTGGCCCAAACAACTAAAGTAATCTGTCGATCTAACATACAACATTCATCTACATATATAATGGCCCACACACCCAACGATATCATTTTTTGTATCTTTTTACTGCCTTCACAGCGATGTCAGTTCCTTTTTATTCAACGTTATGCATTTTGTTAGTCCACTCATTTATTTATGTTAATATTCCATACACTTTCCAACATTGTTTTTATATTGTACTATAATGAATAGGAAAATAACACCCAAAAATGTTCAAAGTTCGCTTCGGAATCAGAACTCATGTAACATCAACCGTAAAGTTCGAACAAAATCTTATATTCCAATTTTGGCAAATTAAATCAGAATCCCATCCCTAATTGAAAAGATTAAGGCAAAAAGAGGCATCTCACATATCAGGTAAAAGAAATACAAACATAATCGCACATATAAACATTGATTTGATATGTGAGATATACATAAAGCTATAAAAAATGGTTAACAAAAAAAAGGATATTCCGTAGTTTTGAGTCTTGCGTTTACTTCATCAGTATATACAATTTGTTTAAATGGTTGGACGAATTCTCAATCGAAGAAGTTGCAAACTCCAAAAACCTCAAGTATATAAACATATATGTTGAAGTGTCAATTTGCAAGAATTCTGTGTTTAAATATGTATTTTAGTTTTAAGTATATCTATGTTAATAAATTTAGGTTACCTTTTCGTTAGATATATTTTTAAAATTTCATTAATATTCGACTTTTTACATTACTCGTAAAAGTAAATGTAAATCTCTCGTCACTGAATGCGTAGGACTTACGGGATGGGCATATATGTTACCTGCTTTGGTTAAATTATGCTTTGTCTATTTTATTCTTTGGACTCAGTCAGAATCTCAACACTTGCAAACCTATTAACCTCTTTATATATATATAAAAAAAAAACATATTAACCATTGCGAAGATTTTTATAATCCGAGGACTGTTTCTACATTAATTTTTATTGAAACAGTTTACGTCAAAAAAAAGTTGTAGGTCACTCTAGAGTCAAAGACTAATTAAATATTAGTACGATAATTTTAAAAGGTTCAAATGTGTCAAAAACAACCAAATATGGATTTGTGCAGCATATGGTAATGGAACCTTCCGGGAAGACAACACTATATTATTATTAAAGCATTAAAAAACAAAAAATAAATAAATTAACAGATAAAAAGGGTACAATTAATTGAAAAGAACAGTCAACCCCAAGAATCGTCAAGTCATATGAAAACGAACGTCGATTCTGACTCGGCGAATATCCAACCTTATATATAAATATACGCACCACCATGCATCATCATCCATAGATCTCTTATTAAATAACATCTCTCACCCAACTCTTCTTCAAAGCAAACCAATCTTGAGCCACCAGCGTTGATAGGGACAACTTCAATGGAGGGATCAAACAGGAGGAGCAACAGCCAATCGCAAGATGACAAGCAATCTCGTTTCCGAGGCGTGAGGAGAAGGCCATGGGGTAAGTTTGCAGCAGAGATACGTGACCCTTCAAGGAATGGTGCTCGTCTTTGGCTTGGAACATTTGAGACAGCTGAGGAAGCGGCACGGGCTTATGACCGAGCCGCCTTTAACCTTAGAGGTCATCTAGCTATACTTAACTTCCCCAATGAGTATTATTCGCGTATGGACGACTACTCGCTTCGTCCTCCTTACGCTTCTTCATCTTCTTCGTCATCGAGTTCAACTTCTACCGGTGTGAGTCGACAAAACCAGAGAGAAGTGTTCGAGTTTGAGTATTTGGACAATAGGGTTCTTGAAGATCTTCTTGATTCAGAAGAAAGGAAGCCACGGTAGTTGTGTTTTGATATTTTTATGAAGCGTTGTGGTGGCTACGTGCATTATGTGCATGTAGGTTGCTTATTTAGTATACTTATTTTCAATTTTGATAATGTACTACGGCCATAAATGATAAGATAAGGTCTACTTTGCGTTTCCATAAAATATGATTATTTTTTAGATGGTTTAAGTACTTACGCCAGCTTCCGTTAAGTTTGATCTTTAACGAGATTTTCATTAGTTTAGTGTTATTATATGATGATGTCAATAGTATATTAGTATTGTAAGCTAAATGTATTGCTCAAGTGATTACATATACAAAGTGCATTCCCAAATCGACCCATTCGATTACACCCCTCCGTCAAGAACAAAGCGGTCCACTAATTTCTCATATTTTAATTAGTTTAGTTCAAATGATTAAAATCAATAATGGAACGGTAATATCCATGTAACCAATCTTTACCCGATTAGCCTTAATTAATAGTCCTTGTGATTCATTTTTTAACATTATATTTTGTGGAATCTCTGAACTAAGTGCATCATTTGAATTTATTAGATTTTAGGAGTTAAGTTCACACCACCAACTTTTTTTTTATATTTTATCTCTTAGCTTATAATATGTAGTTTGTAGCTTTGTTTTTATCATAAGCACCCTCACTGTTTAAGTAAATTAGAGAATCTCCACTTTCAATCTAGTTAAGTGATACTCTTGTTCCGGTAGAAAAGATTAGTGTTGCTAAATCGAGTTATATCGATGTAATCGTCTGATTTAAGTTCATGAAGTCCATAACATTTGATAACCCTTCATTATGTATTTGATCCTAAATGTATATTATCTATTTTTGTAATCATATCGTTGGTTATATAATCTAGACTTGATCAAGATATGTAGTCGATGTGTGAGTGTGACTACCAAGATTCAAATCCGACAGGAAAAGTACACAATAGGGCCGAGTCTATTAACCTGAAGCCCACCAAGAAAAGTATATAATTTAAATTATAAGTTTTATAACCAACCAACAAAACTGGTATTAAGGATACATTCCTTCATTAAGGACAAAAACACATGATTAAACTAATACTAATTAGATACTGTAATTCGTGATGATCTAAGTTCGAAGGAACAAAACAAAAAAAAAACGACAAAACCAATCTAACGGTTTGCGTCGTTCCAAACGTCTTGGTTATAAGTATAACTCTCTCCACATTCTAGAAGTTCTTCCAATACACTATCGTCTAAATACTCAAACTCAATCACTTCCTTCTCGCCACCACCGTCTCTTCCTCTAAACCCCGACGACGACGAAGGAGCCACCGCATTCTCGCCACCTCCAAATGAACCATCCCTCATCATCGGGTACTCGTGAGGGAAATTGAGAATGGCCCTGTGTCCTCTCATGGAGAAAGCAGCTCTATCATAAGCCCGAGCCGCGTCCTCCGCTGTGTTAAACGTCCCTAGCCACACACGAGCACCGTGTCTAGCCGAGTCACGTATCTCCGCCGCGTATTTCCCCCACGGACGCTTCCTTACGCCTCTGTATTTCACCCCATTCGTGCTCGACTCTCTTTGTTCCATAAGGTTGTGTAAGATTTAGACCAAAAAAAGAAGTTAATGTAAGCTTGAAGTTGAAGTTATGTCTTTTTGCATGTACATGAGTTTATAGTAGTGACAATTTATACGTGGAGTGGAGGTAATGTGTGACTCTACAGAGAATCTAGTGGACATTATTATTAACGCACGTGTGTGTGTTCAAAAAGCCTCCTTTTAATCACAAAAGAAGGGGGTAAAATGTAGAAAAAATAAATATGAGTGCTATTTTAATATTAAAGGTAATTATTGGGGTGTACAATTAAAACAAAAGTTATCGAGGCTGCTTTGTATCTAGTAGAATATAGGATGAGTTAAGGGGCTTAAATGAAAATATTTAACTTTTTAGTGAAGTCCAATGAATCTAGATGGTCAAGGTGACGGCTAAATTGAAAGAGTATTTTTATGACAACGGACCAAAATTAATCTCAGCCTCTCACCTTTATTTTTCGGTCAAGCTCTTTTAAATGTCACGTGTCAACTCTGACCACACGTGTGGTAGATTCTAGTCTTTTAAATTTCAGTTTGACCATCACCAAATACATAGAAAGGTGTGAATCTTATTAAATTTATTAGCATACTAGCACTGTAGCACATAGTTTATATTTCTACACTCGTTATCAGATGATATAAAAACTAAAATTTATACATTTGATTATAGTTTGTCTTAGTTGGTTATCACTGTGTTGTTCTTTGACCAGAAGTTCAAAAGTATTATTGTGGTAAACCTTATACTATTATCTTGACCGCATTATGATATATGAACGAGTTATGATTTTCTTTCTATATAAAGAAAACTTGTATGAATTACACTTCACACGAAACATTATTTAACGTAATTTGTTTTTTGACTAGTTTCTACGAACTTGAGACATTTAAGTACGTACTTCGAGTAGTTACTTACCACACGATCAACGAGCTATTTGAATGTAACTATTAAGTAACAACTGTCAAGTATCGGAATTTAGGTACATAACTGGATTAACCGCCAATATTTTTAACAGTTTTAAGGCTTTATGAAAATGAACGAACACCGAACATTTACAACACTCAGATTTTCTAATGGAAACACAAAAGTAAAACAACATAGAAGCTAACCTTAAAGTGTCCTCGTTAAGGGTTAATCCACAATCTCTGCATAAAGCGAAGCAAGTTGTAAATCAGATTCAACATAATACAAGCAAACAAAACTCTAATCATATATTGACATTTATACTATCAACTTACGACTTATGAGCATCGACAGCTTCTAAGTCTTCCCTAGTCAAAAGTCTAAACTCTAAAACTAATATTTTGGAGACAAAGCGAATTGCTTCTTACCTCTCATTAGTTCATTAAAACGAACTGTTTCATCTGCTGATTTCATGAGTAAAGAAAGCATGGGATGGAAACTATCCTCATCATTCCTCTTCCTCTTCTTATTCTTCTGTCAACAAAACAACAAAACAGTGATTTTCGAACTAAATCACAACTTTTGTACATTATTATGCTTTATTTATAAGAACTTACCAATATTTTCATGATGGTTTCACATTCCTTGATAGCATTCAGATTGATGGTGCAATCCTTACAGCTCCCTTGTTTTGTGCAACCTAGACCACAGAATACCGAGAGTTTGGCTAGCTGCACAATCACAAACTTGTTGTTCACGTTACAAAATCACACAGTTCACAGAAAAATCAAAAGAGACAAAGATATACATATTACATACCCTCGAGTTGGATGACGTGAAGAGAACTGTATCAATTACAGTTTTGGGCGCAGGAAACTCTTTGCTGATTTTGATAAATTCAGCTCTCAGCCTTGGGATGTCTCGTCTGATGATATCATGTCCCATCCAAATTTTCCCGTTGAGCATGTTGTAGATCTCCTCGGAGATTTCGAGGAATGTAACTGGTTTTTTTAGCCGACGTGTGGAACTATCTTTCCGAAAAGCATCGATATCGCTAGGAATATAATACGTAATGTTTTCAATGGATTCCAGCGTCTCAGAACTCACTATCATCCCTCCGAACTGCAGATTCCCAGATTCATGTTCTTTGAAATCAAAGAAAGCAACCCACTCGTCGCTCATGGTATTTTATTTTTTTAGATCGATTTGGGTATTGCTCGATTGCTTTTGAATGTGTCAATGTCAGAAACCCTAACCAACATCTCTAAAGCTTGGTTTGTTTAAGTTGGGCTTCGTATAACCCTTTCCTTTTAGCCCATGTTAAGCAAAAAAAAACATAATAATAGGGCTAAATAATTTGGTTTAAGAGATTCTAAATCATGCAAAGATTGTATAACAGCGTTTATTGACCCAAAACTATGACTTATGTAAAGAACTAAAGATTGAATCTGCATATATACAACAACAAAAATTACATACACCAAGGAATATATACAAACGTTAAAATAAAACTTTTACTATGAATTGGTATAAAGCGTTTGACTGTTTTTATACAATATGTACGTATCAAAACTAACCTAAGTCATCACATATTCCAATCCCTCTCAAAGAAGACAAAATCCATCATATTGTCATCTCACTTGCAAGTTGCAATGATAGGAAATCAAAATCTATGAAGACCATTAGATGAGTGCTTGAATTCATGAAGCTTTATCTTTATATTTTGTGTACCCAAAGCCAACATTAGAGATCATTTATTACCTTAAACGCCAGAGGAAAAGCTACAATGTTCACTTGTTCAGAGAAGCAAGTCGTTGATGACTAATTCATTACTTGAGCTATCAATGGAACAAATCACCAACCTCGCTAAATCATTTGTTCCAGCAATAATGTAACTTCCTCATTGGACCAATTCATTACCTAATATTTCCTTTCTTCCTCATACCCGCAGTATTTTTTCTTTAACTTTTGTTTGTTTGTTTATGGAATATATAATTTACCAGGTAAAATTTAAGTATGTCACGATGATTACATATGCGTACATTGTGATAGCTAGATAGTTCTATAGAGCAAAGATCATATTAAACATCTTTTCTTCAGACAGAGCCTTCAAGAAGCTCATTCTCTGCATTCCAACCCAACTACTTGTAGCGCAAGAAATAAAAAGACCTTGAAGCATAAGCCAATTTCGAGCTCACAAAGTCTTGAAACTCGGAATGTTTGGAGATAACTCCAAATAACTATATATGTAACGTTATATTGTTTTTGATGAACAACGTAACCATAGGCCACAAGCGAGCAATCTGAGAGAATAATTAAGAGGCGATTTGTTTTTATAAAGCAAGAGGAATGCGGCCGATTAATTCAACTTTCTTCAACACAATATTACATTCCAGGTGTCTGGCTCAAAGGTAAAGAAGGAACTCCGTCTTCTGATCGTGGTATAGCATTACATTCCTGAAATTACATGACTGTCATATACAGAGCAAGGGGAAAGATCTGTTTGGGCAAAATTTAACCGGTTCGCAAGTACAATAAACGGAATGACGCAGGAGAAGATATCTTATTAATCAATTGTATATCGAGCTACAACAAGTCAATATCAAAGATTAAACTAAGAGAATCTCGTCTGTCGCTCGTCGTAGATCGTAGTTCGTCGTATCTAGGTTGTTCGTCGCTTGCTCGTCGAGAGGCGAAGAACAAGTAGCTATTAGGGTTTTTGTGTGTTTTGCTGAATGTCCCCTTGTCCTTGTTATGGGACCTCTTATTTATAGGTGCTTGTCGATCCTAATCCTTGTTGAGTTGGGCTTTGACGTCGATCGTAATATTCCATTTCCCTTGTCGGTCGTTCTTCTTAATTTCCTTTTAATTAGGAGGTTACGTCGGTCCTTTTATATAATTCCAATAATTACATAAAACTCTGGGTCGTTGGTAGACTGTTAGTCGTTGCTAGACCATTAATGAATGTCGTCGGTCGTACCTCGTTATAGAGGTTTGTCGATGCTTGAGGCCTATTAGGAAACTTGCAGTAGGACTGACCGGTCGATCACATCGTCAGTCGATCATATCTCCAGCTTATAATAGAGTTTAAGGAGCGACCGACTAGCGAATTTATTTTACCCAACAACTTGCCCCCTACTCTTCAATTTCTTGTTTAGAATTTGTAGAGTAATACTTCATTTGCATATCGTCGGTCGGTCGCTTGCTCATGTCACTTGTGTGACTGTTGTTCGTTTACTAACGTCGATGTACAAAAAGCATATATCGTCTAATGGCATTGTCCCTTTTAAAATATTATCTATGCACATACCAATGGAGCAACATAATATATAATTTAAATAAAAGATCCCAAAGACATACCTTTTTTCTTCGTTCGTCGATGGCTTATGCGAGTGACAAACTCTTATTTTAAATCATGTGGAAATAACTAAGCAAAATAAGAGGGACGTACTTATTTTAATATCCATGTGGGATTGATTAAGAATGGAGATGGACAAGCTTCTTTCTCCAATGACCAATGACAAAGTTTTATTCTTGAAGCATGTACGTCCTTCCCTTTTTTTTCCCATGTGGGTCCCAAAGAAGTTGTACTTGACCACTCATGTAGCTTTATTAAAATTAAGGAACGACATACATTAATTATGTTTGTTTATGTAGAGAGTGACCAGCGACAAACATGTTTAATCGTGCCTCTTCTTTTTTCTCTTAATCGTCGAGCTTCATTCTCTCCAATCTTAAGGAAAACGTATTTTTTTCAAATCGTCAGTCGTTGCTCGTCAATGCTGTTTCGGACCTTGCTCCCTTTCTAATGTAGATGTTATTCATTCCTTTTGTATGTTGCTCATTTGTCTTCTTTTGTCGTTCCCTCTCTCTTTATTTGGAGTTGTTAATTCTTCTCCTTTGATGTCGCTTGTAAAATAGATAATTAAAGAAGAGAATCTCAAGAAGGAGAGACACACATACCTGTCGGTCGCTAACATGATATCCTCTTAAAGGGACCCATATTTTCTTAATATATGTGCTTCCTTTCCTTTCCAACATTAATTTATTTATATAGGAATAAAAAGGTTGTATGTCGTTCGTCGATCTTCCTTGGTCAGACGCTAGGTTTTATTAAAATTATTAAACGTCACTGGAACCACGTGGGACTAGTAAGGTAATGGAGATGAACAACTACTTTTTTCATCCTCCCTTCAGCCCAATGCAGCTCGTTGATCAACAATGTCGTTTGGAACTGTTGGTCGCTTGAGAAAATGTTGAGAGTTTTCTGATGATGTATGTGGCAGCGACACTCTTGGTTATCTTGCCCCCACTACTTAACAGTGATATGTCCGTGTAAAGGAATATATCTGAGTCGGTCGGTCGATGATGAACGAGCCTAATGAGTATGTCGTTCGTAGATGCTTCTCTATTAAGATATTATAGTAGAAGCATCGACATAATTGTGATGGAGCTCCTTTTTATTATTAGTTGGTCTTGATCTCGTAAGACCTAGTAGAAAGTAACAAAAACGAACACATTTTATACATTCGTCTTTGGTTGATCGCTTCGATTGACTACATAAGTCCTCATCAATTGATGAGCGTCGATGAATTCAGAACTTGCTTTTTCAACGGATAAGCAGCTATTAGGCCGTGAGAGCTATACCCCTTAGTTTATTGTCATATTTTCACGAGGACGTACCTCTTGATTTTGTAGATGTTGTCACAGATTAAGGACGTACCTCTTCATTTGTAGCTAATGATTTATGATCATAACATTTGGAGGTCGTGCCCCTTTGTTAATCAAAGAGTGATGTGACATCATAGTCTATTGGAGGTCGTACCTCTAACTTATTTGTTAGCGACTGTCGTCGCTATCTATTGAGTACGTACCTCTTTATTTATTATATCATGACTTATCATGGTGAGGTCGTACCTCTTAATTTGATTTAGTAGCGACAGTCGTCACTGTATATTGAGGACATGCCTCTCTATCTATTTGCTTATGACTTGTTGTCATAGCATGTGGAGGTCGTACCTCTAAATTAGTTATCAGCGACTATCGTCGATGTCGATATATATTGAGTACATGACTCTTATCTTCCTAGTGACCATGGTCAATTTGCTCATGAGGCATTGCCTTTAGTTTTTTTTTTGAAGAAACGTCGATCGTCGTTGCTGCTCTATCATGAGGAGGCAATGCCTTTTTTTACTGTCGTTTGTCATAAGCAGTGCAATGACTGTCGCTCGTCACTAGTTGTGATACAACGTCGATATTAAAGCGAGTGACGAACATAATCTGAGAATTCTTAAATACTCATATGTAGAAAAACCTTTTATTAAGAAGTTCGTCCGTAGACATGCGCGAAGTAAAGAAAAACAATTGAAAGCAGAGACATCTCGTGGATCGTCTATGACTATGACAATAACGAAATAAATAAAACCAAAACACTGAAAGCCAAACTAACCTAGAAGAGGTAGGTTTCGAGGTTCGTTTCATCAAGATCTTTTTCCGTCAGTGGATCTCACAGAGTTGTTCCACCTCTGCTTCTTTGGTATGTGGAATCGACGATTGGATCTCTAGTTGATATAGCTCATGACCTTTCCCTTTTAGGGTAGTTTGGTAGCATGAACGTGCATGCTCTTGTTCTCCCTTGATCTCTTTGACTCCCCATGGAGTAGGAAATTTTATGGTTTGATGGAGTGTCGATGGCACTGCCCCCATGTCATGAATCCAGGGACGTCCCATAATTGCGTTGTACGCAGTAGCACAATCTAGTATCAGAAACTTTGTCTGTCGGTTAATTCCTCCTGCATACACAGGCAGCGTCACTTCTCCTATGGTCTGCTTTACTTCACCGCTAAATCCTACCAGTGGTGTGGATTTTCGCGTCAGTGCATTCTCATCCAGCCCTAATCCTTTGTAAGCATCCATGAAGAGAATGTTGGTCGAACTCCCATTATCAACGAGTGTCCTTTTCATCAGACTATTAGCGATTGTCAAAGATATGACTAATGCATCATGATGTGGAGCTAGGACACACTTATCTTCATCTGAAGCAAAGCTAATCGTGCACTTCGACAGTCGCTCGCATATAGCTTTGACATCTCCATGATGAGTTCTAGCTATTCTAGTACTCTTTTTAGCAGCAGAATGAGTAATTCCACTAACCTGTGATCCTCCCGATATCACGTTGATGATTCGATCATGCTTCGGAGATTGAGCAGGAGATGGTTTTCTTTGCACCTCGTCATTGCTTTGTCGTCGATGCGACTCCTAGCCCTGTCGGACAAGTATTCTCTCAAGTGACCTTTTTTTAGTAGCTCGTTTACTTCCATTCTCAACGTGATGCAATCTTCTGTTCTATGACCATGGTCAGAGTGAAAGTCGCACCACTTTGATGTGTCTCTTCGTTCCCCTGGTGCTTTCATCTTTTGAGGCCATCTTACTCCAGATATATGATTAAGAACATTGACTAGTTCTGCAGGAGATATTGCGAGGTTACTCATGTCTGGCCATGTGGATGATGAGCGTTGGTCGCTCTCAATTTGGTTGAGTGGTCGATGGTCGCTTCTATTATCGCTTCTCTTGCTAGTGCTTTCACTGCGTGGTCTCTGGTACGGTCTGTCATCTCGAGAGGGACGCTCGTTCCTAACAACGCGCGAATCAGATCGTGGGGAAAGTAGGTGTCGATATGCAGGGTCTTCCTCCCACCTTATTTGAGCCCATGCTCTAGATAGCACATCTTCCATCGTTCTGCACTGGTACTTCGTCAGTTCCTTGTACAAATCACTGTCTGGGAGCAATCCTCTTTTGAATGCAGAGATGGCAGTGGACGTGACACATGCCGGAATGGATACTTTCTCTTTGTTGAAGCGACCTACGTAATCGCGCAACGGTTCTCCTCTCTTCTGTATCACTTCATAGAGATCGTCGGCTGTCCTTTCTATGTTCCTGCTGCTCGCGAATTGCTCAACAAAGCGGTCTGTCAATGACGCGAACGAGTCGATTGACGCGTTCGGTAGGTTCGTAAACCACTGAAGAGCTGGTCCCGTGAGGCTAGATCCAAATCCTTTACACATACTAGCTTCGCGATATTCTTTTGCTATTGCCGTTGTGAACATGCGTTGCTTGTACTGGGCTATATGATTATCAGGGTCGGTCGTCCCGTCGTACATCTTCATTGAAGGGACGATGAACTTCTTTGGCATCTCAACCAACGATGGCATCCGTGAAGGGAGTGTCTGCATAGCAATTAGGAGCACTTTTGGTGATTGGAGGAGCTACTCCTGGAAGTCGCGCGAGCAAGAGCTCCATAGCCTCCAATCGCTTGCGCAGCGTCGGTAGCTCCTGTTCCTAGGGCTGCTCCTGTTGCACCCGTAAGTGGTGGAGTGTCGAACGATTGCATAGGAGGAACCGGTCTCGATATCTATTGCGAGCCTGAACCAATGACGCGTTTTCTGCTCGTAGGGTTGCGTTCTCCGCCTGGATTTGCGCAAGTCGTTCTTCGTTCTGCTTCATCTGAGCTGTGAGAGCCTCCAGCTGAGCAACGGTGACGGTCGGTGTTTCGGTCGGTGTGGTATCATCTCCCGCCGCCATGTCTCACGCAGTTAAAATTGCCCCTCCTTCTAGCGCCAAACTGTTTGGGCAAAATTTAACCGGTTCGCAAGTACAATAAACGGAATGACGCAGGAGAAGATATCTTATTAATCAATTGAATATCGAGCTACAACAAGTCAATATCAAAGATTAAACTAAGAGAATCTCGTCTGTCGCTCGTCGTAGATCGTAGTTCGTCGTATCTAGGTTGTTCGTCGCTTGCTCGTCGAGAGGCGAAGAACAAGTAGCTATTAGGGTTTTTGTGTGTTTTTCTGAATGTCCCCTTGTCCTTGTTATGGGACCTCTTATTTATAGGTGCTTGTCGATCCTAATCCTTGTTGAGTTGGGCTTTGACGTCGATCGTAATATTCCATTTCCCGTCGGTCGTCATTCCTAATTTCCTTTTAATTAGGAGGTTACGTCGGTCCTTTTATATAATTCCAATAATTACATAAAACTCTGGGTCGTTGGTAGACTGTTAGTCGTTGCTAAACCATTAATGAATGTCGTCGGTCGTACCTCGTTATAGAGGTTTGTCGATGCTTGAGGCCTTTTAGGAAACTTGCAGTAGGACTGACCGGTCGATCACATCGTCAGTCGATCATATCTCCAGCTTATAATAGAGTTTAAGGAGCGACCGACTAGCGAATTTATTTTACCCAACAAGATCCATCCAAGGCTTGAGAAAAAAAAATAGAAAACAGTATGCTGAAGAAAATTACCTGAAGAGTTTTCCCCCAAAGATTGCCACTCATGTTAGTAAGCTGGAGAGTGAGAGGAAGAGCACTTAGATGAAACATGAGTTTCATGCATAACCATGCATCGTTCTCACCACATTCAATCTGAACGGACGCAAAACCAAAAGGTTATAACAAGAAAAGCAATTAAGATGCAGACACGAGTGGCTTAGTTGAACAACTTACAAGTTCCAGATGCGTTTTGGATGACTGAAACATTTTGGGAATGTCACTAGGCGTTATCTCTTTCCTGTCCAGGTTCAGATGTGTCTTTGAAAAGTCTGTTAACGAATAACTGACCTGCGAGAAACCAGAATGCTTATACATGAGTGACTTAACTTAAAAGTTCACTGCTTGTGAGAGTCGAGCATCATACCTGATGCGTGTTCAACAAGTCACGAGAACATAGATTTGTATCACACAAGAGTCTTCCGGCCATGCAGGACTTGAGCCCTCCTGCCCCAAAACTACTGTTCCCTTCAATCTCAGGCATGTAAAAGCCGTTGCGACGGCCAATTTTGGACCAACTGAGAATGGGAACTTGGCAAGCATGGGATCTTTGAACAAGGACGTCCAGATCAAAACCTGATATATTACGTCCCACAAAAACATCACTTTCTAATCTGAACAACTCTATAAACAATTGGATCAGCAATTCCCTTTCACTGCAGTAAGAAAAAAGGAAACAGATGTGAGATACAGCAACATGAAAATTGCATCATACGCAAAAGATCTGCAAAAATACCTTTTTTGAGAAAACAAAACTCTGCGGCTGTCAGCCACTTCTTCTAGCCAACCAGTTGGATAACAGGTTCCTTCAGGATTCCTAACAACAGTGAAATGACTCACAACACCACATCTCTTTCTTTCTGTAACTGGCATTGGAACATCAATCTGCAAGATCAACGAGCAGGCACATCAAATGTCATATTCTTCACAAAGAGAAGAGCTAAGAAGCATTTGTCAAATCTTGTAGAACAAACCTTGGCGTTGTGAAAGCAGACAGCAGAAGCAGAAACAATTTCGCTGGTGTTCTGTTTTTCATTGAACATAGTCTTTAAATTTATGGCTGTAACGAGAATAGGAGGATGATCCATTTCCTCCTCCGAGTCTAAAACAGTGATAGCCTCGGGAGATTCAACAGTAACCTCAAACTTGCACCAGCTCGCCTGCATGCACAAGTGTCAAGTTCGATAAATACAAACTGAAAATCAGTTTGATATGATCATGTCACTAGTTTAAGAGCCTTACTCGTTCAGAAGGCGTATAGGGAGAGAAGTCTGAAATTTTGAGCCAACAAGGTCCCATGATCTTCTTTTTACGGATAAAAAGCTCCAAAGCACTGCATATAAAATAACTTAATAATCAGATTAAAAAATTGCACCTTGCTAATTAAAAAAAAAAATTGCATCGAACCTTGTATTACACCCGTGCAAAGCGCGAAAAGACTCCCCTTTAAGATCTTCTCGAAGTGGAGGATGCTATGGTTAAGCAATAGTGTCATAGAGTTGTAATGTGATGTAACAACTTTAATTTATTCAACACACAAGAAAAAAATAAACTTTTAAAACAGCTGAAATGTACCACAAATGGATATTTTATCTTCAATACATATTGTTCTCCAGCAGGCACATCAGGCCTCTCAAAAGCAAAGTTTCTCTGAGATTCGTCCATGAAGAGCATATGAGAGTATGAATAAAAATTACACTGGAAAGAAAAAAAGAGAGGTAAATATCAAAACCTTGACAGGCGTCATGCTAATATCTGTGACTTTAAATAGTAAGAAGAGTTTATGAGAAACTTCGTTCTTCAGTTTTGATGCCATTTCCTGAGAAGACACGGCCAAAAACTGTAATAAATTAACAGAGGAAAGGATATTGCATGGTTCCTCTTTTAGGTCATATAACACAAGGGACTCAAACTCACATGTAACTTGTCGCGGAAGGAATCAGGAGAGAGTCGAGAGTCTTTCACCTCTTGCTCAAGCATGATTACTTCTTGAGGTGGAAATATGGAATCATTTGGAATAGCATAAACACATCTCAGGGAACTCTTAACTACCACACAGCAACTCTTGTAAGCATCTCCCATTTTAACCTAAATTTAGAGTGGTATCCAAAAAATCAACTAACCCTAGATTAACCAGAACACCGAAAGAACAACTTTAGAGAAGAAGAAAATGAGTAAAGAGACTCACCTTGCCAAACAGACATATTACGCCTAAATCCACCTCGTAAGCGTCAAGAATGTAAAAACGAAATGATCCATCAGCATCCACATCAAACTCTGATCCGTCACAGCCTCCACATTTGCCCATCTTTTCCTTCAAAACAGCGCCACTGGCGCTTAAAGCTGGATCATTGTCTCCTGACTCGATCCTTGTCTTCAAACCGTCCTCTATAACACTCTTACTTGCAGGAAATTCCGTATTATCCTGATATCATCGGAGGAGTCTCTGTCATGATATCATCGTCTTTCATCGGCTCCTTCCCCATTGAAACACAATCATCATCCCAAACACTCATACTTGCAGGTAATTCCGTATCATCCTCTGAATGATGCGGAGGGGTCTCTGTCATGCTATCATCTTCACAATAATCATCCCAAACACTCATACTTGCAGGTAATTCCATATTATCCTCTTAATGATGCGGAGGTCTGTCATGCTATCATCGTCAGAATAATCATCCCAAAGAGTCTGTCCTTGTTTCATTACTTTGTCGTCAATCCCATCACACCCCGTCGTCGAGAATCCCATCATCAGTCTTATCTTCCGGTGAACAAGCTCATCGCTCTCGTTATCATCAACCGTGTCTCTCATTAGTTCATCAAAACGCTTAGTTGCATCTGCTGTTTTCATGAGAAAAGAAAGCATGGGATGGAAGCTTCCGTCCACAGAAGTCCTCTCCCTCTTCTTACTCTGTAAACAAACAACAAATTAACAGTGATTTTCGGATGAATAAATCACAACTTTTATGCTTAATATTATTTATAACAACTTACCACTATTGACCTGACGGTTTCACACTGTTGGATAGCACGACGATTGATGAAGCAATTCACAAGCTCCCTTTATCTACGCCTAGACTAAAGTGTTCCGCAAGTTTGGCTAGCTGCATGCACACATTCACAAACTTGTAACAAAAGTCACACAATTCACAAAATCCTTATGACAAGAACAATATATATAATATACCCTCGTGTTGGTCGACGTGAAGAGAAGTGTATCAATGACTAATTTGGGCTTTGGAAAATTTTCGCCAACTTTCTTATACAAAGAAAGTAGAGCTGGGATGTTGATGTAGCGTATACATTCCTTTTCTCTTTGGTTTGGGTTTTATCATTTTATTTATCTTTCATATTTTTCGTTGGGCTTTATAAGTCGGTTAAGAGATTACTTTATCTCCAAGCTAGGCTATTAGGGTTTTCTTATTAAGATTTGTATAAGTACTTTGCTTCATGCAACTTTGTTATTCGGCTTTGATATTATTAATAAGAGATATACTTTTCTCAACCCTAAGTCTTTCATCTCTCTCGTTTCTCTTTCGAAGAAAGCTTGAGGTTTAAGCATCAAGAGCTTCTCTCAAAATCCATTGATCTTTGAGGGCCTTTTGATTATCCCGCTGCAACAGTTGGTATCAGAGACAAACAATCCTACCATGCCGCCAAAGAAGTCACTCCAACAGCAATTGGAGGAACACAACGACGCTTTCCGAGAAGTTCTCGCTGAGTTTCAAGACAACCTGCGACACACGTTGCGCGTCACCATGGAAGGCGCAATTCGCACAGCTCTTCAAGCTCACCATCAACCTCCGGAGTTCCAACGTCGTCGTGAACCAGTATTTGACGAAGAGGAAGAAGACGATGTCTATGATGACAACCCGTTCGCAAGGCCTCGTGAACGACATCCTCCCGATGTTGCCGACGCTCCACGAGTTGATAACCGTCGTTGGGAGTCAGGTTTTAGACTTGATTTACCAGAATTCACCGGCGGATTACAACCCGACGAATTCTTAGACTGGATAAGTACCACGGAAGAACTACTCACGTTCAAGGAGGTTCCAGATGAGATGAGAGTTCCGTTGGTTGCTACACGTTTTCGTGGCCGAGCTTCGGCTTGGTGGCAACAAACGAAAGAAAAACGTGTTCGAGAAGGAAAGCCACGTATCGCATCATGGGAAAAACTGAAGAAAAAGATGCGTAAAGCTTTTCTCCCTTTCAATTACTCTCGCACAATTTACAACAGGTTGCAAAACTTACGCCAAGGAGCTCGCTCTGTGGATGATTATGCAACAGATTTTTTTTCCCTCCTTGCTCGAAATAGTTTGTTGGAAACAGAGGATCAACTTGTGTCACGCTTTATTGGAGGTTTACGACCGCAGATCCAAAACACGTTGCTCCAATTCAACCCGGCTTCTGTCTCCGAGGCTCATCAACGTGCCATTCTTGTTGACCAAAATACTCGTGCACCCATGTCAAACTGGAACTCAGTTAACAATCGCTCACGCTCTGCTCCGTCAGACTTCGTCAAACCACCAGACCCGGTTCCGGAGGCAAGCGCTCCAACCCGCGGATCCGAGATCGTTGATGGCTCCACGGCTCAACGAAACCCACGACCTCCAACCTTTAAATGCTTTGGCTGCGGCGAACAAGGCCACCGGCAATCTGCTTGCCCCAAGGCAACTCGTCGTGGACTTTTCAATGATGAAGAAGCACGATATGATGATTACGGCGACGATACTGATACACTAGAGGTCGAAGAACAACTCTCGGGCGATGTCGGACGTACTCTGGTTTTCCGACGAAGCTGCTTTTCACCACCCGGAATTCAGGAATCATGGCTCCGCACAAACATTTTCCGTTCCACATGTACCATCCGTGGTAAGGTTTGTCGTTTCATGATCGACTCTGGTAGCTGCACCAACATTATCTCGGAAGAGGCGGCTTACAAATTGGCTCTGTTCACCGAACCACATCCGTCACCTTACACACTGGTATGGCTCAACGTGAAAACAGAGCTGAAAGTTACCAAACGTTGTCGTGTCCCATTCTCGGTGGGTCCAAACTACAAAGATATTGCTTGTTGTGATGTCATTCCAATGGACGCATGTCACCTTCTCTTAGGCCGTCCGTGGGAATATGACAGACGTACAATGCATGATGGATTTGCTAACACTTACGCGTTTTCATTCGAAAACAAACGTATCACGTTGCTTCCTACGCAAGACTCCACCACTCCGACGATTATTAGCACCGATTTACCCGCTCCACCGACTTCTACTCCTCCTGGAAAACAGGTCATGTTTCTGAATAAGTCTCAATTATCTACTGAACTTCGTTCGGCTGACGTGTTCTATCTCTTGGTTGCACCGTCGACTTCACAACGTTGTCCACTTGAGGTTCCATTGGCTTTTCAGGACCTTATTACCGAGTTTAAAGACGTTTTTCCTCATGACTTACCTGATGGTCTCCCGCCTTTACGAGACATCCAACATTGTATCGACTTGATACCCAACGCTGCTCTCCCTAATCGGCCTCACTATCGTATGAGCCCGAAGGAGCATGATGAACTTCGTCGCCAAGTGGAAGAATTGCTTGCCCGAGGCTATTTGCGAGAAAGTTTGAGCCCATGCGCCGTTCCTGCCCTTCTCATACCAAAAAAAGACGGCTCTTGGCGTATGTGTGTGGATAGTAGAGCGGTCAACAAAATCACTGTTCGGTACCGCTTCCCAATCCCCCGGCTGGACGACCTTTTGGATCAAATCGGTAATGCTTCCCTCTTCTCCAAATTAGATCTTAAGAGTGGTTATCACCAAATACGTATCCGTCCAGGTGATGAGTGGAAAACAGCGTTTAAAACGCGGGAAGGTCTTTTTGAATGGCTAGTTATGCCGTTCGGCTTGTCTAACGCACCAAGCACTTTCATGCGAGTTATGAATCAAGCGTTGCGACCTTTCATTGGCAAGTGTGTCGTCGTATACTTCGATGATATTTTGGTCTTTAGTGCATCTTTATCTGAGCATCTTCAACACTTGCATGATGTCTTGTCGGTGCTTCGTCGTGAAAAGCTCTTTGCCGCGTCAAAAAAATGTACGTTTGGTGCCTCGGAGGTTTTATTCCTCGGTTACATTGTTTCTGCACAAGGCTTACGCGTCGATCCTGCTAAAGTCTCCGCCATCAGTTCTTGGCCAGCTCCAACATCGATCACTGAGGTTCGTAGTTTTCACGGCTTGGCCTCCTTTTATCGCCGCTTTGTACCTCATTTTAGCTCCATTATGGCTCCTATTACGGACTGTATCAAGTCTACGTGTTTTTCTTGGACTATGGAGGCTCATGCTGCTTTTGAGAAGATTAAGACTTGCCTCACCACCGCACCGGTTCTTGCATTGCCGAACTTTACACTCCCTTTTGAACTCCATTCAGATGCTTCTAAGAGTGGTATAGGTGCTGTTTTGAGTCAGCAAGGCCGACCGATTGCCTTTTACAGTGAGAAGATGGCTGGTCCGCGCAGTCGCTATAGTACTTATGATGTCGAACTCTATGCCGTGGTTCAATCCATCAAGCACTGGCGCCATTATCTTTTTCATAGAGAGTTTGTGTTGTATACCGACCACGATGCACTTAAACACATGGGCTCGCAAGACAAAGTCTCATCTCGTCATGCGAATTGGTTTGCATATCTCCAGCAATTCACATTTGTGATTAAGCATACGGCTGGATCGCTTAACAAGGTTGCTGATGCTCTTAGTCGTCGACATGCCTTACTTGCTACGCTTCAGGTTACTGTTCTTGGTTTTTCTTCTCTCCCTGAACTCTACCCGGCGGACCCTTTCTTTGGCAAAGTTTGGCCTGATGCACAAGCAGGTTTGAGCCCTGATTTTTTTGTCCTTGATGGTTTTCTGTTCCGTGGTTCCCAGCTCTGCATCCCGGAATGCAGTTTACGATTACAGATTATTAAAGAAATCCACACTGAAGGTCATGTTGGTCGAGACCGCACGTTACAACTCGTCACGGCTTCTTACTTTTGGCCCACTCTACGACGTGAGGTGGAACGTTTTGTGTCACGTTGTGTTATTTGTCTTGCTTCAAAGGGCCATGCTACCAATGCCGGTTTATATTTACCTCTTCCCATACCAACACAGCCTTGGACCGACATTAGTATGGATTTTGTACTCGGCCTCCCTCGCACTCAACGGGGCCACGACTCTATCTTTGTTGTGGTTGATCGTTTCTCCAAAATGGCTCGTTTTATCCCTTGCAAGAAAACGACAGATGCTTCCCAGGTTGCAACTTTGTTCTTTCGAGAAGTCTATAAGTTGCACGGCTTGCCTATATCCATTGTCTCGGACCGTGATTCTCGCTTTCTAAGTCATTTTTGGCGCTCTCTTTGGAAGCTTTTGCGCACCAGTTTAGACATGAGCTCCGCTTATCATCCACAAACTGACGGCCAAACCGAGGTAACTAACCGAGCATTGGGTGATCTCTTACGTTGTTTAGTTGGTGACAACATACGTTCATGGGATAATATTCTTTGTCAAGCTGAATTTGCTCATAATCATGCACTCAATCGGAGTACCGGTTTCAGTCCATTCCGTGTTGTTTATGGTGTTTCTCCACGTGGTCCTTTGGATCTTTCCATAGCCCCTGATCGCACTCGCATGCATGGTCGAGCTTGTGATGTAGTTGACGAGTTTGTGGAGTTACATGCTAAGGTTCGTGATAATTTAGAACAAGCCACAGCGAAGTATAAGAGTGGAGTTGATGCTCATCGTCGTGACCTTCAGTTTAATGTCGGTGACAAGGTTTGGGCTGTCCTTACCAAAGATCGATTTCCTCCTCACATGTATAACAAGCTCAAGGCTCGCAAGATTGGACCGTTGGAAGTTTTGGAGAAAATCAACAACAATGCTTACCGTCTTCGTCTTCCTCCAAACATGAACACTGCCGACGTGTTTAACGTTAAGCATTTGGTTCCTTATGATGATTCTGATTCTGTTTCTCCTCCTACCAGTGGAAATTCGAGGGCGAATTTCTCTTCACCCCCGGGGACCTGATGTAGCGTATACATTCCTTTTCTCTTTGGTTTGGGTTTTATCATTTTATTTATCTTTCATATTTTTCGTTGGGCTTTATAAGTCGGTTAAGAGATTACTTTATCTCCAAGCTAGGCTATTAGAGTTTTCTTATTAAGATTTGTATAAGTACTTTGCTTCATGCAACTTTGTTATTCGGCTTTGATATTATTAATAAGAGATATACTTTTCTCAACCCTAAGTCTTTCATCTCTCTCGTTTCTCTTTCGAAGAAAGCTTGAGGTTTAAGCATCAAGAGCTTCTCTCAAAATCCATTGATCTTTGAGGGCCTTTTGATTATCCCGCTGCAACAGATGTCTCGCTTGATTATGTCATGTCCAATCCAGATTCTGTTGTTGAGCATGTCGTGGATCTCCATGAAGGTATTATAGGGTTTAGGTGAACCAGGTTGGCGTTTGAGAATTCTTTCGATATAGGTTTCCATATTATGAACCGAACATTCTTGAAAGGAACTCAGCGTCACAGAATTCGCTACGATCGCTCCGAACTCCAGTGGCTCAGATTCATGTTCTTTGAAATCAATGAAAACAACCCACTTGTCGCTCATGGTGATTTTTCTTTAGATCCGATTTGGGTATTGCACCACGCTTTCTTCCCGCGATTGCTTATAAAAGTGTCAATGTCAGAAACCCTAAACAACATCTTTAAATAAAACCGGGTGTGTTTAAGTTGGGCTTCGTATAAACGACTTTCCTTTAGCCCATATATGTTATTTAAATAGGGAGATTATTGGTGGTTTTGTGATGATACAAACTATAAAAAGTATTGTCTTTTTTTTTGTTAAAGGGTTTAACTATAAAAAGTCTTGTCACGTGTACTTTGTTGATATGGCAACGTGTGATGTGAATGTGATTCCTTTTGTTGTATTGTGAATGTATGATTAAATCATTAGACTTGTCTATTGTGTAATAGGTTGCGTGACTTGTGTCCCAATGCAAGTAGCACGCATTAGATTGGAACGTGTATTTATGTATGGAGTTATACGTAATTATCATTGTTAAGTAATGAGATGATGCGTTAAAAATGTTATACTGAAAGTAATTGAGAAGTGATGATGAAAATAATCAGAATTAATCTATATTTTAAATCATTAATATGATGTTGTTATGTTCGCTGAATCGATCCCCGAAGGATTCGGGTGCACAAGGAACATGAGATAGCACTCCGAAGAGTGCTCATTTTGCTTTTATATATGATGATAAGGGAGCTAGGAAATTCAAAGATGCGGCGTTTGAAAACGCCAACGAACGTTTTGTTGTTCCGAATTTCCAAGTGTCAAATTCTTAGAAAGAATCAAAAACTTTAAAAGACATGAATGATTCTTTGATTCTTTCACTTTGATCAACGATGATCACAATGGTTCTTGTCCATCTCTTTTTCTTCTGATTGGCCATTTTCCAACTTTGTTTTTTGTTCTTGCGTTTACCAAAGTTAGTTTTTTTTCATTATCAAGTGTCCAATCTTACAAGCTTTCGACTTTCGACCAAACAAGACATTTAGTTCGGCCTTCTATGGAGAGTCAGAGAGTGTGTGGATATTGCTCACTCTATAATAGAGACAAAACTAAAATGGAATGAATGAATACAATCTTTTATATGATACTTGTTTTTTTTTTATAATTTGATACTTGTTTTTTTTATATAATTGTCCCAAATAGAAGTATATTATACAATATCTGCATTTTTTTTTTTTGGTTTTAATATCTGCATATTTATTATTCAACAGATGAAATTGTCAAGATATATTTCTTAAAGTATTGTATTTGACTAAATAGCACGATATTGCAAATTGTCAAATACAATTCCCTGGGGAAATATAGACATTTTTATTTTTGGTGAAAATGTGAAGAAAATATAGACATTATATGTTGAATGATGTTATTGTCACGTTGACCGCATTGAAACGAGAATGCAATTAACAACTCTGCATGCAACACTTCCATAAAGTAAATAAAATCAATAAAAAAAAATAAATGGCTTATGAATTTTTTAGATTTAAAATTATAAACTCGACTAAAATGAGTGGCCAAAAGGTGAAAATAAATAAATTAAACATTGAGGAAAAAAGGATAAAAATCGGACCCAACATAAAATCGAAACGTAATGCAAACGCCTTTTAAAAAAAGCGATCCAACACTGAACGATTCTCTGAAGATTTGACCCAACCATTTACATTTTGGTAAATGCGTGGCTTTCTAAAAGCCCCACATAATTATAAACTTAAAAAAAAAAAACTCGATTCTGGTTTCTGATTTTGTTGTCTTCTCATATAAACCAAAGTGTTGTTCTTTAAAATTCGATATGTTTTTAATTTCTGAACGATACGATTTGGGCTAAAAAATTCCGAAATTCCCTCAAACTTTATTAATATTTCCCAATAAACAAACACCGAATAATATTTACATCACTCAGATTTTTCTAATTTATATTTCTCTACACACACAGTATCATCTCTTTAGGGATACAGTTTTTTTTGTGTGTTTCTCTGCGTCCCTCAAACAATTTGTAGATTCTCAATTTCTGCATTCATTCATTCATTTCTCTAATGTATCCATCAATCGGAGACGACGATGACCTTCTCGCTGCCCTCTGCTTCGATCAAAGGTTTCGACTTTTCCTCTGTTCATCCTCCTTCATGTCCCTCTGCTTTCAAATTTGATTGTTCAATTGTCATGTATTGTACCTTCAAATCTCTGGGTTTCCTCAAAGTTTCAAAATTTCAAACAAATTTTCATATTTCAATTGCAAAAGACGTTCCTTTTTTAGTTTTTGCTCTTATGATTAGAATGGTTTCTCGTGTAATTGCGTCTGCGTTTAGCTTCTGATATTGTCATTGGTTTGATGAAGATTTGGCTCTTGATTCATGCAGCAATGGAGCAGAAGATCCTTACGCATTTATACAGACAGATCAGGAAAACCTCTTTCCGGATTTTGGATCGTCTGGTGTGAATTTGCAGGGAGAGCAAGAGCAAGGATGTAACATTGGAGCTCAATTCGATTCCTTTAGCGGAAACTTTCCTCAAGCATGTAGCTTTAGAGAGGAAAACAACGATTTAAGAGGAGGTTATGGTGGAGTTGTCTACAGTAACAGTAGCATTGGATCAGCAGCACAATTAGATTTGTCTGCATCGTTTAGTGAACTTTTGCAGCAAGAACCACATCAAGTGTGTAGCTTTAGAACGCAAAACGACGGTTCATCGACTCATTTGCAGAATCAGCAGCAGCAAGAACCGGAACAAGTGTGTAACGGTGTAGTGGAAATCAATTCTTCTTCTTCCGTTGGAGGTGTTAAGGAAGAGCAAGAACATGTGGAGGAAGAATGCTCAAGAAAGAGGTAACCTTTAAAAATCCTAATCTCTTTCTTGTGGTCTGATGTGTTTCTTTAAGTAAAACTATTGGCAGCTTATGATTTCTTGTATTGGTCTCCACCATTTTGGGTCTTGTATCTACAGAGATTACTCAAGCTTTCACTATGTTGTGTGATCTTGTTCTTTGTTTATTTATCTTCAGAGACTACTTTAGCATCTCTGATGTGATTATGTTATGAACAGGAGACGAACTGGATCATGTAGCAAGCCAGGAACCAAAGCCTGTCGCGAGAAACAGAGAAGGGAACAGCTAAATGAGAGGTATGCTCTCAGAGCTTTGCGTTGTTTGCTCTGTGTTGTGTTGTGTTGTTCTGCAGTCTCAGATGATTAAAAATCTTGGTGTTGTTTCAGGTTCATGGATTTGAGCTCTGTTCTGGAGCCTACCAGGACTCCAAAGACTGATAAATCAGCGATCCTCGACGATGCAATCCGAGTCGTGAATCAGCTCAGAGGTGAAGCTACTGAGCTTAAAGATACCAACCAAAAGCTTCAAGAAGAGATCAAGAGCCTCAAGGTTGAATTCTCACTTTGCTCCTAAAAAGCTCAATACTTTGATTGCAATTTGAGACATGAGCTCATGAAACTTGAGCAACCTAATCAGTAGTATGTGAAAATGTTTCTGATATTTGATTACGTTCTGTCTTGAATTAGGCGGAGAAGAACGAGCTAAGGGAGGAGAAGCTGGTGTTGAAGGCGGATAAGGAGAAGGTAGAGCAACAGTTGAAATCCATGGCGGCGGTTCCATCACCGGGATTCATGCCCTCGCCGCATCCGGCAGCTTTCCATCCGAGTAAACTGGCGGTGTATCCGAGCTACGGTTACTATCCAAACATGGCAATGTGGCCACCGTACTTGCATCCTTCGGAGCGTGATACGTCTCATGATCACCTAAAGCGACCTCCTGCTGCTTAAAGTCTTCTTCTTTTTAATGTTTTGCTTCATCCATTGATGATCATAATATCAAATCACTTTGGAATTTTGTTTCCTTGAGATGATTCTTTGGGGGGAGATAGAGAATTTTTTTATGATTCTTCCGTTTTCAAGTGTTAAGCTTTATGATTCTAAGTTACTAATTTTTGAATAAAAGGTCTGAGAAATTTGTGAATTCTATCTCGTTTCTGGTCTCTCGAGTCTTGATCAAACAATGCAGAGGTGGAAATAGTTAAATTAAAAAATGTATTGTACCAAATGTGGAGGAATCTGAAAATGCAGGGAGTGGAATTAAATAGAAAAAATCAAAAAACAAAAGGCAGGGCTCCTTAGTGGGTCCTACTAGAAGCATCTTTGTCACTCATTTTATAACTCAATAATTCCCAGCCGTTGGATCTTCTTTGCCATCTTTTAGCTTCAAAGCAAGGCAAAAACCAACCACCAACACAATTTTACTTCATTTTGTATCATACTTTAGTTTGCTTCAAACGAAACCTCCCAAGATATATCTATTTTAGTACCATTATCCATGATTAAAATCCACATACGAAACATAGAAAAAAGAGCACTCTTTAGCTCAATTCAACAAAATCTGTTAAATTTACATAAACATGAAATGTAACAAAATAGAAAATGCTGTGACATTATACACTGAAGTGTTCCAAAAAAATGGTGTAAAATTCGTTTCTATTAACAAAGTAAAGAATCAAAAATCTCAAATGAGTATACATATATGTAAATTGTACAAGAAAGTGTTAACCTTTTGTTTGTTGTTGTTGATGTATAATTAGCCAGAAGCAAGTAACCAAAGTGTGGTAAGTGAAGAAATGGCGATTGTGATCCAACAAAGGAAAGCTAAAGCAACAGAGAGTTGATATCTCCAACATTGTGCTTCAAAACTGCAGTTTCCTAAATCTCCAAAGTATAAAACCATTATCCCCGCCGAGGAAGAAGCTCCGGCCAGAGATAATGTCGCCGTTACCTGAAAACCAGAGCCAAAAACACACAAGATGGCTCAGAATCTTTTGATGCTTCTTGTTGTCATCAGAGAGAGATAGAGAAAGACTTACCCAATCTCCCACTACAAAGAGACTGACTAAAACCGGGCTAAGAAGCGTCTTCTTTCTCACTACCGCGAAGGTGTCTAGTATCGCTAGACCGAAACTCCATAGGAGCTGCAACCCCATTGCTGCTATTAGGTAGCTGCAACAAAACTTCAATCCATAAGAACAGAGAAATGGTAACAAAATAATGCAGAAAGTTCACATCTTTTTGCTTCTGCTTATACTTGAGAGAATGCTAAATTGTTACAGAATCAAATGTTTCATCTGAAAACATATCATATCATAGCTCAAGAAGATTGACTTTACTTTTCAAGATCCTTGCACTTCAGAAAACAAAGGCTATATTTTTCACCTAGATTGATCCACAATTCAGAAATCAAAGCCACACTTGTCTAAACATCAGACTCAAATCACTCAAACTTGCTTCAAAGCTCCTAATACTTTCACAGGATTGGATCTGTAGGATTCATCTATGTTCTTCCCTCAATTTTCAAAACCAGACTATTCAAGAACTCAATTCCGAGACTGATCAAAACAGATAAAAAGAGTGAGACTTTTACCAGAAGGCAGTGAAGCTGAAGAATCCACCGGAAGTAACCATGTAAGAAATGGAGCCAGCAGCGAAAACACACTGCGAGATTCTCAAGAGCAGACCAGTCAAAGTCCCTGGTGTTCCAGGGATATCTATCATTTCTCTTCCAAGGCACAACCTAAATCAAGACAGACCCTAATCGTCAAAATCTAGTCTTTGTTTTACTTCTCTCCGTGGGAAAGAACAAAAACTCCGAATTCCGCCGCAAAATCCCAAATTTTTGGAGAGCTCAGGCGATTTTTCCGGTGAGGAAACAAAAAAGGTTGATTTTTTGCGGCTGTCAGGGTACGGAATTGAGGAATCAGAGGAGTGAAATATGGGGGAAAATGAAGACTTTTTTTTTCTTTTTGTGAGTTTTGTTTCAACAGAAAGGGCACATAGAGAGGAGGAGAGAAAAAGAACAAATGCGCATTTTATTTTATGTTTGTTTGTTTACTGGAAAGTTGGAAAATTTTAAATAGTAAAATAGCTAATGGGGAAAGTGACGGACAAATTTAATTTCTGTGTGTTTTTTATATTCATCTTTGCACTTTCGCATTGTTGGAAGTCACCTTTTGTCCACTAGGAAATTGCTGAATAATGTGTGATTGATTCAATTATTTTTTGATTAGGCACTTTGGCTTTTTATGTTGTTTATAGTTATTCAATTTTTATAATGTTGGAACTTTAATTTTTACTAGTTTTAACACTCCTCCCAAATGTCTTAAGTTTGTTTGTGTTATGACAAATATAATAGCTAATGATATCAGTGATGAAGATGACAAAACAAATAATCATCTCATTTTCCGTTTTTGGGATCCACAGAAACTTTTTTTGTTTTTGTTTGAACAACTAATTGATCTGAAAGATGAACTTGTCTGACAAATGAAAATACAACATCATAATCAAGTACTCGCTCTGTATTCAAAGCCACACAAAAACTAAAAACCAAAAACAACTGAAAAAACAGAGAAACCCCTTGTTTGAGATACAAGTGAAGATCAGTGAGTTTTGTGTTTCTTGGATGGCTTCTTGAGCAATTCATCATGCTTATGCTTCATCGCAATAAAGAACACCAATGCAGCTACCATTCCAACACCCTTATAAAAAGATACAAGTAGCTTACTCTGATTGTGTCTGAATTATTGTTTCTTAACAATTTGTTTGTTTAAGTGATTAATACCTTACTGAACCTCATGAACAATGTGTTAAACTCGCTCGGTGTAAACAGTGGATTAGAGATGGCTAGTCTTGCAATCTGTTTAAAACAGAAACAAAAACAATATGTAAACAAGTGACACAATATTGTATGCTACTATTAGATCATTTAAGTACCTCATTTAGTTGATCGCAAAATTTCTGTTGTGCTTCTTCGTTAACCATGGAGTTATATAAGCTCATGGCCACTCCATCATCTGCTGACATCGTCTCGTTCACAAACTAATCATATATTTCGATGGTGTTATTACAAAAACATATGTGAATAATAACTATAAATATAATGGTTATTATTACACTTTAAGCCGCGGATCGAGTTGCTTACCCCTTTGAACTTCGTGTAGAAAATATTGAAATGATCTCTATCATAATCACGATTGTAGAAATCGTACAAGATTGGGCTCAATATTGCTTGGTATATAAGCTAAAATCAAACCATACACAAGATTTTAGATTGTTGGTTTATCTATTATTTCAATTTTACAATTATAACAATAAGATGTGTAAATTAATATACCAAGAGCAAAGCTCCGGTGTAGGTGTTGAAGATGAAGAAGAACCCTCCAAATAGCTTCATCACTATACCAAGACCAATTATGTACTTTGCCTACCAAAATGTCATCAATATAAACGAAACATACATCACATTTGTTTTTGTTTTTTTGTCCTATATTAACGATTTTGTATCTTAAAATGTTCACCTGGTTCGCAAAGAAACCAAGTTTTGGTCTTAATTCTTCGGTAGCGACTCCGAATCCATGATACCTTAAGAAAAGAAAAAACAAAAAAAGAACCATTAGCCAAAAAGCAAGATTAGTATATTTCATTTAGATTTAATGTTTTGAATAGTGCTTACTCTCTCCAAGCAGATACGATGAACGCAGATGCGAAGATAAGTCGACCGGCATGCATAAGATACGGCATTTTCTCAATCTTTTCTCCATATTTAACAACCGATTTTTGGGTTTTCTCCATGTTTTCTTTAACAATCTTTATCTATATGCGTTATGTATGAGACAGAGAAAGAGAGTTTTCTAAGAAGGAAGATGATGAAGCCCGTGGATCACCAAGGAGATGGCTAGATGGGAAATGATGGACTAATTAAATAGATAAACTATAGGTTATATAATCATTATTCAAAGGAGAAATAATAATAAACACCTACTAAATAATGGCTAGTTTTTATCTCAGAAAATGACATTGTTTAAGAACATTATAAGATACTACTACTTGTAATATAAAAACTGACTTCTGCGTGAAAACAAAGACCGTCTGTATCCGAAGCATGATGATTTTAATTAGTCTCGGTCTTTTTTTATATCCTTTTCTCCTTTGAAACTACATTTAGGGCCTGACTGGTTTAACTGCTGCGGTTGCGGGTGTGGGAGTTTGCGGAAGCGGGCGGTTGTGATTAGTAGCGTTATTAAGCGGTTTGTACGACTGGCATAACAATTGAAAATGGATGCGTTTGCGGGTTACTTATGACTGGTTCACTTGCGGATGCAATAGCGGTTAAACAATAAATTAATAATATAAACACATTATATAATTATAAAAATATCAAAACTATATTATAATGAAAATTTTAAATTTATGGTTCAACATAATTAAAAATAATTTTTTTATAAAGAATAATATGTGTATAATACTTACGTCTATCTTTTAATTTCTATAATTTAAATAAAAATGTGATTTTATTTTCAAAATATATATTTAATGTGAAAATTAAATTTATTTTACAATTTTATTTATTAGATATATATGTATTAGTATGAAAAGAATATTTATGAAGAGAATTTTGATTTGTAGAACTTATAAATATATAAGTATTATATGATTTTAATGAATATTGACTAAAAGTACTAATTTTTTATTTATATTGTGATTTTATTATCCAAATCTTATTTTTTAATAAATATTATTATTTATTTTCGGATTTTATATAAGTTTGTGTTTTTTTTTTTTAATTATCCACGCAACCGCCGCAACCGCAAACGCTTGCGGAAAGGAGCTTTTGATTTTCAGCGATATAGAGCGGTACAGAGTGGTATAGAGCGATTCAAAGCGGTTGTCGTGATTGTTATAAACCGCCGAAAACCGCTACGAACCGCAAACGCTGCGTTTGCGGGTGGTAGCGGGAAAACCAATCAGATCTTTAGTCATGAGGAGCACAAATTATAAAGACATCAACGTTAATTAGTCTAAAAACCAAAAATGTAGGTTCAAAGAAAATGTATAGGTATTAGAAATGTCTTTTAGAATTTGAATTAAAGTGCGATTAGTTTTGTTGGCCGGTTTAGGTTGATGTTTTAGCGCCACCACCTATTCGAAAAACTATTGTGAATCATTTCTTGACAAAAAGATTGGATAATTTATTGAAAAAAATATAGAAATTAGATGGTTGTTCTTGACTAAGCTAGAACGTGAACAGTTGTGCAATGTTAAATCCTAAATATCAATTTCACAAGATCAACTAACTAAATACGTAAATATGGCTGTTGATATTATTATATCCAAAACCAAATTCTCTCTATTTAGTTGTTGTTTACTAAGCTAGAACGTGAACAGTTGTGCTACGTTGGTCAATTTCCATCTCATCCATATACAAATTTCTTGTTTTACCATGCAAGGTCTCTCTAGTTAAGTTAACCGGTACGTAGAATTTTGTATTCTCAAAGAGATGTTTGTTTCCTCTTTTGTAATTTGAATGTTTAGTTGTAAACAAGTTTCTTTGTCTTGAATATTTAGATTGGTTAACATAATGCTTTTACAAAAACCTCATGCATATCCTCGATCAACTCGCAATAGATAATATATGTTTTCCGATTGTCAGAAGATGATTCAAATCCGAATTTTAAGGTTAACACATAAAGATAACGAAGAAATTGAAAATACAAGGTAATATTTTGAAATGGATTTCAATTTCAGTCAGTTTTAACTTTGGATTCCTTCTTGGCTTCGTCGAGTTTATGCTTCATAGCCACGAAAAATAGCAATGCTCCTATTACGGACAATGCCTTGATGAAGCTTAAGAGTCGTCGAACAAACTCGTTATGTCCGAACAATGCAGGGTTTCTCATCGCGTGATCCCCAAGCTACACAAAACACATAATATACTCAAGTCATCGGACAGATCTCACAATAGAAACTGATTATTACATATAGGCATCAGTAACACACCTCACGGAACTTTGATTTGACTTGCTCAATTTGCTGCTCGTCAAAGTTTGACTTGTAAAGATTGTATGCAGCCTCGTACGACATCGTTCCATTCAGAATCTGACACAGAAAAACAAACCAAGTCAGAGAGACAAACTAGCTTCTAAAGAAACCAGACTGGCTAAAAGATAAAGAAGAGACAGAGGTTGCATACCCTTTTGAATTTGATATAAAGCAGTCCAAATTCTTCAGTGTCGATACGATGGTTGTAGAAATCATGATGTATCATTGTAGCAATGCCTTGTTGTATAAGCTATATAATAACGACAAGGAAACATATTAATTTTGGCATGAAACCAAGAGATCTATAACTATTAAGTGATGCAGCTTAAAATAAAAAGAAATTTCATAGTATTGCTATCTTGGTTTATCTAGATTCCGCTATGTTAATAAGAGCAAAGTTAGAGTTAGTACCAAGAGGAAAGCTCCAAAGAAGCTGCCATAGATGAAGATAAGTCCACCAAGCATCTTCGCTATGATACCAAAAGCAATAAGATGCTTAATCTGATCTCCTGAATTGCCGAACTTCACTCTCCAATAATCCTCTGCTCCTTTAGAATTGGAACTGAGCTCCATGAAACTAAATATAACAAAGAAAAAAGAGGAGGAGTATCAAGAACCATGCATTGACCTATCCACAGGTACTTACAATCAGTCAATTTCAAACAATCTTCCAATGATTCTATTAATTCTAGAAAACCAAGTAAGATAATAGTGAATAATTAAGATGAAAACAGAGGAGGGGTTGATGAGTCATACTCATGCCAAGCAGAGAGGAAGAAGGAGGAGACAAAGAGAGCTCTTCCAATAGTTTCGACATGAGGGAAAGTAGCAACTTTTCTTCCCAATTTGTTCACTTTTCTCTGCACCACATCCATCTCCAAATTCTTACTATGTACCCTGATCAAAATAAGCCACAGGAAGACGATAATGATGATGATCCGGATTTGGCAAAAAGACTTGGGAGCTTTTCAAATATTGGGCATAAAGAATCTTACTCGTTGGCTTATGGAAGAGTTGACTAATTGGGTTAGTGATGAGATGATGATGATGATGCACAATAGAAACTGCAACTCGGTCGTTCTTGAGACAGGAAGTGGTTGCACTAATATGCACGTTGCAAGCGTTTTTCTTTTTCTTTCTTACTAACTTAACTTGAGAAAAATCAAGGCTAATTACATCAAGAACAAGAACAAGAACAAAAAAAAGTGAATAATTTTATGTAATATTTTAATTTGGAAACTGTAAGGATACGTTAAGAGGTGAAGAGCATCTCATATTTCGTTGACAGCTGTAGTTATGTATACACGGTGTACCAATAATAATATCTCATTCTTAAATCTCTATGTATACTTGGTGAGTTAGTATCAAAACAAAAAAACCAGTACTTTTGGTATGGTTCTAACAGCTCTTGACGTTTGTCTTAGGCATTGGACACTTAGCCATATATCATGCAAGATTATGGACACTTGTTACAGCAATTTACAATATAGCCAAACCATTTGTAAATTATAAGGTGAAAACAATTAAATAGGTGGAGACAACAACTCATAGAAGGGTTTGGTGACAAACAAAAGCAGAGAAGAGAGAGAGTTGTGTGTGGAGGTAAGAGATGTGTATCTATTTTGGTGACGAAGAAATTAAGTCAGTAATCAAGGGAGAAGAACACTGACCGGTAAAATTCACATCAAAATCATATATTTTTACTGTATATATGTTTAAAAAAAGAATAATTTATCCACTTTTCTTACCTTCGCTTTTAATGTTACTTTTTTTTTATTGCAATGCTTAATTTTGGTTAAATGTAGTTTGGTAAGAAGTCTGAGGATTCCACGTACGTAAAACACATGATTACATTAATATCATGAGTTCATGACTAGTCACTACTATGCATTTCTTCTTAATTTATTCGTAGAATCACGAGTCGTGACAGACAAGACACCTAATTAATCTTATTTAACAATATGTTTATACATACTTACTTTCTTAAATAAATAATCTTTCTCGTTGGAGATGGGGCTTATTGTGTCGCTCCATAATTGGATCAACTAACAAAACAATGGTGGCGTTAGATTTCAATTCTGAATAAATGTACAATCGGATGATGGTAGCTTGGAATAAATTTGTTCGGATAATAAACCACTCCGGTTAATTAGTTTCCAATACTCAAAAGTCAAAACTAGAGACACGTAGGGATCATATGCGAGGCAATAATGTCGTTATACTTTTATTAATCAGTGCTATTAATCTTAACAGCTTGGTGGAACCACGTTATCATTCTTTCAAGTTCAAGTCTTTTTTTTTTCATTTTTGTTTTGGTAAACGTTGACTTTAAATGCCCAAGTTATGTTTCTTACCTTTTCTGCAAATAAATGACTTCAAATCATTTTAAAAATGACCAAATGTTAATTTTTGTTTTTTTAAAACAATTGGGTATACACAATTAAGCCGGTCTGCGTGAATGATGGTCGTCTTTGTTTATTATGACTAAATGATCATTGTTTAAACCAGCTTCTTCCCCGTCAATGGATGCTTGCATTCCCTCTCTATGAATTAAGCTTTCTATTTATTTACTTCTTCTTCATATGTTACAGATCCATCGATCAAACCTTTACTTTTGGAACAAGTAAGTATCTCTGCCCCGTAATCCAAAATCCTAGTCTTGTTTGTGATTAGTTTTTAATTGGAGAAATATAAGAGCAATAGGTTAACACAAATTTACTCATATGATTCTAAGAAAATTAAATCAATTTGTTCCTAGAGTTCTTGGTATATCCTCATCAAGATTCTGCTATACCTTTTACTTATCTATAACGATTTCACGTTTTTCAGTTTTTACCATTGTCTTCATCATATTTTGTAGCTAAATTTGACATCAAGAACACAATATGAAAATATCGGACGTCAAGAACATGATGTGCACATCCCTAAAAATGTCAATGCCAGCCATGGCTTTCTTCGGGAGGATGGCATTTGCCTTTGTCTTTTTCATTTCTGCTGTCCAAGAGTAAGAAATTAAAGTAAATCCTTAATTTACTAATCACTTATATATATTCAAATCAACAAGGCTTGATATTGATCTTAACGTCACGCACACGTCTATGTTAGTTATGCTGATCATTATGGCGATGGCGGACCGATTGAAAAGACGATAGGACCAGCAGTGAATTTGCTGACCAGATTCGGATCTAAGATTCTCACGTTTTACACTGGAATGCAAGTGGTTGCGTTCGATGTTAAACTTCTTGAGTTTTCACTCATTAGCGCAAAAGCTACTGGAGCTTTATGGTTCATCTTTGGACAATCCATCCCAGCTTACTTCTTGGTAAAAAAAAACCATAATTCTCTTTTTCTTGATTTTTTTTTTTTTTTGTTGACGAAGATTCTAATCTCAAAACATGTTTTGTTGATTTCAGCTCGTAACGCAAATTCTCTCAACCGTTATTCCTTTCCCTACCAACTTGAACGACTTCACTCAGGTTAATTAATAGCTTTGTTACTATAGGTAAATCCATATGATCTCATGGGTTTAATTGATTATTAACAAAGATTATGATTGATTTGCAGAACTTGACGTTAATCGGGGCGTTGCTCTATTACATTGGGTTGAAGCATAACATCGACACTCTCTACGAGGAAAAGAAGAGAAAGGAGGAGAAGAGAGAGGAGGAAAGTAAGAGAAAAGAGGAAAAGAAGAGAAAGGAGAAGCAGCCAGAAGATGATAAATAAGCCCTCATCTTCCAGAGAAAGACCAAACTGAAAACTTCACAATCTCTTATGATCATCTTATTTTGGTGTATTTCCTTTCTCTCTTTTTTGTTGTTAATCATACAACTCTTTGAGCTTATAGTTACTAAGAAAATGATATCAATGTTTTGTTTCCTTGTTCCTGCATTGGATTGTTCACCATTGCTACAAAAGTTGTTAAGAGTATTGGAGTTGTAATGGCTTGATGCATAAGCTAAAACCATTGTCAAAACATGTTTTCTTAATTCAGCTGAGAATCTTATTCACGTGACAAACTCTATTGAGCAGCTACTTAGACCTAAATATGCCTGTATCCTCATCATCTCACCGGATGTTTAAGAATTATATTTCTACACAGAGGTTTTTTCTTTTGCCTATGCAAACTTGCAATTGCCGTAATTCTCTTTTTCTCTCTCCCTTTCTAATCACACTGTGTTGTGCGTGTGGATAATTGGAGAGAAGTAGATTAGACTGGATTTTAATCGTAATCAGATTGAATAATTTGACTAAACATGTTACTTAAACCAGACATATGGTATACCGATTACCAAATAGACCACTAAAATCAAAGAAGAATTGACATAAAGGGTTTGATAAATTTCTTTACTAGTATTTTGAAATTTCTCTCCTAAGTTTTTCTAAAGTTATCTGTGCAATTTGTAGGCCAAAAATCGTACAACAGTCTATTTGAGGAGTAAGTTTACACGTCATATCAAAGATATCGCCACATTCAACCTACCGACGTTATCAGGTTTGACGTCAAAGATAAACAGACATTATTGATGCCATTGCTCCATGTTTTAATACGTCAGCCATATTTGTAGTAGTCATTAGTCGATAAATTTGACTTGATTGGTATGTCAAGTAATTTCTAGAATATCAGAACGATGATAGTTTATGTAATATTTGAATGTGTCATATATAAGGAAAACAACTTTTGCATATAGATTTTTCATGATTTCATATAGACTTTTGCATCTAGATTTTTCTAGACACTCACTCATACAAGAACATCATAAAATAAATAAATAAAACAAGCAGTCAAAACCTGGCGGTGGCATGAAGTATCAGTTACAACTTACACCAAGTCCATTGGATCCTACTTCCAAGTGGTCCCTCCCACCTCTCAACATCGCTTCTTTCGTTACTTTCTCATTATTATTTCATCGTAATCATCGCTTTTTTCTTTTCTTTCTTTAGATTTTGGGAAAATCAGGAAGCAACCATAATAATAATATCTTTTTCTATTTTTGCCGAAACTGTTTCTAGACTTTGAGTAAAAAATCAGATTCGCCACTAATCTACGTAGTGGTATAAGTATTTTAATCACCAATTTTCGATTGTTATAATATAGTTTTTGTAAAGAAAACGAGCTTACTATAGAAGAAAATTGTGGAAAGATGAACAGAGAATATTAGGTAGGAAAATATATAGAAAAAAACAAAAGAAACGGATAGATTGGGAAATCCAGCAAAGCCACAGAATATAAAGGGAAACAAAATTAAAAACAGCTAATTTCTTTCTTTCATTATCTTTGACCAAAACGTAGCCAAACTGTGTGTAGTCCACATAATCAATAAACCACTTTACATGCATGAGACACGCCTTTGTATATATTCAGACACACGCACACAAATCTTTAGACTCACATAGATTCAAAACAAAGCTCTCTTTTTATCTCTCTCTCTCTCTCAGATTTTTCCGGTGAACCACAAATCTCTATTTAGCTTTCCAAAAAACGCTTATTTAAGCTTCTTAAACATCCGTTTTTCGTTCGCGCTTTATGTTGACGATGGAAAGACCGGGCTGCAGCTCAGATTCCGGTAATCTACGGCAGCAGCCCAGTCGTCTACAGAAACGACCTCCGGCGTTAAATATAACTCCGGCGGCGGAGAATAGCTGGAAAGCTCCCATACCTCTCCTCTCGCCGCTAGCTCTTTCCCCAGAATCACCGGTCGACCAACCGCCGGTTGAGAATCAGACGAAAGCTGCTGCGGTTGAGAAAACGCCGGTTTTCAAGACGTGGCAACATCCGGCGGCGCCGTTTTGTTACGAGCCATCATCGACGTTTGTTCCACCGTTCGTACCGGTTTAGTTTTTTTTGTTTGGTTTTAGATCCAAAGGTTCAAAAGTACAGTTTGGTTCTTTTTTTGGTCCTGTGTAGATCTAACGGCCCAGATTTACGCGTTTTTACTATTTTGTGGTTGGAACAACGCGATTTTCGTATAGTTTGATAAATCAAATAAAACGATTATTAAACCTCTAAGCATGTTTCTGATTCATTGACGATTTAATTCAATTATTGTCGACGTCTCTCTCTGCATACTTTACGTCGTCGAAATGTGTGGACAGAAGATTAATGACGTGTGGATAACGTTACATTAATGTGTTCACAATTATTTAGGTTACTAATTGTAAAATTGTGGAATCGCTGAAAATATTCTAGAAAATAATTTTATACTTCAGACTAGAGTAATGTAGGTTCGCCTAGTGGGCTGGGCCGCTTGTAAAAACTGTTTTATGTTTGAATAGAATAAATACCCATTAACAAACCAATTTTCATTGCCCAAAAAGATAAAAAAAAAAAAAATAAGTCAAACCAAACTAACTAATTTTTTGCCTACTAAAAGAGGATTACTCGAGATAAATTTTCACCTATACAAGATAATTTTAGAAAAAAAAATATTGGTAATTTTGAATAAATGGAAAAATCGACTCGAATCGAATTGAAATATTTGAGTTGAATTTGGTAAAAATATTGCTTCTAAGAAAACGAAAAAGGAAAGTTTCCTAAAAGATATTAAAAATGTCATATATAATCAAAGAAAAGATATCTCACTCATATAGTCATATATATGTGATCTGTCACATAGCAAAACGAAGAAGAAGAAAACCCTAATTCCACAATGTCGATAGCTTTGGGGAAAATCAGCATCGTCTTCTTCCTCGTCTTGCTCTTGTTGGGAGCTTCAGAAGCTCGCAACCTTGTCGTTCTCCAACCATTTCGTGAAAACTATGAAGGAGATCATGTGAACACTCTCCGGAGAATCATTTACAAAGCCAAATCGACATACTTTGATGTTACCCATCTCACACCATCTCTTTCCATTGCCGAATTCGGGTTTTACTAATGGTTTGTTTCAAGGAAAGCTGTCGCGGCGGTTGCGGTTGCGGTTGAGAAAACGCCTGTTTTCAAGACGTGGCAGCATCCGGCGGCGCCGTTTTGTTACGAGCCATCATCGATGTTTGTTCCACCGTTCGTACCGGTTTAGTATTGGTTTTATATTTTTAGATCTACAGTTTGGTTTTTCTTCTGGTTCTTTGTAGATCCAGATTTACGCGTTTTGTCCTTAGCAAACGCGCGTTTTCACTACTGGTTGGAACAAACGCGGTTCGTATAGTTTGATAAATATGATAAAAAGATCATTAAATTATTGTCGGCGTCTCTGCATATAAGTTTACATCGTCGAAATGTGTGGACAGAAGATTAATGATGTGTAGATAACATTTACAATTTTACATTAATGTGTTCACAATGATTTAAGCTACTTATTTGTAAAACTGTGGAATCGCTGAGAATATTCTAGAAAATAATTTTATATACTTCAGAGTTCAGATTAGTGGGCTGGGCCGCTTGAATAAAATAAATACCCAGTAACACAAAAAGTTGAATTGTCAAAAAAAGATAAATCAAAAGTTAACAAGTCAAACCAAATGTAATAACTAAATTTTTGTTTACCAAAATATATTATTTGATAAAACATTTTGCCAATACAATTTTGTTTTAGTTCAAATATTTTTTTTTTTTAAATTATTGGTAATTTTGTATAAATGGCAATATCGAACCGAATTGAAATATTTGAGTTGAATTTGGTAAAAAAATTGCTTCTATAAAAACGAAAAAGGAAATTAACAAAATGATATATTCATAAAAAATATCATATATCAAAGAAAAGATATCACTCGTATGTGAATATATCGTCGTACCAAAACAAAGAAAGGGAAACACCGTTTGTCAAAACAAAAAGAAAGAAAGGGAAAAACCCTAATTCCACAATGCCAACAGCTTTGGGAAAAAAGTTTCGTTTGAATCAGAGATTTCTTCTCAGTGACATGAATTCAACGACTCATAAAGATTAATTAGATGAACAAAATATTCTAAAATATTCGTCTCACAAAAAAATGAAGAATTCTAATAAAAGTGCAAATTAAATTAAAACTACTAATAAAATATATTAGTGAAGCATTATAATCAGTTATCAAAGAGAATACCACAATCGATTCTATCAAAAGAAACCACCTTAGCTTCAAGATCATAACCAACGTTATAACCTTGTTGACTCATTGCTCCGATGACGCTCAAATCCTCATCCACGCTAGGCATAATGGTCAAGCAGAAACTAGCAGCACCAGTTTGAGCTTTCATGAACAAGCTCTTCACATCCAAAGATAACTCTGCTCCACCAGAGAAGTGAAAATTTACAACAGGGAACCCTAATCTGACAAGATCTCGATCAAAATCTCCCACGTAACACTTCATAGGATTTTTGTTGTTCACCACGGGCTTGAACCTTCTGTCCAAAAAAACTCCTATCTCGTTCATCAATGCATCATACGCAACCCTAACCAGGGATGTTATTGAGCACCCCGTGTCGATGATTGTGCCGCCATCACCGGTCTTGTAATCGCGTTGGAAGACATGTGGATCGATGGGGAGACTTTTCCCATCCACGCTAATCCCTTCGAGTGTCAAGTAGTATAAACCATTATGGATCTCCAACGGCGTTTTGTCTCCCATAATCTCTGCACCATCATCTCCTATCACTAGTACGTTATAGGGGTAACTAGGGTTGCTTAACCTGTCGAAGCAATATGAAAACTTTGAACCGAACCGACGAACCAACGACAAGTTACCATACCCTAGACCTAGGACTCCACTCAGAGACGACTGGTAAGGCCCTACGTCGTTATCATTACCACAACCGAAAACCACATAAGGTAAAGTAGCTATCGACCACTCATATATCGTGTTAAACGTTAGGGTTTCCGACGCTAGTGTTCCGCTGCTACGTGAACCGTCCATATATGTGATGGAGTAGCTGCAAACTCCTGTTTCCGGATCGAAGGTTAAGTAAGGGAAGGAGGAGAGAGAGGTTTCGCAAGGTTCATGTTGGTATGTAAAAGAACTTGACGGGTCGTAGATGGGAAAGTTTTGGGGATAGCATGAGGAGCATGGACGGCATTGTAGCCATAAGAGACTGCTGGCGGTGTCCATGTGCAACATTTGTGTGACTGGTGGAACACCTATGGATACGTTTGCCAAGAAAGCTGGTGGGGACTGTAGAGGGGTGATGTGTGCAATGAAGTTGCCGGTTGCCTTAGCACGCAAGTAATTTAGACGTTCGGTGGAGGCTGTCTGGATATGAGAGATATAGTTTTGGTCTTGAGCATGCATGAAACCAGTGTGAACGAGGTTAATATGAAGACTAGTAGGAGGACGTGTTTGAGGTGATGCTGATAAAAGATGGAAGGAAGCAATGAAACAAAGGATGAGGAAGAAAAGAGAGGTTACGTACATCGCCATTCTAGGTTTAAGACTCGAACTTCCCTCGGCTCTCTTTGTTGTGATGCCTTTGTGTTGATATGTGACTTCCTTTTATAGCTAATGGTCTGCATCCCTTTTCTCTTGTTTTTTTTGTTAATAACAGTTTTTTTCCTTTTCTCTTAGAATGCAAATTTTCCTTTCTTCTTTGATCTGTTTACTTTTTTTCTCTTGTATCAGAAAAATAGAGAATGAGATCAGGCCCATAAGTTGCGAACAGGCCTACAAAAGTTTCTACACGTTACGTACATCTATATAGGCACATAGATCCATGGATCATCTTGATTTGCTTATTTATCACAACGGTCAAGCTATATAAGAAACAGGTAACCTCTTAGTTTAGTGATTTTCATTTGCGAGTTGCGACACTATATATCCTATCGAGTCTTAATATAAAGAATTCGATCACAAAAAATTTAAGTTGAGAAGGGATTAGTACAAGAATCATAATGACAAAGGGCTTGTAATGCATGTGAGTATGTGACAAATGTCCAAATGGAAACGACCAAAATCTTGACATAAAAAAAAGAAGTTATGTTAAGAAATGTGGGGAGAGAGTTGTTGGCTCACCATGATCCTGCAATTTTTCTTATCTATTTATATTCTACAACAATGCAAAAGAAATAAACTTCAAATTTTATTTTGTTAATACTTTATTAGTCTTTCAAGTAACGCATCGAAACAGGCAAACATGTGAGAATCAAATATTGTTTGGCATGTAGTTTATCAGAAGATATATCTTTATGTTATGTCATGTGGATTGTGGTTTATGTTTGTTGAGACCGTCATTTTTAGACACTGATGCGATGGAGTTGTCAGGTATCGTGGGAGGTCCGCGCGAGGTTGAAGTCTAGTAGGTTCGGTGAAGTTTTGCTCAAGGCTAGTTGGCTTTGAAAAGTCTATGTCATAAACGAAAAACATCAAAATCAAAAGACTTTTATTTGCTTTCTAAGTCTAGTATAATTATTTTTAGACATGTTTCAAAGATTTGTGTTGGAAAAAACGAATTTTATAAATAAATTACGTGTGTTTTTTAAAAATATTTTTCGAACCTCGTCCGATTTTTCACTTGTTTCTACCGTGGGAAAATAAAACTAAATATTTGAATGTATGGTTTGTTAAAAGAAAGTTGTGTGAAATTCAAAATGTCATCCCAAATCATAGATCAATAGAATATTTGATGTTTTTTCTTTCTCGGGGAATATTTTGATAATTAAAAAACTCCACTGAGTTGGAGATCAATCTGTATTTTGATTTTGTTGTCTCTGTGTGCTTTGTCTCGTCTTCACATGAAGAATTTTAAGTCACCAACTCCTCCTCCTCCACTCAACTAATCATTCTCCAAATAATTTATTTATTTATTTCTTGTTTAACCGTAAACATTTCAAACACGACACATCGAATTTGAATAATTAAAAATTCTAATTCCGTGTTGAATAATGGCACTTGTTTTGTTGATCATAGAGTTTTCTTTTGTCAAGATTAGGTCAACGAAAAAAATTGGTGTTGAAAATATAGAGAAAGAGTTGCAATTTTCTTATGTTTGTGAGTGTCAATTAGGTAATCTTTCGCCGACAAAAAATCCAAAGAGAATGGAGACAACAAGAAGAACATCATCGGTCATACGAACTCTTTTGTAGTCAACTTTACAAGTGATTTTCTTGTTTCCAATATGGTCTCAACTTGTGATGATGTCACGCACACACAACGCTGCTCTTATATTCCAATTTTCGAATTTCATTATACGTTCTTAAGATATCATTCAATTGGAAATGTTAATGCAACCGATAAGTTATAATTGTAAGATCTTTGAAATTTTACAATAGTTCCCAAAGATTATAAATAAAGGTTGTTAAAAATGCTTCCCCTGTTTTTCTTAAAATTTACATGAAGTACCAAAAATTTACACAACTTTATAATCTTTTTTTACTAATTTTTTTTTCTCAGTTTATATGAAGTATTGTGAGAGTAAGTTAAAAGTTAAGAGCTAGAGATTATACAAAAAAACATCAAATGAATGAAAGACTGAAATGATAAAAAGAAGAAATTGAATATCCTCTATGGGTCCTATCCTAATAATCACTAATCAATATGTCCATACATGACTATAGAAAGTATATTGGTCGATTTAAGGAAAAAATATTGCTGTTCATAAGATTCTCAAGTCAATTACATACTATTCAGAATCAATCACAAGAAATTTCATGCAAAATTGTAGATAACATTGTTGAAAAAGATTTGAAGTATTTGACATTGAATAGGTTGAAATTTATTTAAGTAAATATTAAAACAAGAGGAAACATTAGTGGAGCAAGTACGAGCTGCATCACTCCATTTTCAAAAATTTATTAACAACAACTCTCTGCTCTCTCTCTCCTCTCTCTCTCTCTCTCTTTTCCAAAAATCAAACCCAAATTTCCAAACTTTCAAAATCTCTCTCTCTACAAGAAGCTCTTCTCATTAAATTCTCCTTCTTCTTCCTCTTCTTCGCCGCTTTTTTCACTTTGCCTTCTCCAATTCCTCAAAAGCACATCAATGGTGTGTCTCTTCTTCTTTTAGTACCGCCCATAATCCCCAATGATTAACCCCTTTTCATGCGCGAATCCCACTCCCTTTTCTTCGTTTCTCGAGAAAGCCAAATGTCTCGGTCAAAAACCCCTTTTCTTTTCCCCCGGATCTGTTCTTAAATCTCTAACCTCAACCCCCTGAGAGTAAAGCAGCAAACTTTAATCTCTCTGTTTTTCAAAGTTTCGATTTTTAATCGCGATTCCGCCATGGTTACAGAAGCTTGGATTGTGAAAATGAGAAACCAAGTAAGTGCCAATCTCAAACACGCTCTTCTCCTTGAATCTCCCACCGCAAAGAAACCCTCTTTACCTAAGCAAACAATCGGAATCTTATCCTTCGAAGTAGCGAACATCATGTCCAAAACCGTTCACCTCCACCGTTCCCTCTCCGACGCAGAGATCTCAAAGCTCAAATCCGAAACTTTCCGGTCTGAAGGAGTCAGAAATCTCGTGTCTTCCGACGAGAACCACCTCCTACACCTCGCCGTCTCCGAGAAGCTCGACGACTTGAGCCGCGTAGCGAGCGTCGTGTCCAGGTTAGGTAAAAAGTGTAGCGAACCTGCTTTGCAAGGATTCGAGCATGTGTACGAAGATATAGTGAATAAAGCAATCGATTTTAGGAAATTAGGGTTCTTGGTGAAAGATATGGAGAGTATGGTTAAGAAGATGGAGAGATTCGTTAACGCTACTTGCAGCCTTTACTGTGAAATGGAAGTGATGAGTGAGCTTGAGCAAGCGATTGTGAAGCTTCAACGAAGCCAACAGCATCAAGAGAGTGTTAAAGCTTTTGAGCAGAAGCTTATGTGGCAGAGGCAGGACGTGAGGAGTCTCAGAGATGCTTCGCTTTGGAACCAAACTTATGATAAGGTCGTTGAGATGTTGGCGAGGACGGTTTGCACAATCTATGGCAGGATTGAGACTGTTTTTGGTATAAAGGATTCAACTTTAAAGAGAGATCGTAGCAAGAACGAAGGGAACAAGCAAGATTTTGCTTTGAGAGTGAAAAAGGATTCGACTTTGAAGAGAGATCGAAGCAAGAACGGTGCTAACAAGCTCGTGAACTCGAGATCTGTATTGGGTTTCAAGGATTCGAGAAGAAGCGAAGCAGAGGAGTTTGCGAGTGCAGGGGATTTCAGTTTCCCTTGTGGGACTAATCCTGGAAGGATGTTCATGGAGTGTCTCTCTGTTTCCAGGACTCATGATGATGATGGTGATGAAGAAGATGAAGAAGATGATGTTGGTCGGATCAAGATTCCTTCAAAGTTCGGTTGTAAGAGCAGATCAACACAACAAGCTTCGGTTTCAACTATTGGAGGGTCTGCGTTGTCTCTACACTACGCAAACGTTGTGATTGTGGTGGAGAAGCTTTTGAAGTATCCTCATTTGATAGGAGAAGAAGCAAGAGACGATCTTTACCAAATGTTGCCGACGAGTTTGAAAACGTCCTTGAAGGCTAATCTTAGATCGTATTTGAAGAACGTTTCGATCTACGACGCTCCATTAGCTCACGATTGGAAAGAGACGATAGATGGTATACTTTCTTGGCTTGCTCCTTTGGCTCACAACATGATACGGTGGCAGAGCGAGCGTAACTTCGAGCAGCATAATCAGATTGTGAAAAGGACGAATGTGCTTCTTCTTCAGACGCTTTACTTTGCTGATAGAGAGAAGACGGAGGCTGCGATTTGTAAGCTTCTTGTAGGGCTAAACTACATTTGCCATTACGAACAGCAGCAGAACGCGTTGCTTGATTGTGAGAGTAGCTTTGATTATGAGGATTGTTTTGAGTGGCAAAGCCAATGCCGTGCAGCTTACTTGGACTAACAGTTCGGTTTTAGTGTTGTTTTTTTATAGATACTATTTGTTTGTGATTCAACACAATGTGAATATAGCTAAAGTCTCTTTAGTGTTTGTTTGCATACATAAGAAAAAGATTGTGGAATTGAAATTCAGTTTGTTGATTACTACAATATTAGAGATGGTTTAAAATCATATGGTTAAATGAATACTGAGATCCTTTTTGCAGACGGTTGATAAAGCCAACCAACTCCACAGAGATGTGTTAGGTGATGCATTTAAATGAGAGAGAGATTGGGTAGAGACTAGAGAGAGTGCATTGATGTTTTTTGAACCAAGCTTGACATTTTTTGTAGTTGTGGTTTGAGAGATTTCATTTATTACAGCTTGCAATTGGTTTGTGTTCTGCTGTGTGTAGGAAGAAGTAGGAACGAAAAAAAGGAAACGTTAAATGTTTGATAGAATATTTAATGGGCCAGGCTCATCGATTTTGGGTTTGAACGTATATAAATTTACTCATCAACCTTATTCAACATCTAGAAACAGAATGTTATTTTGTTACATATGTATACCTGAATATAGTTTAAAAATCAAGAGTTGTTTGATAAGAAATCAAATGGAAGAACGAGCAAATTGATTGGTACTTGGTAGTGAATATAGACTGTGTTCTTGTTCTTGATTTGCGGCCTTCATATTTTTGTCCTTAAAACTTGAATTCTGATAGAAAAACTTGATTAGTGCCCGAAAGTATTTGTTTATAGACTCAGCTCTACATTTCGACACGATTTTCGTGTATATATACATCAAAAGGCTGAAATCTTATAATTCAAGAAAGTTTGGGTATCCTTAACCCCTTATTAGTTACATTAAACATGTAGATAACAATATAAAGAATTTTGATGTTAGGAGAACCTTCTTTATAGTTCGTCAATGACGTGATCATAAGACTTGAGTTATACAAAGAGTACTTTGCTATCCCAAACTATTCACTTCTTGTCTAGTGGTTGTATGTTCCTCGTGTTGTAGTTAGAAGTTTTGTAAAAAAACCAAAGATCTAGAGGAAAATAAAATCGTATTCCTATGTAATGTGTTCACATTTCGGTAATATACTAATATAATACATCATCGGTCCCTTTCGGTAATTCTTAGACTTCGAATGAATTAAATAATACACCAAACATCTACTTTTTGCTAGTGTACGATTACTGTGTAAATGGATATCACATTCCGGAATCTTGAAGACTTTTCAGCTCATTTGCATCACTTGGTCGGCTATTTTGACTAGGGACGACCACTTTGGTCGTGATCTTGTGGCTCACGCCGTTATTGATTCCCCTTCATACTCAAATAAAGCAATATGAATGAGCTTAGAAAGAGTTATTGAAAATTGCTAATTTATTTCTTTCTGTAAATCTTTTGTTGTGATAGTTTTCATAGCGATCATTGACTTAATCATGTTTGTTGCAGAGTTGTTGATAATACTAACAAATTTAAGCAATTAAATCATGTTTTTTTTTGTAGTGGTTGACGAGATCCTTTTTATTAAATTTTAAAACGATTACAGTCGTTATATATCAAAACCTGTCCCTTAATTGTTCACTTGCAAGAAAGCCCTTTAACCCAAAAAAAAAAAAAAGTTCACTTGCTAGTCTAACTATTATTTTCTTCTCTAAACTATTTCACTCTAGACAATTAGGAATTTAGGTTGCGTCGGGGAAAATTATGGAATCTTGAATGTAAAGTGAAGAGTGATCATCTATCTGGCATGATGTGTTTTTTTTACTATAGTTGTCAAATAATTTACTCCAATATTTTTAAGTTAACTAATGATTAATACTATTATAGAGATTGTCTGGGTCGAAGAAACAAATGTATTACTACAAGTGGGGTTTTGAATATAAAAATAGCAAGTTGTACAAAACCCATCTCCCCCTAGATTCACTTTCTGCAAATCCAATCCATTTATACTTTATTTTATAACTTTATTTTATGCAGTTTCTCTAGTTTAATAGGCTCGAGGAATGTGCAGTTTAGTTTAATCTTCGCTAGTCCAGGGGGCATGTATCTAACATTTTCTAATATATATACTGATTCTAACCGGTAACTAATAAAGTCACAAAATCTTTTCAATAAATTATTCTCTTTTCTTTCAAAAGTTCACAAAGTGGCCAGGCGAAAAATACTTGAGCAAAATATTCATGAAAAAACATCTAAGCAAGCAGCATGTCACGTGCATATATACTTATGCTTATAGTGATGGTCAACATTTCCAAAAAGATCATGTAGCTAACGAATGAAGATGACCAAAAAAGTATAACAAAAGAAACGAAGAAAAAGGAATGCAAAATACAAATTTCAAAAGAAAGAAGATGTCATAACATTTTCTTTGAAACATAGAAACGTGATTATGTCATGGAGTGACCAAATATAAAAGAGCGATTTGACTAGGTACAATGAAAGTTAATTAGCACTATTGGTACTTCTCCGAATTCATCGTATTTATAAAGTTAAAACAGTTTCTAATATTAAAATCGTGTTCATACCCTACACAAATACTAAGTTTCATGCACATTGCGTAGGGTCCAAATGAGAAACAGAACAAAAAGACAAGATATACAAATCATAGATATGGGTAGTATATATAATAACAATTTTTGATATTTGACTCTTGAGTCTTAAATCTTGATTTAATCTATGGTGTAAAAACAATGTTGTAAGAATTTGAATGTAGATGAGAAATTGAGATCAAAGTTGGTCGGCTTGCAACAACACTCTCCGGAGCTCACTCTCCATAGCTCTCAACACCACTGGCTTTCTCACAACTCCATTAATTCCAACCTGCATACACTTGTTCCACATTTCCTCGTCCAAGCTCACTGTCATTGCCACAATCAACGGCCAAGATCGGCTCCTGATCCTCATAGCCACTTCATAGCCGTCCGTCTCTGCCATTTGTAGATCAAGCACCACCACTTGAAACGAAGAGGAAGACGAGGACGAGCCGGGAGCAAGAACGGTGAGGCAATCAAATCCAGACGATACCGCGGTCACACTGCAGCCGAGCTTCTCTAAAAGCTTACGCGTAACCGCCCGGTTCGAATCGTTGGTGTCTACTAACAAAACTTGCAAGCCACGTAACATAGAATTCGAATTAGGGTGAAGCTGGTGGTCAGGAGCTGGAGACTCACTTGATCCATGGACTGAAATGGAATGTCGCCGTCGAAATCGGAGTAGCAACGACATGGTTTCCGGTGAACCGTCCGAGCCAGGGACCACCGAGATATTCCCTTGAATCAACTGCACAATTTTACAAAAGAACACAAAATGAGTACTCATTTTTCTTCTTATCCTAAACCCTAACCAAAACCTAAACTAATAACAAGATCCTCACCTGCACAACTTTCTTGCAAACACCAAAGCTTAGATCTTGACCTAACCCATATCCAGAGAATCTCACATCGCCACCTTCTTGATCTCTTGATTGAGAACTTGAACCATCATCATCATCATCATTCTCAACACTCATTTCGAATCTTATGTACACACCTCCATCTGTTGAAGAAGCAGGAGATCTCCAAGCAGCCCATCTTTGATCACTCCTATCCAAGCTTCCTCTCTCTTTCAAAACCCTAAACCTAACCAACAACGATCCTTCTCCACCTTTCCTAGGTTTCACCAAACTCCCAACCATATGAAGTATCACCTGAAACACTCTCCTCTCATCACCCACCACATTCTCCGGCAAACACTTCTCCGCATCCACAACAAACCTAAACCCATTGTAAAGACACAAACACCTCGCCAAGCAAGCCGCTTCACGTACCGTACGATGCAAGCTAAACGGTTTCATCTCCGTCACAAACCTCCCGTCCGACACATCCATCGCGTCCCCAACCAGATTCGACATCACATTCCCCGTCTTCACCATCGTATCCACAACCATCTTCTGCTCGTTGCTCATCAGCTTCTCGTCCTGTATCATCGACAAAAGCCCTAATATCGAATGCATCGGACGTCTCATCCCTTCGCTCATCGCCTTCTGCAACACATTTCTCGCCTGGCTCGCCCTCACCGCGTCCCTCTTCGCCATCTGCAACGCCCTGTTCTGCTCCGCCAGCTTCTCCCTCATCATCTGAGACTCCTCAAGAACCGCCGCGTGAGACAACGCCACCGCAACCTGATCCGCCACCACCTTCACAATCTCAAACTCTTGCCAAGTCCAAACCCTAACCTCCCCACCACTCGGCAACACACACACAAGAATCGCATAACAAGTCTCAATCACCTCCGTCGCCGCCGCTCCTCCTCCTTTGAAATCCGCCACACGAAGCATCGGCATTCGAATCGCAGCCACGTGTCCTATCTCCATCTCTCCACCACCACAACCGCCGCTAGCTCGAGCGAGCAACGAGTCAACACTCAACACATTCACTTCATCGCTCTCTCTAACCCTCACAACATCCAAATCCTCTGTAGAAACAGAGCATCCATCATTATCATCATAACCGCTCCTCCCTCTAAGCTCATGAGTCAGATTCATTTTCCCATCGCTCTCCATCCAAACCGCACAATTCTGCAACCCCAAAGTTTTCGAAAGCTCAACCAACGTCGTGTAGAGAATCGTGTGCCGATCCAACGACTTGCGAATCTCTTGAGTGAGCATACGAACATGAAAGCCAGTCTCTTTCTGTATCAGAATCAGCCCAACCTCGCGTCCGAGCTCGTGGGCTTTCTTCTTGAGCATAAATTCTCTGACTTTGACTTTCAGAAGCAGAGGAATCAGAGTGACGAGCGTGATCGCGGTGGCGCAGGAGACGAGAGCGGTCAACATCTTGAAAACGGTCAACGCCATCATCAGCTTGAAAGGGTGAGCAGAGTAAGTCCAGCCGTGGAGGAGATGAGTCATGCCGCAGAGGACGATGAAGGCGATGAACTCGAAGAGGACCCATTTGAAGGGAACGTTGGAGCAGCTGACGAAGTAGAGCAGCTCGATTGGGATTGAGAAATACGCGACCGCGATTAGGAAGTCGCTTACTCTCTGCGTCTCGAGTATGTTCTCTGTGGTCCAGAAACTTCCTCCTTCGTCCTCGCAGTTACACCCGCCGCCGGAAACGGCTAACGCCGGCGAGACACAGATCAGTAGTAACAACACGGAAGCTACTTCTCTCACCATCTCCGGAATAAAAATGCTTACTTTCTGCAAAATTGTTGAAAAATGTTTAGCGTAAAAACAGGGGAAATTGAGAAAGACCGATTTAAACTGAATTAGAAACAAAGGGGAAAAAAAAGTTTGAAACTTTGATTTGGGTCAGAGAAGAAAGAACATGCAAAGAAGAAAAGTACCTGAAAGACATGATTTTTTTGGATCAAGCTGTGTAATTTTTCAGATCTCATTGAGCTTGTGAAACTCTAACGCAGCGATGCGCGAGAATCTTGTATTTCTCGGCGGCATTTTTGTTAAACGAAAGCGACGAGACCGAGAAAAGAGAGAGAGAGAGAGAGAGAATAAATCCAGAAAGAGAATCTGAGGAAAGAGAAGAGAGAGAGACAGTGACCAATCTGAAATCTATTATAAAAACGTGACCAATCTGAAATCTATATAAAGTTTGTAGATTTGTTGATTTTGAGCTGAGATTAGTGGCGGAGACTGTGTGAAACCGCCTGAAGCCGCCGTTTGGAGGAAAAGGAGAGTGTATGTATAGGTGTAAGTAAAGGTCGGAGCCGTCGGTTTTGAGAAGAAGGTTTTAGATTTTAAGAAATGAATGGGTCCCACTTGTTCTTACATGAACCGAACTTGGACGCTCTTTTGAAATTTCTCTGAGTTGTTTTTAGTTTTTTTTTTTACTAATTTGTTTTTTGGTCACTAATGTAGTACAAATTATTAAAAAAAGTAACTTGTTGACAAGGAAAAAGAAAAAAAAACTTTTGAATATTTCTTCGACTCTCCACTTGCACGTTTTTTTTTTGTTTAATATCTTTTTTTATGTAACTTACAAGCTGTAAATTAAAAAATAATTAATGAGTACTTTGAATTTATCGAATCCCGTAGATCCTGAGAATGAGAATATAATAATTTTAAAATCTATTGTAGTCTAGTGGTCTATTGAAGATTTAACTTGATCTTATTGATAAATCCCAAGTTCGAATCCACCTAGGACCCTAGTTAAGAGTTATTTTTGTGCACAAAAAAAAAGAGAATATAATAATTTTATTTATTTATAAATAAGTTGTACTCCCTCCGTTTCAAATTAGTTGTCGTTTTGGCAAAATGTACCTGCAAATATTTGGACGTATCTGCAATGCAAAACACGTCCAACAGATACTTTCCAACAGACTGGACTGTTTTGGCAAATACTCATCATCAATCTCTGGAATTCAACGAGACAAGAAGAGAGGAGGTTCAGGAGAAGTGGTGTGAAGCGGATGAATGTCTCGGCAGTTTTGTTTGCGAACTATGTGATTTCACTGGCGAAAGCTTTGCGGATTTCACCACGCATCTCAAGAGTATAGATCATGCACTGAGTGTAAGCATCATTGGCTCATTGGTAACAATGTAGCCAGTTATGAACTTATAATAGCAATACATTTGTCATTGTCACAAGTTTCTCTTTCTCATCACTTCATAGTTATGTTTTGACTTTGAAAGAATATTGTTATATAAAATTTGGCCATATGTCATCTTTGTGCATTTGGTTTGTGTCAAGCAGGAGTTGGACATTGTGGAAAGGCCTGTAAGCAAGAAGTTGGCGGATTTTATTAGATATAATCGGATTCATCATACAGCACCAGAGGCAAGTTTTAACATCTTAGTTGATCTTTTGTTTTACTTTAATTTTGGTGTTGTTCAACTGCACTCCAAATGTGCAAATAGAAAGGAAGATTTTGATTGATTTACTGACTTTGTTTTTGATGTTATAAAACATTGAAGTGGTGTAATTCAGCAAGAGAAGTAGAAGAAGAAGAGTGGGACCGATTCACCGTCTAAGAGAGGACGTGAACGAGAAGAATTGTTATGAACTTATGAAGCTCTATCTAGTAGATACATACCACAAGTTTCTTAAGCATTTTCAAAGATTCAATGCTTCTTTACTTGTTTTAAAACTTCTGGTCTCTTTACAGAGGATGTCAAAGACTTGTTTGTTTTCAAGATTTTTTTTGACAAACAAATGATAGCCTACGGATCTCTACTGCAAAACATATAATACCTAAAGACTGTAGATCAAATTAGACGCATCTACTTGCCACCTTTCTTATAGGTGTCTTTGAGTGTGACCGTCTGGTTAAAAACAAGCTTTCCTGGGCTAGAGTCCTTGTCAACAGCAAAATAACCTGTACATGTCAACAATGGTGTCAGTATTGGTTCTCAAAAATAAAGATTAAAAAGTTGTTTTCCCATATAAAACTTACCCATCCTCTCGAACTGGAATGTGTCACCGACCGCAGCATCTTTAATGCTTGAAAGAGCATATGCATCAGACACCACAACTTTGGAGTCCGGGTTTATGTCGTTGAGCCAGTCCTCATTGAGCTCCGCAGGGTTCTGTTGAAAGAAAACATTATTTTCAGCTCTGGCAAAAGTCTTTATGTTAACCAGCAAAGTCCACAGTAAAAACCAAAATTACCTCGGAGTTAAAGAGTTTCTCAAATTTCCGGACTTCAACTTTTAAGAGCTCTTTTCCTGGTGAAGAAGATTCAGAGACCCAGTGTAGAACCTTTGGCCTAGTCTTCTTCTCCGGATCATACTCCGCATGGATCTCACAAACGGTTTCATTGTCATCAGCAAAGACAACGTCAGTGCACTTGATCGGGAAAGCGTATCTGCAAACCGCAGGAAGCACATTGAGTCACAAATGAAATCAAATTCAACGGCCAAGGAAGTGGTAATGATGATAAATAAAAAATGCAGGTGCTCTGTTTTTCATACCTTAGCAAGACTGATTTACCAGGAGCAAGTCCATAGTAATTTGCCGAATCTTTCACTCGGAAGTCAGACTGCTCAATGTATACAACTCTAGAGAACGGAACCTGCATCGAAAGCAAAGGAAATCAAAATTACAACAAGAACAGAAAATATGTCATCAACCCTTCAACAAAAACAGAAATTTAACCTTGTAGGAGGCTGAGGGATCGTCATTTTGAGCGTTGGGCCACTTTTTAGCATCAAGCTCTATGACCTTGCCTGGTTCCATATTGGTGATGACCACCTTGAGAGGATCCAACACAACCATGGTGCGTGGAGCTGTTCTGTTCAGCTCCTCTCTAATGTGATGCTCAAGCCGACTCATGTGTATCATGCTCCCATCGCTTCTGGTGATTCCAAGTCCTCGTACAAACGCGTTTATCGCAGTCGGAGTCACACCCCTCCGCCTCAGACCAGCAAGTGTCAGGAGACGTGGATCATCCCACCCATCAACGTACTTGTTTGTCACAATGTAATTCAGCTGCAGCGGAAGGAAAACAAAAAAAAAGACGAATGACACAACCAGCATGCATGGTTCCTTGCAAAGAGTGAATGATCACAAGGTTTTTTTTCACAGTCAAGTCAAGGATGTTTACTAACCTTACGCTTGGACATTACAGTGTTTGTGACATTCAAACGTGAATACTCCCACACATACGGCATGTAGAGATCCAGTGAGTTTAGTAGCCAGTAATAAGACGCCCGCCGGGTTTCAAATTCAAGCGTACAGAGCTACATTTATGCACATCAAAGATAAAGTCAGAAACCACGCAAGTATATGTATATTCTAAGACTCCAGTAATTCAGATTCAGATAAAGAATATGGCTTCCAGACTTAGAAAGGGACAAACCGAGTGGGTTATGTTCTCCAGGGAGTCAACGATGCAGTGAGCATAATCATAGGTCGGATAGATGCACCATTTGTCACCGGCGTGAGGATGAGGCGTGAACTGCAAAAACCATATGAACAAAGTCAGAACAGGTCTTTCTTATTATCCATTAACCAAGAGATGATGAATTTTTAGCTCCGACTTGCCTTTATACGATAGGCAATAAGGTCGTACATATTGAAGTTATAATTCTGCATATCTTGCTTCATCCTTAGTGTTGCCTTGCCTTCCTCAATCATTCCTCGTCTCATTTCATCAAAGAGTCTCAGAGATTCCTCAGCAGGCCTGTCCCTCCAGGGGCTGTTCATTTTCTTCTCTCTGTACTCTTTGATCTCCTCAGCATTCTGGTGATCAACATAAGCGTGACCTCTTCGAATCAACTCCACCGCCAAATCGTACAGTTCTTGGAAATAGTCGCTCGTGTAAGTAATCTTGAAAGGTTCCCAACCCATCCACTTAACAATCTCTTCGATGTGATCAATATACTCTTTCTTCTCCGCCTCGGGGTTTGTATCATCATACCTAAAAGATTCAGATTTTCCACATTGTTAGTCCTTACAGAAAGAAGCTATCCAAAAGCAAAACATGTAAGAGTTTTGTTCAACCTTAGGTAACAGCAGCCTCCTCGCTCCTTTGCCAGACCGAAATCAACAAACATCGCCTTGGCATGACCGATATGTAGATAACCGTTTGGTTCAGGAGGGAACCGGGTATAGACTCTCCCTCCAGTCACCTTGAGATGTTTGTCAAGCACTTGCTTGCCATTGCTGCACTCGAGCAGAGAGCCGTCGCTGAAAGGCACTTTTGTGTGAGCCGTAACATTCTCCTTTGGGTCAGGGAATATAGCAAATGGATTAAGCTCCTCTTCCACAGCAGCTTTCTTCACACACACACACACACACACACACACACAGAGAGAAGTATCAAAATCAAAGCATACACAAAAAAGAAAAATACACAATGAATTCGAAACTTAGGCTCACCTCTACTTTGGCATTGTCAGGCTTCTCTTTCTTCTGCTTCTTCTCCTTTGTAGGTTTCTCATCGTCGGCAGCAGTTCTCTCGCCAAGCAGTTCAAGCAATTTTTCATCTACGACTCTCTATCACACAACACAAAACAAAAGCTTAGCAAAGAACAACATTGGCTGCTAAAAGCTAAAGAAGTCACCTTCACAATCTTAGCATCTGCCCATGGCAAACGCTTGCATACATGTCCTATATATTCACCTGTAACACACAAACACAACAAAGAAGTGCCATAAGCTGGTTATGCAAGACTATATCATAGAGAAAGGGGTCAGATAATGAGCAACGACGAACCAGTATTCCGGTAACGCCGCTCCAAGATACTGTTCATGTTCTCCTGAAAGATTCCGTCAACTGTTCTCTCAATTTCTTCAGCGGAAACCTCAACCCCTGCTTCCAAAAAACCATAGTCCAAGCAATCGTGTTAGTAAAGGGAAATTTCACAAGTCCCTACCTCTATATGCACAAAAAGCTTATTGTAACCAGCAAATTAAATTAACAAAAGTCCCTTACCTACACCACATGCCTCCTCAAACTCATGAAGCTTCAACTCCTCAGGACCGGTTTTCTCCAGAAACGAATACGCAGCATCTAACTGGAGTGGAGTTTTTATCTGCAAATTCCAATCGAATGGAAACAAATTTAGCCCAAAAAAAAAAACAGATTTCCTTTTTCTTCCATGTGCAGGAGATTGATTGCGAAATTGCGAACCTTAGAAGAGACGATGTAATCGAGTAATGTAGGACGATGCACAAGAGCCTTTCCTCCTTTCTTTTTAGCCATCTGTTTACACACAAAGGAGAATAAAATTAAAATCTCAAATAATGGTAGAAAACGGGATTTGGATTACTCGGAAATCAGAATATCTCTCACAATGAGCAGAAGAATTCCGATAGCTCGGTCGCATCCGTCACTGAGACCGGCCTGTACGCAATTTCGAATTAGAAGCGGAAAAAGAGGAAATCGAGAGATTAGAGCGAGGGGAGAAGAAGAAGAAGGAAGAGACCTGGTGGATGAGGGCGGTGAGATCGGTGATGACTTTGCTGTTTCCGTCGACGGTTTTTTCGTCCAAGCCAATGCTGAGGAAGAGCTCGAGAGATCCCATGGCGCCGGAAAGAGAAAACGGAAGAGAAAGAGACTGTAAAGGTTTTTGATGGTGACGACGAGGATTTAAGCTCGGGAAATTATTTATACTCCGACATTTGGTTTTCTGGATCAAATTGATTCATCATTTGGTTTAATTTGAGTGAACCCGAATTCGACATTAAACCGTCACAAATTTATTTACATAATTGTTTTTTTTTTTCAAACCTTTTTTGGAACACCGTGTATATTATAACATGACAATTTCGGAGTTTCCTAGTGATGATAACAAATTAGATTCAAAACACAGTTAAGCTTTGAGCCTTTTTTCTCGAATTATGTTCTTATAGATTCTCTTACTAGTCGTGTCCTCTTTATTATACTCTTGCTTAGAATGATAGCTCAGATCGAGAACATTCAGATGATCGTGCACTCGACCACACTGTCTCACGCAATGCAGTGTTTGAGTATCCATACAAGCCAAGAGAAGGATGTCTCTATTGTTATGTATAAAGCAGAGACGTAGAGAAAAACAAAAGGTGGTCCAAGAAATTGGTGTCTTTCATTTTACTTGATGCTGACTAAATTTACACCTAATAGTGTTTGAAGAATCTATCTGAGAACATGGTTGTTTATAAAGGGTACCACCCTTAATACTGTAAATAATAAATCTAAATCTTCCAATTCCTTCCTTTGCTCAACAAGTAGTCACCGACTGTCACATGCAAATGTTCTCCTAGAACAACAGTCACAGCAGGCAGCTTCTCGATGCAGCTTACAGTTATCTGCCATACAAAGAAACAGGAGAAAGTATAAGAAGAATATTCAAACAGAAAAGCTTACTTAAAGTCTTAAACTAATCAACGAAGCAAACCTTGCCGTCTCCGTCTTGGAACTCTGATTTCAAGTTTGAATGATCTCTCGAAAGCAAATACGTTTGGAGCCCGGATGCGAACTTCACATCTCCTGGAACCATAAATGATAAATACTGCGTTAAGTTAAAAAGAAACAATCACACGGACACGTGTGTGTTATGACTTATGAGGGTGGGGTTACTCACCCGAGAACAAAGCAAGAATAGCCTCTTCATTGAACTTCAAAGCCTCTCTAGGCAAACTTATCTTGTATGACATCTTTGCTACGTCTCGAAATATCTCATCGGCTATTACCACCTGCCACACGACAGGACGACAAACATATTTCATAAGTTTCCATGAGGCACATGGGGAAGTGGAAGCAGTGCTTGATGACTTACTGCATGTGGTGGCATTAGACAAGACAAAAGCAACGGGGAACCAATTGAATCCCTTATGTATTGTTCCTGTCCCAACAAACGAGAATGATGAGACAGAATTAAAAACTTAATGAACATGTATCAAGAGACTAGTAACAAACAAAGACTAGTCACCTGGGAGTAGACAACTTGGTGCGAAACAGATTCATCCTCGTCCAGTGACTCAAAGTAGACTTCCACAACGTCTGTTGGTTCCAGACCTGACAGTTTCCGTAGCTTCTGGATCCTATTGACAATCTATAACACCGGGAAAGAAAGCTAAATGAGCACAGTTGCTGCTTTATCTGAACCAAAAATGTTTAGATACAGAAAAAGGAACCTACTTCCAACAATTAAACTAGATACTAGGGTTAAAAGGAACCTACCTCACGGGCAACACCTTCATTTTTCAAAGATTCATCTGCTCGTAGATCCAGAATCACCAAAACATCACCTGCACCGTGAATTAAAGGCAAAATATCATTTGTTTCCTTGGAAACAGAGCAACAGTAATCGATCAAGACTAACAAAAAATGATCATAGTGAAGTGGTAGTTTCAGTCAAGATTTGTACCATCTCCAGCTGCGTCAACCTCTGTGTCTTTCAAACCGTCTGGACGTTTGAAAACCCTAACAATCTGAACAGCGCATTAATGAAACGTGTCATAATGTAGCTCTTTACAACATATTTTTCGTTCTGTCCCAGAAGAAAAGAAAAAAGAAAAAAAAACCATGAAACCTTGATATGTGCTTGCTCAAGAGGTTCTTCATCATTAGCAATAGTAAATTTCTTGTCCTTCTCAAATCTTAAGATGTCTTGTTGTGACATTTTTTTAACTTCTGCTGCAACAAGTCCTATTGACTTTCCTTGTCGCTTCCTCAGTTCACTGAAAGAATGAACACGTAAAAATTCATCTCTACATTTCTTTTGGAAAGGCCAACGCACATTGAGCTCAACTATTAAAAGTAAAACGCAGGTAGAAGAACTTGACCAACCTGAAATTGGGTTCTGCTTTTAGAGTTGCATACTTCAGAATATCATTGCATGGGACTAAAGATCTTACATTCAGTTCCTCCAATAGATACTGCAATGCAAAATCAAACTGGATAAATCCCAAGTATCGGTTCTCTTCCACGTAGCTATCTTCAAATCTAATGTTAATGTAATTAAAATTCTAGAAAACGACTGTTCCTGTAAAACACAGACCTGTTTTAGTTTTCCAGTTATGTCATCCAAGAACTCTGCATCTGGATGAACTACAATCATTTCCCTGATAAAAGACGGATAAGCATATATCAACTTTTTGTTCTTCAGTTTTAGGCTAACAAAGCAGAAATTTGAAAAAGTGACTAACTGAGAGGCTCACTTTAGAGGAGTTTTCAAGGGTAGTTCGTGATTGTTACGAACATTCCGAGCAAGATCAATGATTTGCATCATCCTTACAACACTTTTCTCAATCCTCTCCCTTCTCTGTTAAACACGAGAAGAAAATATAAATAAGCCAAATTTCAGACATTTCTGTATTATCCTTGGATATAGAAAAATGGAACTATTACCGTTCCTTCCTCTTGTGGAAAACTGCAGTAATGAATGCTTTCCTCAGAACCTTCACACACTTTCCGCAGGTTCTGGTATAGAGTCTCAGTGAAGAACGGTGTAAAAGGGGACATCACTTTGCAAGAAGTTAGGAGCACCTGAACAGTTATTAGTTATTAACACAAGTGTTCAAACGATGGTGACCATGCAAAAAAACGTACTGTATTTATCATACATTGTAAAGAGTTGAAAGAGCAGTGTGACAATCATCCTTCCCTGTACGGCCTTTTAACCTCTTGCGGTTGAATCTAACATAAATGTTTGTAAGATTGTCGAGGAACTTCAAGAGATACGGAACCACCTGAAAAGGAAAAACAAGATGTGATATATATAGTTAAGTACTACAGTGCAGCAATAAATTGTTTTCTAATACAAACCCCATATCATGTTGAAAAGCTTACAGTGTCAAGGCTGTATTTATCCATCATCTGGCGGACAGATTGGACAAGACTCTGCGTAGCTGAGTGAATCCACTGATCAAGAACGTTTGACGACTGTAAGGTTACCAGATCAATAGGAACAAAGGGTCCACAAATTTCAGTCTCAAGTCTCTTCACATTCTGGACAAGGAACCGATATGCATTGTACCATGGAAGGAATACATCTTTGACCTGGTGAGAATCGCCATGCAGACAAAAATTCAGGCAAACAACAAATCAACTCAAATAAGCAGCAATTAAATCAACCATAGAGTTCACTCACAACACCATGTACTCCTTCTTTTTTGAAGCGCAGTGGCTCTGCACGTACAACCGGGGAATTTATCAGGTACAGTCGAACAGCATCCTGTCAAGGTTCACGTAAAGTCACAATGTGATGACATATACACACAGCCAATACTTTTAATGCTATAGAGCTAAACACGCAGCATCAAAACACATTATAGGGAGAACTTACGGCCCCATATTCATCTATGATATCCATAGGTGGTGGATAATTCTTTAACTTCTTAGACATCTTTTTTCCATCCTCAGCAAGCACAAGACCATTGCAAACCAGATTTCTAAACGCTGGCTTGTCAAATAGTGCAGTAGATAAAACCATAAGAGTATAAAACCTGCAGATGCCAAACATCAAATTTAGATGTTATAAATGGCGTACATAGCAGAAAAACAATATTGCTATACATTTTTCAAAACACATTTAAAATCACATTTTATATTGTACTAGTCACACCTTCCATGACCCTTGACTCATTACTTAATCAAGTACAACCATTCACAATGGCTAAGATCCAAATCATCCAATACAGTAAATGGACGATTACATAGGCAAGCTTAACATATATAATGGCTTGTATCTCAAGATTTGGAATGACATACCATCCACGAGTTTGATCAAGCCCTTCAGCCACAAAATGACCAGGAAAGTTCTCCTCAAATAGCTCCTTGTTTTCAAATGGATAGTGGATATATGCATAAGGCATTGACCCACTCTCAAACCAGCAGTCAAAAACCTGATAAAGCGTGATATAAAGATAAGTATGGGATTACACAAAAGGCAATCACGGATTAGTCATAAAATGAAAAGAATAAAATCTTACATCTTCTACACGACGGAGCACACCAAACTCATGACCGCGACTAGATGGGATTGTAATTTGATCAATATGGTGACGATGCAGATCGAAGACCTAAGTCATAATAAAAAAAACAAATGAGCATTAGACTTTTTGACATTCAAAAATGCTCCATAGCAGTGGCGAACCTACGTTCACCAAGAAGGTGGCAATTGCCACCACTCAAAAAAAAAGTTGTGAATGTTTTTAGGGAAAACTAATATATGCCACCATCAAAAAACAAAATTTTGCCCCAATAACTCATTTTTCTATCATGTTTAAGTCCAAAACCAATCAATTTAGTTAAAAAATTTCAAGTGACAAGCCCAAAACATTTACCTTTAGTTCTATTAATCTTTTCAGTGATAACACATAAAATTTGCCCCCACAGCCCCACTAAATATATTTTCTAGATTCGCCACTGCTCCATAGGACGTATTAACTTGAACAGAGCATATTAAAAAGACTTCAAGAAACACTAAGTCAGATATTGAACGAAATGTTGAGTTATCCAACAGCTGAATAAGCAAATGCAAACAACAGAAGAAGATACCTTGACACCAGAGAGTTTCTCAAGCTTCTCAACGGAATCCATGACGACAATTTCCTCCCCATCATCGCTGATCCATATCGGAAGAGGCGTTCCCCAAAATCTACTTCGGCTGACTGCCCAATCCCTTGCATTAGCCAGCCAGTTGTGAAAGCGTTTTGTCTGCGTTGCAGTTTTTTTAACTCATATCAATAACTCATCCAATTGAACTAAACATGTAAGAACTCAGCATAGTGATCCTTTCTTCCACTGACCTTCACATGATGAGGCACCCATTTCGTATCTTCAAGGTTCTTTAACAATTGTTCTTTCAACTGCTCCACGCGTACAAACCTAAGAGTTCAAAGTTCGAAATTCAAACTTCAAAGTTAAAACCATTCATGAAAAGTGAAAGAATAAGCTTCATAACACTACATACAAAATACAAAGATAGCATATAGAGCTGCCAAATTATGTAATCAAATGATAGATTTTATGATCATCATTTACGCCAACAAGACTGGGACAGAACGAAGCCTAAATCTTCTAAGCCAAACTCAAGATAATGACCAGAGAGACAAACAACCTCAACGGAACTAGCATAAATGATCTAACAACTAAGACCTTAGCTAAAAAAACCTCATATGAAACATGAAACATACCAACTCGGAACTGCCCTGTATATAAGAGGAGTATCTGATCGCCAGCAATATGGATAGTTGTGCATAAAGCTCCCTGATTTAACAAGCCTGCCTTTAGCCTGAAACAACAACAAAAAAAAAAAAAAATGCACTTAAAGATTATCCAAGAGACATGCCAAATGATTATGAATCCGTAATCACCTTGACGGCTTCAATGATATCCTTATCTGCATCTTTGACATAACGGCCACTGAAATGAGTAATTCTCTCAGTAAACAACCCATCTTCATCAACAGCCACAACAAGAATCTCCCCCTGTAGCAAAACCATATCGAAACATTTTCAACATAAAAAATAAACAAATCGAGAGAAAAGTAAAAGTCTTGTTGAAAAATCTCAACCTTTTTTATAATCTTGTTCTCAAGACAAACACGATAGTCATCTTCACCAAACGCAGGAGCACAGTGCACAATCCCAGTACCACTATCATCAGTAACATAACCATCCGCCACCACTCGAAACGCCACACTCGAGAAATCCTCAAAGTAATCAAACAAAGGCTCGTACTTCTTCCCAACCAATGAAGCTCCACAAAACTTCTCCAAAACCTCAAACGAATCAGCTCCATTGGGAAGTGCAGACAAACGAGACTCAGCAACCACGTAGACTCTCCCATCCTTCTTGTTACGAACCTTGACATACACAAAACTCGCATTCACACACAAAGCTAAATTGCTCGGAAGCGTCCACGGAGTCGTAGTCCACGCCACGAATGCAGCACCGTCCTCATCTCCGATAACCGGGAACGTAACCATAATCTCCGGATCGGGAACAAGCTTGTAATTCTCCCCAGCTTCGAAATTCGATAGCGGCGTCTTGCAACCAGTGCTATACGGCATCACCTTGAATCCCTTGTAGACGAGACCCTTATCGAAAAGCTGAGCGAAGACCCACCAAACGCTCTCCATGAAAGGCAAATCCATGGTCTTATAGTCATCGCCGAAATCGATCCAACGCCCGCTCCTCGTGATCACCTTCTCCCACTCCTCCACGTAGCGAGTCACGATGCTCCGGCACTCCTCGTTGTAATTCCCGATCCCCATCGCGAGGACTTGGTCTCTCCGCTTGATGTTGAGCTTCCGATCGATCTCGTTCTCCACCGGGAGACCGTGGCAGTCCCACCCGAACCGGCGGGTGACGTGGTGGCCGGTCATGGTTTGGTACCGAGTCACGATGTCCTTGATCGTGCCGGCGAGGATGTGGCCGTAGTGAGGGAGCCCTGTGGCGAAAGGTGGCCCGTCGTAGAAGATGTACTCGGGGAAATGCTCGGTGCGTTTGAGCTGGGTCTTGAAGGCGTCGATTTGGGTCCAGAAGCGGAGGACTTTCTCTTCCTCAGCTGGGAAACTGAATTCCTTTCCTTCGCATACGTCTTCCATGGCGCCGAATTAAGCTTCCGACAGATTTTATTCAAAGAAGAATAAAAAAATGGGGAAGACTGTTTTTTGACTTTTTTCTTTTTTCAACGCAAGAGAGACTGAGTGAGAGCATCCGCATTGGAGAGACGGAAGAAAGAGCTCTTTAAAACAGTTATTGGTAACAAAAAAAAGGAAAAAAGGAAAAAAGGAAAAAAGGAAAAACAAAAATTCAATCAATCACCTAATGACAAGTGTAGAGTTTTGCTTCAGAGACGTCTCCATAACTGTCTCCTACAGAGTCGATTCTGCTCTTTAAGCTTGACACATCATTAAATATTTATTTTTTTCTTTATTTTTTATGTAAAGAGACGCTTTCCGTCTCTCCAATGCGGATGCTCTCAGAGACTCAACGTTGAAGGAGACAGCTTTCTTTGATTTTATTCTTGTGGGCCGTGTAACCTCGTAAGTAGGCCCACAAATATTCAGTTGAGATAATTTACAATAATTTAATTTTAAATTCTATGGTGATTTTGGATGAATTCTATGATTTTTTTAGTTGAAATACTTTAATCTCATTTAAGCCTATGAGATTTGGGTTTTTATGTTTTAACTAAGAAACTTCCCCAAAAGACTTTAAAATCATAACAAATCTCCTAAAATTCAATATTTATAATATTTCCATTAACATTAGATTTGAAGATACATTTTTAAAATTACAAATTTAATAACACTGGATTTTAAAATATATTTTAGAATTCATTATTTGAACAACTTTGAACCCTGCTTCTAAGCCCATATTTGACTTTCCTCAACCCTCTCCTATAGTTTTTAGCATGCGTGTGATTCATATATAGACTACATACATATATCACATTTGTAAAATCACATTTGTGTATATTTGATGATATGAATCATTTTTGTTTTACAACATCAAAGGCTATATGATTTATATCAGCTCACATGGGTCTGCAAGAATGTAGTTTCCATTTTTAATTTGCTACCCAAATGGTATAATTTATTACTGTCACCAACAGATAACTAAAATGCATCTAATTAATGTTTATCCATTCCAATTCGAATTTATTCACAATGGAAGTTAAACTTCTTGTCTTTCTTTTTCAAAAAAGAAGAAATTTACAATCATCTATAATATTTCAAGAGATTAGTATGTCTTGAATTAGATAAACCCAAACTTCGTATATACAACGTCAAATAATAAGAACAATACGCAAACCTATAGATATATATATATATATAAATAATCTATTGTATTGAATTAGATATATATATATATATATATATATATATATATCTAGAAATAATCTATTGTATTGAATTAGACAAATTTAACTTCACACAACGTTAAATATAGAAAGCATTACTTAGTAACGATGATGGCATCCGAGGCGAAGATCAAGATCAAGATCATCGTCTTGATCAGGCTGAGAGTCTCTGGCGTCCGGTAGCCTCCGGTGAGAGTCATTATCAACATTGACGGATCCGAGTCCTAAGCTCAAATCGAGACCAAGAAACTCCCCTTGATCAGCATAACTCCTTCCTCCTCCTGATAACGATGATGCTCCAAAGCGTTGTGTGTTGTAGCTAGGGTTTATCTGTGGCTGATACGTTTGGTGGTGGTATGACTCAATGGTCGGAAAATATGGAGGCGGGTTGTTGTAATTAGGGTTTGTATAGTTTAGGGGGGAGGGGAGAGACTGAGACGGTAAAGGAATAGAAAATGGAAAGGAGTGAGAAGAAGAAGAGGAAGAGTTGTTTCTTTCGCGTTCCTTGCGGTGGAGGTTTCTGTGACCACCGAGGGCTTGGGGATTTGTGAAACCTCTCATGCAGATGTTACAGTCGTACATCCGGCGCTTACCTCCGGAACCGGAGTCGGAGCCAGAACCATGATCAATCTGTTTGTCGCGGTTGTTCATCTCTCTTCTCTTTCTGTTTTGGGTCACTCTCAATATTCAATGTTTTGAAAACGTGTCTATGCTCTCGAAAACACACACACACAAAGGGGTATATATAGAATGTAGGTGGTAAAGAGTCTGTATGTTTTACTGACACTAATTAGGGCTTTTTATTAATCAAACCATGCTGATGATTTATTATGTAGTATAAAATATACTAGAGACTAATATTGACATAGTGCAAAAAGAAACTTCGCATTAATATTACTTTTGTGGCAAGCTAAATTAATTGGAGCAAAGTGTAATCTAATCATAAGAAATTGAGCTATAATATGGTTCGATTTTAAAATTTGACTTGGACAAAAAAAGAAAGAAAAGAAAGTAATATAAGTAGAGAGAAAAATATTTTACCACATAAGAGATTTTTAACACCCTTTACACATTATATTTGTTTTTATTTAACAAATAAAAAAACATTTATCAAATCAATGGGTCAGATAAGAAAACCAAAACCAAAACCGAAATGCCAAACCAAACGGTGACAAATTCATGTAGTGCGTTGCGACAAGAATTCAAAATTCTCACTACATGCATGTGAGCAAATTATTCTTTGGATTAACTTACAATTTCAGGTGAAAATTTTAGCCAAAGGAGAATATCATATCAGTTGGAAAAAAAAAAAAAAAAAAACAAATCGTCCTAGGAAAAAACTACTCAAGGAGTTATATATTAAGGCTTTGAGTGACTAGCTAGGCTAACTAGTATTTCTTTCATTTCTTGTTTCTTTATACTTTAAGAAAAGTGATGATACGTGCACATGCATACATAAAATGATAAAACGAAATAAAATAAAATGCATCTTAATTAATTTGAGTAGAGAGACAAAAAATCTGGATCGAGTGTGAAAATTGCCAACTATAGTTTTTTGACTCAATATGAAGCATCTTCCTTTTATACATAAAAAGCTTTTCCCGACTGCAGTAATTGGAAGCTTAGCTAGTAGCTACTCCAATATTAAAGTTTAGATAAGTTTTGTTTATGAGAATTTTATATTCTGAATGTGAACATGCAAGAACTCTAAATGTATATTGTTAAGGCTACGGGTTTAAGAGTCTCGTGGATGAGAAGGAGTCAAAGATTTGTTTACTTTTGCTTTCAAATACAAGCAAAATTACCGAAAGAAGCAATCATGATGAGATCGTGGTTGTGCTTGAGCCTTGAAGTAGCTCAGACAATAAAAGTATTAAACTGGACTATCTCATAAACTAAGAGGCGTTTATGAAATTTATTATGAATTCTCCCACACAAGAAAAAAAAACTCCAACTGATTTCGATGGTCCCTATGCTTAGAAAGATATGGCGGTTAGGCTGCTGCGTTTAAGGATTGCTAAAAGTATTGTTTTAATGTATTAAGTTTCTGAACCGACAAAACGACCATTTTACGTGCATAGGTATTTATTTATTTGTGTTGAGTCTGCTGCCATAAAATAAATAAGATATTTATATCTTTGACTTACTCTTTAATTTGATTGACTGGAATATCAAGTATTGAGTACGTATAATGCATAGTTACATGTTATACATGTCATAGCATGAATCACGTTTTAGTTATATGAAACATGCTAAAACGTTTCGTACATATGTTATAGACCTTAAAATGAATCTTTGCAAAAACATTTGTTGGATCATTATCTTGGCTCTAGAAAAAATGATCATGTTAAGCTTAGAAAAAAGATAATCCACATTAATCCGAGTTCCAGATTTTAGATTGATTTCGATCATTCATTTTGTTTTTGTTTTTTTTTCTTTCTAAATTCAATCATCTTCTTATGCTCAGTGAGCATTAATGTTATTAAGGGAATAATAGAATATGGGAGAATCCTACTGTTCTTGATTTTGGAATATTCACTAATGAATTTATAACAGACGAAACCACACTTTTGGACGGTTGGACCACATCACATGCAGCTCATCGTGGACTATATATAGTCTCCTAAATAGCTACAAAGAATCAAAAAAAATGTATCACTCTATTACGTGTATAATCTCCTAAAAAACGCTTACAAAAAACCATCTAAATTGGCATGTGTATAATGTCATGCTTGATAAACCATACGGGAAAATCATCCATCAAAAACACTAGTTGTTGTTTGTTCTAAATTGTTTATCAACATTCATATGTTTGTGTTTGAACTTGCGGGTGAGATACATTAATAATCTTCTGAGTACTAAAGAAGTCACATGCAATACCATAGGACTTACGAAATAACAAACTCATTGCCTCTAAATGCCTCTGCCTATTTTCCTATTCTCGTCTGTTTTCACACTTATGCATTCAATGCTACATTCCATTTGCTTCTGCTCTAACGACTCGGTAGAAATAATTTATCTTCTCTCTGCACTTAATGACTTGTTTCTACTTTCTAAGCGGCTATGCGAAAAGAGTTTTCTGGGCTCCGCATGTCCAATATAAAGCCCAGTCTAAATTTCATGATCTCCAGAGGTATAGATTACTGAGTTCATATCAACAATATTCTTCATTTTCATTTTTCCCAAAAGTTTAATTTTCCCCGAAAGTTTAATTATATTTCCTCATATGCCAAGTACGGATACTGCCAACCGTACAGAGTCAATAAAATATGTCCTTGAAAAGAAAAGAAAAAAATAAGCAAAAGAGACATAACAAAACAAAATTGACTACCGCTTTAACACACATTTTTTTTTTGCCAGCCATTTACCGCTTTAACACACATAAACCCTTAAGGCTATAAATCTGTTTTTCCGCCGAAGAGTGAAAAAAACAATCAGCCCTCTCTCTCCCCTTCTCTCAAAGTAAGAAGATTATTATTCTGATTATTATTTAAACGATTGCTGAAATCCTTAAACTATATTCTTTTTCTTCTTCACCATTACTATCATCACGATATGGTGTCTTCAGAGTTGAGCCTTATTCGGCAGATTGTGGGAATAATAGGTCAGTCATGACTGTTCACATATATTTTAAATGGTTTTAAAAATAAAATTTATGTTCTTATATCGAATGATTCGGTTTTGCAGGAAACATCACTGGTTTATGTCTGTTCCTATCACCAACGTAAGTTTTAGCGAAATAGTAAATAGTACTTCATCCAGATACGATGAAACATACATCGTTCGGGTGATTAATAAGATTTCTTAATAATAATCCATTTTCTTACAGAACCAAATATGTTTTATAAATTTCAGACATCTTCTTGAAAGATCTGAGTTTTTTTTCTTTTTCATTTTATATTGTTTAATCATGAAATTACGCTGATACTTCTTAGTCATGGATCAATTCCCATTATTGTAAAATTATTTATTATCATTTGGCTAGTCGAAATCGTATCATATGCCCATTAAAAAAAACTGTTGAATGGCCATGAATGGCCACTCCTATGAAATACACATTCACGCTGGAAATATTAGTAGGGTGTTAAGTTTTTTTTTTTTTACATAAAAAAAAATATTAAAAAGTTTATAATTAATGGTTTTTTTGTGTGGTTAATCACGGTATTTAAACTGATACTCATATTATTTAATGTTTCTGTTAGTTTTTGTAAATTAATTAAGAAAGGTTATAACTATTGTATTTATCCCCTCAAAAAAAATTTCATTGAAGGAAGAAAAATAAAAGAATATATTCTATTTGTCGTCAACAATGTCATTAACAATGTCATTAATTATTCAGGCGAACGTTTGTACGGATCGTGAAACATAAATCAGTGGAAAGTTTTTCACCGGTACCATATTTGGCAACTCTCTTAAACTATTTGGTTCGACTTATCTATGGACTTCCTATGGTGCATCCTCACAGCACGATGATCGTTACATTATGCGGTATAGGGATCGCGATCACAACAGTTTTCCTTATCATCTTTTTGGTTTTCTGTCGGCAACGAAAACAACGGTTGGTAGTGTTAGCCGTTTTAGTCGTTGAAGCCGTGTTTGTGACTATCCTCACTGTTTTGGTCATTACTCTCCAACACACTACCGATCAGCGGACACTAAGTGTTGGAATCATATCATGCATTTTGAACACTATGATGTATGTTGCTCCATTGTCAATCATGGTACGTTATTTTCTAAAAATTAATTTATTATATTTTGCAGTGAAGAATTAGTTTATTTATGACAAGTTTTTTTGGGTTAATTTTCTGTGATTTGTGTTAGCTAATGTTAAATGATGCGTTTATGACGTTTTGACTAAATTAATGACAATTTACTAATTTAGTATTATGCCGTACGTTTTTCTAACTTTGACTCGAATCGATTTTTTCTTGTTTTGGCAAAATAATTTACATGAATATGAAGAAACTAGTATCAGCACAAAAAGTGTGGAGTTCATGCCGTTTTGGTTATCGGTGGCTGGTTTATTAAACGCAACTGCTTGGACAGCTTATGGCTTCGTGCCTTTCGACCCATACATGGCGGTGAGTGTTTTCTCCCTATTCAGCTTTTACTCACAATTTAATCATTCACTATGAAACTTTGTTTTATATATGTGTCAAAAAATGAATCATATGTAATTATGATCAAGTCTAAAAAAAAACTGTTTATGGGATTATATTTTCTTATGTACTTTACACCATTCGCTTGACATTGACCGATGGAGTTGTGGTATGTTTTTTTTTTATAAAAAAAATTGTGCCATGTTATGGCAGTAAACTAAGACTTTTTTTTGTTTTGCTTGTGGTTTGGTTCTGAAAGTCTTTATGAGGAAGATAGGGCATACTTCAGTTCAGCTAATTCCTCATGGCACTTCAATTTAGAACTAACAATCAGTTAATATAGAGATACAAAGATATTGTGATAACAAGATTAGGAAATATGTTGTGTATATATACGTTTGTATGTCTATAGTTAACAAGTTAGTTAAGTCTTGTATTTAGCTTAACTACACGGAACAGAATTATGACACTTATCTCGAGTTAGTCCTTAGGTCTTGCTGGTTTGATCATCGGATCTTAAAGAGAACAGTTCTTTTTTTTTTAGTGGGTAAATTCGGTTCTTGTTCTTGTCAGATTTTTATCAGGACTGTTTATTTGTAACTTCGCTCGTACTTTCTTTATTATTCAATGTAAAGAGTTCCGTCATTTTTCTTAATATTTATGGAATGGAGATAATTTTTATTTTCTTATAACCCATTGTTAAGACTTAAGACTAATTGTCAGATTATTGTCATAACTGTTTATTTGTAACTTCGCTCATACTTTCTTTAGTATTCAATGTAAAGAGTTCCGTCATTTTTCTCAATATTTATGGAGTGGAGATTCTTTTTATATTCTTATAATCCATTGTTAAGACTTCAGAGAATAACTTTTTAACAACCATTTTAAAGAAGTTTGAATCTTGTTTGAGGTTGTAAATTTAATTCGTTTCTTTTGTTGCTAATATTAGTATTTTAATAATGAGCTTTTTTCAGATACCAAATGGAATTGGATGTGTATTTGGCCTAGCCCAGTTACTATTGTACTATAAATCCACCTCAAGTATGGCAGAAAGGCAGAAGCAATTATCAAGCACGAACGCTAAAACTGAACCGGAGAAACTTGAGAATTTCATCCAACGCGTTAACGGCGTTTGATTTGGTCTTTAGCATGTTATTCACCACATCCGATTATCAGGCCTTTTTCATCAAGGACTCAAATATGAATAAGATGTAAAGTTACTTTCTTCATCATTGTTGTGATCGTTGATAATGACGGTAAAAATCAGTCTATTCTTTTCGATTTTCATCTCCTATTGTTCTTAATATATTTTTGCAAGACAGTGTACCATAAGCTCATAGAACGCCATAAAAAGTAAAGACCAAGATCCTCAATTTGAGAAACAAACAAAAACATTCCACAAAACAGAGGAATCATATGATCCAGGAACTTAATGACAGAGACTAAGCAATCATTTGGAAAAGCAATCACTACCTTAACAAGAGGATTTTTGGCTTGAATCCCCAAAAGTTAAAATAATTTAGTGGAATCAAAGCTCTTATCGAGTTAAAGATCAAACACTAATTAAGAACCTACTGGGCTTTCTGTGTGTAGCCCAAGCCCATCTCGTTGATTACATATTTGTCTTGTATATATGTGTGTACAATTCAAATCAATAAACAGGCAATGAGTCAATGACTGCAAAGTTTAAGACAGTTTCAGTGAGGTCAGAGTTTGAAGCTCCCTTAATTGACTGCAAAGTACTGAAGCTTTGGACCAAGTGATTTCTCAACGTCTACTTGTGGACAATCCGTAATGATGCTGGAGATTTGAGAATCTGTGAAACCATAACTTGTAAGAAGACTTAGAACTGAATCTGGATTTCGCTTCTCATCAAAACTGACTTTCCTCGAGGTTACGCCATTTCTGTAACTCAAAAATATTGTGGAAACATAATCCAAAAGTGGGAATGTATAAAAATTTAACCAAAAAAACGTACCTTGGCATCCTTATTTGAGCCACCATCAACAACCTTTTGCTTCCTGTCTCATCTTCATTCCTTGCATAATCATCCATTGTTGCATACTAGAATCTCCACCTTTATGTTTGAAATCTTCTTTTCCTTCACCAACCTTATCCTCCTCAACCTAACCTTGTAATGCACGTAAAGCTTTACCATACAATGCACGTAAAACTTGTATTTGAAAGGAATGACTATTTCGTAACAACCAAATTAAAGGGCAATTTAGTTACAACCATAGCTTCATCTTATGAAGTTTTATATATTATATAATGATACTACAATTCTAAATCTCCAATTTTACCAAATATTTGAACTTTATAACTTTGCTAACTAGGCATACCGGATCATATAAAAATTCCAATGAACATAGTATTAAATTGTTGAATAATCGATATTGCAGCCGAAAAATGCCAATATGCCGGCCTGAAAAGGCTGAAACTAAAAAAAAAAAACAAAAGTTTTCTATGAAGTGAAAAACCTAACTGCCTAGTGCATGCCTACCATCCATCGCCTTAAAATGAGAGAAATTCCAATTATTGCGTGACACCACTTGTTCTACTTTGTCAGGCTTTCAACTTCTAAGAGATAGTTTTGTATTCATTATTCAGATGGTAGTTACCGATCATGAAACTGTAACATAATCTAGCAGCGATATATAGATACATCAAAAATATCTATAGACATAGACACATAAAATATATGATTAAGAGTCATTGTTACACCCGGGAAACAATTAACATATATATAATTTATTCACATAAGCGAGAGTACTAGTTTGATTATCAACTAGCTAGGATGTGATATTCGCCTAACTTGTTACTACTTACTTCCTGTGAGATTATCATTTGTATATTATTAAGACTATTGGTACCATTTATATCATTATGTGCCCATGTCTCTCTCCACTTTCACAAAAATAACAACAAAGATGAGCTTCAACTTTGCCTATTTGTCTTTACAATTCTCTATGTGTTTTCATTTTCTTATGACGTCATCGAAGTCATTCAATGTGATGACTGATGAGCCACACGTTGCAAACCTAAGTGCCACTTTTGGGCTCTTCTTTTGCATCTGCTCATTTTATATATTAATTTACTTGAATGTACAATGTCACACTATGGTATAAACTTTTGACTATAAATACTGACATGCACACATGCATACATTATATGAAGAGATCTTGACATCACTTGCCATTGTGTACGGACTATATATAAATCTTTATTAGGAGCAGTCGAGTCCGAAGAGATGGAAGATATGAAGATGTTCGTATTTTAGTGGTTTATGCATGTGGTTGTAAAGAAGCTAAAGGCAGATACAAAATTTGGAATATCAAGTCTTAAAGATAGTTATAGAGACATAAAAATGAAAATTAGTTGCATTCGAAAGTTATTAACTTCATCGTGATATATTGTTTTTGTCACCAAATATCTTACTCTCATATTTTTTCTTTTTTTGTAAAACTTTCTCTTACATTTTTCTTCTTTTTTGATAAATTTTTTCTTAAATTTTTCTTATTGTTAAAATTGTTAGTTAAGTTGTTTTCAGTCAGATTGGATTCAGAAAGAGAATATAAAATATAATATTTTTACAATTAGAATATATGGACTCTAGTCATGCTAACAAATTGCAATGTTAATTGTTTATGATCTTAGCAAAAAAAAAAACAAAAAAATTGAGGTTATGTTTACAAATTAAAGTCTTTTGTACGTAATTGTTAACTCGTTTGAGAAAATTTAATTAGTAGTGCGTATACATTTGAAGTGGCCGGTTCTTGAGTATATGAGAAAGGTGTTGAGGCAATACTTTAATGCTTTTCAAGGAAAGCAAAATTGGTGGAGGGATTTGTACTGTTTAGTTATGTGTAACGCTTAGAACTGACCAAAACATAACTTACTAAAAAAGGAAAGCTCATCATGCCATTCCACACCCAGACATTGTCGGGAACATGCAAAACCTCAGGTTTTGGGGAATACAAAACTTCCAGCATATATACTCTCTGGTCCAAATCTAACTATGGTCAGGTACACATGTCTTGTGTATTTCTGTAAGTCTGTATCTATCTATATATATGATCATTCTATGTTATCATTCGAGAGATTTGGTTTTTTTTTATAGATTCGTATGACTTTTTTACCGTACGTGCTCGTGTTGACTATTTCAAAGTTAAAAACAAATAAATATTTTTATATGGAAATATTAATGGAGATCGAGTAATCATGACATGTTTACAGTTTTTGCACTCATGAAACTGAAATATGCTTTGGGACTTGTTTTCCAGTAATGATTTGTTACCCTCAGTGCAATGATTCAGTCAAAAACTAATATTTTTCGTACAATTAGTCAAGATTACACGCAAACACAGTTTCTATATATATATATATATATTTTGCTTTGTCAAATATAGTTTCTATTCACATTTGAAAGATTAATGAATCACCAATAAATATTTAAAAACTAACCAAAAGTATTATGATGGTCGAGAAAACTTTACTCATCGGCTTTCAGAGTTTGAGGAAACTGAATGACCTCTTTTCTTATCCACATACAATAGAAGCCTTGACTTATTTTTTTCTTATCTATATATTTTTATTTGATAACTTATCTATAATTATTTACGTTTGCATTTTTGTATGATAAAAGTACTAAATATTTTGTTGTCAACAAAATGACATCCTTAATTTTAAATAATTTAACCTTTTTGAGAACATCATCAAAAATTACTCAAACTAACTACAATATTTTATTTGCCTTTTCTTTTGTGAATAACTACGATATTTGATTAGAAGATAAATCCTTACAGTTAATCTTTTTTTACACTAGGTGTTTTACCCGCGCACGCGCGGGTTCCGTTTTAATATTTGTAAATAAATCTTATGTCCTCTTTATTTTAATTTTATTCAATAATATTAAGAAAATGTATGATTCAATTAAGAATATTTGTATATCAAGTTCGAGTCATCAATTTTTTTTGTTTCTTTGATAAGAGATGAAAATAATAGTTTCATTTATTAAAAAAAGGTTTTTAAAATGCTTCACTATTTTTCAATTTTTGTTTATAATTTTTTTTAATAAACTTTTTTTTGTAATATACTTTTAATTTTTTTTACCTAACCAATTTAATTATTTTTATAAGTAGTCATAATAAGTAAGATACCTTTTAAAAATCTTTTTTGTCATAAAAACATACAACAGCCCAATCCTCAAATTTCTTAAACTAATCCCTTAATTTTACTATTCATTAGACAATTTTTTTTATATCCAATAAAGGTTATCTGGCAAACTTATCCAATATTAGTCTAATACATATTTTAGTTCTTAATTTATTTTTTAATTTTATTTATTTGTTTAGCTTTTCCAGCTATGAATTTATGATTTATACTTAATTTTTTTTGTAATTTTAATTATGTTGCATTTAATTCCATTCAATAAATTCATCTTTTATTTTTAAATCACTGTTTTTATATTTAAAAGTCTTATATCTAGAAAATAAAATAAAATATAAATGTATTTTACAGATCATTAAGGACGGGAAGAAAGGAATCAGAAAGATCAGGAGTAAAAAATAATTTTTTTAATTGTTTCATATGATATAATCGTGTTAAATGTATTCCCACTTTTTCCATATCATATGGCTTCTTCTTCTTCCCGTGGTCATCATCTTTTAATTGTTTTTCCAATTCCCGGTTAAATTCTTTTGGTTTGTTACGGTTCGATTTTCCTATCTCATAGAAATTAGAAATGCTTCGTTTCTTTTTCTTTCATTTGCCGACCACAATCGAACAATATTTCTTCTTCCTTATTCCCACCGGAACCATCTCATCATCTAGATCCCTCTTCTTTGTTGCTAATCTTGTTATTCCCAGGGGAGAGCTCACGCTTCTTCTTCTTTTCGATCTCCTTCGACTCTCGCTCTGAATTTCTCAATTAACTTCAGGTACCAATCTCTGTGAGAAGTGAGAAGTGACTCTGTAGGATTTTTTATTGTCAAGGACCAAGAACTTTTGGATTACGTAAACAGCTCCAGCCTTCAAGGCTGCTTCATATATGCTTAGTCGGTTAGCCGGAATGAATGCATAAATGACGGATGACTGCAAAAAATTAATTCAGAAAACATAAATCAGAAATCTATTACAAATTGGTAGAAACATAGCCAAAGTAAAAAAAAACATTAAACATAAATTTGCAAATACCTTCTGATCCATGAGTAATCCGCCTTTTCTAACGTTTCGTGCCTCCCAAAAGTGGATGACTCTGACAAGCAAATCATTATTGTTGAAACCTTTTTTTTAGATCATCGAAAACCAAAGTATGGCTTAACTGATTAGAAACAGAAGAGCATGAATTTGCCATGGCTTATAAAAATCGATTGAGAGATGTGAATGTATATTCTGAACTTGGTTTCATGTGGCAATAAGACCACATATATATAGGATTTAAGATCATCTTATTCCTAATGGAAAAAGGAATCAATGTATATCAATGTCATTGTACAATAAGGAAATTAGAGAAGTGATAATTACAAAAATAGGAACTATCCAAATCCTAATCTTTATCAAACAATATCCAATTTGTTTTTCAAGAATCTTCTAGACTAAAACGAAATAATGAAACCAAGAAATAAATTTGGAAGAAGAAATAAGAAAAAAATGCCAAGAAGCAATCTTAAATTCGCCAGAAATTAAAGCAGCCGAATTGTACAGTCAAATCACAAGACTTATCTTAGTAATAGATTCCGAATTTCTCCATTTTTGGTCTAATACTCCCTCAACTGAAGTTGTACTGAAGCTTCAAACTTGCAACAATGCGAAATAGGGAGTTTAGGGCAAAATAAATCCAATTCGATTTACGAAATCTGGGAAATGAAGAATGTTTTTGTTGTTTGACGGTGGAGAGAGAGAGAGTTTTGTGAGATGCAGTTTTAGGGTTTGTAGAAAAAAGGGGAAGAAGATGTAGCAGATCCCGTTTTGGAGATGCCGATGTCTGATTTTTTTTTTTTTTTTTTTTGTGGTAACCTAATGGCAATGTCCATATAATTATTTTTGAAACGGTTTAAAAAAAAAACAGGGGACTGCAAAGGATCGAACTCGATACCTGTTGCGTTTAGGACAATTGTGATAACCGCTACACCATAGCATCTTTTTGGCTGAATAGGAAATTTATTTCTATAATTACTTAAAATGTGTAAATTTTCCACTAAAAAAGAAACTAATACTAATAATATATGTAAATTTAGATAATCTATGAATAGGAAACTTATAATTCAGTTCTCGAAAATTGTAAAATCAGAGAAATTATCTTTACTGAAAACTAATTAATAAATAATATGTAAAATAGAAAATTTACATAAATTAATTTAAAAGCAAAAAAAATAAAAATAATGACATGGACCAATCAAATTCAACCTTTTAAATCCTAGGTGGACAGCCTCTAATGCATATAGGCTCAACTTTTATTTGTAATAGATAATTAAAAATGGCATGCGTGTACTGAAACTCGATTACAATATTTTAAATTGAAACGGAAATGCTAACAAAGTTATCAATATCTTACAAATTACTTCAATATTTCACACTTTCCAGTCAGAAAATACATTTTAACATGTAATCGCAAAATCGAATACTTTCATTTACTATAAAGGAAAAAGCACACAATTAGTTAATGACACATGAAATTTCATAACCATCAAGTAAGACACAGAGGTTCCTATAATTAAATATTTTATTATTATATAAATAGTGTCTTTATAGAAAAAAGAAAATTAAAACCCTAATTTCAAGAAGCACTACAATTACCATATCAACAAATATATTCAATATATATACATATGTTCCACGACATTAACCACACCCATGTCGGGTTATCGGGTAGATTGGATGAGTTAGTTCGAAGGAAGAGGTCCGATTTGCTTGAGGATATGATCAGTAAAATATCACAACATACGATTTAATTAAGGTTTTCAAACAAATTAATTGATCCAAGGTTTCAGGTTTCGACATTCAAGTGCCTCTACATTATTAGCTATGCACGATATGGAATGAACAACTACACCGGAATTTCAACTACATGAAAGATTTAAATTATACTCCTACTATCTTACTAAGCCATTGTTCCCAAAAAAGTAACCAAGTTTCGGCTGAAACATTATTACTCTCTGCCGTTCATAATATTTGATGTTTGGAACTTTTCCCACATATTAACAAAATATTAAGATTATCTAAAAAATATTTCTGACTTTATTTTTACTATTGAAAAGTGTTGAATTATAACTAACATCGATAGATATAGGGGGTTGACAAAAAGAATAGTAATATATAGGGGTGCATTAAGAAATATACTTTACATTTGCAGAAAACGATTAAATCATCAATATTTCCAAGACAAAGATATGGGTCTAACACAGCAGTTTACATGAAACGGAAGGAGTAGTTATATAGATGATCCAATACGAGTAAATCATTAATTAAAAGACAAAATTGTAGCCATTGTCATATATAAAACAGTAGTAATCTAGCACAGCTATATAAGACACCTAACGCAAGCTTATAGCTTATACTATAGTCATACAATTAACTATAAAGCTATATTAGTTATCCTGCTTAGATCATGTAGACGGAACTATTAACCTTGGAAAAGCAGCATCTCTTCTAGAGTAATCTAATGTGAACGTAGAATCCTTGATGGATAAAGTTATATAAAGCTTTACCATCTAAGCACAACCCAAACGGAGTTCCAGATCTAGATCGTCCTCTGACTCGTTGATTGAACCAATCTCGAGATCCAAGCTGATGATTTCACCGTTCTTCAAGAACTTGCAAGCATCTTCCTTGCACAACTGTACAGCATCCTCACCCTCGACTACAAAAGATGGCTTTATCGTCTCAAAAGCGTTTTCTGGTAGATGTTTAGACTTGGGGCTCAAGGAACGGGCCAAAGATGGCCTGTAACCTGGTGAGGAAGGAGGAGAAAGGGTGGGAAATAGGGTTAGAGGAGGAGGTGGAGGAGAGGTAGCCATGGAAGAGTAAGAGTAATTAGGGTTAGGGTAAGGAGGAGAAGGTGTTGAAGATGATGATGAAGACTGTTGTAACCTGAGTCTGGCTCTGTCTCTTCTGTGAACATTCATGTGGCCTCCAAGTGCTTGAGCCGATCTGAATTCTCTTTTGCAGAAGCTGCAAGTGTAGGATCGTGGTGGCCATGAAAACCCTAGAAGATAATCATGATCCTGTTGGTAATTAGCATGATCTCCATAGCTCCATGGTGAAGTTCTTGAACGGCCATAGAAGTTATTCCTCAAATCTATGTTGTTTGATCTCTCCATATGTGGGCTCGGTCTTTTTGGTTAACTGCTTAGATCACAAAGTGTGAAGCTAACTAAGAGAGTACTAGCAATGATTTGTGGCACATCAGTTTATAAAAGAAAAGTATTTGTAAGATCTGAAAAGATGAACTCACTTTTTTCCCCTGGGAAAAATCTAAGATCTATGTCTGTCTGTCTCTTAGAAAGAGAGGGAGAGAGAGAGAAAGAGAAATGTGTATGATGATAGGGTTGGGGCTCTTTGGTGTTAAGACTGTGAAAGAGACTGATTCTTGGACGCATTATCAAAGCCCCATCTCTGAGTTAATAAAGTGAAAATTAATTAGAGAAAAAAATAAAGAAAAAGAAAACCTTATTTATGTGGGGGATAGACATGTATTAAGCGAGCTTCTCCATGATTTGATTTATAGAGATGACACAAGTTGATTAATTACATCTAAATTAGACGTTACTTTCATTAAATGATATTCCACCTTTTAGTTTCGTGAAATCAACGAGAAAGTTTTTGCCTTAAAAGCATTCATTGATTTTTATGCTTCAAATCATCTTTATTAATTAGTGTTATTATCTACAAAACAAAATGATGATACAACTACAGCTTTAACAAAATCTACAAAGCTACAAGACAGAGTACGAAAGCAAATTCGTATGATGAAGGATATAAAAATACATAGATAAGACTCCCTAGAGAATTCTGTTTTGTAGGGCACTAAATAATTTTGTCATAATAGGAAAAAGAAAGCCCACTGTAACAAAAAAAAATTAAACATAAAAAGGTGAGAAAAAATAACAATAGAGGGGGAATGGGAAAAAGAAGAAGAAATGAGTGATATTAATTAACTTTACGAAACACTATAAAAATATATCCATAAATTAATGACTAGCTAAACTTTATCTGTACATCAAGTAATTAAGTACCGGAAACTGTTATCAACCAAAACATACTGAAATTACAGATTATCAACCTTTTGTAACACCGGTGAGTAATTTGCAACATACTAACAAACAAAATTGTGTAATTTCACAGCAGTAATTATGAAAAAACACTGTTTATGAATCCAAATTTTTATAAATATTTTTTTTTTTCTTTAAAAAAGTGTGAGGAAAGCTTTAACGACAAAATAAAAGTGTGAGGAAAGAGTGATGGGTGAATATGTGAGAGATGGGAACTGGGAAGTGTACAAAAAAGGAAAACCTCGGCCAGCAAAGGACAAGTTATATCAAAAGCTTTATACCAAAAACGGAAAGTGGATGTTCCTTTCTTCCAATTTTAATTTATTTATTTTTCTCTATAATTTCTTATCTTTATAATCCTCTCTAAAGCTTTTCTCGTGAGCCATATCTTGACATTTGTTTGTTAGCAAATCCAAGACAACGACTCACATTATTATTAGACTTAGGTCTTTATGCCCTTCCTCCAAAATTTTATTTATTGTGATATGCATACATTGTCTCTTTCTGTTGTTATATTTAGTTAATATATCACCATAAGTTCTGGATCAATTCCTTTCAACATGTGTTGTGTTTGCTCAAATTGTAACCCCTTACCTGACATCGATTTCATCGTTAGTTATGGTAAATATCGATGTATACTCTTTTTTTTTCAGTCGTTTAGTTAATAAACCAGAACACATGGAAAATTAAATGTTTAAATTGTACGTGTTTTTTTTTTGTTCCTTCCATGATACTATTACCATACTATTATCGTTCATTTACTATGTCTTGTTAGATAATATGGATTTACAAATGCGAATGGTTCAAAGACCACAATGCAAATAATTTGGAGGAACCGTACAACGACAAAGCCAAACATTCACCAACGAGGAAAGTCTCATTTATTACACATCCAACTGCTTCGTATAAATCAACCAAATATGAACACATTTCACAATTTGTCGAAACACGAGAAATTGTCTAACCATCTCGCTCCTTCTTTCAATCGACCTCTCGTTGAAATCCAACTTCTGTTACATGTTATTACATTTCATCGATTCAAAAAAAAAACACACAGTAAAATATGCCTCTAAACACAAAAAGAAGAAGAAAAGATACACAAATAATCCTACTCAGAGATTAGTAGTTTACCATTCCGATAAAATCTTACTTTTATTGTTGATATATGCATGCTAATGCTACTGACGACAAATAAATTATTTGGCTGGATAAATTGAAAACCAAATTCAAAAATCTGACCTCCTAGGAAAAGTGCCTTGATTAGTTATTTTGGTCAGGAGGAAGAGTATCTAATGAATAAAGTTATTATATCATATATACACATGTAGAATGATTAGACTCAAACGTATCGCAGAATTAACCAATGGATTTCTTATGGTTCTCTGACTTAAATTAAATTACTGTTGTTTTCTTAAGGTCCTTATACAGTTTATTTTGTCAACATCCTTAAATTTATGAATCTACAACAACAAAAATAATACCGTTCTTCTGCTTCACACAATGACCCACAACTCAATATTTCTGCATCTAATAATTCACGTCTTAATGTAATCTGTTTGAAAGAGATAGTGTTTGTGCGTGTGTGATTATGCTTTCAATTCAACTTTGAGTGATAAATAGTTTATATGCCTTGTTATCTCAAATCGTTTGAATCGATACGTAACATTGTATTTTGCTACGCTTTTGTAACCACTAAAACAAAGGGAATAAATGATAGTATGATAATAATTATAATAAAAGAAATTCACTAGTCTACTTAAAAATGAAAAAAACAAGTTGACTAAAATTTGATATGTCCTGCCTATCGTAAAGTGTAAATTACTAAATTTGCATGACTTATTTTTGCCAGTATCCAGTTTATAGAAAAAGTCATTCCACCAATTTAAAGAAATTTTAGGCAGAAAAAGGTTCCCCGTTTATTTCCGATATTTTTGGGTTCTTTATCATTTTCTTTTTTTTTAAAAGTTATATAAAATCTGAAATGATCTGTTACCTGGTGAATGAAGTGAAAAAGAGGGGAAAGTTTAGGACAGAGAGAGTGGAATTAGACAAAAGATTCTGCCAAAATTAGAAGAAGAAGATATCTCTCATCTTCGAAAGGACACATCCAACGGCTGAAAGAGAAGGTCTAAAAAGTCTAGTGGCCTCTTTTTCTTTTATATATGAATGATTTATTTACCATTTGTGAATAAAGGGCCTCGATTTACTTATAGCTTACTTGATCGAAGTTGCAGAGTTTACTCGCAGTAGTTTCCTCCCTTTATTGTTGATTGCATTAGCCCCTTCCCTACGTTTTTTCTTTTACATCATCACTAATTTTCTAAATACTTTATTAAAAGCCACTCTTTATTGTTTAATTTTTAACAAATTTGTGAAAGTCTCTTTCACGAGTTGTGAAGGTTTTGTTTTTATCATTTTCCTCATCTTGTTGGCTTTTCATGGTAAAGATTGTGATTGGCCGTCACAGTTCACATCAAGGTTGTTTTTATATATATATATAATTTTCTTGTTCCTTTCTTTGTGTTTCTTTATAGGTTCGGTTGAAACCTAAAGACGTTAAATAGAACTATAGAAATTAGAAAGGTTGTACCAGGAGATCATGGTCGAAATGTAACCGAATATGACTTATAATTGTCCGAATTTATGCATCAAGCTGGTTCCATAACCAAAAGATCCGAAACAGAAGAAAAAAAAAAGCACACCAGGTTTTAGTTTTATGTATCCTAAACAAATAACTAAGTGAAACCAAATCTATATATAATGAATTGAATCTCTCGCTTTTTTATGTCTACGACGACGACATCTTATGTTCATGATTTTTCCTTGTAAACTTGTTGATACTCTTGAAAATTCATGTTATTTCCCAAAAATTATTAGCAAACTATATTAGAGAAACTAGAATAACGACATCTCCTTGTAAAGATAAAACTGAAACAATACAGGATGGGATAAGGAAGTAGAAAAGAGTGACATGATTTACCTTTACATACGAAACACTAAAAATGATATTTGTTTGTAATTGCTGTAAATACGTTTATATCGACAAAACATGATGAAATCACATATTATAAAAAAAAACAGATAATGTTTGCAACATATAATCTAACAGACAAAACTATATGATATTTCACAAGTCACAACTATAGATATCATGGGAAAACACTGTTTATACGTAATATTTTTTCTCTAAAATGTAATATATGAGAATGTATAAGGAAAACCTCGGCGAGCAAAGAACATTTTATATAAAAAAATATCATACGAGTCACACGAGTATAATGCTGAGATGATATTGATTTTTGTTGTTGTTGTGCGTTTATTAATCAATTATACTTATGGATTATCGTATAAGTTATATGTATATTTTTACGTTTTTCGTTTAATCAAATTTTAAACTCGCGCGCTTATAAACCCGCGGGAAATATTGAATACTTGCTCTACTAATCAAACTATGTTTCCTCTTTATTTATGTTTTATAATGAAAGTGTATTTATTTACAGAAAAATGATTAATTAATCAATAAAAAACATATATCATCGATTAAATTTTAGAACCATGGGCTAAGTAACCGAAATGGGCTTGGGCTCAACATCAACATTAAACGAGATGTAAAGAACTTTACTCACACCTTCAAAACAAGCTTGTTTACTCTTAATCTTATCATTGATTTTGAAATTATCATCAAAATTCATAAAACAATCAGAACTCAAGGATTTCAAGGAACTGTTACCGAATCCTAACAACATTATCATATGCCCGATTTGATATAATCCAGTTGTGTTTGGTAATGAAGAAATCATTAGCTTCCGCTAAACATCAATAATTTTAGAAAAATTTCTCCAGAACACACATAAGAGATCAGTGAAAGCAGATCGATTTGAAGGGGATCTGAGATATACGAATTCATGGGAGAGATAAGTTTGAGGAGCAAGCTCTTTTGCTTGCACAGAGAATCACAGAGGAAGAGACTAAAAAAGAACTTAACCACTGTGATTTCTCTCTGCAAGCGAAGGCGCTTAGTCACAAACACGATGAATCTCGGATTTGATTCAGAAAGGAATTCTAAAGAGATCAAAAAAAGGTTTATATAGGAGAAAGAAAAGTAGGGTTTTGGGCAAGAGATTACGATGAGACTCCTATCAATACCCAAACTCGAAAGCCCAACCCCAAACTCTAAAGCCCAAACAAATTGAAGATTCACTGTTCATAATTTGCTTATATATACATTCTAGTGAGAGCGGATTGCGTATAAGTAGCCATCAATCTCAACATTACCATCCATTTTTGCTTTAAGCTTTTCAACTTCAAAGAACCATGTCTTATGGAGATAATGCATAGAGGAGGTGCGGTTTAAATCCCTTTTCTTCTTCTTTTTTTTTTTTTTTGGGTAAGAATGTTAACTTAGTTCACACATGATGAAGAAAAGAACTCGTGTGTTACATACTTACATCAAAGTGCATCTTCAACATCCGCCGTAACTTAATTACACGCTTTGTCGAAATTTTGGTCGGCACTAAAAGATTTCTTTATGAAAAGAAAGAACTTGTGGCCACCACTATCGCTGAATCCTCAGCCACATTAATTCCAAACCCATCTCTCACGGGACATATATATATATTTCTTTTTTTGTTAAAGAGTTTTTACTTGTACATACATGTTTGTTTCTCCTACTGCTTTTTTATTTCCATAGCTTTGGCTGGTGTCCACTGTCCACATAACCATTATCTTCGAGGACTGACCAAGTCAACATCCTTTAATCTTTAACAACCCTACTAAAATATTCTCCCCACCATCTTTGATTTGTATTGCCTTTCAACTTTCAGTGGTTATGCACATCAGCACATCCAAGTTGAATAATATAATATTTTAAAACGAATGAAATTAACCATTGACTTAACAAGAAATAAATAATCCAATGCAAGACTTGCTAAGTCAAGCTTCTTTACAGAGAATCTTTATTACTTTTATAAAGAGAAGTGCCGAAGCAAGACATGTCCACTACTTACAAAATCAACAAACAAATCTGTCATCGTTTAAAAAAGAAAAAAAAAATACAGTGATGATTCGGAGCCAATCTTATTGCTTTCGTGCTACTATTATCATACATCTCTTCTTTTCCCTTCACCTCTTACTAAACACCTTTGCTTCTCATACACAGTCCCTATGCCGCCAGGACCAAAGAGATATTCTTTTGGAGCTGAAAAAAGAGCTCAAGATCCCTAACGATGAGTATCATGTAATTTCATGGAACACGACCCTCGATTGCTGTTCTTGGTGGGGTGTCACGTGTGATGCTAAATCAGGACGGGTGATTTCACTAGACCTCATTATCGAGTCTGCCAACGTCTCTTTAACATCTGGCAGTAGTCTTTTTCAACTCCGACATCTTCGTCAACTAGTCTTCACACATGGCAATCTCCAAGGAGTGATTCCTTCTTCAATTGCAAATCTTACTCATCTCACATGTCTTGATCTTTCTAATAATCTATTAGTCGGTGAAGTTCCGGCTTCAATCGGTAAACTAAACCAGCTAATAGAAATCCATCTTTCCGGTAACTATCTGAGAGGTAATATTCCTACTTCCTTTGCCAACTTGACAAAGCTTTCTCAGTTAGTCCTCTCTGAAAATCAGTTCACGGGTGGGATTACAGTAGTAGCCAATCTAACTAGCGTGTTCAATATAAACCTCTCCCAAAATAACTTCAAATCCTTGTTTCCTCCTGACCTAAGTGGACTCCACAAGTTAGGGCAATTCGTAGGGAGTCGAAACTCATTTTTCGGACCTTTCCCTTCATCTTTGTTCATGATTTCTTCTCTGTTCAATATTGAACTAAACCAAAACAAATTCAAGGGACCTATTGATTTTGGGAATATGTCTACATCATCTACAGTTAGGGTGTTAACTCTTGGCTACAACGATCTTGATGGACCAATCCCAGAATCTATATCGAAATTAGGCAATCTTGAAGTTTTAGATCTTAGCCATAACAATTTTGGAGGACGAGTCCCTAGATCTACATCTAAACTAGCCCACCTCGTCACCCTTGACCTTTCCTACAATAAGTTGGAAGGTCAAGTACCACATTGGTTATGGAGATCGTCTGTGTTTTCTGTTCTTCTGCTTTCTCATAATTCTTTTAGCAGCTTCGGCAAATCAGTTGAAGTTGATGACGCAACATGGCTAAATGAGTTGGGTCTTGGTTCAAATTCACTCCAAGGGCCATTTCCCCAATGGATCTGCAAGTTCAAAATTTTACGGACGCTAGACTTGTCAAACAACCACTTCACTGGTTTCATTCCTCAGTGTTTGAATTCTCTTCAGGATTTAAATCTTCGAAACAACGGTTTAAGTGGATCTCTACCAGACTTCAACAACAGTGATTTGCGATCGCTTGACGTTAGCCGCAACAGTTTGGTTGGAGGGCTTCCAAAATCTTTAACCAACTGCACGTCCATGCAACTTCTGAATGTGAAAGGAAACAAGATCAACGACACGTTTCCATTTTGGTTGGACTCTCTAAGTACACTAATGGTTCTTGCGCTCGGATCAAATGCATTCCATGGTCCAATCTATCAACCATCAACCTACTTAGGGTTTCCAAGTCTGAAGATCATTGACATATCCAATAACAGCTTCGTTGGATCATTGCCGCAAGACTACTTTTCCAATTGGTCTGCAATGCCATTTGTGTTTAGTGATGAAGAATATCTAAGCTACATGGAGGATTCAACTATGTATAAAGATTCGATCAATTTGGTGAGCAAAGGAGTAGCCACAGATTTTGTTCGGATCCCTGTCTTCTTTAAAGCCATTGATTTCTCTGGAAACGGATTCTCCGGACAGATCCCTGAATCCATTGGTGTATTGAGCGGATTACGTCTCCTCAACTTGTCAGGCAATGCATTCACAGGCAGTATCCCACCTTCTTTGGCGAATATTACAATCCTCGAGACGTTAGACCTATCGCGAAATAACTTGTCGGGTGAAATTCCTCGAGGTCTTGGGAACCTCTCGTTTCTGTCCAACATCAACTTCTCACACAATCACCTACAAGGGTTTTTGCCACGGAGCACACAGTTTGAAAGGCAAAACTGTTCTTCATTTTCGGGGAATCCTAAACTCCATGGTCTTGAAGATATTTGTGGAGAAATCCATGTTCCTGTTCCTAAATCGCAGCAACACGAGGAATATTTGTTGGAATCGGAGGAGCCGTTGATTCATTGGGTAGCAGTTGCAATAGCATATGTGCCTGGTGTGTTTTGTGGGTTAGTGATCGGACATATCTTCACTTCATACAAGTACGAGTGGTTCATAGCTCGTTAAGACAGCATTATCTCATGGCAGTCTCTGTTCCTAAAGCAAATGTCTTAAAACACTGTAAAACTTGTGTCCCAAGCAAACGAAAGCCTTGCTGTTTCAAACTTTGGAGTTGTAGACGATGTAATGTTTATATGAGGAAAAAAATCAAATAAACAAACAAAAACAGTTTCACTGTAGAGATTGTTAGGATCCAGTATCCACATTAGGATCCAATAATAGAGAGAGCGACAAAAGGAAGTTAAGTCAAGTGATGATGCTGAAAAATATGATGTTTAGAATAATCTGATTTCTAACCGTTGAATAAAGAAATACGAAACCGGACAGAAACAAAAAAATCTTAAAACTGAAACGAACAGATTATTATATGAAAGTTCCTAAAGAAACACAACGAAAAGAGGATTAGTGTGACAATCACAGCTTACGAGTCACTAGCTTTGTGCTTTCCTTTTGCGTTTTCTTCCAAGAGATGTGCCTCGTTGGATTTGAACCATACTCGGAACATAATTCAAAAGAACTGAGGATATGAATTTACGATCTCCACCAAGATGATATTCTTTTAAGCGTTTGTTTTCTCGCACAATATCTAAGAGGTTGTCGGGGCTCAAATACAACACAACTTTGTTCTGCTCGTCTCTCAAGAAACTCATCCCTTTATAAAAATTATGGAAATATCCACCATGTTTTCTCTCATGTTTCCTTGTTACTGCTACAGACCTTTTCCATGATCCGGTACTAGTTCTCACCCATACTTGAAAATGTGGATGTGTCGCCTCATACATCAACAATCTGTCGTCATCGAGTGTACGATGACCTAAAAGACAAAGCTGCTCTTCTCTAACAACTGATAAAGCCGATATATTATGCGGAAAAGGATGAGGAAGAGACAGAATTTGAAACTTCTCTGTTGAAAAATCAAAACTTAGTAAGGATTCATGAGCAACCCAATAAGTAATCCCTTTAACAGATACGCCACGACGATGTGCTGCTAAAAACCAATCAGTATCCACACCAAGAACTCTCCACGAATCAGAGGTCAAGTCATAAATCTCGTACTCATTCTTGATTGGTAATATAATTTGACGATCCACCCTCAAGATTTTGTATTGCTTGCATGAGGATTTGTTGTCGTAACCTAGAGCATAGTAGTCGGATTTCTTGTAGCTGTCTCTAGGTTTAATCCACTTGGTTTCCCCTGAACATGGATTCCAAAGCACGAGTCTATTGTCTACGGTGGTGCACAGCAATAAGCCATCGTCGGAGTCAAAGACGTTATATATACCGACGACTTGTGAAGAAGATTTAGGAAGATCAGGATCTTTAAGGTTGAATGGAGCTGATACGTTAACAGATGGAGGAGCATCCTTGTTGTTAGGGAAATTGATCCTCAATAAGCAAACCCTAGAATGAGCCAACGTGATAATAAGAGACTCCTTTGGCGCATTAGCAGAGTGCTTCTCAGCAAATCTCTTACATTCCAATAGAACGTTCCATTGTTTCGATGTTGATCGCCATCGTGCTACAGATTTAGCTGGAGCCCTAGAGAGTATCTCCTCTACCAAATCTTCTGGAAGGCTTCTACCTTCCTCCATAGAGACTTGTGATTAAAAAACTTGTGATACAATATGAGAACGAGAGATGGAGAAAGAGCAAGCCTACAAGCCGAGAAAGACCTAATTCCCAATTTGTATATCGATTTCCTATATTGAAACTGAGCCAATGAATACAATTACATATTTGGCTATTTCCATACTCTAATTATAGAGTATCCTATCTAATAAAAAGGTATCTTATTACATAAATTCCTAAAACAAACAAGAATCTTAGGCAACGTGTAAAATACTAAAATGTAAACACTATGAAACTTGTGTGACAAGCAAACGAAACCCTTGCTGTTTCAAACTTTGGAGTTGTAGACGATGTATGAGGAAAAAAATCAAGTATATCTTTTTTTTTCATATAAAACCAATGTTTTTAAAACCGGACCGGTGATCGAACCGTAAAAGTTTTGGTCATGGGTCAACCCGGTTCGACCAGGTTCGACCTGGTTAGTGATATTTTAAGAATAATCAAATTCACCTTAACAAACATCAATATAAGAAACAAAAACGTAAGACAATGGTTAAATGAGTTGATGTGGTGTAGTGGTAATCATCTTTCTCGTACAATTAAGAGGTAATAAGTTCGATCCTCAGCAACACCATTTGGTTTCAGTTTTGGCATCATAGTTTTAATTCAAAAACAAAAGAAAAATTAATATTAAAACTGTAAACCCGGGTTAATCCGGTTTAATGGTTCGCCGGTTTCCGGTTTTCAGCCGGTCGAATCTGGGTTGTTATCCGGTTCAGTTACCACCGGTTTTCTATGACAACCAAACCGCTCTCTCTCCCGGTTCGTGGTTGAACCCGGACCACCGGTCCGAGTTTAAAAACATTGTATAAAACCCACAGTTTGAAACATTTTAAATCAATTTATTTATATACATAAACGCCAAACGTAAATAAGAGATGAACATTTCGCTTGAGTTTGTAATTTAGAAAATCTCTGTTAGAGATTTTGAAAAATGAAAATAATATTCAAAATGCAAACACCTGTCTTCGAAGGGGAACCCATAAATGCATAACGTAACTCATCATATTGGTACAATGGTACTAAAAGTCAAGGGCAAAATAATATACCCAAAATATTTTCATAATACTAAAAGCTGTGATCTCAGATCCACCAAATACGGTAGAGTATTTTCGTGGGAGGAAAAGACAGTCACATGGGTACGACATTCTCAGCTTTTAGTTAAAAGAAGCTAACATGTGTATAATGAAATGAAAATATGATATAATGTGCGAAATACCAACATAAATTTTGTGCTGACAAACTCTTGGCGAAATACTCAAGAAGACACCATCGTAAGTTACGATTCGTAATTGACTCGACTCATCATATCTTATCTATGAATACATCATACACGACTCCACATATGTCATGGAAATGTTGAAATATTTCTTTGACGATGGTTTTTAAAAGGGTCGACATGTTAAAAGATACCAAACGCAACGTGTACTTTAGTTGGATTGGAAACGAATTAAAATATTTATATAATTATCCTCAACTTAAATTTTAAGATCTAATCAAATCAATACTTGAATTAAAAAGATTAGAAAGATCTTCGTATCATTGCAAATGTCTATGATTTTGCTTAATAATTTGCACAAGAAACCGAAGCAATGTGAACAATACGATACACGACCTCAGAAAAATCTTCTAAATCAAATACATGCATAAACAGTTCATAATCTCCGGAGAAAATCCTGAGTACTTAACGCTTCATCTCTTTTTCAGTTGACATTATTAACTTTAATTATCTTGACAAAATTGAATTCATAAATTTGTAGCGTAAACTTGTATGTATACTTGCAGCTAGTTTGTTTTTGATTGAACTCGTACTCACATGATTGCGCCTTCATGGCCACAGCTCGATAGTAATTAAGATCTCATTTAGACCACCATTACGCAGTGGTGGAAGTATGTTGAATGGCAGAATTATGCATTAAGTCTTCTCCTCATACGGTCGCTTGAAAAGATGTGCAAACATATCTAATGATCTGTTTGTTTAGCTGTTTCAAACTCACTATTTCTTTTCTTTATAATTATATTTTTTATTCACTCAGTTTATTGAAAGTCGTCTTCCTCTTTTCATTAACGTTATTATCTACATGTTCAAAGCGAGGCTGTGTTTTTTTTATTTAGAAATTTGGTGTCGACCATATGCTTTCTTATTAGATCATTTTGAGAGAAATTATATGCAAAGGAGGAGTAGATACATTTGTCGACCGAAGATGAGTTCAAGAATTGGAATCCCTATGCTGCTGATCTTGCTTTTCTTCCAAGTTTGTTATTCTTCTGCGCACACAAATGTTCTGGATGGTAAGTGTAATTGAAGTCTCAAGGTTTTTTCATATATAAGAATTTCAGAATCATTGACTTGATTTCAAAATTGGTGCAGCTTCTGCTTTGCATGCCCTGAAGGCTAAATGGACCAGGTTTCCTGAAAGTTGGGAAGGCTTAGTTCCTTGTGGAACCAACTGGCTTGGAATTACATGTAGCAAAGACCGTGTTGTTTCAATGTAACAGTTTTTTCTTTTTTTCTTTTGCTGCTTCTTCCGATAATTAATCATCTAGAGACTCTAACGTTGTGTTGTTGATTGTTACAGATCACTAGATCATCTTAACTTGGAGGGAAAGCTTTCTGAGGATATTTCAGCCTTGTCTGAATTGCAGATCTTGTAGGTCTTACTTCTTTCTTTTTTTACGTAGAAAAAATGAATTTTGTTATCATATTATATATTCCCGTCTTTGTAGGGACTTGTCACATAATATTGGACTATTCGGACCTCTTCCACCAAATATAGGGGACCTTAAGAAGTTGAGGAACTTGTAAGCAAAAAAAAAAGACAACAACTTATATACATCCCCTTGTCTTATCTCCTATTTTAACAAACACTTTGTACTCTGAAGGATCCTTATGGGATGTAGTTTCAGTGGTCAAATCCCTGAGTCCATTGGGTCTCTAAATAATCTTATATATCTGTAAGATTTGTTTCTTCCTATTACTAAAAACAATTTTTTTTTGTTTGCCACTTTCAAGCCTCTCTTAACCTAATATTGTTTCCTCCATACAGCTCCTTGAATTTAAATAAATTTAGTGGAACAATCCCAGCTTCCATTGGACGTTTATCAAAACTATATTGGTTCGATATAGCTGACAATCAGATAGAGGGAACGATTCCAATTTCTAATGGGACTTCTTCACCAGGACTTGACATGCTTCATGAAACAAAACATTTGTATAAACAATTCACAAATCTTTATATTTTTCTTTCTATATAATTACTAATTTTTACATGATAATTGATCTGGAACTCACGTTCGCTTGAGTGGCAGTCATTTTGGAAAGAACAAGCTTTCAGGCGATATCCCAGAAAAGCTCTTCAGCTCTAACATGACTTTGATACATGTGTAAGTTAGTACATGTGAAAGTTGAGAGTTTACAAAAATTAAACGTGTAACGGAATAAGTGATTAAATTGCACTGTTTGTTGTTTTATGGATAGGCTATTCAATCACAACCGATTCACGGGAAAAATACCAGACAGCCTCAGCCTCGTTAAAACGTTGATAGTGTTGTAAGTATTCAAAGAGTGTTCAAATTTTATATACATATCCTAGCTTCGTTAATCTCATGTGTTCTTTTTTGTCCCAGGCGTCTCGATGTGAATGGGCTAAGTGGAGACATTCCTTCTGGTCTTAATAATCTCACGAATCTTAACGAACTGTAAGTAACGAACTGTAAGTGATCACTAAGTTTTCTTTTGTCTGTCGTATCCTCTATATATAATTGAAAAGAGGTTAAAGATTTTGTAGTTGAATCCATTTCAGCCACTTGGCCAACAACAAATTTACAGGTAGTCTTCCAATTCTAAGCAGCTTGACCAGTCTATTCAGATTGTAAGTTTTCATTTATATTTATCTTTTGTGCCGTCACTACTCTTCCAAAACTTTCATTTTTATTAAATCTAATGGCATAATGTGATTGTACTGTAACAGAGATGTTAGCAATAACACTCTGGATGGATATGTCACACATTCCATCGTGGATCTCTTCATTACATCTCTTGACAACATTGTATGATCACTCTCTCTATATCTACAAATACATTTATATGGATTACTTTGGGCTGGGGCTGGTAACCACAGCATGTAATCTTATATCATGACTTCTAGCCTTCTAGGATTTTCCTAAGAAGCTTTCCAAGGTGAACTAACAACACTTAGTTTATCTCTATCTAAGAAAAAGTGGGTTTTTCCTTCACAGAAAAATGGAAGCGATCCAACTTGTAGGTCCAATACCATTCTTCCTCTTCAGCCATATTCAGTTGCAGATTGTGTGAGTAATAAAAAACATAAAACTATGATAGGGATCCAACTCAAATTGTAAAATCTCAACTGAATTTCTTTTTTGTTTGTTTTACTTGCAGTAACCTAAAGCGCAATAGGATAAACGAAACTTTGGACTTTGGTACCATTAATAGCAGCCAGATGGAGTTTGTGGATTTGCAACACAATAATATAACTGACTATAAACCACCAACTAATAAACGCATCAAAGTAATGTAAGTATGCTGGTCACAACTCATTTTTTTTGTTTTCATCAACCAATTACTTATGCATGTTGATATTTTGATAGATTGGCGAATATTGAGTATACAGTCCGGTTAATGTTCCGGTTAATTGTTATTGGGTTGATTAGTTTCCTTTAGCTAATAATCCTTGTATATAAACAACATTGTATTCACTTTTACAAATTAATGAGAAATGTTAATCACATATTTAATATGGTATCAGAGCCCTAATAAACTTTTCGCTGACACTTTCTCATTCTTTCTCACTCATTTTCTCGCCTTTTCTCAGCGTTTCTCAGCTCGATTTTCTTCTTTCTCTCGCTGAATTCGAGCTCGTTCTCTATCGAATCTCTCAATCGATGAGTGTCTCGTGTTCGCGATTGTTTTCTGAGCTGATTCTCGCTGTTTCTTTGGCAATTTGGGTGATTCTTCACGCTTTTTTGCATCTTGTTCTTCTCGCTATTTTTCTCTTTGTTTGACCTCCGATTGCTGCTTTCTCTTCATTTTCGGCGCAATCTTTCTTCTGTGATTCAATTTCCGCTTCACAATCATGGATCCTCCTCCTGCGATTCCTCAATTTCTCGACCAATACGAGAATCCGTACTTTCTTCACAGCTCAGACCATGCTGGCTTGATACTCGTTTCCGATCGTCTTCAATCCGGCGCCAACTTCCATTCTTGGCGACGCTCGGTGCGTATGGCTCTCAATGTACGTAACAAACTGGGATTCATCGACGGTACGATTCCAAAACCACCTGATAATCATAGAGATGCTGGTTCTTGGTCCCGTAGTAATGATATGGTCGCGACTTGGATTATGAATTCCGTCAGTAAGAAAATTGGTCAGAGCTTGCTGTTCATGAGTACTGCGGAATCGATTTGGAAGAATCTCTTGGCTAGATTTAAGCAAGACGATGCACCTAGAGTGTTTGAAATTAAACAACGCTTAGGTAGTCTTCAACAGGGATCCATGGATGTTAGTAGTTTCTATACTGAGCTGATGACTCTTTGGGAAGAGTATAAGAACTATATTGAGCTCCCTGTATGCACTTGTGGTCGATGCGAGTGTAATGTTGCTGGTTTATGAGAATCTTTACAACAGAGGAGCAAAGTTATGAAGTTTCTCATGGGTTTTAATGATGCTTTTGAGCCGACTCGCCGTCATATCTTGATGATGAAACCAATTCCTTCGATTGAAGATGTCTTTAACATGGTGGCACAAGATGAGCGTCAGAAGTCGATCAAACCAAGCTTGAGACAGGACAATGTTGTTTTCCAGAATTCTGGACCTCATGATGATACTCGTTCTCTGTCATCTGAGGATAACGTTGCGTTTGCTACACAGTACAACAACAACTATCGTCCTCGTCAGCGTCCTCTTTGCACCCATTGTTGTCAACTTGGTCATGTGGTGAATAAATGCTTCAAGCTCAATGGTTATCCTCCGGGTCATAAGTTTCACAATGCCTCTGGATCCAATTCGTCTTCTCAGACTTCCCGTGGCTCGAACCAGACTCCTGCTCAGTCTCAGAATCGATCTCAGCCACCATCTTATCAGAAGAGCAATACAGTGGCAACTGTGATGAATGCACCATCTACCAATGCCATCAACATTGACTTGAGCCAACTCAACACAGATCAATTCCAGACTTTGCTTCAACAGCTCCAAAGTCATGTTAAGTCTTCTGCGTCTCTTGTTCCTGTTCAACGTGCGTCTATTACTGAGGGAGGTCATATGGCTAGTGAATCGTCTGCTGGTATCGTCTCTTCTCTTTCTCTTGATATCCCTTTTCCATCTTCTAGCCTTCGTTTTGAGAACAATTGCCTTACTTTTCAACACCAATGCCTATCATCTCTTTATAACTCTTTGCCTAGTGGATCTTGGATAATTGACAGTGGAGCCACGACTCACGTTTGCTCTGACCTGTCCTTGTTTAGTGAAACTTTTTCAGTGACTGGTGTCACAGTCTCTCTCCCGAATGGCATTAGAGAATCGATCTCTCATACTGGCACAGTGCATATTCATTCATCATTGACATTGCATAATGTTCTGCATGTTCCTTCTTTTCGTTTTAACTTGATCAGTGTTAGTAGCCTTCTTAAAACTAATGATCGTTCTGCTCATTTCTATGCTGATCATTGTATCATTCAAGAATCTATTCAGGGCTTGATGATTGGTAGAGGCAATCTTATCAACAACCTTTACATTCTTCAAGTCATTGCTGATTCTCCTGTTTCTTCAAATTTCTGTGGATCCTTGCTCGATGATGGTTCTCTTTGGCACCAGCGCCTTGGACATCCATCTCCGGCCAAGTTACAACATATTTCTGGTATTCTGCATCTACATAAAGCTTCTTCTCCGCATCATTGCAGTATTTGCCCTTTGGCCAAACAAAAACGTCTTTCTTTTCCGTCAAATAATCGTTTGTCAAAATCTCCTTTTGATCTTGTTCATTTGGATGTTTGGGGTCCTTTCTCCGTAGAATCTATAGAGGGTTACAAGTACTTTCTCACCATTGTTGATGATTGTAGTCGTGTAACTTGGATTTATATGATGCGTAATAAAAGTGAAGTTTCTACAATTTTCCCGGCTTTTGTTAAATACATTCAAACTCAATATCATTTGACTATAAAGATCATTCGTAGTGATAATGCTCCTGAGCTTGCATTTCCTAAACTGATTCATGAGCATGACATCATTCATCAATATTCATATGCATATACTTCTCAGCAAAACTCTGTTGTTGAACGCAAGCATCAGCATTTACATAATGTTGCTCGTGCCTTACTTTTTCAGTCAAATTTGCCATTGGTTTATTGGAGTGATTGTGTTTACACTGCCGTTTTCCTTATTAATCGTATCCCTTCTCTTCTTTTGGATAAACTTAGTCTCTTTGAAATCATTTCCAAGAAAACTCCGGACTATTCTTTTCTTCGTTCTTTTGGCTGTTTGTGCTATGTCTCTACTTTACCAAAAGATCGAAACAAGTTTTCAACTCGTGCTGATGCCTGTGTTTTCTTGGGCTATCCCTCTGGTTGCAAAAGTTACAAAGTTTTACATTTGGATTCCAATATTATTTCTATCAGTCGCAATGTGGTTTTTCAAGAAAATGTTTTCCCCTTTCAAAATGATTCTTCTGTTTCTTCTGATGATGTGTTTTCAAGAACGATTTTGCCTTTACCTATTCCGGCTTGTCTTGATTCACCGGTTTCAAATCTTGGTCCTGTTGCATCTTCTTCATCTCGTGGCCCTGCATTACATACTCTTGATGCATCTCATTCATCTTTTGATTCTGCATCTCATGTTCCTGATGGATCTCATTCATCTCATGCATCTGCATCTCAATCTAATGCCACTTCACCACGAGAGACTGTTACACGAGGCACTGGACAAAGTCGCCTTCTCAATGGCATTTCACGACCAAAGCGTGCGTCAAAGGCTCCAGGTTACTTATCTGAGTATCACTGTTCCCTTACTCATCTTTCCCAGCCTTTAGCTACTCCTTTTGACATCCCTTCCCCTGAAACAATACCTTCTTCCACCGTTTACCCTTTATCAAATGTCCTTACCTATTCTGCTCTTGCTCCTTTATACCAAACATACGTTCTTTCCTATTCTCTTGAGACGGAACCAATGACTTTTAAGCAAGCCATGACCTCTCCTCATTTTCGACATGCGATGAATGAAGAACTCGAGGCCATGGAGGTAAACAGGACTTGGACTATTGAATCATTGCCTCCTGGTAAGAATGTGGTGGGTTGTAAATGGGTCTATACCATTAAATATAAAGCTGATGGTACGATTGAACGTTATAAAGCTCGATTGGTTGCCAAAGGTTTTACTCAACAGGAAGGTGTTGATTTCACGGAGACGTTTTCCCCTGTTGCCAAGCTCACAAGTGTGAAGTTGCTTCTTGCGCTAGCTGCTATCAAGGGATGGAGTCTATGCCATATGGATGTCTCTAATGCCTTTCTTCACAGTGACTTGGACGAGGAAATTTACATGAGTCTGCCTCAGGGTTACACTCCTGCTTCTGGAACTCTTCCTCCGAATCCAGTTTGTCGTTTCCACAAGTCGCTTTATGGCTTGAAACAAGCTTCTCGTCAGTGGTACCACTGCCTCTCCGATGTCCTTCTTCGTTCTGGATTCATACAATCAGCGTCTGACAATACTCTCTTTGCTAAACACGTTGGTGACAAGTTTACTGCCGTTTTAGTCTATGTCGACGACATCATGATTGCCAGTAACGACGAGGTGGAGGTTGCATCTATCAAGTCATCCCTGAGCTATGAATTCAAGATTAAGGATCTCGGCGAGCTCCGTTTCTTTCTCGGTCTCGAGATTGCTCGTTCCTCTCTTGGCATCTATGTTTGTCAGAGGAAATATACCTTGAATTTGCTCTCGGATGCAGGTTTGCTGGGTTGTAAGCCGAGTTCTGTTCCCATGGATCCTACTGTGAAGCTCACTAAGGAGTCTGGCACTGTTCTTCCGGATCCCACTCCCTATCGTGCTCTCGTTGGTCGTCTCTTGTATCTGACCATTACTCGGCCTGATATTACGTTTGATGTGCATTGCCTGAGTCAATTCATGCACTGCCCCACGGATGTGCATCTTGCTGCTGCACACAAGATTTTGCGCTATCTCAAGAACAATCCAGGCCAAGGTCTTTTCTACTCTGCTTCTTCATCGGTTTGCCTCAATGCTTTCTCCGATGCTGATTGGGGAACTGATACTGAGTCTCGTCGATCGATCACGGGTTATTGTGTTTACCTTGGTCAATCGTTGCTCACGTGGAAATCCAAGAAGCAGGATGTTGTAAGTCGAAGTAGCACGGAATCTGAATATCGGAGCATGGCTCAAACGACGTGTGAACTACTCTGGCTTCTGCAGTTACTCACCTTTTTGAGGATTGAGGTATGCACTTCTGCTAAGCTTTTCTGTGACAACAAGTCTGCGATTTACATCGCTACAAACCTCGTCTTTCACGAACGTACGAAGCATGTGGAGATTGATTGTCACACTGTCCGTGATCAAGTGAAGAATGGATTCTTGAAGTTGATGTATGTGGCTTCTGAGAATCAACATGCAGATATTTTCACGAAGCCTCTTCACCCTGGTCCTTTCTTCTCTCTTCTCAATCGAATGTCTGTTTCAAGCCTCTTTTCTTCTCAGTGTGGCTCTGAAACTTCGGCTTGAGGGGGGTATATTGTGTATACAGTCCGGTTAATGTTCCGGTTAATTGTTATTGGGTTGATTAGTTTCCTTTAGCTAATAATCCTTGTATATAAACAACATTGTATTCACTTTTACAAATTAATGAGAAATGTTAATCACACATTTAATAGCGAATAATCCTGTATTCCAGAAGGTGGTGAAAGAACCGAAGTATGTTCAGCAATCCAGCACAATTTCTCATATTTTTTACCATCCGAAAAAACTGTTCTTCCTGCGATCAAGATAAAGAAAGGAGTCCCTCGTGCAGTCGTGCTGCTGTGTGGTAGATCCATAAGTATTTGAATTATGTTATAGTTTTTTCCTTGCTTCCTTTCATGAAGACGACATTGAAATGTTTTATGAATATAGGAGAGAAAAAAGAGAAAATACGCTATTTCTTTAGTTTATTTATATGCGATCGACGAGAAACTAATATATGTAAGTTATAGCAAAACAGTCTTATGAAGAAAAAAAACATATAGAGAAACAAACTTGTTTGCGGAACGAACTAGATCTTTCAAACTCTATATCTTCAAAGAAAACAAGCTAATATCTCAACTTAATAGCCCACAGAAAATCTAAAACATGAAAACCATTAAAAGAAAAAATGAGAGACTTGGATTATCAGATAGATAAGGCCATGAATTAGCGTGACAATTACATGTCATGTCATGTGCTTGTGCTTGGTGCTTCCCTTTCGCTTCCTCCAGGAAGAGAATTAACCTTGTTGGATATTTGAGCCAAACTTGGAACATAATTCATGAGAACTGAGCAAGATTGTATGGAACCTCCACCAAGATTCTCCACTTGTGTGTGATAATTGTTTCCCACAATGCGTAAGATGTTGTCGAGGCTCAAATACACTATAACATTGTTCAGCTCGTCTGCCAAGAAACTCATCCCTTGAAAAAAATTATATACATAATAGGACTTATACTTAGACTTTCTATTTGATGCTGCTATGGAATTTCTCCATGACAAGCCTGTTCCAACACTTGTTGCCACCCATACTTTGAAATTATCACTGCGTCCATATGGAGATGAATTAGTACCCAACAAACAAAGCTGCTCTTCTCCAACCACTGATAAAGACGGATTCCCAAAAGGAAACGGATGAGGAAAAGATTGACTTTGAAACATCTCTGTTGAAAAATCGAAACTTTGTAAGAAGTAACCAAATGACCTTCTTGCTGCAACCCAAAAAGCATTTCCGTTAACACATATGCCGCGAAAATGTTTTGGTAAAACCCAATCAGTAGCCACACCGAGCACTCTCCACGAATTAGAGGTCAAGTCATAAACCTCGTACTCATTCTTGGTCGTCAAAACACTGTATTGACGATCCACCCTCAAGATCTTGTACGATCTGTCGTTGTCGTAACCGAGAGCATAGCAGTCGGTTTTCTTGTAGCTTTCTCTAGGTTTGATCCAGTTGGTTTCCCCTAAGCATGGATTCCAAACCACAAGTCTATTGTCCATCGTGGTGCACAGAAATAAGCCGTCGCAGTGAAAGACGTTACGTATATCTACTTGCGAATCAACTTCTGAAGAGCGCGGATCTTTAAGGTTGAATTGATGCCCTACCTTAGCAGATGGATCACAACCGTCGTAGATTCCATGGAGATTGACCTTTAGTATGAAAACCCTAGAATCCATCAACATGATGAACAGAGACTCCTCCTTTGGTGCATTAGCAGAGTGCTTCTTAGCAAAGCTCACAGATTTCAACAGAGCGTTCCATTGTTTAGATGTTGATCGAAATCGTGCTATAGATTTAGCCGGAACCCTAGAGAAAATCTCCTCTATCAAATCCAATGAAAGGTCTCTTCCGTCCATATTAGCCATACTGTGATTGAATAACTTTATTTTTCAGTCAAAGTTCAGAAATCTATGGATATATATGATCAGAATACGAGAGCCAGAGATAGAGCAAGCAACAAGGGACAAAGACCTAAACCCTAATAAATCACTAGTTATATACATGGCTCTGTTTTCTATTCTAATGGAGATTAAGATGGATCAAAGACTAGAAGATGACCATCAGGAAAGAGAGAGATCACCTTGAAGACCCGAGTTCCAAACGAAGATGGTAGAAGTCGATGATGATAAAGAGTAAAGTCGGAAAAAAAACTGATTAAAATAAAGCGCAAAATACCCTAACATGTTGTTTACACAAACTGTACCAAACAAACCGACAAACCGGTTAACATAAAAGACATACCGTAAGATGAATTTAATAAACCAAATGGCGAGTACAAGCATAGTTTGATATCTTCGTATAGCAAAGATTGGTGATGGGCTTATTACAAAGAAAGGTTGGTTAAGTGGTATAGTCAAAATTCATCATCAAATCCAACGGCTTCTGAGTTCTGATTCACCTATTGCTCCTCCACCATCATCCGAACCACCGTCTGATCCTTCAGTCACTAAGCAAAGCAACGTGGGACGATGAAATATTTTTTCCATTTCAAACTCTATATCTTCAAAGAAAACAAGCTAATGACAGTGTGTATCTAGTCAAAAGCTTTATATCTCAACATACTAGCCCACAGAATATCTAAAACATGAAAACCATTGAAAGAAAAAAATGAGAGACTTGGATTATCAGATCGATAAGGCCATAAATTAGCGTGACAATTACAAGTCTTGTGTGCTTGTGCTTGGTGCTTCCCTTTCGATTCCTCCAGGAATAGAATCATTATTGTTGGATATTGGAGCCAAACTTGGAACGTAATTCATAAGAACTGAGCAAGATGGTATGGAAACTCCACCAAGATTCTCCACTTGTGTGTGATAATCATCGGCTCATCGCCCACAACGTGTAAGACGTTGTCGAGGCTCAAATACACTACAACATTGTTCTGCTCGTCTGCCAAGAAACTCATCCCTTGAAAAAAATTATATACATTATAGGACTTATCCTTAGGATTTCTATATAATGCTGCTATGGAATTTGTCCATGACATGCGTGTTCCAACACTACTAGTTGTTGCCACCAATACTTTGAAATCACCACTGCGTACATGTGGAGATAAAGTAGTACCCGACAGACAAATCTGCTCTTCTTCTCCAACCACTGATAAAGACGCATTCCCAAAAGGAAACGGATAAGGAAAATACCGACTTTGAAACATCTCTGTTGAAAAATCGAAACTTAGTAAGAAATCACCAAATTGCCTTCTTGTAGCAACCAAATAAGTATTTCCCTTAACACATATGCCGCGACGATGTTTGTCTAAAACCCAATCAGTAGCCACACCAAGCACTCTCCATGAATTAGAGGTCAAGTCATAAACCTCGTACTCATTCTTGGTCGTCATATCATTGTCTTGACGATCCACCCTCAAGATCTTGTACGATTTGTCCTTGTCGTAACCGAGAGCATAGTAGTCGGTCATCTTGTACCTTTCTCTAGGTTTGATCCAGTTGGTTTCCCCTAAGCATGGATTCCAAACCACGAACCTATTGTCCATCGTGGTGCACAGCAATAAGCCGTCGCAGTGAAAGACGTTATGTATATGGACTTGCCGATCAACTTCTGAAATTTTTGGATCTTTAAGGTTGAATTGATGCCCTAACTTAGCAGATGGAGCATAACCGTCGTTGATTCCATGGAGATTGACCTTTAGTATGAAAACCCTATAATCCATCAACATGATGAACAGAGACTCCTCACTTGGTGCATTAGCCGAGTGCTTCTTAGCAAAGCTCACAGATTTCAACAGAGTGTTCCATTCTTTCGATGTTGATCGAGATCGTGCTACAGATTTAGCCGGAACCCTAGAGAGAATCTCCTCTATCAAATCTGAGGGAAGGTCTCTCCTCTCAATACTAGCCATACTGTGATTGAATAACTTTATTTGTCAGTCAAAGTTCAGAAATACGAGAGCGAGAGACAAAGACCTAAACCACTAGTTATATAGATGGCTCTGTTTTCTATTTGAAAACACCGATCCCTTGTAAAAGTTGTAATCAATGTAAAAATTAATTGTTTTTTTTTTTTTTGACTATTTGAATTTTGTAGAATATATTTTTTTATTTGTTGAATTGTGTTGGAGTTGATGATAAAATATGTTATCTTTTGAAAAAAGAAAAATTAATTACTTCTAATATGTGTGCAAAATCCTCAAAATTCAAAAAAAACTATGGAGATGGAGTAATGAGGTAAACAATACTAGTATTCAATCATCACAATATTATAGAGTTCTTTATAGTTACGGGACCAATTACCAATGTATATGTAAATCTCTTAATGCAATTGGTTACGAATAATAAGTCATCACAATGAGTAGAAATTGAATGAATATTATGGAAACAGTCAATGAAATCAATTATTTATCACTTTCAAGTAAAGTATCGAAGACAAACACATATACCAAGCAAGAACCCAAAATAATGAACTAGAAATGAAGAATATGTATTTGATGTTATTAATGACTAATTAGCAATAAGAACAAAAAAAATACAAATCACATGCTTTTCGCTTTTCTTTTCCTTCTTCAAAGCAGACAAACTCGGAACATAATTCAGAATAACCGGGTAATATAACCCGTTGTATACTACTAGTACATCTCCACCATGCTGAACCACATGTCGTATGTGTTTATTTTCTCCCAAAATGTGCAAGTGTTTGAACTCCGGGTGCCAGTAGTACTGTACTGATTGCAACACACTAAAGCTTTGTTCTCCTCGTCGACCAAGAAACTCACCGCCGTATTAAACATCGTGAATCTATTATTCAGTGTTAGAATCTTGCTCCATGACAAGACTGATCCGGGACTAGTTGTTGTCACCCATACGTGTGAATGTGCGTCCTCATCATCCATACCTAACAGACAAAGTTGCTCTTCTCTAACCACTGATAAAGCCGCATCCCTATAACGAAACGGATGAGGAAGAGACGGTCTTTGAAACGTCTCTTTTGAAAGCATCTAGTATACGTATGACCTTGAGTTGTGTCAAGAGCAATCCAATACGTGTTTCCCTTTACAGATACGCCACGGTCAGGACAATATGGTGATAACCACACATTGATAGTCTTCACGTCAATAACCCTCCAAGAATCCGTGGTAAAGTCATGGATTTCGTACTCGTTGTCTTGGCCTTGACGATAAGCTACCCTCAGGATTTTGTATTGCTTGCAGGAGGATTTGTTGTGGTAGCCGAGAGCAAATTTATCGTATTCATCGTAGCTGTTTCTTGGTTTAATCCACTTGGTTACACCTGAACATGGATTCCAAACCACGAGCCTATCGTCCTTTGTGGTGCATAGCAATAAGCCGTCGCAGGAGGGAAAGACGTTTCGTATATCGACTTGTGAAGAAGAATAAGTAAAAGGATCTTTAAGGTAGAGTTGAGCTACTACCTTAAAAGCTGGAGCAACGTTGTTGCCGTGGATTCCACGGAGATTTATCTTCACTAAGAAAACCCTAAAATCCATCAAAATTATAGTCAAAGACTCCTCCGTTGGTGCTTTAGCAGACTGTTTCTTAGCAAAGAAGAGAGATTTCAATTGAACGTTCCATTGATACGATGTTGATCGCAGTCGTGCTAGGGATTTAGCCGGAACCCTAGAGAGTATATCCTCTACCAAATCCCCCGGAAGGCTTCTCCAGTCCATAGAGACTTGTGTGATTCAATAACTTTGCGAATCGTAAGCTGCCAAAGACCTAATTAACATCCACCCTTAGAGAAAGACCAAAAAGTATAATTTGGCTGCCTCTATTCTGTCTAGGTTTAGGTATTTTATTACGAGTTCATGTAATTGTAAATGATTCTCGTCTCTTCAAAATACCCCAAAGGTTAAATAAATTATATATAAATCTAGAATATATAACTTGGTAATTAAATAATTAATATTTGTATGATACGAATTCAGGTTGTTTGTAAAATAAGAACAGAATAATTACTAGTGAGATTTGTTAATTAATATAGCCTATTTGTTACAAATTGTCTCATCTGTATTGTTTGGCTATTTGATGCATTAGGACTACATTTGCAAGCTGAATCTCTTTAAAGAAACAAACTAATGACAAAGTGTATCTACACAAAAGCTTTATACCCTAGTGGCTCAATGTCAATACGAAATTTGGAGTTTTTTTACCATTGCAAACCCTAGAGATATCAAATGGACGCACCAGTTATGTACATACTGTAATTCCATTCAGTAACCAAGTAATCAACAACAAATAGTCGGTCTCTTACAATGTCTCACTTTCACTCTCGATTTACAAATTTCAATCAATCCATAATCCCATTATCACGTCTCTAGTATTTATCATATGCATAAAAAGAAAATATCATAAAGTCTTCATTTAGAGTATTCTCTTATTGTATTCCATCAGAAACTCTAATCCACCGCGACTCTGTTCAGCGAAAAGGAAAATGATTTACCATTGTTGATAGCGAAGGTCGCTTATTCAGCGTTGTAGACCTGGACGGATCCTTTGTAGAATTTGCGATCCTGCTTCGACTTGAAAGTCACCATATTCGCCGCTATTACCGAGTTTTCTGGAAATCGCAGAGTGAGTTTCTTCTGTAACCGTTTTTCTCTACTCTTTGCTTCTAAAGGAAGATTGTGTTGGATTTTTTTTCACAGAGCGAGAGAGATCTTATTCATGTGTGAGTGTGTGCCTTCATATAGGAGGGAAATGGGACTGCAATTTCTTCTCCCGCAGCAAATTAGAGGTTTGAATTTTAATTTCTTTTTTATTTCTTTTTTTCCCATTCTTTAATACACTGTAGTTCATTAAATGTAAATGAATTTTCTCCTTTTTAATGTTCAGATATTGTATTCGAATTTCGAGCATTGTTATTTGTTAATCTTCATTCGAGTATTGATTGTCGTTATGAACCAAGAAGCTATTAATGAATTGTTAAACAACTTAAAACTTACAAAAATGGAACTATTAAGTAAAAATAGGTAAAAATGATGTGAACACCGAAGCTGACTCAGCATCCACGTAAGCAAAACCAAACAAATTCACATCACCGTGACTTTTTGACGGAGTTACTCCAAATTCACGTCACCGTGACTGTTTTGACGGAGAAACTCCAAATCGCCGGCGATTCGATTGAAAGCAATGGTTGAATCGGAGAGAACGAAGCACACATGTCTCCGGCTTGAAATCTCCGGCGCCGATCCGATATTCGTCAAAGGCACTTGGCACCAATCTCGTTTCGATATCTCCGTCACCGATGGCTCATCCTCCTGGGTTTGCAATGGTAACAAAAAAAACCCCAAATTTCTATACTGCCATTGAGCCTCTACGGTTTTCGGATTTTCAATTTTTTTTTTGTCTTTCGTTTGAATCGGAATTGAAGCGACTGAGGAGGAGGTGGCGGATCGAGCGGCACAATGGGACCAACCTGTATCGGAGTATCTCCAGCTCGCCGAGGAGTACTTAGGGTTTCAGCAACCCAATTCCATTTACAGTTTCTCCGATGCCATTGAGGGATGTAAACGGGTCAGTTCAAATGTCTCTTATCTCCTCTATGGCTGATGCTTTGATGATTTCAATTCGCATGTAACCTCACTTGACCAAACGTTGGGTGCTTTAGCTGATTCTGTGTAGCATTAAGTAACTGAGGTTATCAAGTATAGTTGGAATTTTCGATCGAAAACAATGAGCTTTAGATTCCTTTGTTACTGGATCTTGTTTGATGGAGAAAAGGGTTCTTGATGCTCGAGTAAGGCTGAGATTTTGGATGTTGTCTTGCCTCTGATTGTGTTTGTTGGTTACACAGCTCTCTTGGACGTTTGAGAAAGAAGGGACTAAACTGGAATGGCGATGGAAATGCAAACCATCACAGGACAGCAAGAAGAGCACAGTCAGGATCTTGGACTTTCTTATGGAGGCTAATATAAGGCTAAGTGTACGTCTCTAATCTCTATGTTCTGAATTTTTGGGGCTTCTTGTGATGTTTGAGAATGAAAAGGCTATATAAGAGTTTATCATATTCTGTTTTGGCAATCAAAATATGATGGATGAGACCATTACGTTGTTTGATCTATGTTTGTCTTAGAATTGGCATCTTTGTTTGTGTTTACCTAAATTTTCTTGATGTAACCCTACAGGAAGAAGTTGTGAACAAGACGAGATCATTTGAGAAGATGAAAAGTGAAGCCGAGAAGTGCTTAGTGCAAGGTGAAAAACTCTGCAACGAGAAAACAGAGTTTGAGGATGCAACTTATGCAAAGGCATGTAACTATATAGCTTCTTGCTTAAACTAAAATCGTTGGCTTATTCTAGTCTTAGTCATGTTTAGCATTGGTCTTAGTCTTCTATTTTTTGTCGATGCAGTTTCTTTCTCTGTTAAATGCAAAGAAGGCAAAACTCAGAGCACTAAGGGACAAAGAAGATTCAGGGAGAGGAGTTGAAGAGGAACAAGAGTCAACAGACAAAGCTGAGAGCTTTGAGAGTGGAGGAAGTGATAATGAGGAGAGCGAGGAAGAGGCTTCAAAGAAGGCAACAACAAGCAGCAAAGGCCGTGGCCGGAAGAGAGCTGCACGCAGCTAAAATTATCCCATTGCCTTGAGATTTCCGGTCATAGATTCCGAGAAAACATCTTTTGGTCGAATACAGTTTGTAACTTTGTATTGCTTGTGCGTTGTGAGTTTAAAATGGAATTCTAATTTCAATGTGAACCAGAGTGAACTTCTAAACCGACGGTTATTAATTATGTCCTATACCAAGTAGAATTGAATTGAACCGGACTAATTAACAACTAACCCAAAATTTCTCATAACAATTTGTCTATTGTTTCCTTTAAATTGTTACTTTAATCTTGGCGAACAAACTCATTATAAAATTGAGGACTCTCTTAATTAGTTTTGCAAATTGCTTTCCTAACACCCTCGTTTTATTTTTCACTTAAAAAGTTAGAATAAATTTTATGCCATAAGAAGAAAAAAAACTAAAAAACTCATTGTTTATGTTGCATAGACTATACATAATACATTGATCCTAGATAATTACACTTTCAATCAAAGAACAATGAACAATGAACGGTAAGAGTTTTTGGAATTGTTACGGTTTGTGTAATGTACATAAAAGTTATATTCATGATAATTTTTGGTTCTTATAGTAATAATGATGTCACTGAATCTTAATTAACACAATAGTTGATAACAGTTACATACTTACATACAAACCTTTGCAGTAGATTAAGTGGTGGTGGCTAGTTGTTCTTCTTTGAAAATGAGTTGTAGACGAAATCTTTAGATTATCTAACCACTTCCATTTTGTTGAAACGGTGTCACGCTTATAAACCAATAGAAAATTTGGTGATTAACTTACTAATCTTAGAAAAGTTAGTCGAATATCAAAAATTCGGATTACTCTCTAATAAACAAAAAAGATCTCTAACAAATGTGTCTTTGTAGTAGTCACGAAAGACTTGTAGATTATGGTTTGTTGAATATTAAGTTTCATTTGTAGGTTGGAAAATTCTTATAGAAATTGCGATCATTTTATAATACACGAATGGAAGAAATATCAATCCTATAATTTGACGGCATAAAAAGACAAATACTATACAAAACCGTCAACCTGTAAGATTAATTATTGAACATATATATGTTCCAAACTAAAATACTGTATTTTATGAAAAAAGATTATTAATTGTTTTTCAGTAACCTTCTTTAGGAATTATTATTATGGTTTGGCTATAGACAAATGGGACCGACCCACTTATTTGTTGGATAGTCTTTCTTTTACTCCACTCAGCGCATACCTCCTCTATCACACACAGCTCAATCCTCCCACGTCTTCTTCAGAAAATCCCATTTATGGCCTTGACAACTGAGTTTGACCATTATATACACAAGGGCATATCAGGAATATAAACATAATGAGATGCTTATCTTAAACTTAAATTAATAATCAAGGGTGGTGGGAAGAGTTTTTCAATAAGGGGGTTTAGGTGTGGGATAATCAAAAAAATCAATGAGCAATAAATAAGATTGGATGCAATGCCAATAAGGATGTTATGTCTTTTCTAATTATCACTTTATTTGTTTCTTTTTATATTTGTTCAGTTAAAGGATTCATTGCTAAGTCCAAAATCACGTTTGTATACCAATAAAGTAATTTGTATGGCAATGTTTTGGTTGTTGATTGAATGATTAGTGGTTCTATGTTGTAGTTATGTCATTATGTGTGTGCTTTTGTTATGATTATAGACGATAGATAAGATATGTTATACAGGGAAAAAAAAATCTGAGTAAATATATTACCCAATTTTTATTTTGGTAAATGAACAAAATATAACAGATGTACTTTGACTACTTGCACAAAAATACTATAGTTGTAGCTAAACTTAAATTGGAGTTATGGGAAATAATAGTTTGATGTCTTGTCCTTTTGTGCTATCTTAATGATTGTGTGGAAATGTTCAATATAGTTCACATATATAATGAGATATTTGCATAATTGCTGAAAAAACTTGTCCCACACTGGCTTGAAAGCTATTTTGATTCTTGGATATCAAATATAATATTACGATTAGAAACCAAACATTTGTAGTTTACTGCTTATGCTAATCTATGCTGGTGAAAACTTACAAGATCATGAATCAATACGTGTGTATAATGTATTATGAACAACCGTATAGGATATAAAAATAGTTCAACAATCATTCAAAGATGTAAGACATCAACATATATACGATTAGTATTTTATCAACCAACTTAGGAAGTATATAAAAATTATCCAGTAAACCTACTTTTTATTAAGTTGGTAAAAACAAATGTTTAATTAGTGGAGCACTAAGAGAGACCCGTCAAGTAACGGCGTTAGCACCGACGAGGAAGGAGATGGTATAAAATAATACACACCAACAACATAAATTGCGAAGTATCATCATCATTATCATCATCATTCTCACAAGTCAGAAACAAACACACACAAGAAATAGAGAGAGAAAGAGCGGTTAAATAATTTTTCTCGCCTATCACGAGAACAATGGGTGAGCAAAAACAATCTTTCTCCTTCGATATCATCTATTTGATTGCGTTTTCCTTTATCTTGCTTCGTTTCTTGATTGCGATTGATGATCGTAGTTTCACTGAGGTCACTTCTTCATCATCTGAGAATCCTCTTTGTTTCTCTACATTTCATTTCCTTAAACTTGTTTTGTTTCGATTCCAACAAAATTTAGGAAAATCGCTCTGGTTAGCATCGAAATGAAAGAAACTTGTCATTTTGTTAGCTGCATGTTCGTTTTTGTTTAAATGCAAGAAGCATCGGCTTGTTAAACAACTATAAGTTTGCTTAGTTAAATTTAGTTTTTGAAGATAATTAAAAATTAGTTGTGACAAAGAAAGTCTCAAAGTTTATGGTTTGGTCCAAGCCATGATGAACAAAGTATCTTTTCTTGGTTGATCCTTCTTGACTATGCAAAAAAAGAGTTTGTCCGTGTGTAAACAGTTTAATACATTAATTTATCATTTAGAGAAATTGAAACAACGTTGATTATTATTATATATATATATTTGTGTATGCTTGATTATGCTTTACAATTACTATATTGTTTTCCTTTGATACAAAAGCTGTATTTGTCTTTGAGGTCCCACGTTTGGTTAGCCTAATGCTTTTTAAGGGAATAATTCAGATGGTTAGTTGAATTCTTGGTCATCATTCGTAACTAAACATACTTTAGTTTTATTAATAAGTTGTTTATATTATGTCTTTGATTATAAAGAGGCATAGTATAGTTTCTTGTGTTGAGTAGTAGATCAAATATATCTTTAAGGCACTCACTTGCAAGGTAATGGTTTCATATGAGTAATATGATCATAACTTATATCCATTTTTACTAATACGATTGGTGTTTTGTGACAGATATCTGTATGGACAAGGAGCCAGATGGTGTTGTGGTCTATGCTAATGGTGATTCTTGTAATCCCATTCAAGAAAATGTCTCTGTACTGCCTCCTTTAGATTCAGTACCACGCGATGACGAAGCCGCTGCTGAGGAAACAGAGCTCCGATACACAGAGGAGAACATTGAAGTGAAAGAATATGATGTTAAAGAGTGTACAAGTGAAATCCCAGTTGGTAAGCCATCAGAAGAAGATGGTGGAGGCTCTAAAACTGTACATAAGTCGGCTTTACCCGTGAAACATGGTTCGAAACCGGGTCGTGGGAGTAACAAAATGAGGAACACCGTTCCACAGCCGTTTGCTTTAGCCACTGAGAAGCGTGCTTCATCCGCAACACGTTCGTTTGCTGGTGAATCTCATGAAGTGGTAGCGGCTGTGTCGAAAGTGTTTCCGGATGGGTATAGTAAAGTACAAAATCAGGCCACAAAGGTCAGATTTGTATGGTGTTTTATACTAATCTTTACGCTTCTTGAATAGTAGTTTCTTATGACTAACGGTATTATTGGGATTTTCAGGTACCTAGGAAACCATTGCAGCCAAAGAACAAGAAGCTTTCTGATGAGGAAGATTCTTGCTCTGTTGCTTCTTAGTATGTTTCCTTCTCTTTCAAAGTTTATTTGTTTGGTTTCTTGAAACATGTGTGGTAATATCAAGTCTTCCACTATTGCTGACAGTGCTACTTCGGCTGCAAAGTCTTCGAAATCAAGAACTATTGTCACCGTAGCTCCATCGTTTAGATCCACTGAACGTGCAGAGAAGCGAAAGGAGGTTACATTTTTTTGTTCTTTGTAGTTACTTGTCTTTAACGTTTCCACTTTAAGTAAGTTTTTGTTACACGTTGTGCCATTGGTTTTAATTGATTATTGTTCTTCAGTTCTATACAAAGCTGGAGGAGAAACACCAAGCTATGGAGGCTGAGAAAACGCAGAGCGAAGCAAGGAACAAGGTGACATATTATAATCCTTTAAGCTCGAATTTTATAACTATGACATATATATATGATTAAATGTTTCTGATCTATATGCTTTTCTCCATTTGAAACTCAAAATTATAAAGGAAGAAAACGATGCAGCGTTAAGGAAGTTAAGAAAGAGTTTGATGTTCAAAGCAAGCCCAATGCCAAACTTTTATCATGAAGGGCCTCCTCCAAAGGTTGAACTTAAGAAGGTAACACACAAGGTTGTCTACAATTTCACTACAACATTTTCACAGAATATAGAGAAATTAAAACGTAACACTTTAAAATATTTTTGGAATTTTAAACTTTGCATTATGCTGATTTGTAATGATGTACACAAAACACAGGCTCCTCCAACTAGAGCAAAGTCGCCAAAACTTGGTCGAAGGAACACAAAAGAAGGGAACAGAGCAAAAGGTGCTTCGAGGCGGCATGAAACTCGAAAGACTCTAGTCATCTCCAAAGAAGCTTGTGATGATAATAAGACCACACAGCATTCTGATGACCAGATAAACCGGAATTTGGTACCGGAGACCGCTTTGGCATGCTAAAGAGAACCGAGAGTTATGTTTCCGTCGTGAGAATGTGTGTGGGATGGTTTGTGGGTTTTAACTTATGGATTTGAAAGTGTAAATGTGTGTAATTTAAAGTGTTGTTGATGTTGTGTTTGTGAATGTGTTACTTACATAGAAACGGGAATCTTTGTGTTGGGCTTGTTTATACCGAATCTTTTTTGTTCTTTTTGCTAAAATATATTGAGCTTTTGTTCATAATAATTCGTTCTAGACTCGACACGGCGTATATTATTTTAATTTTCATTACCTACCGACGCTACTGTGGGTGGTGAAGTAAACCATTATTTTAAATTTAAAACAAGGAAGTTGTTTGATCATTATTGGTGAGAAGTTGGTGGATGAAATGAAATGAACTGGTTATTCCTTAATCATATGTTTTAGTTACGTTGTTTTCATTATGTTGTTAAATGTTAATCTCCAACTTTGCAAGTAGACAACACTTTAAAAATGCGAAAAGCAAGATTTAGTTGTCGGGGATTTGCAACTGCATGGCCAAATAAAGAAAAGTTAATTGTCGATTTTGTCAAGGGTCGTCGACTAAAATCACCAAATTCTTATTGGGCCAATGGTTGTTTCTTGAAGTATCTCATATAGGCCTATATGGGCCTAACTAACGAGATACGTGTTCCTGTCGGCAGAATAATAAAATATGTGGCGCAACGACAGTGACCGAAGTACTGCAAGATCTTCCCAATTTCCAACACTGACAAAAAACCAAAAACATTGTAGCAAATCGTTATGTTTTTAAGACCCCACATGGCCACATCAAACATCACATTCATGCTCCTCTTCCCCTGCACGCACGTGAATCTCACCTTCTAATATCTCCTATATTTTTTTTCATACAATCTACTAATCAATAGCTGTGATTTATATTAATAGTTGTGGTTACAACTTCTAACTGACTATATAAATAAGGGGACCCTATCAACAAGTATATAAAAATAACTAGTTACCTATTACATGAACATCAAAGAAGAATTGATCTTGTATTATAATAAAAGAGTGCAAGTCATATGTCTCGATCTAGACTCTTTATATTTGGTGTATATTAAAACATGTTTATTGCAGTTTTGTTAGATCAATTTGGCTGGATGTCCCATGCGTTCGATGTCCTACTCTCACCGCATGGATTTTCATTTTTGTAACTTGTAAGACTTATATTAGAGCTTAAACTTGTAACTGATTACTAAAATAAAAGTTTCCGTTGTCAAATATTTCATTTTATAAAACCAAAAAAAATATATTTCATTTTCATTTCTGACTTTTTTTTTTTTCCTTTTCCCACCGGCTATCCTTTTCAAATATATTCAAGATCTTGAATTTTCTTTGACAAATAAAAAATTGAATTCTCTTTTATGATTTTCAGTTTTATTCGCAACTTAACAGTTTTATAGAATTATGAGGGTGATTTGTTTGGTATCAAATTACGATTAATTAACTAATCAGCTGTAATCTTATCGTAAACGATCTGTTTGGTAATCCATTTACGATTAATGGATTAGTTAACTAATCAGCTCTGTAAATCTTATCCACAGTGAACAAGACGCGCCTCAAAAAGATGCGTGAGATTTGGGTTAAAAAAGAACTTAAAAAGCCACGTCATCGCCACTGTGCTGTTCCTATCACTATCTCTCTATCACCCGCCAACGTCTTTTCGTTACAGCAAATACCAAATACCATCAAACACATTTTTTTAATTTTTTAAAAATCATTTATCAATCAATCAGCGTAAATTAATTTAAAATAAATAGGCGGAAATTTATTTCTCTTCGTTTCCTCTTCGTCGTCGTCGTCGTCTTCATCGATTTCTCTTGGATCGTCATCGTCCGTCCGTCAATGTCGTTGGATTCTCGGGTGAACAGAGGAATCCATTTCCCCTTCTAAGAAAATCTCTCTTTTGAAGCAAAATCATTTTCATTTCCTTCAGATCGAAGAACAAGTTATGGATCTTAATTTCACCGATTTCCTCCGGAGACCCTCTGTTACAGAGACATTCGTCGACATCTTGCTATGCGCAGTTCCGATTTGGCTCGCCGTCATGATCGGGCTTCTAATCGGTTGGTCCTGGCGTCCTAGGTGGACCGGATTGATTTATCTAGGGTTCCGTTCTAAGCTCCGGTTCCTCTGGACTGCGCCGCCCGGATTCGGCGCTCGTCGTCTCTGGCTCGCTTTCACCGCTCTCTCCGCTTTCTCAGTCTGCCGCACTCTATGGTCAACTCTCGCCGCCAAGAAATCAGCGACTCCGGTCGAAGAGACTCCTCCGGATGGTGAAGCAGAAGCTTTTTCACGGTTAGTCTAATGAAGAAATGAATATGCTCTTGCTTTAGTTAGCTAAATTGGTAATCGAACAAAGTTCTAAACTTTATGAGAAAGTATTGATTTTGATGTTGTTGATGGCAGAGAGAAAGAGATGGATGTAGTGACAGAGAAGGATTTAGAGCATTTGCTGTATCTGCTTGAAGCTGGGAATGCAAATATGGAGTGGCAATCTATGATGGATAAGTCTACTCCTAATATGAGCTACAAAGCTTGGCGTCATGAGCCTGAGGTAACCAAAATCAAGATCATTTTGGTTATTAGTTCAATAAAGAGAAGATCTTTGTTTCTTTATGATATGGTTCCAATGGAAAGGGTTTAGTGTATTTTGGTGGGAAGGAGCCTTGTATGGCTTAAGTACCTTTTGATTTGGTTTCTGAAAGGATATGTTCTTGTTTGGAGCCAGACAGGTCCTGTTGTGTACCGGAGTCGAACTGTTTTCGAGGATGCAAGTCCAGAGATTGTGAGGGATTTCTTCTGGGACGATGAGTTTAGACCTAAATGGGATCCTATGCTTGCCTACTTCAAGACCTTGGAGGAAGATACTCATACAGGAACAACGATTGTTCACTGGATCAAAAAGGTACTTTGTGTGCTTTTCTTCTTTTTCTTGATGTTGTTGATAGATACGCCATTGCTAATGTCCTCTGCAGTTTCCGTTTTTCTGTAGCGACAGGGAATACATCATTGGGAGGAGGATATGGGAATCTGGAAAGAAGTATTATGCTGTGACAAAGGTAACACATCTTTTGCGTTTGCTTTCTCATGGATCAGTAATGTGTCTCTCTAGTAGTTTGATTTGATAGTCTGATGATACACTGTTCAATGTGTTTGTAGGGAGTACCGTATGGAGCTCTACCAAAGCGTGATAAGCCGAGGAGAGTGGAGGTTTATTTCTCGAGTTGGATTATCAAAGCGGTTGAATCTCGGAAAGGGGATGGACAGTTGTCAGCTTGTGAGGTCTCTCTTGTCCACTGCGAAGACATGGGGATACCAAAAGACGTGGCAAAGCTAGGAGTGCGTCATGGCATGTGGGGAGCGGTCAAGAAGCTAAACTCAGGGTTGAGAGCTTACCAAACGGCTAGGAAACAAGGGGCTGCTCTGTCACGGAGCGCTCAGATGGCGAGGATCGTCACGAAGCTGAACATGGATTTGGTGGAGACGTCGTCGAGAGTGGAGGAAGAAGAGAAGAGAGGAGGAGGTGTGGAGAAGAATGCAAGGGGGCAGAAGGAGCAGTTTGGTGTGGATTGGAAATGGATCGTTGTAGGAGGAGTGGCTTTGGCTTGTGGGCTTCATTCAAGTGCTATTGGTAAGGCGTTGATGGTTGGAGCTGGACAGAGACTTGCTCGTAGGTGATAATATCTTTGGTCTCAGTGTGGCGGAGCTAGGATTTTTCTCTAGAGGGTCAAAATTAAAAAAAAAAAAACTAAAATTTTAAGTTGCCAAATTAAAAAAGAAAAAGTTGTCTACAAATGCATTACACTTCCACTCATAGTTTGAATATTCTTACGATTATCTTATATTTTTTACATCGTCAAATAGTTTTTTTTCTTCCAGTAACAAATAAGACAATCACTTCAATAATCAAATGCGATTTTGTAGTGTGATTTTCGCTCGTTTAAATCATATATTTTCATATGCTATTTTATGTGTTCCTATGAACATGTAATGAAATCTCCAATTTTACAAAACAAAAATGATATATAGTCTAAACAAGTGAAACTATAATATATTTTATGCAAGAAACATTATCTGAAATTGAATTTAAATTGATATGTTGTATTTGAGATTATTCTTGTTAATCAAAAGAATGAGACAAATTTATATTAGGTTACTTTTGCTTTTCTGTATTTTATAAAATAGACTTAAATTTAGTTAACAATTAAATAGGTAGATCATGTATAGTTTTTTTAATTTCCGTAGACTAATATTTCCGAACATATTGAGAACACTACACATCTGTTAATTGATAATTTTACTGAGAAGTAAGTAAGCTTTCATCTTCCAAAGATCTACTAGGAAGCAAGTTGAATCTACAGTAGAAACTCTATAAATTGATACTCGATAAATTAATAAACACGATAAGTTAATAAATTTATTTGGTTCCGAGTTGGACCGGTGTAAAATAAGACACAATTCGATAAAATAATAAGATAATAACTTTTTTTGAACTCCTATGTAAAATATGGTCCCAATAATATCATAAATTAATAATTATTTTTATTTTTATATATATACATATAAAATATCTACCTACTAAAATATGAATGTGTCACACACCAAACATATATGGAAACTAAAAGCAAAAAAATAATTTTTAATAATATGGCAAGTATGAGAAAATATTGAAACAACCAACATTTTTTTTTTTAATAAATATTAATCAGTTCTAGCGAAGGTCTTAAAAATAAATTAAATAAATAAAATATCAATAACAAATAAATCAGCTCAGCGGAAGCAAATAATAATTAAACAAGTCTAGCAAAATAATGCAAAACAATAAAACAGTAAACATCCTATCATCCCCCTCTTCAGCCTTGATTCCGCGATCACACAAATCTTTTACCTGCAACACATTGGAATGGAGTTGCGTAAGTATTTAATAAATACTTAGTGAGGCAATCACTCTGCCTACGAGCCATTTACGCAATTTACTAGATATTTAATAATATTTATAAACTTCAATAATTATTAAATACCATTTTCCAATTATTAAATAATTTTAATAATTAAAACTCAATTTCTCAATTATTAAATAATTCTCATAATTAAATAATAATTTTCCATATTTTAAAATAATTAAAATAATACCAATTAATTAAATAAATATTATTTAATTAATTAAATCCGAATTAAATCTATTTAATTCCATTAAACCAATTAAATTCAATTGAACCAAGATAAACCAGAATCAAATCAATTAAATTCAATTAAACCAATAAACCAGATTAAACCACACAAACACACAATTCATCACATGAACAACCAAAATATCATAAAAATAACAATTAAAACATAAACTCATCAAGAACAACCACAAACCAAATCTAATCTAGCAAATCACGGACCCACAGTCATGCACTCACCTTGACAATTGATTGAAACTGAAGGAAAAAGGAAGACGATGAACAGTGCCGAATCGCGGATGAACAGTAACCCGTGAACAGTACCGATGAACAGTAACCCGTGAACAGTACGATGAACAGTAAAATTCGAAAATCTCTCCAAAAACTCAACTTTTCTCCTCTACAGCATCTGAACTCGAAAATTCTCCAAAGAGAAGACGGCTGCACTCTTTAAACTTGATTTTAGGGCTTTCTCCACTAAACCGACCCAAACCAATTCACTTAAATTGAACCGACAAAATTCCCAATTTTTATTTTTGGTTTATGGATGTTACAACTCTTCCCCACTAAACTGGATTCGTCCTCGAATCCCAACGCAAACGTCACAAAGACCACAAAACCCAACCTCGCAAGGCCGCAACACCGGAGATCCTCACTTGATCCCCGAGACAAACGTCATATCTTATGTCATAAACACGTTCCAAGAAAATTTCACTCCTAACTCATCATCCAAACACACCAAACAACTTGTACTGAGGCCCACTTGCACCCAGACAAGTCCACACCGGTCCGCACTGAGGCCCACTTGCACCCAGACGAACCCGAAAACGTCCATACTGAGGCCCACTTGCACCCAGATGAACTAAACTGCTTATACTGAGGCCTACTTGCACCCATATAAGCTACACTCAACTGAGGCCTACTTGCACCCAGAGAGTCTGCCAGAGAACGAAGTCTCCAAAAACATGATGAGTTATTCAGGATCGCAATCCTTAGAGTAAAAATTCCGGAAAATGTCTATAACCATAAGATTAGACCGTCTCACAACCAAAAACTGGTCAAACATGTGTAACATCCGAATACCTTTTCACAACACAAGGCAAAATGAGGAAAAACTGCATCTCATTAAAACTCCAAAATGTATATCGTTACAACGAAAACGAAAATACAATAACACCAAAGCCAAAAATAACAACTGAGGCTACAAAGATGAAATAAGCTCACTCCTCGACCTGCTTGTCGAACCACTTCCTGAACTTCAACTTCATCTTTGCCTCTGGCTCCCAAGTCTCCTCTGTAGAACCACTGCAATCCCACAAAATCCTCAGTAAGGGAATCCTCTTGTTCCTCAGAACCTTTTCCCTCCTCTCTAAAATCCTCATAGGCACTGCCGGCACTGTCAAATCTGGCTGAAGATCCTCTGGAATCCTAGCCACTAACTCCTCTGTAGGGTGAAGACACTTCCTCAGCATCGACACATGAAAAACCTTGTGAAAGGCTTTCATAATCTCAGGCAACTCCAGCCTGTAAGCCAATGGCCCAACTCGCTCCACTACTGGAAACGGACCCATAAATCGCGGACTCAGCTTGTTCTCTGCTATGGATCTGTTAGGACCCCTCAACATAGCCATCTTGAGATAAACTCTATCTCCAACCTGAAACTCAAGCTCTCGTCTGCGTCTATCTGCATAACTCTTCTGCCTATCCTGAGCCTCCTTCATGTTCAGCCTCACAACACGAACCTTCTCTGTCGTCTCCTGAACATAAGTAGCTCCATACATGCTGCGCTCCCCCACTTGGGTCCAGCATAGGGGTGTCCTACATGGCCTCCCATACAAAGCCTCAAATGGAGCCATGCCAATACTCGCCTGAAAGCTGTTGTTGTATGCAAACTCAACTAAGCTCAGGTGATCTGCCCAATGGCCACCCCAATCCAACACACACATCCTCAGCAAATCCTCCAAAGTCTGAATAGTCCTCTCTGACTGACCATCTGTCTGCGGATGATAAGCTGTACTCAGATGCACCTTAGTGCCCATCTCTGCCTGAAACGCCCTCCAAAACTCTGAAGTGAATCTGGGATCACGGTCTGACACAATACTAGCTGGCACTCCATGCAGCCTCACAATCTCTCGCACAAACTTCCTAGCCAAGACAGCAGCTCCATCTGTCTTCTTGATGGCCAAGAAATGTGCAGACTTAGTCAACCGATCCACAATCACCCAGATAGCATCGAAAGTCCTCGAAACAGGTAGTCCAACCACGAAATCCATCGTAATCCTGTCCCACTTCCACTCTGGAATGGGTAAACTCTGCAAAAGACCACCCGGAACCTGATGCTCTGCCTTCACCAAGGCACAAGTGTTGCACTTCGCAACCCAGTCTGCTACATCCCTCTTCATCCCGACCCAATGATAGTACCTCTTGAGGTCATGGTACATCTTGGTCGCTCCCGGATGAATGGAAAACTTGCTCGCGTGAGCCTCTCCCAAAATCTGATGTCTCAACTCCACATCCTTAGGCACACAAACTCGCCCACGAACCAAGATAGTCCCATTCGCAGAGACCTCATACTCAGAACCAGTCACTCTCGTCGCATCCAGCAAACTCTGATCACTCTGCTGAGCAACTCTGATCCTGCTAAGTAGATCCGCCTGATCCACTGCCTCTAAACCCAAAGGCTCCTGCGAAATGGCACACAAACGCAAGGTACTGATCTCGCCAACTAGAGACTCCACATCTCGCTCAACTGCGGAATCATACCTCCGTCTACTCAACGCGTCCGCCACTAGGTTAGCCTTGCCCGGATGGTAGTTAATGCTCACCTGATAGTCCGCCAAGAACTCAACCCAGCGCGTCTGTCTCGCGTTCATCATCGGCTGAGTGAAGATATGCTGCAAACTCTTGTGATCCGTGAAGACCTGTACTGTCTCACCTAGCAAGTAAGACCTCCAAATCTTCAACGCGAAGATCACTGCTCCCAACTCTAAGTCATGTGTAGGACGGTTACGCTCACTGCCCTGCCACTGTCTCGAAGCATATGCTATCACTCTGCCCTCCTGCATCAGCACACAACCAAGACCAATGCCTGAAGCATCTGTATACACCATGTAAGGCTTCCCTGGCTCGGGTAACGCCAACACTGGTGTAGTAGTCAACATCTCCTTGAGCTGACTAAAGCTCTCCTCACACTCAGCTGACCAAATAAAAGGGACATCCTTCCCGGTCAACTTCGTCATCGGCTGCGCCATGGTAGCAAACCCCTTGACGAACCTCCTGTAGTATCCTGCCAAACCCAGAAAACTCCTGATCTCGGTGGCACTACTAGGTCTAGGCCAATCTCTGATAGCCTCAATCTTAGCCGGATCCACAGAAACTCCCTCTGCAGAAACAATGTGGCCAAGAAATCCCATCTCTCGCTGCCAGAAACTGCACTTGCTCAACTTAGCAAAAAGCTTCTGCTCCCGAAGCTTCTCCAGAACCAACCTCAAGTGAGTCGCATGCTCCTCCTGACTCCTCGAGTATACCAGAATATCATCAATGAAAATGATGACAAACACGTCCAAATACTCCCTGAACACGTCGTTCATCAATCTCATGAAGGCTGCCGGCGCGTTAGTCAAACCGAAAGGCATAACCACAAACTCAAAATGCCCATAACGCGTCCTGAAAGCAGTCTTCCTGACATCTGCCTCATCTATCGGGATCTGATGATACCCCGATGCCAAGTCAATCTTGGAGAACCAAGTAGCACCCCTCAACTGATCCAACAACTCATCAATCCTCGGGAGTGGGTACCTGTTCTTCACAGTGACTCGGTTAAGACCTCTGTAATCGATACAAAGTCTGAAACTGCCATCCTTCTTCTTCACAAACAACACCGGTGCTCCCCACGGTGAAACACTCGGTCGAATGAACCCCTTAGACAAAAGGTCCTCTATCTGCTTCTTCAGCTCTGCCAACTCAGCTGGCGCCATCCTGTAAGGCGTCTTCGATATCGGTGCTGTCCCCGGCTCTAACTCAATCGTGAAAGGATCAGACCGAGATGGTGGTAATCCCTTCAGTGACTGAAAGACATCCTCAAAATCCTGGACAACCTCAATATCTCCCATAACAACTCCAGCTCCTGACTCAGACATAGAAATCGTCGCCAGATACGCCTCACAGCCCCGCTCTAACAACTGCTCGGCCTGAATAGCAGATATCACAATACTCCCGGAAGTCGGTCTCACTCCCTGATAAACCAACCTCCCTGCATCTCGCTCGAAGACCACTCTACCTCTGTAGCAATCCAGATGAACTCTGTAGTGTGACAACCAGTCCATCCCGAGAATAACGTCATACAGCTCCACCGGACTGATGACTAAGTCTGCTGGCATTGACTGCCCCGCAATCTCGATCTCGACTCCTCTAGCACGGCCCAAAGTAGACAAGAATCCACCTCCCGCCACCTTGACCATGCCCGCGCTCTCGCCCGCGCTACTCCGGATGCCACTCTTCTCGGCACGCTCCGGTGTAATGAAGCAATTCGATGCTCCAGAGTCGAATAAAACGTGGGACTCAAAACCGCCCACTAACAAGGTCATTACGAAACACATGCGTTGAGAACCTCAACAATTTATCACAGATAAATGAACAACACACAGCAACAACAACCATTATGCCCTCGATGCCCGCCACCACAAATGTGCATCTCCACTCAGATAGTGGACTGCCAACTCAACCTGGTACTAAACCAGAACATCTGATAGACTGGAAATTCCGCTCCAATCTCTGACGCCACTCATCTGCCGCCTCTGGCTAACTCCGCCCTCAAAGTACGGCGTACCAATCCTCTGCATGTGCCCCATCATATCCAATAGGACGGCACCATCAAACCCACAGCCTGCGGCTGAACAAATCCCGCAGCCCTCTGCTGCACCTCTGCCACTGGAGGTACTCCCGGAGCCCCCTGTGGAACCACTGGCGGAAAACGAGCCAATAACTGCGTCAGCAAACCCACCACTAAGTCATCAAGACCCTGAGCCGGAGCACCACCCCAACCCGGAGCAGCCCCCGCTCCCAAACCAACACTCGCATCCACACTGGCCTCACTCGCCACGGATACCGACTGGGTCACCGACGCAATCGCCACACTAGGCACCACACTCTCTCCCGAATCCGCCGAAGTCCACAATCTCGGCCCCGGCCTCTCGCTCTGCCACCACGGCCTCGAGCACCGCGCCCTCTCGCGCCACAACCTCTAGCTACTGTCCATCTCACTCATGGAACCAAAAAGAGCACACTAGAACACGCAACCAAAACTCAAAACAAACATAAACTCACCGCGGAATCTCTTGTAGCTGAAGGGGATGATACTAAAGCCTAGCAATTCTAACAGTCCTAAAACCGTCTAGGCTCTGATACCAAAATGAAACAACCAACATTTTTTTTTTTTAATAAATATTAATCAATTCTAGCGAAGGTCTTTAAAATAAATTAAATAAATAAAATATCAATAACAAATAAATCAGCTCAGCGGAAGCAAATAATAATTAAACAAGTCTAGCAAAATAATGCAAAACAATAAAACAGTAAACATCCTATCATCCCCCTCTTCAGCCTTGATTCCGCGATCACACAAATCTTTTACCTGCAACACATTGGAATGGAGTTGCGTAAGTATTTAATAAATACTTAGTGAGGCAATCACTCTGCCTACGAGCCATTTACGCAATTTACTAGATATTTAATAATATTTATAAACTCAATAATTATTAAATACCATTTTCCAATTATTAAATAATTTTAATAATTAAAACTCAATTTCTCAATTATTAAATAATTCTCATAATTAAATAATAATTTTCCATATTTTAAAATAATTAAAATAATACCAATTAATTAAATAAATATTATTTAATTAATTAAATCCGAATTAAATCTATTTAATTCCATTAAACCAATTAAATTCAATTAAACCAATTAAATTCAATTGAACCAAGATAAACCAGAATCAAATCAATTAAATTCAATTAAACAATAAACCAGATTAAACCACACAAACACACAATTCATCACATGAACAACCAAAATATCATAAAAATAACAATTAAAACATAAACTCATCAAGAACAACCACAAACCAAATCTAATCTAGCAAATCACGGACCCACAGTCATGCACTCACCTTGACAATTGACTGAAACTGAAGGAAAAAGGAAGGACGATGAACAGTGCCGAATCGCGGATGAACAGTAACCCGTGAACAGTACCGATGAACAGTAAAATTCGAAAATCTCTCCAAAAACTCAACTTTTCTCCTCTACAGCATCTGAACTCGAAAATTCTCCAAAGAGAAGACGGCTGCACTCTTTAAACTTGATTTTAGGGCTTTCTCCACTAAACCGACCCAAACCAATTCACTTAAATTGAACCGACAAAATTCCCAATTTTTATTTTTGGTTTATGGATGTTACAAATATGAACAATAAAGTAAATATGGAAACATCATAAAAATTTTAAGAAAATATACATATAAAGGAAACTTCTGATTTAATATTGATTTTTAGTCAAAATCTATATATTAATAACTCTATAAATTAATAAAATATCAAAGTCCCAACATTATTAATTTATAGAGTTTCTACTGTAATATATCATGCATCTTTGTCATGTTATGGAAATTTTCTTGTTTTTGAAAGTTGTTTCTTGTTTTTGAAAGTTGTTTAAAATCGTGGAGAGGAAGGAACTGAATAACTGATAATACATATTACACGATACATGTATATGTAATATTTTTACGTCCTTTTTTTTATTGAGATAGTATATTGTTTGAAGTGATGAAAGGGAAAACATTAGCAGAAGAAATGGAAATTATGGATCCAAATAAACACAATAGTTGGAATGTTCCTATTATTTATAACGTACAATTTCCTTAATCTTAATAGTTAACTTATATTTCTATGCTACATTATGATATATATAGTCTTCTTTCTCTATCGTATATAACAGTTATTGACTTCTCTTTCAAATTTCAATTACGGGGAAGAACAAAAAAAAAGCAAGAAGAAGATAAATTAGGATTTTTTGAAAAAAAGAGAATGTCGGAGGTTCTGGCATTGATACTCACCGGTGTCTGCCTAATCCTTTGCTTTATTGTTTTTGGATACTGGCTTATAAAGCAGGGTCAAGAGGCGATTCCGGCTAATAATTAATTACTTATTAGAGGTGTTTAGGTGAAGAAACTAAGGTTTTTGTTTTCTTCTCCTTTTTTATTACTATGTAGTTTCATATTATGGTGTTATAACTCTCTAAAAGAGTTTATTAATGTTTTGAGATTTGCATTAATATATTATTCGATTTATTTATAAGAGTTTGTGTTCAGCGTTATGTCGATCAAACTATAATATTCGTATGTGTCTTTACCCTAACAAAAAGGTAAATACATATGCATGGGTTGTGTTATCTTATTGTATGCTGCGTTGAGTAGAGTAGCTTTGAGCCAATGGTTGAGATTTTGGTCGAAAATGGTTCCTGCGATATACAGTTTAACACTAATTAATTTAGTATAATATGTGTATTCAAGCTTGAAACAACGTCCATTACGAAACATCTCTGTGCGTTGGGTATTAATATTATCAAAAGAAAAAAAGTTGTAGGTTAATCAAAAAGAGGAAGAGAAAAAAAAACACAACTTATTATGAGACGATTGTTGCTTATTCTCCACGTCTTGCACTTATTAGACGTTTTTTACTCCCTCCTAGTGTTCTATTGCAACATTTAATTTTATTCATTCTTGTTTAATCATCTCTAGAATCAAAATTAGTGTTGGTCTTGTATGAATAAGAAGACTGAAACATAAATATACTCGGTTTAAAAGAACATGTACTGGTTCCTAAATCCTAATAGACAGTGTTCTTTAACGTTCAATACGTTTGCTGTTGCAGACGAACTTTCTCGCTTTGTACATCTTCTAATTTTGTTTGAAGCTCCTCTGCGTCAGCTACACATTCATCTGAATCCCAATCTCCATCATCTCTTTCAGATTGTTCCCCTTCTTCTCCTTCTGCATACGTCTCTGGAAATGCTTCATCTTCTTCCTCCTACAAACCAGAATAGTACCAAGCTATGTTAAACCTTAAACAAGATTTCGTGATAATGAAAAACCAAAACAAAAGCAGAGTGATTCTACATCTGTTTCTTCTGTCTCCTCGTCGCTAGAAGCATAAGCTACATCAAGCTTGTTGTATAACTCTTCATCTCCCTTCTCTTCTACCTTCTCCATTTGTTCCTGAAACAGAACAAAATCAGAGTCTTGAATTACAGAACAAGCTAGGTTATTTTGTTCTGATCCAATGTAAACAAGTTACAATTTCAGCTCTCAGCTGTTCTGCTTTCGCCTGCATCGTCGAAATGTGTTTGATAAGACCCTGTTGAATGCAAAACGGAACAAAAACATTAGTTAAAAAACCAATTTCCAAATACGAATGCAAATGATGTGTTTATTATCTCAACGAACCTCGCGTCTTTGGAGCTCAATGGAACGTGCTAAAGCTTTCCTCTTTGTCAAAAGGTTTTTCGGTCTCAACCTTGGAGGACGCTTATAGTCTTTCCCTCTGTACACAATAATGGCATAACCTTTAGAGACCTTGTCAATGGAAACTAGTAGACCACCACTCTCGGCTTCAAGGGCTAATGCTACATGCTTTACACCGTCGAAAGTTTTAGCCTTGACGAGGATTTTGACAAGCTCTCTGTATTTCCAGTGTAAGTGCATGTTCTCCACCGTACCATCAAACACTCCTCGCCTACCTGAAACCAACATTTTCAAGTTTCTTTCACAGAGTCCGAACATATATCAAACACTACACATCTGTGTTCATTGATCATTTTACCGAGAAGCAAGAAAGCTTTCATCTTCAAACCGAGCTTCCGAAACATAAATCTCTCTTCGTCAGTAATGCTTTCTTGGTCTCCTCTCTGCTCTGCTGGCTTTAAACACTCTTCCACCTTAGCCAAAGCACGCTCAGCTTTCAACAGCTTCCACTCAGCCTAAATCGGAAGAAAACTATCCAATCAATTCAAGGAACAACTCTATAAGAAGGAGGGAATAAAGAAACAAGTGGCTAAGTCAAGAACTCACAAGAGAAAGTTTCTTTTCCAGCTTCCTGACAAGAGTTTCATGCCTCAATTTCTTAACCTCATGTTTCACCTCCTCTGCATGATGATCATCATCCAGATTCTTTCCCCACTTACCAGACGCGTCAAGAGTCTCACCAAGACTACCAGCAGAAACAAGTGTATTTGTAGGTTCAGTAGTACTTGGGACAATCAGGGCCAGTGATCCTCTTAAACGTGCTTGTTCTTCTTCGTCCTGCAAACTCTTTACAAATCTCTCCTGCTTCACCAATGCCTCAGATACTTCTCTTGACAAAAAGTTCTTCCCTCTGTAGAAAACCAAGAAGTCTTTGTTCCTTGAGAGCAGTATGCCTCCTGTCAGTTTCTGCAGTTACTTACCAAAACCATGATATCAATTATTCAGCTTCAAATACAGATAAGAAGACAAACAGAGAGGTGGATAGCGAGTTAATCAGCTGGGAATCCTTATTACCTTGAGTTCTTCAGCCATTCTCTCACTGGTGGTCAACTGTACACCACGTTTCATCGCAATCTTTGCAAGCATACTCTTTTCCCATAACGTAACCATTGCTGTCGCCAAGCCTTGAAGCTGCCTACTCCGACCTAGAAACCAAAAGAAAGTCCTTACTCTTCAAAGACTCCATCAGGCTCAGGAAGCAAAGTCGGAAAAACAAAAATAAATCTTTATACCTAAAGCAAAATGTGGAGGAAGAAATCTGGCAAGTCTTCTCAAAGCTGTTGCCTCCTTTGGTCCCAGAGATGATTTCACTCCATAAGGAAGTATCCTGAAAGGCGGTTCGTAACCAGGAACAGCACCTGGAAGTAAATCAGCATCTACAGGTAACGGATGATCTCCTGGCCAGTCCATGTATCTAGGACCAAGACCATCTATCAGTCCATCAATTTCATTCTCATACTCCAATTCTTGTTGAGACGTCTCGTCTTTCTTTGTCACACTAGTCGTCTCTTGCTCTAGCTGAGGAAGCTTAACTTCTTCACCATCTCTATTATCATCCACCGTAGTCATCGTTGCAGGTAAGGAAGAAGGTGATGTCTCTTCTCTCTTTTGCTTGTTCCATTTTCCTGCTGGAAGCTCATAACTCACACCTCTGTACAAAGAAATGGATGTCCCTGACCTCCATATCACCAAGCCACCAGTTTTCTTCTGCCATAGAGAAGACAAAAAGATGAAAGACAAAGCCTAATGCAACCAAATGTACACTTATTGAGGGCTCATCACAAGAAGCGAAACCTCTAATATCTCATGCATCTTTCTCATGTTAAGCGAGCTTGCTCCTTCAATCTTCAACCTCACAATCTCTGACTTTTTCCACTTCTCCTTAATCGAATCCACAGCCACCTGAGTCACACCCGCGCCACGGATCTTCATCTTGCTCGCCGTTCGAAACGTCAGGTTCCTCAACCTCCTCAGCTCCGACTCCGGAAGTGTCATCTCCGCAAGCGAGTACCTACTCTCCTTCTGCGCCGTCCACTCTGATTCCAACTCTTTCCTCTCCTCAACACTTATCTTCCCCCATGGAAACTCAACTTCTCCATTGCTTCCTCCTAATACTGATTCCTCACTGAATCCACCTCTCGTATTCGGTAACTTCCCTTCTTCAACATAGAAGATATCCTCCACAGATCCTTTCTCTATCCTTCTCTCATTATTATCAACCTTCTCACCATCTTCCAAATATCCATACTTTCTCAATTTCTCCACAATCTTCTCCATTGTAACACCATCACCCTCTCTACTAGTAACATCGCCACTCGCAAATCTGCCTTCTTTTCGATAATTTACAACTACCTTCGGAGGTCTAAGTCGATTACCTTTCTGGATTCTGCTCCAATTCTCCAGCCACTTTCCATTACAATCCCTAATACTACTTTTTAACTTGTTCGCCGGAGAAAAGCTAATTCTTTTCGTCGGAGATTGATCACTACTCGAACCAGAAGCAATAATCCCGTTACGGGTCCCTATTGAAATCGATGAACTGTACCTCAAGAAACGGAAGCAGAGGGAGCTTTGAAACGAGTAGATAAGCTTCGTCTTCGTGACAATGGCTGGGCAAAAATGGCGACTGGGTTTCAACGCCATTGAAGTGATGGGTTTAATCACAAATCCATCAGAAATGAAATTCGAAAATGAAAGCTTTCAGCTTTAGTAGATTCCTTGCCGCCACGAAGCTCTGTCCCTGTGATTATCCATGGCGGGCAAAAGATGGAGATATAGGGTTGTTTGGATACAAGTCTATCATTAAACCTAACCAGTCAAAGAACCAGGTAAAGTAACTAAACCAAACAAGTACATAACAATGATACTGGCTAAAATGAGCCCCAAGGTCTTAAAAATGATAAAAAAAGCGAGAAATAAAAAGTTTTTTCTCTCAGCAATTATTTTGAAATAAAGAAACTTGCTAAACCCTAGCAAGGTTTGAAAAAAAAAAGATTCATGGTTTCTTTCTCTCCAAGAAAAGAGTTTAAAAAGAGAAGAATCAGTGAAAGAGGAGAGAGCGGCTATAGTGAAGCACCATGACCAAGTCAGCGCCGGAGCTCCCAGCCGTGGCGCCGGAGCTCTCAGCCATGTCACTTTCCTGCTCGGCAATCTGAGTGGTTGCGACCCACCAATCCTCCAAAGTCTGCAGCTTCTGTGTCGAACTCACTTGCTCTCCCCTTAGAAACAACTCCACCTTCAAAAGGATATCAAAAACATAAGCTTTCAAAGAGACAGCAGAGACAGAGAGAAAGAGAGAGGGAGAGAGTAAATTACATCGATTTCGCTTTGGAGACTGAGCTTCTGCACTATCATCTTGATGACAAGTGAGGCACGTGCGTTTCCATCGCTGTGAAAAGATTCACAAATCAAAGAATCACAGTCACACTTTCTTGCATGACAAGAAAACGCATAACTGAGATTAAAGTATATAGTGAAACTTTAGTATACTTACGCTTTGAACCAGGTGTCTGGAGTACCGATCTGCGCAAGTGGTTCACTTGTTCTCCTGAAAACACACACAAAAACAAAAACAAAAACGTTAAAGCCTCAATATATATAATTAATCAGAATCATATTTTAAAGAAGATAAAGAAAAAGACTTTACTGATTCTCCATAGCGACTAGTCTAAACCAAACTGGTTTAGTCCTTTCTCTGAGCTCTCTCATTGTTCCTTGTGATGAAGTTCCAGCTCCAGATGGATTCATGTTCCTCTTGGTTCCAGATCTCAGAGAATACATTTCCTCGATCTGCGCAAAGAGGGTCAAAAACATAGAAACACGGTCAAGCAAACGCGAAAGCTCTTCATTTTCCATGCATCCTCCAGATGGCGATGCTACAGCCTAAAATGTATATCAGCGAATAATGTAAATAATCAATCAAAACAAGGTAACTTATACACAGATTATAATTTCTTACTAACCATTCCGGAATCTTGCTGTTTCGCCTTGAACATTGAGAGGCTTTGAGGATTTGGGTTTTTCCTTGGACGCTTCCTTGACACTGAAGACGAGCTCTGCTCCTGAAGGACAAGATCTTTAACTTGCTCTCCAAGCTTCTCTGCTTCCATTGGAGCATCAGTGTTTGGCTCAGGTAAGGATACTACATTAGATGTAGAACCAAGAAGTGAAGATGCAGATGCCTTCCTCTTCCTAAAGTATTGCAAACGAAGTGCTGGCTTCACGCTTTCTGGCTTTGGTACGAAGTATCTTGACATCATATCTTCCAAACGTGAATCGGCCCTGTTTGATATTCCGGTTTTTTTGGAAAATGCATATATAAAACGTATAAGACATAAGATAATGCAAATGCTAATCAAGAAACAAGAGAGGAGACATTTTGAAACAAAGATATTGAAAAGGTGGAGTATATAGTAGTATTACGTGAGCCGAGCAAGAGGAGCAACACCAAGATCAACCTTGCAGACAGGACAAGCGTTGACATTTTCTTCAGTGAACTTCTTCTCGATGCACTTCTTGCAGACTGTTCCCAAACCGGAGAATCATTAAACGCATAAACATAACAAGAGATTAGTGTCCTCATTGAGAGTTTTGGTTTTGATTTTATTACCCAAAAAAGAAGATCAAAACATTTTCAACTATGAGAGGTGTTTCAAGCAAAATACAACAAATGAAAGCAAAATGATTTGAGGCAAAATATAACTTGAAATCGAAGTAAACTGAAACCAAATCATCCTTTTATAAAAACACAGTCCTCATCAGCAAAACAGTAACTCTATATATATTAATGTTTTCAACAATGAGAGGTTTTTTCAAGAAAAATACAACAAATGAAAGCAAAATGATTTGAGGCAAACTATAACTTAAAAAATCACAATAATCATCCTAATATAAAAACAGTCATAATTTCTAAAACTCTATATATAACCAGATTATATCAATATCTACGCAGATACATGTTGCTATGAGTTTGGAACAAAATATTGTTTGAGATCTGAGATTCAAATCTGAAGTATATCCATAGAAAGAGAGAAAATTGTATACTTATATATCTCAGATCTGTGTGAATATGATAAAACAGTCTTAACAGAACACAAGTAATGTCACCACAAACATAACAACGAAAAAAGAGACATATGCTCGACCAAAATCAGACAGCTGAGAACTAAATAGGGCACGAACCTAGAAGATAATTCGAATCAAATCACACGAAAATAAAAAGGAAAATCGAAGGCTGACTCACATGTGTGGTTGCAGTCGGATATGGTGGTGGGACAATCAAAGAGTTGGAAACAGATGGTACAAGTGAATAGTGCCACCTGATGCTCGTTCATATAATCCTTCTTCCCCATTTCCAACAAATCTCGGACAGGCCCTTTAACAAAAAAAATAAAATAACAAAATTTATGTTAGTCTTATGGATTCGCATATTTCACGTAAAGCAGCATGGAGCATGTACGAAAAAAAAAAACAGATAACAAATTTTCAAGAGTTCTCGTTGATTTTCGCACAAATAATCGAAATAAGAGGAAGTGAAAGTTTGGATTTCTTTTTGGTCTCCAAGCTCTCACCTTTTCGCTTTCTGTAGAGAAAAATCTATGTAAGAAGAGAGGGTTTTGATTGGTTGGACATGAGATTGGTTAAATAGATATTTTGTTTAGAGGTCGATTTTCGAGACTTTACACAATTAGAGTGCTCAAACTGAAAAAAGGTTAAAATTTGGTGCTCCACAAAAATAAAATAAAAAACATTTAAATTTCTAAACCAGGATAATTTAATGTATACATGTATTTTTGAGATGTGAAAAGTTTAAATTCTATTTAAAATCGCTACGTATATACAATTACACCCTCATTACTGGCTGGCTAGTTGCCTAAGCTTATCTTGTAGATAGATTTTGAGAAGTTACATAGAACATTCATACAAAATTTGTTTACGTGTTCTCAACTAGAACCGTTCGTTTGTAATTAGAAATATATCCACATATGATTTTCCGTAAAAAACAACTTATTTCTTTTTAATATCATTATTGTCGTATTTGCAACACATAATCAGTGGCAACAGATAATTCAGATTTACACAGCTAATATCATTATTGGCTATATGCGTAAACTTAACTAGTAAGTAAAACTTGATAAGTTTGAAAGAAGGTCCACAAATTTTGTTTATGTGTTATCAACTAGAACCGTTCGTTCATAATCAGAAATATATCCGCATTTAATTTTGAGTCAGAGAATAATTTCTTTTTAACACCATTATGTATATACAGTTAATATCATTACTGGCAACACATAATTAAGATATACAACTAATATCATTACTGGCTAGTTGCGTAAACTTATCTTCTAGATGGAATTTGATAAGTTAGAAAGAAGATCTACAAAACTTTGTTTACATGTTAGAACGGTTCGTGCTTAATTTTGAGTCACCAATTGCAAAGTTTAGAATTGCAATTTTTCACTTTCTTAAAGAGTAGAAACCAGAAATAGAGAGTAGAGGAAAGGGCCTTCCTAGCTAGAAAGTAGAAAATAAACGAACCTCTAAAGGGCATTTCTTTGAGAAAAAGGGTTTTTTTTTCTCAGCAATTATTTCAAAAATAAAGAAAGTTGCTAAACCTAAAAAAAGAAGATTCATGGTTTCTTTCTCTCCAAGAAAAGAGTTTGAAGAAGAGAAGAATTTAGTGAAAGAGGAGAGAGCGGCTATAGTGAATCACCATGACAAAGTCAGCGCCGGAGCTCCCAACCCTGGCGCCGGAGCTGCCAGCCATGGCGCTTTCCTGCTCTTCAATCGGAGTGGTCACCACCCACCAATCCTCCAAAGTCTGCAGCTTCTGCGTCGAACTCACTTGCTCTCCCCTTAGGAACAACTCCACCTGCAAAAGGATATCATTAACATAAGCTTTTAAAGAGACAGAGAGAGAGAGGGAGAGAGAGAGAGTAAATTACATCGAGTTCGCTTTCGAGACTGAGCTTCTGCACTATCATCTTCATGACAAGTAAGGCACTTACGTTTCCATCGCTGTGAGAAGATACACAAATCAAGGAATCACTGTCACACTTTCTTGACAAGAAAACGCATAATTGAGATTATTATAGTGGAGCTTTAGTATACTTACGCTTTGAACCAGGTGTTAGGAGTACCACCGATCTGCGCAAGTGGATTACTTGTTCCCCTGAAATCACACACAAAAACAAAACAAAAACGTTAAAGCCTTAATATAAATAATCAGAGTCAAATTTTAAAGAAGATGAAGAAAAAGACTTTACTGATTCTCCATAGCGACTAGTCTAAACCAAACTGGTTTACCACTTGTTTTGAGCTTTTTCTTTGTTCCTTGTGAAGATCCCTCTCCAGATGGATTCATGTTCTTCTTGATTCGAGATCTCAGAGAATACCTTTCCTCGATCTCTGGAGAGATGCTCAAAGCGTTATCAACACGGTCAACCAAACTCGTAAGCTCTTCATCATCTTGCATGCATTCGCTAGATGTCGGTGCTACAGCCTGAAATGCATAGCAGTGAATACGGTAAATAATCAAAACAAGGTAACTAACTTATACACACGTTATTATTTTTTTACTAACAAGCTCTTTAGCCTTCGTTGAGAGGCTTTGAGGACTTGGATTTTTCCCTGGACGCTTCCTTGACACTGAAGACGAGCGCTGGTTCTGAAGAACTAGATCTTTAACTTTCTCTCCAAGCTTCTCTGCTTCCATTGGAGCATCAGTGTTTGGCTCAGGTAAGGATTCTGCATTAGATGTAGAAGCAAGAAGTGACTTCTTCTTCCTAGAGTATTGCAAAGGAGGCCCTGGCTTTACGCTTTCTGGCTTTGGTACGAAGTATCTTGACATCATGTGTTCCAAATGTGAATCGGCCCTGTTTGATAATGCAAATGGTAATTGAGAAAGAAGAGAGGACATATTTTGAGACAAAGATATTGAAAAGCTGGAGTATATAGTAGTAATATTTACGTGAGCCGAGTAAGAGGAGCAACACCAAGATCAACGTTGCAGACAGGACAAGCGTTGAGATTTTCTTCATTGAACTTCTTCTCTATGCACTTCTTGCAAACTGTTCCCAAACCGGAGAAACATTGAAGGCATAAACAACAAGAGATTAGTGTCCTCATTTATAGTTTTGGTTTGATTTTATTACCCAAGAAAAAGGATCAAAACATTTTCAACTATGTGAGGTTTTTCAATCAAAATACAACAAATGAAAGCAAAATGATTTGAGGCAAGGAATAACTTGAAATCATCACAATAAACTGAAACCGAATCATCACAGTCCTCATCAGCAAAACAGTAACATTATGTATATTAATGTTTTCAACAATGAGAGGTTTTTCAAGAAAATACAACAAATGAAAGCAAAATGATTTGAGGCAAACTATAGCTTAAAATCACAACTGAAACGAAATCATCCTATTATAAAAACACAATCCAACTCTATTTATAACCAGATACGCAGATACATGTTGCTATGAATTTTTAACAAAATATTTGTTTGAGCTCTGAAAACAATCTGAAGTAGATCCATAGAAAGAGAGAAAATTGTATACTTGTATAATTTCAGATCTGTATGAATATGATAAAACAGTCTTAACAGAACACAAGTGATGCCAACACAAACATATCAACGAAAAAGAGACATACGTCGACCAAAATCAGACAGCAGAGANTGACAAGAAAACGCATAACTGAGATTAAAGTATATAGTGAAACTTTAGTATACTTACGCTTTGAACCAGGTGTCTGGAGTACCGATCTGCGCAAGTGGTTCACTTGTTCTCCTGAAAACACACACAAAAACAAAAACAAAAACGTTAAAGCCTCAATATATATAATTAATCAGAATCATATTTTAAAGAAGATAAAGAAAAAGACTTTACTGATTCTCCATAGCGACTAGTCTAAACCAAACTGGTTTAGTCCTTTCTCTGAGCTCTCTCATTGTTCCTTGTGATGAAGTTCCAGCTCCAGATGGATTCATGTTCCTCTTGGTTCCAGATCTCAGAGAATACATTTCCTCGATCTGCGCAAAGAGGGTCAAAAACATAGAAACACGGTCAAGCAAACGCGAAAGCTCTTCATTTTCCATGCATCCTCCAGATGGCGATGCTACAGCCTAAAATGTATATCAGCGAATAATGTAAATAATCAATCAAAACAAGGTAACTTATACACAGATTATAATTTCTTACTAACCATTCCGGAATCTTGCTGTTTCGCCTTGAACATTGAGAGGCTTTGAGGATTTGGGTTTTTCCTTGGACGCTTCCTTGACACTGAAGACGAGCTCTGCTCCTGAAGGACAAGATCTTTAACTTGCTCTCCAAGCTTCTCTGCTTCCATTGGAGCATCAGTGTTTGGCTCAGGTAAGGATACTACATTAGATGTAGAACCAAGAAGTGAAGATGCAGATGCCTTCCTCTTCCTAAAGTATTGCAAACGAAGTGCTGGCTTCACGCTTTCTGGCTTTGGTACGAAGTATCTTGACATCATATCTTCCAAACGTGAATCGGCCCTGTTTGATATTCCGGTTTTTTTGGAAAATGCATATATAAAACGTATAAGACATAAGATAATGCAAATGCTAATCAAGAAACAAGAGAGGAGACATTTTGAAACAAAGATATTGAAAAGGTGGAGTATATAGTAGTATTACGTGAGCCGAGCAAGAGGAGCAACACCAAGATCAACCTTGCAGACAGGACAAGCGTTGACATTTTCTTCAGTGAACTTCTTCTCGATGCACTTCTTGCAGACTGTTCCCAAACCGGAGAATCATTAAACGCATAAACATAACAAGAGATTAGTGTCCTCATTGAGAGTTTTGGTTTTGATTTTATTACCCAAAAAAGAAGATCAAAACATTTTCAACTATGAGAGGTGTTTCAAGCAAAATACAACAAATGAAAGCAAAATGATTTGAGGCAAAATATAACTTGAAATCGAAGTAAACTGAAACCAAATCATCCTTTTATAAAAACACAGTCCTCATCAGCAAAACAGTAACTCTATATATATTAATGTTTTCAACAATGAGAGGTTTTTTCAAGAAAAATACAACAAATGAAAGCAAAATGATTTGAGGCAAACTATAACTTAAAAAATCACAATAATCATCCTAATATAAAAACAGTCATAATTTCTAAAACTCTATATATAACCAGATTATATCAATATCTACGCAGATACATGTTGCTATGAGTTTGGAACAAAATATTGTTTGAGATCTGAGATTCAAATCTGAAGTATATCCATAGAAAGAGAGAAAATTGTATACTTATATATCTCAGATCTGTGTGAATATGATAAAACAGTCTTAACAGAACACAAGTAATGTCACCACAAACATAACAACGAAAAAAGAGACATATGCTCGACCAAAATCAGACAGCTGAGAACTAAATAGGGCACGAACCTAGAAGATAATTCGAATCAAATCACACGAAAATAAAAAGGAAAATCGAAGGCTGACTCACATGTGTGGTTGCAGTCGGATATGGTGGTGGGACAATCAAAGAGTTGGAAACAGATGGTACAAGTGAATAGTGCCACCTGATGCTCGTTCATATAATCCTTCTTCCCCATTTCCAACAAATCTCGGACAGGCCCTTTAACAAAAAAAATAAAATAACAAAATTTATGTTAGTCTTATGGATTCGCATATTTCACGTAAAGCAGCATGGAGCATGTACGAAAAAAAAAAACAGATAACAAATTTTCAAGAGTTCTCGTTGATTTTCGCACAAATAATCGAAATAAGAGGAAGTGAAAGTTTGGATTTCTTTTTGGTCTCCAAGCTCTCACCTTTTCGCTTTCTGTAGAGAAAAATCTATGTAAGAAGAGAGGGTTTTGATTGGTTGGACATGAGATTGGTTAAATAGATATTTTGTTTAGAGGTCGATTTTCGAGACTTTACACAATTAGAGTGCTCAAACTGAAAAAAGGTTAAAATTTGGTGCTCCACAAAAATAAAATAAAAAACATTTAAATTTCTAAACCAGGATAATTTAATGTATACATGTATTTTTGAGATGTGAAAAGTTTAAATTCTATTTAAAATCGCTACGTATATACAATTACACCCTCATTACTGGCTGGCTAGTTGCCTAAGCTTATCTTGTAGATAGATTTTGAGAAGTTACATAGAACATTCATACAAAATTTGTTTACGTGTTCTCAACTAGAACCGTTCGTTTGTAATTAGAAATATATCCACATATGATTTTCCGTAAAAAACAACTTATTTCTTTTTAATATCATTATTGTCGTATTTGCAACACATAATCAGTGGCAACAGATAATTCAGATTTACACAGCTAATATCATTATTGGCTATATGCGTAAACTTAACTAGTAAGTAAAACTTGATAAGTTTGAAAGAAGGTCCACAAATTTTGTTTATGTGTTATCAACTAGAACCGTTCGTTCATAATCAGAAATATATCCGCATTTAATTTTGAGTCAGAGAATAATTTCTTTTTAACACCATTATGTATATACAGTTAATATCATTACTGGCAACACATAATTAAGATATACAACTAATATCATTACTGGCTAGTTGCGTAAACTTATCTTCTAGATGGAATTTGATAAGTTAGAAAGAAGATCTACAAAACTTTGTTTACATGTTAGAACGGTTCGTGCTTAATTTTGAGTCACCAATTGCAAAGTTTAGAATTGCAATTTTTCACTTTCTTAAAGAGTAGAAACCAGAAATAGAGAGTAGAGGAAAGGGCCTTCCTAGCTAGAAAGTAGAAAATAAACGAACCTCTAAAGGGCATTTCTTTGAGAAAAAGGGTTTTTTTTTCTCAGCAATTATTTCAAAAATAAAGAAAGTTGCTAAACCTAAAAAAAGAAGATTCATGGTTTCTTTCTCTCCAAGAAAAGAGTTTGAAGAAGAGAAGAATTTAGTGAAAGAGGAGAGAGCGGCTATAGTGAATCACCATGACAAAGTCAGCGCCGGAGCTCCCAACCCTGGCGCCGGAGCTGCCAGCCATGGCGCTTTCCTGCTCTTCAATCGGAGTGGTCACCACCCACCAATCCTCCAAAGTCTGCAGCTTCTGCGTCGAACTCACTTGCTCTCCCCTTAGGAACAACTCCACCTGCAAAAGGATATCATTAACATAAGCTTTTAAAGAGACAGAGAGAGAGAGGGAGAGAGAGAGAGTAAATTACATCGAGTTCGCTTTCGAGACTGAGCTTCTGCACTATCATCTTCATGACAAGTAAGGCACTTACGTTTCCATCGCTGTGAGAAGATACACAAATCAAGGAATCACTGTCACACTTTCTTGACAAGAAAACGCATAATTGAGATTATTATAGTGGAGCTTTAGTATACTTACGCTTTGAACCAGGTGTTAGGAGTACCACCGATCTGCGCAAGTGGATTACTTGTTCCCCTGAAATCACACACAAAAACAAAACAAAAACGTTAAAGCCTTAATATAAATAATCAGAGTCAAATTTTAAAGAAGATGAAGAAAAAGACTTTACTGATTCTCCATAGCGACTAGTCTAAACCAAACTGGTTTACCACTTGTTTTGAGCTTTTTCTTTGTTCCTTGTGAAGATCCCTCTCCAGATGGATTCATGTTCTTCTTGATTCGAGATCTCAGAGAATACCTTTCCTCGATCTCTGGAGAGATGCTCAAAGCGTTATCAACACGGTCAACCAAACTCGTAAGCTCTTCATCATCTTGCATGCATTCGCTAGATGTCGGTGCTACAGCCTGAAATGCATAGCAGTGAATACGGTAAATAATCAAAACAAGGTAACTAACTTATACACACGTTATTATTTTTTTACTAACAAGCTCTTTAGCCTTCGTTGAGAGGCTTTGAGGACTTGGATTTTTCCCTGGACGCTTCCTTGACACTGAAGACGAGCGCTGGTTCTGAAGAACTAGATCTTTAACTTTCTCTCCAAGCTTCTCTGCTTCCATTGGAGCATCAGTGTTTGGCTCAGGTAAGGATTCTGCATTAGATGTAGAAGCAAGAAGTGACTTCTTCTTCCTAGAGTATTGCAAAGGAGGCCCTGGCTTTACGCTTTCTGGCTTTGGTACGAAGTATCTTGACATCATGTGTTCCAAATGTGAATCGGCCCTGTTTGATAATGCAAATGGTAATTGAGAAAGAAGAGAGGACATATTTTGAGACAAAGATATTGAAAAGCTGGAGTATATAGTAGTAATATTTACGTGAGCCGAGTAAGAGGAGCAACACCAAGATCAACGTTGCAGACAGGACAAGCGTTGAGATTTTCTTCATTGAACTTCTTCTCTATGCACTTCTTGCAAACTGTTCCCAAACCGGAGAAACATTGAAGGCATAAACAACAAGAGATTAGTGTCCTCATTTATAGTTTTGGTTTGATTTTATTACCCAAGAAAAAGGATCAAAACATTTTCAACTATGTGAGGTTTTTCAATCAAAATACAACAAATGAAAGCAAAATGATTTGAGGCAAGGAATAACTTGAAATCATCACAATAAACTGAAACCGAATCATCACAGTCCTCATCAGCAAAACAGTAACATTATGTATATTAATGTTTTCAACAATGAGAGGTTTTTCAAGAAAATACAACAAATGAAAGCAAAATGATTTGAGGCAAACTATAGCTTAAAATCACAACTGAAACGAAATCATCCTATTATAAAAACACAATCCAACTCTATTTATAACCAGATACGCAGATACATGTTGCTATGAATTTTTAACAAAATATTTGTTTGAGCTCTGAAAACAATCTGAAGTAGATCCATAGAAAGAGAGAAAATTGTATACTTGTATAATTTCAGATCTGTATGAATATGATAAAACAGTCTTAACAGAACACAAGTGATGCCAACACAAACATATCAACGAAAAAGAGACATACGTCGACCAAAATCAGACAGCAGAGAACTAAATAGGGCACAAACCTAGAAGATAATTCGAATCAAATCACACGAAAATAAAAAGGAAAACCGAAGGCTGACTCACAAGTGTGGTTGCACTCGGATATGGTGGTGGGACAATCAAAGAGTTGGTAACAGATGGTGCAGGTGAATAATGCCATCTGATGCTCGTTAAAATAATGCTTCTTCCCCATTCTGTTTACAACAAAAAAAAAAGTTTATGTTATTCTTAAGGATTTGCTTCTTTCACGTAACGCAGCATGGAGCATGTACGGAAAAAACCAGATAACAAATTTTCAAGAGTTCTCGTTGATTTTCGAACAAATAATCGAAATCAGAGGACGTGAAAGTTTGGATTTTTATTTTGTATCCAAGCTCTCACCTTTTTGCTCTCTCTGGAGATAAAAAAAAAAAAAAAAAAAAAAAAAAAAAAAAAAAACTCTGTAAGAAGAGAGGGTTTTGATTGTTTGGACGTGAGATTGGCTAAATAGATATTTTGTTTAGAGGGTCAATTTTCGAGACTTTACACAATTAGAGTGCTCAAACTGAAAAAAGGTTAAAATTTGGTGCCCCACAAAAATAAAATAAAAAAATGTAAATTTCTAAACCGGGATAATTCATTGCACACATATATATATTTTTTTGAGATGTGAAAAGTTTAATTTTTATTTAAAATCACCATGTATATACAATTACAGTCTCATTACACGCTGGCTAGTTGCGAAAACTTATCTTGTAGATAGAATTTGATAAGTTACATAGAAAATCCACACAAAATTTGTTTACGTGTTATCAACTAGAACCATTCGTTTATAATCAGAAAGATATCTATATATAATTTTCAGTAAAAAACAACTAATTTCTTTTTAACATTATTATGCCTTACTGGCAACACATAATCACTGGCTTACTGGCAACAAATAATTCAAATTTACACAGCTAATATCATTAATATCATTATTGGCAATATGCGTAAACTTATCTAGCAAATAGAACTTGATAAGTTCGAAAGAAGTTTCACAAAATTTTGTTTACGTGTTATCAACTAGAACCATTCGTTCATAAACAGAAATATATCTATATTTAGTTTTAAGTCAAAAAATAATTTCTCTTTAATACCATCATGTATATACAGTTAAATCGTTATTGTCAGTACATAATTCAGATGTACATCTAATATCATTACTGGCTAGTTGCGCAAACTTATCTTATAAATAGAATTAGAAAGAAGATCCACAAAAAATTGTTTACGTGCTAGAATCGCTCGTTCATAATCAGAAAGTTATCCGTATAATGAGAAGGATATCCATGTTTAATTTTGAGTCACCAATTGCAAAGTTTCAAAAAAAAAAAAAAAAAAAAAAAAATTATTTTCTTAAGTGTAGAGACTAGAAATAGAGAGTAGAGGAAAGGGCCCTCCTAGCTAGAAAGTAGCAAATAAACGAACCTCTGAAAGGGCCTCTCGTATTGTGGGCTCGTGAGTTTTGGTTAGGCTTTTGGGTTTGTAATCTGAATTTATTTGTTTTCCAGTTTCAGGCCACTCTAAGTCTCTAAGACATTGCAAGAAGTGAATGCTCTTACTCTGTCGAAGGAAAATTTCAATGCAGATTACTAATTTACTATACGTACATGATCATGTACATTCTCAAAATGACATTTATGATTGAATCATGATCATGTACGTTCATATGTCATCATGATGATATATGATTGTTACAACGATGGTTATCTTTCACCTGAACCCAAAATTTAAAAGTTCATATTTCAATAATCTAAACATTAGAGATTAAAAATCCACCTATAGACTATAACAATCGATTTCTTTTTTTTGTTAGAATATCATTTCGAATTTGTGATTTGTATTAGCGTTGCTATTTTTATTTTCCTTGTATTTTTTCACAAACAAAAAACACTTAATATCTCCAAGCATTTTCACATCTATTGTTTATGTAGGTTGGATATTTTATGTTTTTTATATATTCTTAAGTTTTGCATTTCACCAAAAATTTAGTTAATTAGATATAGTAGCTTTAGATTTGACCTAGAACCAAACGGAAACGCATGGCCCTAGTAGCTTTAGTCTTTTTCATCACTTGCGTCGCGTCGGATCCAAGTAAATATATTCCAATCATTAAACTCATGAATTTTTTGTTCAGTGATCCCAAGACATTCATTTTCTTTATAGGTATAGATAGGAAGACTAAAAATAGTAATATATGATATTTGATTAGCAATAGTATAGTTACTATACATAGGAAGAATTAAATTGTCAAATATTGTTGGTGTATAATTACTTAATTAGGACCCATCAGAGTTCGCATTACTATAGTTTTTTTGTTCAAGTCATTTTCATATTGCACGCTTGACGTTTAGCTTATGTTTCTTTTCTTTTTTTTTTTTTTTTTCATAAAACGACCGGGAATACAATATATAAAAATATGAGTATATCTTAAATTATAATATGACACAAACATTGAGACAAATTATAAAATAGGATAGAATTTTTATCTCGTGATTGGGAAAATAAGGTACAAATTACAATAATATAATGGCCATATGAATTAAAAGACCCATGAACATGCACATGCTGTTGCTCCCTACCCCTCTCACGGGCCCTGAAATTAATCAATTCCTCCCACAAAATTAGAGCACAAAGAAGGTCAAACTATACTATTTGGAATTCATCACTTACATAATTTATACTTCCTCCGTTTTAAATTAGTTGTCGTTTTGGCAAAATGTATCTGCAAATATTTAGACGAATCTGGACGTGTTTTGCATTGTAGATACATCCAAATAATTGCAGATACATTTTCCCAAAACGACAATTAATTTGAAACGGAGGGAGTATGAGATTAGTAAAGTAATTAAATGAATTATATCAACAAATAAGAACCACTAATAAGTGTTTACATTTTTTATACACACGTACCTAGATTATGAATTCTAAGTGTATGATTAATATCTTATTGATTTGAAATTAGCAAAACAACAAATATTAGGGGAGCGATGGACTTAAATCTTGCAAAGCCGCCACACACATATAATCACCACTCATCAGTTAGTTTAAACATGACAGATTACGGACCACATGTCCGGAAAAAAATTAGGATACCTATTTATGATGAAATGACAACAAACCAACTATAACTTCGACTAAAGGTCAAAATATAATCAGATTCTTAAAACCAACGAACACTTCTCGTGTTGACAAGAAGTTGATCAGTATTAGGAGAATGTGACGTTAATACCAATTGTTAGTCACTAGGCTTGAAAGATCGATTTTGACACCCCTTATCTCCGCAATTAAATTAACAGCGCAAACTTAATTTAGGCGAATGATACAATATATCCATCCCCAAAACCATACATAGTTATGATGGATCCACTACATATTTTTTATTTTTGTAAAATGACCATATGTCATTGATGCGGAGAGAGTATTAATTAACTGAAACATAACAGCTAATCATTTATTTTGGAAAAAAACATTCATAACACACAAGAAACGACAAGAAGCATAGTAGGGATCAAAACACATGTACATACACATACATACATGTATATATGCATATATCAAGTGGTGATTGATCATCAAACCGACAGACACATGCTGGGCAATAAATATGACACAAACACAGAGATTTTGAAGTTTCCTCTCTTTTGGTCACATTACAAATATGTCCACACCTTACTGGTAAAATAATACTATTGCCCTATATACCCATTAAGTATTAAGTATTTAAAATTACAACACACATATATAGGAGATATATAGCCACATAAAATCGTAAAAATACATATAAAAAACAAGAACCCGTCATATGGTTTGATCATTGATAGTTCATTTTTTTCTGTTTTTAAATTCAAGTTCTGTTCTTGCAGTACTTCTCCACTGCTCTCGGAGCTATAACAAAACCAAGAAAGAAAAATTATTAAATTTTATTTGATAAAAAAAAAAGAGAGTTGTAAAATTGAAAGGTTAGATGTTTTACCAAGTCCAATTGCTTCAGACCCCTTCATAATGCGCAAACGCTTGCATGACTCGACAAACATTCTGAAATAGATATTCAAGTTTCCGGTTAGAACATTAGTATAGAAGTCGTTAACATTTAATGTTTATTCTAAGAGGTTTTAGACAATAATGTATGGGTAGAAGTTGATCGTGCCAGCTAAGAATGAGCTAAACTTATTGATACAACTGCATAATTTGAAAGATCCTCTTGTCTCTTGCCAACCAATGCATGGTTGTACGTATTTATAACACATGGAGTTTGAATACCTTTGGCTTATTCTCTACCAATTTCAGAAATGTGGTTAATTAGTCGGGTGAATATTAAAAATATGTAACATTAGAGGACTGAATTTGACTTACTCCCATGGGACATCGCCGACGAGCATCCAATCTCCATCTTTGTCCTCGTAGCTTGGAACATATTCAGAACTGTTCAGCAGATCCATGAGCTTACTCTCGTTCATGAAATCTATCATTCCTTGTGCTCCATAGTTTCCTTGAAATTATTCAAGAATTCACAAACCATATAAATTTATGTTCTTATATATACTACGACATAACTAATAACTCGTACACTTAATTAAATCTCATATTTGTAATATGTATAAAATGTAAACTTACCATCCATCTTTTACGCATATACATGCTTATACATATTGTTACACTTCATGAGTTTGTATAAATAAATGATAATCTTTCATACGCTAGTTTAGAATTTTTCAATATATTGAGAATTTTTAACACGTACCCATAGTGAAGGAGCTGAACATTTTTGCCAAAGCATCAGAGAGATCCTTGTAGCTTTTGTACATCTTGAGGTCAACCTTCCTTAGGTAGGGAGCTCCGTCCATGGAGACCTTCACCAAGGCAGCTCCGGCGGCTCCTCCACCACCACTCCCAGCCTTCTCGCTGCTGGCCTCCTCCGTGCCGCTGGTCTTTTGCTGAGTCATCATGTTCTTCCTGTAGTTCCTCACAGGTGGCCATCCCACTACTTGGGCTCTACATACAACAAAACATAATCTATGAGTAAACCAATCATCATTGTAATGACTACTTACCATTTTGACTATTTTCGCTTGATTATAACTATTTGCTTTCATGTTTGCTTGTACGCATGTATAGATTGGTGTATAAGCATCAACCACGCTTAATTGTTTTTTCTTTTCTTCATAAACGACTTCCTTATAATATTGCTAGAAAACAAATTTAACTTCAAAGTACGTATGCAGATATTAAAGACTATGTATATAGGATTTTATGTAATATACTTAACATAGCAAATTTCAATAATTTGTTTTCTCAAAAAGAATTTTATTTTGTTCGTATGTTTATGGAAATCTCTCATAATCTTGGAGGACATATGAATTAACCAGATTTAAATAGTTAGCCAAAAAAAAAAAAAAAAAAAAACATGGTGAATTTGTAGTTCAAGAACTTATATGTTTATGTAAAAATACATGTAAGTTTATGTATAGCTTACTTAGCAGGAGGCTTAGTAGGGTCTTTAAGAAGATTCTTCTCTTTGGAAGCTGTGGCGACGTTGTTGAGATCAACGTTTCCTTCTTTGTTAGACTGAAGATTGAGCATGAGATCAACGGTCTCAGAGAAGCCTCTCTTGTTACCCACGGCCGATTTGGCCGGACTTTCAACGGCTTCAGCGCCGCCGGGGAGTCCGAGACAGAGCTCCGTCGCCTTGAGATTCATAAGCTGTCCGATCATGTTAATTATATGAAAATGTGATTTCTCTCTCTCTCTGTGAAAAGGGAATAGATTTGGTAAGAGGGAAGAAGAAGGGAGAAGAGAGAGCAATAATAATATAAGAGGAGATGGTGGTGGTGGGGTGTATGAATTGCATGTGCATGTCGTTTGCTCTTTTTTTCTTCATGTGTGGGGTTTTTGACACGTGGGCTTTGATTAGATGTTAAATTAATTACGTCTTCTCTTTTACAAATTTTAAGTTGGGATTCTTTGGTTTTATTAATGGTCTATGATCTTTCTGTTATAAAATGTTCGGAGGTGGCCGAGAAGGGATTAGTAGTTCAAATTTGATACAGTAGAACTTCTATAAAGTAATACTCGATAAAGTAATACCTTGATAAATGAATAGAATTTCCAAGTTCTGAATTCAGTTTTTAGTCTAATTATCTCTTGATAAAATAATAATCTCACTAAAGTAATAAAATATTGTACTCCCAACGTTATTACTTTATAGAGGTTTACTGTATATCTTTTTAACCTATGATTTTCTTTTTCTGACAGTCAAACCACTTTTTAACATCATGTGTGGGTTTTGAATTTATATAGTAATACAACAACCACAATAAGACAAATCACTAGGCTACATAATATTATTAGATAACTTTATATATCGGCGTAAATTAGATCTTTCACGAATACATGAAGCATCTTGATGTTTACATATGATATCACAAACATGGTTTTGTATCTCTAAAGTTTTTGGCTGGGTCTACTCTATGTAATTGTAAATCATCCTCCTCTTTCCCAAAATATCTCAAATTGTACATTTATCAAAATAGATGCAAGAGCACACATAACTAGGTGATTATTAATAGTCTGAAACGAATTCAGATTGTTTGTTAACGAAGAAAATCATATTTTTTCCCAACATGTATGTCTATATATAGTGTATTAATTACTTCTGAGATTTGTTAATAGCCTATTTGTTGCACATTGTCTCCTCTGGTCAACTGTTCATCGCATCTACTGCAAGTAGAATGAGGCGGTGAAATTCCGTTAATCCAAGTGGTCAACATTCTAATTAGTTTTTGTCAAGCAAGACCAGTCATGTCTATAAATTAAATTGAATATGGTCTCCTGTTTCTGTTATTTTATTAATTGAGTCTTAAATGTTGGGGTAAGAACTAAACGTTGAGGTCTATAAGGGAGAATCTAATTAATGGTCTAGGTTCATGTTCTAAGTGAGGACACTGAGTGTGAAGAGTGACGTCAAACCTCTTCTTCCCAATACAAAAATAAAACTAATGATACGTTTGTTGCTTTAGTGTGAAAATACATATACAAAAAAAAAAAGAAGTTAAAACCGACTTATAAAACGCAGGCAGTTTTGACTTTTGATGATTGAGGCTAATGGCTTTAATACTTTGGAAAAAAAATCATAACAAAATGATGAGAAAGCTCTTAGATAGATGAAATCAAGGACCATTTGAGTGAGAAGAGTCACTGAAAGGTTTTCAATATGATTCCAAAATTATGCTCATCGAAATTTTAACTAACAGCAATGTAGTCACACGTGTGCATACACATATCAAAGAAATTAGAAACTTATGTTTTGAATACCAATGTAATAAAATGTACCTTTATTTAACAACAAAAAAAAAAAAAAAAAATGTACCTTCTGTAAGATTTTGTCTTTTGGTGAAAAATGATTATGAAAAAAATATCATGAATTAGACGAAACATCTTTTCGTGAATAGTTTTAACTCGTCGACTAAAACGCTTATCGACAAATGGTTGTCTTCTTTCACGAGTGGTAGTCTTGCGATCGAATCGAAGCCAACCACTAGTTTATTATCCGCTTCAACCGGCACGATTGACATGTTTTACTTTTGGCTAACTTTGCAATGCGTTTTGAGAATTTTCGAAACCAAAGATATTTTCAGTTCAAACAAAAAATCAATATATTTTTATTGGAATGCTAAACTAAATTTTCGAAAACTATACACATCATATAATACCAAAGTTCCCACCGTCACTGGGATTACAAGCACAGCTGATGATTGTTTCTCACTTTCTTTCACATGTACAATAGTTAATTATTTAATTTATTTGAAGGTTTATTTCTAGATTCCATTTTATAACTAATTTATACATATAAAGGTTTCTGAAATTACATGATATCTCTATTTTTCAACTAGTTGAATTAGTCTACACTACTTTGTGAGCAAAGCCGTGCTTGTAGTGTTAGGAAAAAGGTATTAGCCTCAGACCCCCAATGATAATATAACTTTAAAAGGCCTCCATTTCCCAAAAATCATTCATAGTGAGGTGATTTAAGAAGAGTGAAGTATATTACAAGAGCCCATCCAAGTTCAACACCACTTTTTTACAGAAAGGTATTTAATTTCTACAGAGGAAGATTACACAGTTTGCTAATGCATTATAAATGTCAGTACACAACCCAACTTAGAGAACTACTTCCTCCGTTTCAAATTAGTTGTCGTTTTGGCAAAATGTACCTGCAAATATTTGGACGTATCTGCAATGCAAAACACGTCCAGATACGTCCAAATATTTTGCAGATACATTTTGTCAAAACGACAACTAATTTGAAACGGAGGGAGTAGTAAATCTGAATTTCAGAAACTGTTCAACTTCGACCATAGAAAGACGTATATGTACATCAGTACATGCATGTCTGCAAATACCATTTAATTATTCTACAATCTACATCTTAAAATTTCGAAGTCAACATTTCCTAAAACCATTACAATATAGAGTTATACCTTCGCTGATAATTTTCATTAATTTCCGTGAAAGGGGGAAATTTTAGTAAACATAAACTTATATGATTATCAGCCGATCATCAATATTCCAATCAACAAAGTATTAGTCGATATACATAATTTAAGAAAGACTGTTCCCAAAATGTTCCAATCATGTAAAGCCACATGAAAATCACATTAAGGCTATGAATGGTGACTGCGTTATTTACAACTGCGGGGCGTTTTTTGATATGTAATAGTGGAGCCCACTCACATATCACCAATCAACACATTTTTGCAATTGCGGTGCGTTTCCTGTAACAAAATAATAAAAAATTAAAAGCCAAAGTGCGGTTCAGTTTTGTGAAGAAAAATGGTGATATACCCGCAATAGTAATAACGCATGGTTTCGTGTGTGTTTGTGGCTTTTGTAAGTGCGTTTTTTTAAATATATTATTTTTTTAGAGTAATAAAAATTTGAAAAAAATATATAACTTGAGTATGTGTGGTATATATAATTTTAGTTATAATTAGTAATTATCAAAATAAATTACAGAATTAATGTATTAACTTTTTATATATTAATAAAATTCATTTATATTTTTCACCAATCAAACATTATTCCATATCGCTTATTATGTAATAACCGCACTTATTACGCATAATATATTTTTTCATACGCATCGCAGTTAAACCGTACCGCATATGTAAATTATTTTTTCCGCACCGCTAAATATATTGTCACCATTCGGAGCATAAGTCGACGCTAAAAGCGGATTAGTGAAAACATTTCATTTGCATTTTGTTTTATATGTTAGTGTTGTCTGATTGTTTTTAAGTTAATCATTGGATCCAAAAGAATAGAAACACTTAAAAAACAAAGTGGGCCGTTCATAATTAATAAAATACGAATGGCACATGGATTATTCTAGCTAACGTTTTTTAAAATGAACTAATTAGCTCATGGTTTTGCCGTAATTGACCGGATATATTAAGTCTACTCACTAACAGTATACAATTAGCTAAAAATTCATATTCTTTATGTTCCTTGATATAAATAAATTTATGTATTTTACAATAAATATTTTTATATCCTTATGTTTTTTCATACATAAATATGTACAATCATTTTCATGATAATTAAACCATACTCGATATTTATTTGCTATTATCCGATCATATACTGAAAATGCACAAATCTATTCGAAATATTCGAAACTCACTACCTATACACAACAGTTGGACTTGGTGAGTCTTTCAATCTCTAAGGAATGTGAATGAATGGTGAAGAGGGGGAGACAAATCACATCCAAAGAAACATACCAAACCCCATCAAATCAGGCTCTTGTCTTTGCCTTGTCAACATCCTCACCACTCATTAACCCTTTCTTTCGATTATCCCGCCCTCTAATCCTCATTTTTCTCCATGTTCAACCTTTTCTCTTTATTCACAGCAATGCTAATTATTTGATCTTTTGTAACACCTCTTATATAAGTTATATTGGTAATCTAAGAAAGGCTGAGTTTGATTACTTGGATTTTTTTCTCCATTGAGCTTATCATGATATGTATAAACATAACCTCACTAAGATTTTCTATAGCAGAATATGCGGTTATGTACGTGTACTCTTTAAGATAATGTTGTGTAGAATGCAAGTGGTCGCTATACATACTTACAATGACCAAGTCGGTTCTGAACTTCTGATAGTGAATCGCCTTTACCGTTTGACTTAAAAAGCGCATAAAGCGCAAATATTAAGTCCGTTTCATGGATTATCTTGTCATTAAGTGCAAAAATAGAAGTATTTAGTTTACAATTTTAGCAAAAAGAAAGAATACGAGTACTTAGTTTACAAAATTCATGTGAAATGCCAACTTGAGCGTAGCTAGCTAGGGTCTAGAGAATTGTGATGTTGGGAATCTCATAAACGAAGTCTTTTTTTTTTTATTGGAGCTAAAAACAATGATTTGATGAAGCCTATCCGTGAATCTCCGTACGCTGAATTAGTACTGGCCAAAACAATGGAATTCATGAGAGAGTGAAGCAGCTTTTCCAAATGTTAATGTGAATACGCATGCATTGACATAGTCAAGGTTATATGGTTTGGATCTGATTTTGACCTCCTTATCTTTCTGGTATCTTCAAGAGCAGAAAATGTCTCCATTTTTTAAGTACGTATAGCACAATAACTAATTAAATTATTCATACGTGAAAATAGTCAAACATTTTATTTTGAAACTCATTGGCTGTGATATTTACTTACTTGCTCAAAGAACAAAGAAAAAAAAATAATTACAGTATCAAACTAAGAAACACGATCCTAGTGAAAAAAAATCGATAAAATAGAACAAACAATAGGCTTCCAAATAGTTGTAAACGTGATTTCCGAATAGTAGCCTCCCAAATAAGAATAGAGTACAAGTCTTCGATTCAAGTTTTAATTCGTTATCTTGATTTCTCGGTGTTTTTCACTTTTATTCATACTCTATTATCGACTGTGACAACTCAGGACCGCAAGCTAATGTAAGCCCAATTAATACATATGAGAGGATAAAAACAACTTTGACTAGAGCCCAATTCCAAATATGCACCAAGGTCACCTTATAAGTCGAGGGTAAGTCAGCACTTGTGGTCAATGCCAAAAGAGCAAAAACGTATAGGAACTTCATAAGAATACTAATAAAATAAAATAAAATGTTGGCTTGATTCTTTGATCGGTGAAACGGTGAACCGTGAACCGTGAACATATCAATGATTTTATATAAAAAAAAGTAATGCCTGTTAATGTTTTTAATACTATGTTAAAGCAAAATACTAACGCCAATTAGCGTTATTTTGCGTTTTCGAATTTAATATTTCTGCTTTGGACATTTGAGTACTGGTATTGTTGTGTTTTTTCACACAAAAAAGGTATTGTTGTGTGTTTTACTGTTACTGTCATCACCAGGGGCGGAGCTAGAAATCATTTTGAAGGGGGTCAAAATAAAAAAAAAAACTAAAAAACATTGTTTATAAATTGCCAAACAAAAAAATTGTATCAAAACAAAAAAAAACTATGACAATATAGTTCATAAACTGTCAAATGAAAAAGAAAAAAAAGTCTACAAATGCATTCTACGATCACTCATTGCTTGAAATCTTCTTGTCACTTGTTCATTTGTTACATCGTCATATAATTCTTTTTCGATGTAACAAATAAGACTATCACTTAGAAACTGATCACCCATACGATTTCGTAGCTTAGTCTTCACAATCTTCATTCCAGAAAAACATCTCTCAACCGTTGCAGTAGCAACAGGCAAAACCAAAGCTAGCTTCAAAAGTCTATAAACCAAATAATGTGAAAGATGTTTCTTAGTTTCTACTAACACCCTTGCTAGATCTCCAAGATTTTTCAAATCAGCAAACCTTTCATCTTCTCGCACATTATCGATATAAATATCAAGTTGGTGCTCAAGAGAAATGCACTCCACACGGCTGAAATCCTCAGGATAAAACTCAGCCAATCTCATCAGCTTTATTTTGTCATACTGACAGAATAAATCGATAGGATTTAAAGCCGATATGCAGATGAGCAATTCAGAATTTACCTCGTTAAAGCGATCATTGAACTCCAAAAGCTGAATATCCAACACATAGTAAAAACAGTCAACTTGGAAATGACGCAAGTTTGTGAAGTTGGTCCGCATGCGTGGCCTCCTCGGATCGATATACTCATCTTCCATGTTGAGAATTTCAGTGTCGTGCTTCTTACAAAAATCAGAAACCTTCTTCACAAAAGAATCCCAGCCATCATCTCTTAACTTTTGTAACTGTCGCTTAGTGGATTCCACTAGTGAAACAGCATTTGCAATGTCTTGGTTTTTTTTTTGTAATGCCATTGATAGATTCTCTGTGAGTCCCAATATATGCAGCATCAAGTGTAGATAGACCACAAAATCAAAACTATGAATGTATTTGAGAATACCATTTGCTTGACGCTTCTTGGTATTATCTATACCTTCATCCTGGACATACCTAAGCACCTTAACCACAGAAGCAAATAAGTCCACCAACCGCAACAACGTTTTATAATGAGAACCCCACCGTGTAGCTCCTGGTCTTTGAAGTGAAGACTCTTGATTCAACCCTTTTCCAGTCTTGATTTCACCACTACTTATTCCTTCCTCATTGATCTCTCGTTGACTATCTCTGATCTTATCTTTTCTCTTGCAAGAAGCTCCAGCCACGTTTACTAACAAAGAAACCATATCGAAAAAGTTTCCTACTTCAAGATGATTCTTTGCAACAGCAACAACAACCAATTGAAGCTGGTGAGCGAAACAATGGACATAGTATGCACAGCTACTCTCTCTTGAAATCAACGCTCTTAGTCCATTGAATTCACCCCTCATATTTCCTGCTCCATCATAGCCTTGGCCTCTAACTTTTTTCAAACTCAATCTGTACTTAGCAAGTAATGAATCAATACCAGATTTCAGAGTTGAGGAACATGTATCCTTCACATGAATCAGACCAACAAACCTCTCTTTCACTATCCCATGTTTATCAACAAAACGAAATACTATAGCCATCTGCTCTTTCTCCGAAGAGTCAGCGGATTCATCCACCAATAGAGCAAAAACATCATGATCAATTTCTTGAATTATGGAACTGATTACTTCTTCTGAAAAGCAATGAACAATGTCTTTTTGAATTGGATGAGACACCATCTGATTATTTCCAGGAGCGTTCTTCAGCACAACTTTATCCACGGCTTCATTTTGTTGTGCAGTATACTTCAGTACCGCCAAAAAGTTTCCTTGGTTACTAGAATCCTCTGTCTCATCATGACCGCGAAATGGCAATCCTTGCCTCAGTAACAATCTAGAAGAATCGACAGAAGCATTTAGCCGAATACGATACTGATTTTTCATAACATCAGTTTGTTTCTGGAAAGCATGTGCAATTGACTGGCCTTGTCTCACCAAATCTTCACATTTCTTCTTAGCTTTATGGTGAAAGCTATTTATAAGACGTCCGTGAGCAGCCAATGTCTCATACTTATTCCAATTATGAAACCCTTCTGTCACAAATGCAGCATTTCCACCTTTATTGTCGTTGTTATCTCTGAATAAGTAACAACACAAACAATATGCCTTCTCTTTCTTCACACTGTATTCCAACCAATCATGAAATTCATCAAACCACTGGAGATTAAATCGCCTTAATGTATTTCCTATTGATCGCTGTTTAAAAGGATGGCCACGAGGTTGACAAGGTCCTCTAAGCCAATATGTGCGTCTCACCTCATCTCTTTGATTAGGATGATATTCCAGTATTCCTTTTCTTTCACCAGGATCTTCAGGGAAGTCATTTAAATTGATAGGATCTGGAGCAGTTCTTTTCACAAATCGATCCATAAGTAATCTGATGGATTTTGTGAAAGTAAATTGGTTAGTTCAAGTTACAAAACTATTAAACTAATTCGAAATCTCCAATTTTACAACAACAAAACTGCTATATTAAACTATAGTATACTATATACTAAAAGCAAGAAGTTCTTACATGGAAATTGGAATTTTCTCTTTTATCGACGGAAGGAGAGGGAGACGAAGGAGAAGTTTAATAGGTTTGTCTTTCGTCTTTTACAGCAATAGAATTAGGTAAATTTGTATAATTCTAAATTGAAACGTAGCTTTATTATAAGCCCATCGTAAGCCCAAGTAATTTTTATGATCCTTTACTTAAACTTTTAGAATAATATTTTAGGGGGGTCAACTATTATTTATAAACAGGGTCAATAATTTTTTTTAATAAGTAATAAAAAAAGAAAAAAAAAATCAGTGGTGGTCAACTGACCACCCTAAGCCCTTACTAGATCCGCCCCTGGTCATCACCTCTAATATTATAATTACTTTTTTTTTTAACCAAAGAGTTATAAACTAAAATTTAGAATTATAACTATTTATCATTATTACCTTGATGTGTACATTTCAAAACCATTAACTGTATCTGCCATACAAGTCAAGCGTTTTGTGGTCGCCTTCGTTGCTATGGGCCTATGGCCAAGTATGAGTGTGGTCTTAGCACCTATTTGCTGTACTCTTTAGACTTTATTTACGTGTCTTTTTCTACTTAGATAAACGAGTTTCCAAAACTTATTTTAAATTTATCTGTAAATCTAGTTATATTTTATTTATATGTACATATTTTCTTTTTTTTTTGTTAAAGATGTACATATTTTCTTACGTCAAGAAAATCTAAGTACATGGGGGGGATAACGAGTATATACAAACAAAAAGGGGGTGACGGATTTCACAAGACTTACCAATCGTGAGGATATACATGCATATTCCTAAAAGTTCATCAAGTTTTTGGGATGTTTATTACAAAAAGGTTTTAAAAATCACACGTGCATGTGTTTAAGGTACGGTATGGGTTACATGAATCGGTCTTTTTCGCTTTCTCTCCTCTGCGTTGGCTTTTGGCCTCACTCGTCACGTATATTAGATGTTTGGGCCATATACCTTCGCTACATTCCAGGATTTGTCGGGAGTCACACGAGCGTGTACTTGATACAGATCGCATGCACACACTACGCATTTATGTTATGTGGATAATGTTTCACACTTTCACGTAAATGTCATGATTCATTCAATTAAAAATGTTCTACCTAAAACTTGCTACATAAATTTTGAGAACTAATTCCTAACTCTTGCCTAGGCTAAAACAAGAAAAAACAAACTTTTTGTTTAGGCTACTTGGCACTGAAACTTTGAGAATTAATTCACATTAGGCTATGATTTTGACTCATTAAGATTTTATAGGTTTTCCCATAATCACTCGCAAACATATTATTAATGAAAACAGGCCAGATATCTAATCCCATTAATCAAGAACCTTCATTGCTTGGCTCTCTTTCTACATTTTACTTTGCAAGAAAATATTTTGTATCATAGATCCCGAAGATTAATATTTTAAAATTTTCACTGGCAATTCCCCAGTTTTTTTGAGAAGAATGAAAAAAAAACTAAATTAAAAATAAAGTCATGCAACGATATATATTTGGTTTATTTATATTTAATTATTTTAAATAGATACTCATATGGTTTTTCTAAGTTTAAGATTTTATTCAGCTTTCGTAATTTTGACAATTGAAGAGATTATAAAAGAAGAGTATTCTCAAACCCTTGAATGCCAATTTGAATGTGAATCAACAGAGCTAAGCAGAACTCTTTATTGGCTATTCTGAGGTATTAAGGGACAATCAGATTCATATAGATTCCACTTCATCACAAATTGACAACAATATGAGCCACAATGCAACGAACAGAGGGAAAAGAAAGGGAAAAAAAACATTACAGGATGGAGATGCAAGCGTGTGCATTTTCAAGATCATAAATGAATCAGACCAATTACATGTTTCTTGTTTGCCCAACCACTTCCATGTCCCCACTCTCTCTCGTTTCCTTGCTCCATCCCATTCACTTTCCACGCTCTTCGTTTTCATACTATACAAAAATTCAGTGTGAATGTTGTTGATATTATTTTAGAAATTAGAACCTTATGTTGATTTATCATATATGCCTTTAATTTAACAGGTTAAACTATACACTTTGTAGATGTCATGACAGTTGAATCTAAAAGAAAGATCTACTAGGGAACCATTAGATTTTATTATCTTTAAGAGTTCTCCTCTTCAACAACAACATCTTTTATTTTGTCTATGTGAAGAGATATTAACAAGATTCCCAATTTCCCATAATCCAAAAGCATATTCAATTATTCATAAACAATAAACGACCGTTACTATTGATGGCACCGTATTATAATCGTTTTCAGAACCAAACCTGTGACAATTGATAAACATAGTGTCTCTCTCATGAATAGTTAATGATGCACATTCATCAAGAAACTAAAAACCAGAAAGATAAACATCAAAATCGATTTAACTGAGTCAGATGATAGCAAACACAAGATCATGATCGGCTATATTTCGTGCCACGATCACTTATTCGCTGTCCACAAGTTTCCATTTTTCAAAAAGTAATAATTATTAAGCGACAATACTTCGAAGTTGGTTTGATGTTGCTGTCCGAATGTATTGGCCCCGTCCCTACGTTGCCTTTCGAACAGCTTATGTTATGATTAATGCTTCAACGAAAAGACAGTGGAACATATCCAGCTAACTAGGGTTGATCTTGTTTGAATCGTTTAAGCCCCACGAATATGTATTAAGGAACAAAAATAAACTCAGATTCTTGTATGGAGATCCCGAGTAAATCTGAATCTACTCGAGTCATGTCGATATATATTTCAAACCCTGGCTTTATATTAGAATTTTGTGTCTTAAGGGATTATTGGTTTACTCGATAATTGAAGGGTTTAGTTTTGTTGGCGATAAATGATCTTGATAAAAACAAGATTTCATTGCACTTCAATGAGAATGAGAGTTGTTTTGACGTCACGACCTGATGATTTACACAAGGCTAAAGAAGCTAGAAAGTAATATGTTACGTTAATATTTAATAAAAATCATATAAATTATAAATCTAAAGAGAGAAAGTGGAGATAAGACCTAAGATAGTGATGAGTCGAAAAGGGAAGAAAACTTTAATAATTTAAAGACTCAGCTTTTCTTTGAGATACACACGAATGCGATTTGCAAAAGACACGACTCTTTGGAGTCTAGCTTGTGTTTGCATCACAAGACAAGTTACGTAATTCAATACCATTCCTCTCTTTATCCTTAACTTTCTATTTTTTCTTCAAACTTAGCATTTTTAAACAGTTTGCATCAGTACTATTCAATAAAAAAAGTTTACATGTAAAACTCCACAAATACTTAACGAGAACTTAATACTCCCGTAATTTCTTAAACAGTTTTATAGTTAAAATCAAATGTTTAAGATTAACCAACTATGACAAGCTCAGTATCACCCAGTTATCTATATAGGCATGTCTTAGAGAGTTAGTAGTTATCTTGAAATAAAACTTCTCACCACCAAATTTGATTTATAGAAAACAATACGTACTCAATAAGCTAAGAGATCTCATCTTTTTTAGGAACTTTCTCAAACTTTTGATATCAACAATTCATTATACTAAACTAGCTTGACCGAAAGAAACATGAAAAACTATTCCCAAGAAGTCAGTCTCCCACTTGAAGAACAGATTTTTGAAATCTGTGGTTAACTAAATTATTCATTCGTGCAATTAGCAAAATACAAAAAGGTTATTCACTCGTGCATGCTTCTCTTATTAGTGAGCAGATACACTGCATGAGTCTGTTATAACTGAAAAAATACATGAAACTCTGACAATGATAACCTGTAAAATATATATAAGATGAGAGGCAACGTATCTTGCATCTCTTTACTTATCTAATCTTTGGGATATCGGAGGGGGAAAGAACATAGAAGGAATCTTTATCTCAAAAGTAGGAAAAACAAATATTTAAGATTGGTAAATCCATTGAATAAAGCCTCAACGTAGACATCAAAACGCATGCGGATTAGAAGCTAGACGAACATAGTTACGCGTAATCCATGGGAAGGATTAAATTTCCACTTTGGTTCATTCTTTTGAGTTTTATGATTCAATGTATACATAGCACGTGGATCTCTCTCCCCACAACCCATTTTTGAAGGGGAATACTTAAATGAATAAAAGAGACAAATGTATAAGAAAGCACATGGCTTTACCATTCCTCTATCAATTACCAACACATTTGACCCTTATCCACATGGGTCTCCCTCTCACATTCTCCATTTTCCAACTCACAATATACAAAATGCGGTGCAACATTATGATAGGGGACATTGTTTTCGCAAGATACAATAAAGAAACCTTGAAACTCAAGTCTATAATCTATATTGTATCAGTATAACTTAGATTTAGACATACACTGATGATATACGATATTCATTTCCTGCAAAAATGATAAAATATGAACTTAATCGGCAACGACTGCATTTGAATACATATTTGATAAATTCATGATCTAGAAGAGCACATGGAAATTGGCTTTAATATTTTTCATACCATTTAAAAGATAAGCTATAAATTTTACTTACATAGAAAAAAATTGGCTTCTAAATTTTATTTTATTTTCCAAATTTTTATTAGTTTTGATTATCGAAAGTTTACAGCCAAACCTTTTTTAGTTTTTAGAATCGAAATTTTTACTTCTGTTTTTACCAAACCAAAATTTACTTTCTCATTCTAAACCGACACATTTTAGAAAGAAAAAAATATATCTTAAAACAACAGTTACTATTAAACTAACAGAGCAATCAATCATTACACTCGATATTTTGGAACAGAAGATATGAAATAAAGGCTAATTTACACTTTAGAAAAACATAAAAAAAAACTTTAAGAAACAGTAAATAAAATGTTATAATAATAAACACAACACCTTTTTTCTTCTTTTTCTGTATACTTTATTTCCGGGTCGGCCGATAGAATTCGAAATTCTTGTTTATCATATCAATTCATTTTTCTTTTCTCCTTTTTTTGGTTATAATTATATCATTTGAAAAAGAAAGGCAAAGACAGATCGACGGCTAAGATGTAGCGTAAGCAAAGTTGGCGGAGGCAAATAAGGAGCCGTGGATTAAAGAAAGAGTCGAGTCCACATGGGCGGCCAAAGCGTTTGTGTCCCACTTTTGTCCCCTTGCCTCTTTCTTGCCTTTCATGCTCCCGACAACGTCTCTCTCTCTTCCTTTAACCCCTAACTTCTATGCATCTTCTTCCACCTTTATATATCTCTCTCCCCTTTTCTCTAAACCCATCAACCAAACTCACCATCAAGAACAAGATCAAGAACAAGAACAAGAACAAGATCAAGAACAAGAGAAGGATTCTAATTCACAAGAAGGAAAGACATAGAATCTTGAAAAACAAATGGCGTACGAGAAAGTCAATGAGCTTAACCTTAAGGACACAGAGCTTCGTCTTGGATTACCAGGAACAGAGGAAGTTATACAAGAACAAGAGTTTTCTTGCGTTAGAAGCAACAAGCGTCCGTTTGAAAGCAACGATGAAGAAGCCCGTGAGGAAGAAGCATCTACTCCTCCTACGAAGTAAGTAGAGATCTGAGTTTTTTTCAATTCGCTTCTTTCAAATTATCTAATATCAATTGATGAATAGTACTAATGATGATTGAATCTTTCTTTACAGAACTCAAATCGTTGGTTGGCCTCCGGTGAGATCTTACCGTAAGAACAACAGCAGTGTGAGCTATGTGAAAGTGAGTATGGACGGAGCTCCATACCTCCGCAAAATCGATCTCAAAACATACAAAAACTATCCAGAGCTTCTCAAGGCATTAGAGAACATGTTCAAGTTCACGATTGGTGAATACTGTGAGAGAGAAGGATACAAAGGATCAGGATTTGTACCAACGTACGAGGATAAAGATGGAGATTGGATGTTGGTTGGTGATGTTCCATGGGATATGTTCTCTTCTTCTTGTAAGAGACTTAGAATCATGAAAGGATCTGATGCTCTTGCTTTAGACTCTGCCTTATGATGAGGATGAAAGAAGAAGAAGAGCCGTTGATCCAGAGGAGATAGATGATGACTTTGATGAATGAAACCCTTTTTGATTTGATTCTGATAGGCGTTGAAGAAGTTGACCACACCAAGAACAAAACACTTCAGGGTTTTGTGTCCAACGAGATAGATCCATCTCCAAGTAATTTTCTTTTTGTTTGTACGTTTTCTTAGATTTGAAGGAGTTTGATGTAAAGATACATGAAAATTTTATGTATAATACGGACACATACAGTAAAAGTAGTAATGTTATTCAAGATCATTTTTCTCTGTTCTTGACGAATTATGGTTCATCTTTAATCTCAAAGCTACACATTTTGAATCCAAAATAGGTTTCTTCTCATTCCTTATATATTTAGCACTCCAAATGTTTTTTTCATCAAAGGATTTTAATAAGTTTAATTAATATAAGCTGTTTCTTTAGGTTGGTCAACGAATTGTTGAGTTGACTTCCCCATCGATTATCATCATTTTCTTCCTTTGCTCTCCTCTCTCTGTGTCTCTCTCGTGTATGCTTATCTCTCCTCGCTTTTTTTGCTATGTTTCATAGACATATATGTGTGCAAACATGGAAAATAAAGTAGAAAATGAAATACTAATAAAAATAATAAAGATAACTCAACGATGCATCTGTTTCTTCCCTTTTGCCTGGTTGGATGATTTGAGATTCTCCAACACACACAGATGCGATGTATCCATCTTTTTCAATGATGTGTACATCTGTTTGGAACCTATCTGTATAGGTCCGTTTACATAGTTCCGCATCGAAAACCACAGCGACTTTCTTCTCCTCATCAATGAAGAAGCTCCCACGACTGAGATGCGTCATATGAATCATATCCACCTTCAGAAACTTTGTCCACGACACTGCGTTTGGCTCAATCTCATTTGTAACCCAAATCTCTAATGTAACCCCACCTATCGGGTGTATCTTTTGATAAAGCACCGTGAGCTGCTATTCCCTAGCACAAGACAGCATCACAGTATCCACACTAGCATATTGAAACGGCAGAGGCAGACGCTGTCCAAATCTTTCTCTTGTAAAATCGAAACCGACAAAAAAGTTTTTAACGTTTGGTATCATCCCTTCAGCAACAAAGTAAGCCCTTCCTTTCAAAGACACGCAGAGTCTATCAGTTTTTATTATCCAGTCGGGAGAGACGTGAAGAACACTCCATGAACTAGAGCTCAAATCATAGATTTCGTATGAACTCTCGGAAAACATCAAGATTTTATAGTTGTGATTGTTGTCGTATCCGAGAGCAAAGTTGTCCAAAATGTCTGTTCTTTGCGGGAGCCACCTTCTTTGCCCTAAATACGGGTTCCACACCATTAGCCTCGATTTGCGTTTTGGGACGCATAACACTAAGCCGTCGCAGTGAAAGACTTTAGCTATCTCGACTTGATAAGGTATAGCTACTTGCTTTATAGAGGCACCTTTTTTTCTATACTTACCGGTTCCCTGGAGCTCGAATCTCAAGGAATAAACCTTAGAATTCATCGTCAAGAACCCTAGAAATTGCTGCGTTGATGTTGCTTTACCAAAAATAAAGTTTTTGGATAAATCATCCCATGATTTGCAAGTAGATCTTACTGCTTTCAGAGATGTTATCGGAACCCTTGTGAGTATCTCCACCACCAAGTCCTCTATAAGATCGCACATCCTCGTCATTCTTCCGAACGCCGAAGTTTCAACAAACGCTGCAATAGAAATTAGGGCTTTCTTTTTCAATATAATATCTTTTCCAAATTTCCTCTAAATATCTTACGTCCCGTTTTTAACTTTTCTTTGTTTTCCATCACAACTGTTTCCTTTTCCTATGTGGAAAATATATTCGAGTTACGGAAAGAACGGATATTTTACCAAAGAAAAGGAAAAAATGTTGTTTTCATTTTGTCAACTAAGTATATTGGAAAGTATTTAAGAAGACAAAATATTTTCTCTTCGGTGAGTTCATAAAGAGCGTGGATGAGAAATCTCACGTAATGATATTAAATGGGTGGTAAGGGAAAAATCTTATCGGCTTCAAAGTTGGCACTTACCGTAGCAGCGTGCTATACAAGTTACCACCTATTTTTCTGGTTGAGAAATTGTGGAAAGAGATACAAATTTTTACCAAGGATCTTCACAACAGACAGGCTTTGTTGTTTGAATCATATATGTAGTGTTCTTGAAACATGCATGTAGACATACACGAGAGAATTGAGGGAGAAAGGAGTCCAATAAGAAAATAATGAAAATTTGAAAAATTCGACGATGCAAAAGAAACAAATAAAGGGAAACTAAGCATCTCCTTCTTTACTTTTACATGGTTGGTCGATTTGCACTAAACTTGGAAGATAAGCTGAGGAAATAAGTGGGAAAATGTAGCGACTATGATATTTTCCAACACACACAGATTTAAAGTATCCATCTTCTCCAATGATAACAGTTTTTAAACTATTACATATGTCCACATCGAAAACCACAGCGACTTTCTTCTCCTCGTCAATGAAGAAGCTCCCTGCGCCGCAATAGGACATAAAACGACTGTATTGTGGCAGAACCACTTTCAGAAATTTGCTCCACGACACTACGTTGGGCTCAGTCTCATTTGTAACCCAAATCTCCAGTCTAATATTATCTACTGCCTCTCTCCTTCGAAAAAGCACCGCGAGCTTCTCTTGCCTAACACAAGATAGATTCACAGTTTCTCTACCATCAGAGTCAAATGGCAGAGGCAGAAGCTGTCCAAATCTTTCTCTTGTAAAATCAAAACAGATGAAAAAACTTTTAACGTTTGGTGATTTCCCTTGAGCAACAAAGTAAGTCCTTCCCTTCAAAGACACGCTGCGTTGGGGACGCCTTATTATCCAGTCGGGAGTGATGTCAAGAACACTCCATGAATTAGAGCTAAAATTATAGATCTCGTATTCAAAGAAATCGTGGAAATTAATATCGTAAAACCTCAAGATTTTATAGTTACGATTGTTGTCGTATCCGAGAGCATAGCTGTCCAAACTGTAAAGTCTTTTCCTAGGTTCGATCCACCTTCTTTGCCCCAAATACGGGTTCCACACCATGATGCTCGAGTTGTTTTTGGGGACGCATAACACTAAGCCGTCGCAGTGAAAGACTTTAGAAATCTCGAGTTGATTAGGTATAGCTATTTGCTTTATAGATGTATAGTCTTCTTTGTCCTTGCGGAATTCCTGGAGATCGAATCTCAAAGAATAAACCTCAAGATTCAACGTCATGAACCCTATAAATTGCTGCGTTGATGCTGCTTTACCAAAAATACAGCCTTTGGATAAAGCATCCCATGATTTGCAAGTAGATCTTACTGCTCTCAGAGATGTTATCGGAACCCTTGTGAGTATCTCCACTACCAAGTCCTCTGTAAGATCGCACATCCTCGTCATTCTTTCAATAAACGCTTCAGTAGAAATTAGGGTTTTCTCTTTCAATATATATCCCTATCTTTTTTTTTTTTTTTTTTTTTGTCAACAAACGGTATATATCCCTATCTTTAAATACATAGAAAAATATGTTAGTATGTTACTACACTTACGCCCCGTTTCAACTTTTCTTTGTTTTACATCAAATTATTAACTACTTTTCCTATGTGGAAAATATATTCAAGTTTCAGGAAAACACGGATATTTAATTTTATATTATATATATATATTATTTAAAAAATCTTATAATATGTTGATGGGAACCAAACTTTCTTTTATAACAAAAAAAAAGGGCATCACTCTCTCTTATCGCGGTTGCATGGAGAAGTTAAAAGCTCCTCTCTAGTTTTGAAGATTTAAATTTACACCTCAAGCTTCAGTTATGTGGATGCTGTTTTGATTCTGTGAACAAAGTATAGTAAAAATATTTTACAAAACAAAAACTTTTTGTCTTCGATGAGTTCATAGAGGTTAAATGTGGAGAGTGGAGACAGAATTCGTAGTAACTTGTAGCTTTCTCAAGTTTAGGGGATATTTGGAAAACGAAACAGAATAAAGGACTTTCTTTGTTAAAAATAGAAAAAACTTCAGCTGAAACATAGTTTTTTCTTTCCTTTAAGGGCTTTAAAAGTGACTAAATTATTAATTCATCCCAAACTGTTTCTCTCTTTTCAATCGGATAATAGGAAATAGTGCGCGCGCAATATCCATTTGCAACTTCAACTTCTCAGAAATCCAAAAATCTCGTCGGAAGTTTAACAGAGAATCACACTCGCCGCAGCACAAGTAAACACTGTCGTCGCAATCGATCCTTTTCTCACTAAATGCTCGCTGCATCTGAAAAATGTTGCTGAATCTTCGTCTCGATGGATGTAGCAGCTTACATGTCCTCTGTTCGACGAAAACCTTTCCCATCTTCCCTCTCGATAAAGCCCCATCCTTCAAGAAATCGAAGCATAATTACGTACCAGGAACCCACGACGGCGACAAGAGAAGCACCAGAAACTGCGACCGAGGAAGCATCATCGGTACCGTTGCCCACGAAGTAATCGCCGGAAAAAACTTACTCATAGTAAACCCAGACGATAACCGCGCCGGAAAATCAAGGATTAGCGATGGATTCGTCGATAAGAGAGCTAGAGAAACCGGATTCAACGGAAACGGCACGTTCGGTAAAGTGCACGCAAAGTGTTCGACGAAAGGTCTTACTTACGGAGGATGCATCCCCGCCATTTTACAGGCTTTAGATCGTATCGACGACGTTGAAACCGCGTTGAGCCCCTGGGCGGAGAGGCTCAGCAGCAAGGAGAGGACGATCATACTGAAAGAGCAGACGCGGTGGGAGAGAGCGGTGGAGATTTTCGATTGGTTTAAGAGCAAAGACCGCTACGAGCTGAACGTGATTCACTACAACATCATGTTACGGATTCTCGGGAAAGCTTGTAAGTGGAGGTACGTGCAGAGTCTATGGGACGAAATGATCAGAAAAGGAATCAAACCGATCAATTCCACGTATGGGACGCTCATCGATGTTTATAGCAAAGGCGGGCTTAAAGTCCACGCTCTTTGCTGGTTAGGGACGATGAGCAAGATTGGGATGCAGCCTGATGAAGTGACCACAGGGATTGTTCTTCAGATGTATAAAAAGGCGAGAGAGTTTCAGAAAGCAGAGGACTTTTTCAAGAAGTTTGGGAACAATGTGGCGGAGTCAAATCTTTGCTTGAGCTCTTACGCTTACAACACGATGATCGATGCGTATGGCAAGTCCGGGCAGATCAAAGAGGCTTCAGAGACGTTTGAGAGGATGCTAGAGGAAGGGATTGTGCCAACGACTGTGACTTTCAACACAATGATTCATATATACGGCAATAACGGTCAGCTTGGGGAAGTGACTTCTTTAATGAAGAAGATGAAGCTTCGTTGCTTGCCTGATACAAGAACGTACAACATTCTCATCTCGCTTCACACGAAGAGCAACGATATTGAAAAGGCTGAGGCTTACTTCAAGGAGATGAAAAGCTCAGGGCTTAAACCGGACCCTGTAAGTTACCGAACCCTCCTCTACGCTTTCTCGATTAGGCATATGGTTGAGGAAGCTGAGGAGCTTATAGCAGAGATGGATGAGAATGAAGTTGAGATCGATGAGTACACGCAATCAGCTCTTACCAGAATGTATATAGAAGCGGAAATGATTGAGAAATCGTGGTTATGGTTTCAAAGGTTTCATTTTTCTGGTGACATGAGCTCTGAAGGCTATTCAGCGAACATTGATGCTTATGGCGAGCGTGGATACACATCAGAAGCAGAGAGAGTGTTTCTCTGCTGCCAAGAAGTGAACAAGAGGACAGTGATTGAGTACAATGTGATGATCAAAGCTTACGGAATCGGTAAACGCTGCGAGGATGCGTGTGAGTTGTTCGAGGGGATGATGAGTTACGGCGTCTCGCCGGATAAGTGTACGTACAACACTCTCGTCCAGATCCTCGCGAGCTACGACATGGCGGAGAAAGCGAGATCGTACTTGGAGAAGATGAGAGAGACGGGTTACGTGAGCGATTGTATACCGTACTGCGCTGTGATATCTAGCTTTGTGAAGCTAGGTCAGGTTGGTAAAGCAGAGGAAGTGTATAGAGAGATGGTTGAGTTCAATATTGAGCCAGACGTCGTCGTTTATGGAGTCTTGATCAACGCGTTTGCGGATAGAGGAGACGTTCAAGAAGCTACGAGTTATGTAGAAGCGATGAAAGAAGCTGGAATTTTAGGGAACTCTGTTATACACAACTCTCTGATCAAGCTCTACACGAAAGTCGGGTACTTGAACGAAGCCGAATCGATATACAGAGAGCTTCTTGAATCGTCATCGTATCCGGATGCATATACGTCGAACTGTATGATCAATCTGTACAGCGAGAGGTCGATGGTGAGGAAAGCGGAAGCGATATTCGAAGGAATGAAACAGAGAGGAGAAGCGAACGAGTTCTCGTTCGCGATGATGGTGTGTATGTACAAGAAGAACGGGAGGTTCGAGGAAGCGACTCGGATAGCGAAAGAGATGAGAGAGATGAAGATTATGGACGATCCGTTGAGTTATAATAGTGTTCTTGGTTTATACGCTTTGGACGGAAGGTTTAAAGAAGCTGTTGAGACTTTCAAAGAGATGGTTGCTTCCGGGATTCGAACCGACGACTCCACGTTTAAGTCGCTTGGAATTATTCTGATGAAGCTCGGTTTGTCGAAGAAAGCTGTTCGTAGGATCGAGGAAGTGAGGAAACGAGAGAGGAAGAGAGGTTTGGATCTTTGGATTGAAACTCTCTCTTCTCTCGTTGAGCTTTAGGGTTTTAATTTCTTGTAGATCTTTAGTTGTTTGTGTGTGTATATAACAAACCGTTAAATCTTTGAAGCGGGAGATATAAAAAAAAAAAACGCAAACAAAAAAAAGCTACATCACACGTCACAAAGTATTTACATGACGTCATTGTGCCATGAGAGAACTATTGCTTCAAGCTCAGTGATCAAATCGGACCACCGTGAGTCGTCTTCTTCTCCTTCGGCGACTTTGACTTCAACCACCACGAGATCGACCGCTAACTCCACTGCTTCGAGGACTATCGCTGTTCTTCCTCTTCCTAATCCAACTATCGTCGTTTCTCCTTCTTTCTTCGTCTTGTTCTTCACTGCGTAGCCGAGTTTCTCACCGATGGATTTCGCTTTCTCCTCAACTTCGACGGCGGAGACTTTCGCTGTGAATCTCCGTTCTTTCTTTTTCTTAATCTCGAACAATCCGGAGAGATCTAGTCCCGACGAGAACGAGATTAGATCGAAAGCTGTTACCGAGTTGATGCTAATTTTCTCCAGGAATGGCTCCGACTCGAAGATGTTGCGGTGGAATTCGGAAGTTTCTAGGGATTTTTTGAACCATGTTGTTTTCATGACGGTTTCTATGCTCATCCTCGTCGCCGGATTCGGATCGAGCATCTGGTAGATGATCGATTTGGCTTGTTTCGAGATCCAGCTCGGGAATCGGTAATCTCTCCGGTGAATCTTCCTGTACATGGCCGCAATGTTGGAATCGTCGAAAGGAACGTCTCCGACGAGAAGGACGAACAGGATGACTCCGCAGGACCACGCATCCGCTTTAGCTCCGTCGTATCCTCGCCGCGAAATGACCTCTGGAGCTGTGTAAGCCGGCGTTCCGCACGCCGTGTGGAGGAGTCCGTTTTGAAGGTGCTCCGGCAAGGCGGATAAGCCGAAGTCGGAGACCTTGAGGTTCCCTTGCTTGTCGAGGAGTAGATTCTGCGGCTTCACGTCGCGGTGAGCGACGCCGTCTTGGTGAGAGAAGCGGAGCGCGGAGGCTAGCTGCTGGAAGTAACGACGCGCCGTCGATTCGGGGAGTCGTCCGCGGCGGAGGACTTTGGAGAAAAGCTCGCCGCCGTCGGCTAGCTCCATGACGATGTAGATCTTAGATTTGGTCGCCATGACTTCGTGGATCTTGAGGATGTTGGGATGGTGACGGAGACGACGCATGGCATCGATCTCCCGGATTATCCTCGGCTCCATGCCGGATTCAATGGTTTTCTTCTTCTCGATGATTTTAATGGCGACGAGCTCATCTTTCTCGATCGAACGAGCCAAATGGACCTTGGCAAAGCTTCCGCTGCCGAGTCGGCGACCGATTTCGTATTTACCTAGGAGAATTTTCGCTGGAGATGACGGGGTTCTCGGAGATTCCATGGAAGATAGTGGCGGCGAGAAGAAGTGGAGCCTGAGTTCTTTAGAGATTTCAGGGACGAGTTGTTTGGTGAGCTGGTGTTTGTTTTTATAGGGAAAGAGAGATGATTTGTTTAGTGGTTTACCGAAAATACCCTTGGTGAATTAATTAAGCTGTTTAAGTAAAATCTGTTTTACGTGTTATACGGGATTGTTATAGCTTCTACACATTATTCTCCAAGTAACTTCGATGAGATCATTTCGGAAAATGATTTTTCGTTTTTTGCACTCTAATAAATAAATATAACCTCCAAATAAAATAAATTTTTTATAGTGAAATACATTGATTAAATACAGTGAAATACATTGATTAAATACAGCAACAAGAAAATGGTTTTTTATCAAAACATTAACAAATAAAAATGAATCATGTAGTCAAAAACATTCATAGATTTTATCCTGAGGTCAAATAAACTTTTGGCAATATAATCATATATTTACAAAAATATATATTTGAGTATTTAATTACATAAAGTGACAGTCAATTTTATTGTAAACTCAGCTGTGAAATTTTAATAGATGTATATAAAGTCAATAAACTAAAAAGAGGAAGTATATTTTAAGTTTGAATGAATATTTATTGAAAACCCTTCAAAATAACAGAAATATAAGGTGAAATTTTAAAACATGAAAAATACATAAATTCAAAAGTGATAACAATTTCTTGACATAAATTCTTCTTTTATTTTGTTTTCCATACTGTAGTAAGTAACGTACTCAAACTTCACAACCCACATTGTTTTCAAAAAATGTCTCCGTTTATATATGAACTAAAATTATGTAAATCAATAAATCATGCTCTGGCCAAAATTAAATTATGACTTGTGAAAGTATTAAGTCGCTCGTTCTTTATCAAAAAAAAAAAAAAAAAAAAAATATATATCTAGTCTTTCAGAATAATTGCACTCAACTTTATACCCCACTTTATTCCAGCAAAATATCTTATGGTCGATATCACAATCTCATAACTATTCCACTAGTATAGTGCTTAACAAACAATCACGAAAAAATAGTAGGAGCAATCACTATTCCAAATAGAGAATATATAAAATCTTGCTGTTCATCATTGTCGTTGCATCTATTGGACACTTGGTGTTGAACTTTAAAGTATTTCATTTATTAAAGCAATTTTGTCTTCCTACTTTCAACGGTCCACGTGTCCATCTTTTTCTTGTTTGATTCTCTCCTTTTTGTTTTTCACCTGAAGTTTGATTTAATTAATTACTCATTAACTGTGGCTTACAGTTAATCTGGTTTACCGAACGAAGGGCAGATAGGTCATTTCCCAACAGGCAAACTGATCATTGGAGACTCTTTGAGTGTTCAGAGACTTAACAAACCGTCAAGATTGTTTGGCTGTTGTCGACTGGCAAGTGGACGACTCTGGTTCTACCATGTCAGCAACAACTTTGGGCCCACAGTTGGGTCCCATGAGATGGTGGAACGTAGGAAGAAAACAAATTTTGATGTTTTTAATTTTGGTATTAAAGTTATAGATTCACAAGAAAGTGAAGAAACATACAACAAAGCTGCAATTTTTTTCGGTTATTTTATTATCCTGAGATTTGGACTTTGCCAGTCCACAATGGCATATTCCACACACACTAACTCACTAATCTCAGTCCATAATAAAAGATTATATTAACATGGAAAAATTTACGCATATGCATGTAACGATGATATCAGATTATTAAACCATTTGTGATACGTATCTTTAGAAAATTATTGGTATATTTTTGGAATATTAGATATAGTGGAGTAGTAGTATATAAATATGTTGTATCAAAATATCTTCTGCTGTTTTGAATACTCTATAATAGTGATTAGGTCAGACCATGTTGCAGTTTTTAATATATGCCAAAATTTATGAGTTTACAGAGATCTAAATTTATATAAAGGATATAAACTTCACTCTATGCATATAGTATTTCTCGATTTTTTTTTTTTTTTTTTTTTTGCGTATAGTATTTTAAAGAACAAATAAAATTACTTAACACATTAAATATTGGATGGAAGTTAGTCATTGTATTATTCAATTATATATATGTGCATGCATTACTTGTGGGGAAATGTAAGTGCTTGGGAGTTTTCAAGGAAAGTGCTTAGTGCTTTTATATAGAGTGTCGTGAATTTATTATTGAAATGTATGCAGATGATTGGCAAAAATAAGATAGTCGAGCTAAAGGTAAAATTTTTCTTAAGTAGACTAATTCACTAAGGTGGCTTATTGTGAAGACAAATCAGGGTACGATACGACCATTAAGCTTTCAAAGAGACGTGATAGAATTAGTCTGCCATGAAATTATATGTCCAATTACGTGAGACATACGAAAACTTACAATTTAAAACTAAAGTTTTTCATTTTTTTGTATTTCCTGTTATTAAATTTTGATTGTGTGTTGGTATGTGGTTGTGAGGTGTTCTATCTGCGATCAGATAGGTGGAGAAGGTGAAACGTAACGCACGAATCCATTGGTACAATGGATATATAATTTATGACTAAGCAATGAAATTATAGGGAACACTCGTTTCATCTACTTTTCATTTCATAGGACAAGTTAGGCAAAACTGTTTTGAGTGAAATTTGGACACGAACACAATGGACCAACGATTTGTGCTAGGCAATTACATTAATTGGGAAATAAATCAAGAGTACTTATTCGACACTCTTTTTTTAACGATTCGCACATATTGATATATATTTCTCTATTACAATCTTAGCTAACTGGTCACGTATAGGCTTGATACTAAGATACAAGTCTAGGTTTTGTATATTGTATTTGTTTGTTTTCAACAGTGGCTATATAGGTCAACAAGACAACAACCAACCAAGCAGAGCAAAAACCGTATGCTAGTTTGAAGATTAGAGTAGAAAAAGAAAAAAAACAGTTAATATATACTAAGCAAATTGAATATATACTAAGCAAATTGAATTGATGAAAAACGTTTATTCTTGCGATTTATAACATTTTGAGGGGCAATTTTTTTCTATTTTGTAATGTTTCTATGAACAAAGATGTTGTATAAACAAACCTATATATATATATATATATAAGTAAGTAACAAAAATAATAATATTCATAGAAAGAAATTGCCAAGATCCATCATCGAGTGGAAGACGACATGATTTTGACCAAAAATGAAAACGACACAGTGATATAAATAAAAAATATTCGACAATAACAAAGAACCACCAATTATACACCTTAATGATATAGTAATATATATTACATATTAGCTCGTTCCGTTGTTTGCCATGTGTTTTCGAGACCCTATATATGTGTTAACAAGATAAGTGCTATATTTTCAACCAAGTAATATAAATATTTAAGAAATGAATAAGCCTCTAATTTACAGTTTGAGTTATTCTGAGAGGTAGGTGTTCAAATCAGTATTACAATTCTAGATTGTCAAATAAGAAAAGTAAATAGGAAAAAGGAGGAGTCATATACTAAACGTCCGTATACGGACTACGTTTGACTATATCAATTTGATTACATCCCTCAATAGGTAATTTTTTCATACGCCAAAATTCAATAATTTAATCGATGATATATTAGGCTCTATAATGCAGTAAAAGCAGGTGATACTAAAAATATATATACATGGATTATTTATAGTGATATATATATGGCATCAATGCATGGTTAATCGATCATTTTTGCCAACTTTTCATAATTAATATATAGCGAGTAGTAGCCGTTAGATAAGAAAGAACTTTACAGATCAAGTGGTGTATATAATATCATGGAATTATGTAATAACATTACATTAGTACATGTGGAAAAAACTTAAGAGTAAACATGACAATTTCCCAAATGGTAGTAGTGCATAAACGAGTGAAAACAGTACATTACCTAGAGTAATTTTCTGGTTTTCAAACATGAGCATCAAAAATTTTAAGAGCTTGTTAATTATCTCTTAATTCAAGAAGTCACTAACTTAATTGTTTCTTTGAAAAAAGGAAAAACTATTTGAAATAATTTTGAAAGCTACATTGTCATGGAGATGTTGCTTTTCATGATGCTGTGGGGGATGGATGTTCCACCACCAATAAGAGTATTTTCGTAATAATATATATTTTTTCCCTTTCTTTAAAATTATATTATAATTTAAAGTCGTTACAAATAATATTCATTACCATGAGTGTCGCCAAAATAGAAGGTTATAGAGTATGAATAATATCGTTTTCATGGCAGTTTGGTCTTTGGTTTCTAGTTTCTACGAGACACAATAATATAAGTGCAATATGTTATATGAACGGACCAAACTCAGTTCCTCTAGATTGTAATAAGTTGACTATTGCTGCATTGCAGGCTTTACAGCCAAGTATGGAGCCTCCTTAATCATCTCTGATAATTACTTATCATATCATATGTATTATATTCAGTGAAAATTTGATACATTCCCCGTTAAGATAACTTATCATATGCATAGAGTCAGTCATGTTTAGGATTTTGGAAACCTAACAAGGATGAAAAATGGACAAGTGATAGTTTCTTAAAACAAACTTTAGCATCGTTTTGTATTGTTACTATCAAACAAAAAAGAGTAAAGTAGTTTTGACTTTCGTCTTTTACCAATTTATCCCATCATTAAGTATCACGGATTAATTACGGGTGAACAAAATCCAATTGTGGTCTTCACTAACTTTAGGAAGCTTTGATTATAAACAAAAACAAGAAACTTAAGCTGTCCGCCATTGCATTACCTTGGTTGCAAAAGTTTTATATGATTAAATTTGTATACTATCTTTAAATCTAATAAATACACAAGAACATATTTCCTTATTTCGGCATCAGAATAATCTCCTTTAGATAAGTCTCTTTATGAGGCTAAGTAGTTTATTTACCGTTGAACGATAGTGTTTAGCCATTTTTAGAACATTGATCAAAACAGGACACGTGTATATCAACAGGCTCATTATACGACTTATTGAATGAGACTGGTTTCGAAATTCTGTTTGGTTACACAACCAACCGCACAATTGACAAATCAACATTCTGTAGAACTGTAGAAGCGGGTGGTCCACTTTGTGGTCGACAAAGGCGAGCCAAAGGAAAATAGCAACATCAATGGACCACATATATGGCCTCACCTACGATGCCTTCACACCCACATATTATACACTCCATTTTAAAGTATAGTTTTAATTAGTAGATAGTATTATTATAATCAACTGTGCAATTATTTTTATTGACACGTTACATCCGAAGAGGCTCCACACTTGGACCAATGAAGAGGCGCATTTCGATTAGCAAAAATTTTGGATCCTCTTCAAGTAGCAATATAATTTGAGAATTAGATTTTGTTTCTTCCCCAACCACCCAATTCTGTCTTTCTTTAAGAGAAAATTAAATCTCCCTCCCAACTCTCAAAGTGAACGTCGACCTTACTCATTCTACAATGGATCCATTTATAATTTATACAACATGAAACATAAATTATTGATTAGTTTAGTGAAAAGTTTCAGTAATGCGCTTCAGACTAATGATAATAATTAAAGAATTTGGGAGTGGGAGCTTAATATATTCTTCTTTATTCGTTGATATTTTTCTCACCAGAAAGCTAGCTAGTATAGTAAAAAACGTGTATAATGAGAAGTAGTCACTAGTTTTGAATAACACAAGATTACAATCACTCTGTTTTAAAGTTCATTGTTGATTATTGTGTGTATGCGTTGTCTCTTATACGTGTTTTAAAGCAACGCACGGTTCTATATTCTCTCAAACTCCGTGATTTTAGCGAAGACAAAGTTGCCGAAATATTCACGGTTTCATGAAGAATATATGCCTGAAAACTTGGTTGAACTGCTCTAGTTCACGTTGTAGATGTTGTTGGTCACAATTATGGGTAATTAGGTGTTTATGATCGTTTAAATATACAACACTCACAATACAACATAAGTATGTGCAAACTAAATCCAAATTTTCGACCAAAAAAAAAAAACTAAATCCAAATTAAAAATATAAGAAGTGAGAAACGTCTCCTGGGTTACAAGAAAAGACGTTTATACATTTTAAGCAAAAATTACAACCAAAAATGTAAGGACAAAAATATTTGACCCCATCTCCAAACGGCAAATATTTTACACTGTTACTTGCACTGTATATGTGTGGCTTAATCCTTGTTATTTTATTATATACAGTACTCATATATTGGTGAGCAACACCATCTCAATTATTCTAACGTGAAAACGTGATTCTTTCGTATAATATATTTTAATTTGAAAAGGAAGACAAAATATCTCATTTTGATTACAGCTATTTTGGTTTGGACGAATTATTTGAAGAGGAAATTTAAACTGATACAAGAAAAACGAAAAACTGAACCTTTTTGCTAATCACAATTCTTTTTTCGTAACAAAAGTAATTTCAGTCATGTACTAATCAATACATGAGTGCTGAGAAGTTCTCAATAGTTGACTGAAACCACATGCAATAAATGAGTAAAAATATCATGTCAAAGAGTAGAAAATTCATGCCAGATATTTACTTGAACGCACCCGGCCCGGCCCGGCCCATCTTGTTTATTTTCCCCCAATATTGTCTTTTTCTTTTTTAGCAAATATATATAAATAGATTGAGAAATTCTTAGGGCATTATGCGAAAGTGAAAATCTTCGACACTAACGCAAAATGAGACTGCAACTGAATGCTTCTAATTTATAATAATCTTAGGTTCTTCATCACATTCGTAATAAAAGCACAATATTTTATGAAGAATTTTCACTGAAATGTATATTACACCAAGATACTATCAGATTAAACACCATGTTTGATATTATCGTCTAAGCGAAACAAATGAAAATATGAGATAACTCTATGGACCCCAAACTATCCTAAATAATAAATATATATATGTGATCAAACATTTAAGAAAAAAAAACATAAAATATCAATAAGAAAAAGAAATTTAGTAAATAACAAAAGAAATTAATTCAAATATTTAGAAACAATCAATTCAATTAGTAAATAAGAGAATATAATTAAAAGATTCTGAAAACAACTAACCTTTATCAGTCCAAGTCATATGGGACTTCGAGAACTCATGGGTCTCGGTCACTACGATGTTGGAGACCGAAAAACTGCATAACACAAGCATAATCAAAGATATCCCAAAAGAAGATTTGCATTATATTTTTTCGTAAGAACAAGTATATAAATTGGATCTCTAAATTTAGTTTAGAAAAAACCTCAGCCATCTTGATTTTTGAAAAAGGTGTAAAGTTCGTACGTATGTTGAACGTATGCATTTGAGCGGTAGTCAAATCCTTTAGTTGAGTTTTGCCCAAGATAGAAAAGTCATCTTTAGAATTGATAAAATACTCACAAGGTAAGAAATATTAAAATTATTTCATAATCCAATTTTTTCTGATCAGGTTTTGAATTTATACAACTTAATATCCCCTTGTAATTAGTTTTGAATCGCTTTATTATAACAATTTTTTTTCTTTAAGCTTGATTTTAGATACCAAGATGAGGCAATATTTCAATTTGGCTGGACTGTGCTGATGTAATAAAAAAATATTTATAAATCAATTGCCAAAACACGATCATGTTATCACTCCTTGAAAAAAAAACACAAAAAAAATCTTACCAACCAAGAGTTGCTATATTACAATAGGAGAATTAAAATGTCATATATCAATGCATCGGAGATAAATAATGAGAAGAAACCACTATCTCTGCTTTGTTCAACAATACTATGCTTTTTAATACATATCAAAATGATAAAGTTTACTACTAATAATACATTACAGCATCGTGAATCAAACCCACTAATCTATAAAGAAAGACTTTCGACTGACCAAACCAAACCAACCCAAATTACATTCCCCAGATTCCTCTAGCCGAAGCCACTCTGCTGTTTGATCTAGCAGTCAGTTCATACAAAATCCTAGCAAACGAATCCGAAAACTTGCCATCTTGAAAAAGCAGCTCAACGAAAGCATTCTCATACGCCAACAACAATCCTCTGTTCTGAGGCTCAGAGACAAGGTTCTCTAGTACCATCGCAGCTTTCCTGCAGACTTCTGGCACCGGATGCGGAGTCTTTATCACTTTCAGCAACCTATCAACCGCCCTGAAAACATAAACAATATCTCATAAGCTTGTAATGTGAAGACTCATTTGGTTTGTGATTCTAAAGCATAGTTTTTGGTATATATACCATCTCTCACTTGCAAGCTTTAACTTGCAATCCATGTTCACTTCCACAAGATTGTAGATTGCGCCAACAGCTGCGGCTTGTGCATCAACTGCTGGTATGCTTATAAGATCCACTAGTCGCCTGAGTATCTGCAACAAACAAGATGGTCGTCCATTGTTGAGTTTATTCAGAAACCATAAAATGATTATCATGAAACCAAAGTTATCAAAACCTGTGGAATTAAGGGACTAATGAAAGGTTCATTGTCAGGATTGATTATCAAACGCCCCAGTAATTCAGCAGCAGCACAGTTCCAAGCTTTCACTGAAGAATCAAGAATCCCAACCACAGCTTGAACAGCTTGCTTTTCACTGTTTTGAATGACTCACAAGTTAAAGATGCAACTTTGTTAAGATAATACAGGGAGATGATGAAGAGAGAAAAAAAACTCACTTTATGTTGATGAATGACGGTTTAAGCGAGCTGAAGATTCGAAGATCCATCAAATGAGCTAAGTTCACAATTATCTCTAGCGAGTTTGTGACCAGCTCTTCATCCTCTGTCAACAAAAACAATCTACTTCTCAATACAAGTATCAAACACATAGGTAAATGCATTGAAGCCAATTCAATCCTTACCGGTCATATGATCTTGAATGCACTGGAAGACAGTTTCCAAGCAATGGCGATGCTGAGACATTAGGTTTTCGTTATCAGGCATGAAGGAGAAGTTGCGGATAACGTTTGAAGCAGCAATGGCGCTCAGCTGTTTCTCTGCTCTCCCTTCATCGTCTATGTGAAACAAACCGTCCTCTTCGTTCCACCACTGAGACGACCTCTTGTTCCCTAACGCCTCACCACCAGCTGAAGAGCCAGGGGTTTGAATAGTGGCTAAAGCGTCGTACTCAGTACCGAATCCTGTAACCGAGGAGTTTGCACCTAAGGATCTGACTCTAGCTCCTCTTGCTAGGTCCTTTGGGAGACCTATGTCACGCCAGTCATCAATCTGCCAAAGTAATTGAATCAACAACAATGGCTTACACAGACAAATACAGAGACTATTGAATCAAACTCACAATAAGGAGAAGGGCATCAAGCAAGCCAGGGATCTTTGCGAGAGGAGTGAAATCTCTTCGGATATCTTCTTTCTCTTTGAAGGAGAGCAATGTGAGTGTGTTCAATGCCCATGTTACTTCGCTCTTTATACCACTCTGTAGCGCGAGGACTAATCTTCTATTGTTCTGGTCTACAATCAAAATCATCAACGAAAGCTAAGAAGAAAAGCTAACGGAAGCTTTTTAGAAAGGTGAAATCGGAGCTTACCGACGAAGGAATTGTGAACTAGAAGAGAAGGACCGAGTAAAGCTAATGGAGACATCGCCTCCGCTGCAGCGGCGGCGGCAGCTGCAGCAGCTGAGTTTGCACTTGTGCTACCGAATGGTCGGCCTCTCTTCGGTGGTGGAGCCGAAGCTCCGCCGGACTGGCCACCGGATTTTCCAAGATCCCGTTTTTGCATCTCTCTCGATTATTTTTTGGCAAAGTTAGGGCAATGAAATTTGAGCCGGATTTAGTCCGGTTAAGAGTCCATTCGATTAATTAAAAAGAATAGAATTTTGACTCATTTTACTAAACTCTCTTTCTCAGCCAGCGGATTCCGGTTTAGTTTAAAGTCGGTTTAGAAAAATCTAAAATAGGTTCACGTTGATGGTTTTGTACAGACAAACTTGCAGAGGAAATCGCTAAAGCCTTTTGCGCCGCCGTTGTAAGCGACTTAGCCACGGAAGCAAAGTCGCACAAATTCTCTTGAAACTTCTTCGCTCTTCGTTTACGCGATTCTTTGCCTACAGTCACCGTACACGTTCCAACGAGATTCTGAGAGAGAGAGATTTTGATAAGCTGTACAGAGAGAGAAAAACTCATCGGAGAAAATCGAGGGAAGCGTTTTTGCTTCTGGAGAAAGCGTCTGAGCTCGAGTAACGGATTAGGTGAGTTATGTTATCATTCTTCATTCTCACTTTTTGAATTGAGCTTTGAAATTTTCTGGAAAATCGAATCAATTTCGAATTTCAATAGCGTGATTCGTGCATCTCTATCGTTTTGATCTTTCTACGATAAGAGCTAAACTCTGCTGGTTCGATTCAATTCATCTCTGTCAAATTCGTAATTTTCGCGAGGTTTTAGCTGAATCTCCTTCCTGATTGCTCTTCATCTGATTGTATAATCTGCAGGTTAATCTGTAATATTGTGTAAAAGGAAGAGATGGATGAGTCTGATGGTACGAAGATTAGGAACATATGTATCTTAGCACACGTAGACCACGGCAAGACGACGCTCGCTGACCACCTGATTGCTTCCTCCGGTGGCGGTGTACTTCACCCGAGGCTCGCCGGGAAGCTTCGGTTCATGGACTATCTCGACGAAGAACAAAGGCGAGCAATCACGATGAAGAGCTCTTCGATTTCTCTCAACTACAAAGGCCATTCTCTCAACCTAATCGATTCCCCTGGGCACATGGACTTCTGCAGCGAGGTCTCAACAGCTGCTAGGCTCAGTGACGGAGCGTTGGTTTTGGTTGATGCTGTTGAAGGCGTTCACATTCAGACTCACGCTGTGTTGCGTCAAGCTTGGATCGAGAAGTTGACTCCTTGCTTGGTGCTCAACAAGATTGACCGGTTGATTTGTGAGCTGAAGTTGAGCCCCATGGAAGCGTATACACGTTTGATAAGGATTGTTCATGAGGTTAACGGGATAGTGAGCGCGTATAAGTCTGCGAAGTATTTGTCCGATGTTGATTCCATCATCGCGAGCTCTTCAGGTGAGATGTCTGCTGATGAGAATCCTGAGTTTTGGGAAGATGATGAAGAAGTTACGTTTCAGCCTCAAAAGGGAAATGTGGTTTTTGTCTGTGCTTTGGATGGTTGGGGTTTTGGGATCTCTGAGTTTGCTAATTTCTATGCGTCAAAGCTCGCTGGACTTAGTGTGACTAATCTGCAGAAAGCGTTATGGGGTCCTCGTTATTACAATTCCAAGACGAAGATGATTGTTGAGAAGAAGCATTTGAGTGCTGAGAGCAAGACGAAGCCAATGTTTGTCCAGTTTGTGCTTGAACCTCTGTGGCAGGTCTACGAGGCTGCGCTAGATCCTGGAGGTGATAGAACCGTTCTTGAGAAAGTGATCAAAAATTTCAATTTGGTTATTCCGCCACGTGAACTTCAGAACAAGGATCTTAAAAACGTGCTTCAGTCGGTGATGAGCCGGTGGCTTCCTTTGTCTGATGCAGTCTTGTCAATGGCTGTGAAGCATCTGCCAGACCCCATTGCAGCGCAGGCGTTTAGAATCCCGAGGTTGGTTCCAGAGAGGAAAATCATCGGTGGTGGCGATGTTGATCCAGGTGTCCTTGCGGAAGCAGAGCTCGTTAGAAAATCGATCGAAGCTTGTGACTCTAGCCGTGACGCCGCTTGCGTTGTGTTTGTGTCGAAAATGTTTGCTGTTCCCATGAAGATGATTCCTCAAGATGGAAACCACAGGGAGAGGATGAATGGTTTAAACGACGAGGACAGTAGAAGCGAGTCGGATGAGTGTTTTCTCGCATTCGCTAGGATCTTTAGCGGAGTTCTTCGCGCTGGACAGAGAGTCTTTGTGATTTCCACTCTATATGATCCTCTCAAAGGTGAGTCGTCTCAGAAGTATTTTCAAGAAGCAGAGCTTCATTCCATCTATCTCATGATGGGACAAGGTTTAACACCGGTAAACGAGGTTAAAGCCGGGAATGTAGTGGCTATTAGAGGTCTCGGACCGTATATTTCGAAAAGCGCAACACTTTCATCTACTAGAAACTGTTGGCCTTTAGCTAGCATGGAGTTTCAAGTCTCTCCCACTCTTAGAGTGGCGATTGAGCCATCGGATCCTGCGGATATGAGTGCTCTGATGAAAGGGTTAAGACTTTTAAACAGAGCAGATCCGTTTGTGGAGATCACTGTGTCAGCTAGAGGAGAACATGTGCTTGCAGCTGCTGGAGAAGTTCATCTAGAGAGATGTGTGAAGGATTTGAAAGATAGATTTGCGAAAGTGAACATTGAAGTATCTTCACCTCTCGTGTCCTACAGAGAGACGATCGAAGGCGATGGATCTAATCTCTTGGAAAGTTTGAGGTCTCTGAGCTTGAATTCTTCTGATTACGTTGAGAAGAGGACTCCAAATGGCAGATGCGTTATCAGAGTACACGTCATGAAACTACCGCACGCGCTTACGAAGCTCCTCGATGAGAACACTGACTTGCTCGGTGACATCATCGGAGGTAAAGGCAGTCACAGCGTTACGTTACTAGAGTCACAAACGCCGAGCATCGAAGGGAATGTTGATCCCATCGAGACGTTGAAGAAAGAGCTAATCGAAGCTGGCGTTTCAACGAGTCCTGAATCTGAAAAGGATCGTGAGAAATGTAAAGCCGAATGGTCGAAGCTGCTCAAGAGGATTTGGGCGCTTGGTCCACGAGAGAAAGGTCCGAACATACTCTTCGCTCCAGACGGTAAACGAATTCGCGACGATGGATCGATACTCGTGAGAGGCTCTCCTCATGTCTCTCAGAGACTTGGCTTCACAGAAGAGTCCACCGAGGGAGAAGCATCTGAAGAAGAGGCGTTGCACAGTGAAGCACTGACTCTAGAGAGCAGCATCGTCTCCGGTTTTCAGCTAGCGACAGCTTCAGGACCTCTATGCGACGAGCCAATGTGGGGATTAGCATTCACCATCGAGTCTCACCTCGCGGAAGATTCCGAAACAGAGAAGCAGCAACCGGAGAACTTTGGGATCTTCACAGGACAAGTCATGACGGCTGTGAAAGACGCTTGTAGAGCCGCGGTGCTTCAGACGAACCCGAGGATCGTCGAAGCAATGTACTTCTGCGAGCTGAACACCGCGCCGGAGTATCTTGGTCCGATGTACGCGGTTTTGAGCAGGAGACGAGCTAGGATTCTCAAGGAGGAAATGCAAGAAGGTTCGTCTATGTTCACTGTCCACGCGTACGTGCCGGTTTCGGAGAGCTTCGGTTTCGCGGACGAGCTGAGGAAAGGAACGTCTGGTGGTGCGAGTGCGTTGATGGTTCTTAGCCATTGGGAGATGCTCGAGGAAGATCCGTTTTTCGTTCCGAGGACGGAAGAGGAGATCGAAGAGTTTGGCGACGGAGCAAGCGTGCTTCCCAACACGGCGAGGAAGCTCATCGACGCCGTGCGACGCAGGAAAGGGTTACATGTTGAGGAGAAGGTTGTTCAACACGCTACTAAACAGAGAACCTTGGCTCGTAAAGTTTGAGAGTTTTTGTTTTGTTTTTTTGTCTGTCTTGGTTGGGCCTTTTTGGTGCTTGTTGTGCTCACTTTGGTACATGTTGGGGAAATTATAACTAATAGTGGGCTTTACAAAGTGGGCTTTGAATTGGGCTTTGGTTCTTTATGCCTCCCTGGTAGTTACAAATTAATAAGACCTATTACCCCCAAAAGAAAACACTTTACAGAAACTAGAGGGGAAGATTGAGGAAAAGAAAAAGGAAAAACTAATTTTATGAATTGTTTCAGATATGAATGAATACGAACCAAATTAAAAACTGCACCTACAACTACAAGGATACATCTCTGATTCCTAGTAGAGAGAATCCTGACTTCATTTTGTTGTAGCTTTTATTATGAACAATCAATGTGTGTATTAAATGGTATTATAGTGATATTTTTTTAGTTTCTGTAAATAGGGTTCTAATGAATAACCTCTGAGTCCCATTAAGAGTGTCATCAGTACTCTTCTTATTAGGTGTCAGGGTTTTTGCTTCTAGAAAGAGATAACACAGTTTCATAGATTAGAGATGTTAATTAATGAAGCTTTGTTTTGGAAATCTACCTTGAGTTTTACTTTTCATTTATTTGTTTGATGCAAAGCTGATTAATACGTTGGATCTGATGGTAAAGTGTGTGGTTTAAAGATCTACAGAATAAGAAATTCAATTAGAAGTCTGAGAATTGAAATTTCATGTATTTTAGCATTATGTGTTGCGTATGCAAGCAAGCAACACTACATTGTTTATATGTTTAAATATAAATTTGTTTGGGTTTATGCAAATCCTTATGATCTTAACAGATAACAATGCAGAAGGTTTAATATTTATATTCATAAACTGTCCATAGTTTATCTATAAACCCGACAAGGGGGTGAAGTTCTTTTACTTAGTTTGTACCCAACCCACTCAATGACTCTTATTTTGTTTTCAAAATAATGATCATTTTTATACACATTGTTTTCTTTTGTATAACTTGAATGAATTTTTAAATTTTTGTGCATTCAAAGTTTTGAGCTAGACTTAGGTTTAATAAAGAAGCCCCGATTATTTTCTTGGTTGGCAATGGGCAACCAACAAAATATCTGTGTGCTTTGAGTGTTATTCATTGGCTAAAAAGTGAAAGCACACAAAAGACTTAATGGGAAACAGTTTTTTCTCATGATATCTTTAAAATGATGGAAACTTTCTTAGTTTAATAGTTGACTGAAATATTAAGATGGATTCAACGTAGATTATATGAGTTTTTTTATTAGTGGCGTGCTTTCTCAAATTGTTTAGTTCGCAGTTCTTAAACTAGGAGTATTGTTATTTGATTGTATGACACAATCGGATCTTAAATTTAAATGTGTGATTGATTAAATGCATATATAAAACAAATTAGAACCGAGAAACATTATAATGCAAGTGAGACCAATTCAAGATGATGAACTTGAGTATGTATATAGTTCTTTTGTCTTAATAAATAAGAAAAAATGAATTTAAGGCAAAAGGAAGAAAAAAAAGGGATAGAGTGAGGAGAGGAATCACATGTTGTCACCTAATATTCCAAGTCTTATGTCAAAGTGGATAAGTCTCTCTTCACATCTCCTCCGTGTCCCTTTTCTTTTCCATTATTCATTTTCAATTATACAATTCACTTATAAATTAAGGATTTGTATAGTTGGATCTTAATTATCCTCTCCCAAAATCTTCACTCTTCCTCCTAATAATCTATAGCTACAAGTATCATGTTGAATAACCTAATAAGCTTGAAGAAAAAACTTATGACAAAATGTGGTAAAAGAAGACATGTATATTCTAAAAGTTAAAAGAGAGATGGGCGAAAAATGGACAAGAGAGTATGTAGTAAGTTTCAATTTCAACATTGAGGAAAGCACTTTGAAAAAATGTCTAATGATCAATGTTGGCTTATAAAAAGATGCTTCTTTATCTTGTTCTCTCTCTCTTCCCCACATAGGCATAACCGTATAATATAAACAAATCATTGTAACGTTCATGTGGGGGTTTCAAAAATAATCATAATAATAATTGCAACACACTATAACAAGTTGGTTGTGCAATAAGTCTTAAAATACTGAAAATTGATAAACTATTTATATCTCTTAGTGCAGAAACCTTGATTGCCTCATTAACCAAAACTCATGCGAAAATGTAATTAACAAACAAAAGATAATCTCCAAAACTAATTAAAAGAGTGGGTGGAGAGTCGTTTTCTGTAGACCTTTTATCTTAACCCATGGTTTATTACTTTCTCTTCTTTATTGGTAACAAAGAGAAACGTAACTATGATATTGATAAATCGTAATAAATAACATAGGGATATATATAAAAAAAATTGTTTTAAAAATATTTTCTACCCGTGCAAATTATGTCAAATCCAGAAAAAAGTGTGGATGGTAATAAGAAAAGGAATCAGACCCCACTGCTTGTGAAATTGTTGTAACCGACCCTACCCTATTGTCAAATAATTCGAATATACAATACGTTTGATATATGACATCTAAAAATAATAATAACAAATTATAATAAATACTATAGTTATGGATGAATTGACTACTGCCCCCACATCAATGATTGTGATGCATTCATATAGTCATACAGTATCATATAGTATGTATGTGTTTAAAAGAAAAACATAATAAATTACATACTTATATTTGGGACACAGTTAGGTCCATGTAAGAAGTTGGTTTAGGCTTCGACAGAACTGGGGTAAGAAAGGTTTTTTTTTTGCTTTAACTATGTCCAAAATTAATTTTCAATCTAAAAGCTCTGACAAGACATGGCAATTAAGTGACTTGAGGAAAAAGTAGATTTAACAGTATCACCAAATAAACCAATCTTCTTATATATGCACAATTTTAAGTTAAAACCATGTTTCATTAAGCTCCATTTACAAGATATACAAAAATTAAAGAGTTGTAATTGGAATCAAATTTCCATACAGTTGTACACGATCGGCTAAAAACATTCTAGACTTGCCCATTAAACGGTTTTGTTTGTTTGTTTAGTTCCACAACAAGTGTAGTGGGATACGGATATACCAAATTGGTTAAGTGACTATACGTAAATTTCTAAATAATGAGTTGTTGGGTAAAGGTCAGATTACTTTTTTATAATTTTTGATTGGAAGAGAGCTGATGAATGTACCGTACCAAGACTTAAAAACAGTGAAAATACATTTTACATCTGTCTTATTTTTATTTGTCGTTTCCAATATGGTATTCGAAAAGCAATCATGTAAAAGAGTTTGTTTGTTGCTTGTTCATCTCATTTCACTTTCCTCTTTGCTTTTCTGAACTTACTTAGAACAAGAAAAACAAACTACATATACAAATTTGCTAGTGAAGCTTATTTGGATACCGATTTTCTTTGTTTGATATGTGGTCCTGAAGTTTTTTTTTTCCTTTTGGTACAATATATGTTCCTAAAGTTTGAAATGTAGTATTTCATAATCTTCAAAATTTAATCTATTTCAAATCTTTTTGTTAATTTACTGATGTAAACGTCGGATTGTGGAAAAATACTACATTGATTATCAACCATGTATCATATTATGTAGATTATTTTCCTATTGACTCTGACTCATGTTTCGATTAATAAGAGGTTTGTTATAATATTGGTCATCGATCATAGATAAGTAAAATTACAATTAAATGTATACTCAATGAAAACAGTATTTTATAGTGAAAGCTATCGAATATACTATCTCTTGAAAACAAGCAAAAAAAAATTGAAAATTTTTGTTCAAAATAGTGTAAAAATGTGATTTCTCTTAAGAAGTCCTGCAAAATAATATATATATTCTAGTGGTTACTGCATGCACAAATATCTAGTACGTATTACAAGCACGAGCCACTGAAAATCTATTTTTTTTTCTCTTCAAATTTGAATTGCATCATGACAAAATATATCATTCTCCCAAAAATTATTATTGTCTTCGTGGAAACATATTAATCCACCTAAGCATTTTCACATAAAGAAACCGGGTTTATCGTGTGTTTCGGGAAATTTATAAAGTTGTTCAATAAAGAAATGAGATGAGATTAACGAAACAAAAATCTTTAAAAAAATGAAAAGATGAAAGCAAAAAAGAGAATATGAGACGTTATTCAAGAAGAGCTCTGTACACTCCACGGCTATCGAGAGCCCACGAGCTTCTCTCTTCTATCAAAGCTGTCGTCATTAAAAAAAAAAAAACTAAACAGAGATTAGGAGACTAATTCGTAACGTTTAATTTATCAAATTGCAAAAGTTTATGAAAAGATGCGAAAACTAAAATTAAAGATCGTGTCAATACTCTCTTGTTCCCTTATATGCTTACATATTTTAAACGGCATCGTCTTAAGATTACACAGAGAGATTAATAAATTCAGATTAATTTAAATATTATCCACAACACTGCACAGTTTCTCAGGTGTTTTTGAGTTTCGGAAGTACTAAATTCTAGAGATAACATTTTTCTTTATTTTCGGAAATAGTAAAATATTGTTCTTATTTTTTTTCACCGTGGACGGTAACTAAGTACAAAGTGGTAACCCCTTGCCAAGAAAAAGAACAAAAGAGGTCAAAAAACAACTACAAAAAATTAAAAAGAAAAAGGTAAACAAAAAAGGGAGAATATATGGTAAGGTTATATAATATTTTTCCTGGATTTTTTTTACCTTGGAAATTAAGGAAAATTAGAAAAAGAAGAAAAAAAACTCCAAAATTTTATTACGGCTTCTCCTTGAAGAGTGAAGCTAATCCGGTTACCGCCTTCACTTCTCTCTCCACCGCCACGTCATCATCACCGTCGACAACAGACGGAAAAGGAGAGGAGGAAGAATTAACCAAAGCCGGAGATAAAGATTTCTCCTCAAAAACCAGCTCAAGCTCTGCACAATCTAGCTCCGGCTCCGCCGCGGCCGCCGCAGCTGGCGGCTCCTCGGCGTTTCCAGATGCAACGACGGAGGCTCGGGTGTAAGAGGAGAGCCATTTAGATCGCATGTACTCGGCTTTCCTCCACGGAGGCAAATGCATTCCTTTCTTCTTCAAGCTCTGTTTCGCCGCCTCCGAGATCAACGAGATGATCTGGCTCAACCGATCGGATTTTCCGACGAAGATGAACGGTAGAGATTGAAGCAACGCCTTGTATCCGCTCGTCTGTCTCGCTATATCGAACTCCGATCGGAAATCTACATCGAGTATCAATCGTTCTTCTCCGATAATCACATCTATGTACTCATATTCACCTGAAAATTCGGAAAAATTAAATCAGTCACACAGAATTCGTGAAGAGTTCAAAAGTAGAAGACGGTTGTGGTGGAGGAGAGATCTTTACCAGCTGGGAATGATGGAGATTTCTCCCATTTCGATTTGCAGATTGATGAATCGTAATTAAGAGATAAGAGTCCTTCGTTGACGATCTTCCTCATATCGTCTTTCCGTTTGACGGATTTGTTCTTATCCACAATCCTCGCCGCGTCGGCTAATAAGTTCCTCTCGGCGACGCTCGCGCACGGGATCAAACTCTGATTGGATCGGAATTACATACAATTCGGTTTAATACTGATCAAGCGAGAGAGAGAGAGAGGTGAGAGAGACAAAACGATGTATACCTTGAGATGATCAGAGGCGTCGCAGGGAGATCCGCCGAGGAAGGAATCGGTTGAGTTTCCGAACAGATCTAATTCATCGTCGGAGGAGCTGTCGTTGTTTCCGTTGAAGCAATTGCATCGGTTGCGTCCACATTTCGCTTGCTTCTCGTTGTTCTCCTCAATGAAGTTCTGAACCATCTTCGCTAAACAAACGGAACTCGGCTCGAACTCCGTCACGGCGGCTCCGTCTCTGTTGCATTGAACTTCCCCGCCGGGGAAGACGGCGGCGAACGGCTTCTCGGAGGTTGCGCTCCTCAATACGTTCGTGAACGGCCGATCAAACAACCGTTTGAGACGAGATTTGAGCACCGGTTTGCCTGGCTCCGGTCTAGCTACGGCAGGTGAGTCGATATCAATCGGCTGGATCTTCATCGTAAACGGCATCGCTTATGAAGACTGACGAAGACGAAGATCTAAGCTCTCTTCCTCTCTCTATCTCTCTCTCTCTTTCTCTCCAATTTCGGTCCAAGTCAAGCTCGACACAGACGACGAAAAAGAAACAGAAAATTCAAATTTACACTGCGCTTCGTCTAAAAACCTCAGATCTCTCCAGCGAAAAACGAAGAAAAATCGTCAAAATTTTCAAAAATTGGTATCTCTTCCACGGAATCAGAACCTTAGAAGAAGAAGAGGAAGAAGAAACAGAATCTACCAAAACCTCTCAGCTAAAACCAGAAGAAACCTACGAGCTTCTGCAATCAGCGGATCATTTTTTTCACAGAACGAAGCAAAGAATAATACTACTAGAGAAAGAGAAAAGAAAAGTCTTAAGAGACGGATCGGAGACGAGTTTCACGGAACACGTGACGGCGATGGTCGGAAACAGCGTTACTAGAAACGGAAATGATCACCGGAATATTCATTTTCCCGGCGAGATTCATCGCCGGAGAATTTGAAGGTAAGAGACGATTCTAGAGAGAGAAAACGAAGAAAAGAGTTCTTATGAGAAAACGTATTTTTCTGATAAAAATGTGATTTCTTGTGTGAGATTGGTGTGGGTAAAGAGAGGTTGGCTTAATCTTATAAAGGAGCAGAGATCCGAAGCTGAATCTTACGTGGCACTATATCGCCACGTCAGTTATTACGTGGTGAGTAATTTTTTTTTTTTACCGTTTAAATTTCTTTAGTGGGACGAGATGGTTTTTTACTTTTTAAAATTATTTGTTTTTGTCGTTTTCATTTCAGCGTGGTGGTAAATCCTTTTTACGGAGACGTGTCAGTTACTGCCTACTGGTAATAATTTAAATTACGTTTTTGTCCTCCACTACAGTGGAATATCGGGCATATCCGAAAATGGATTATTCCTTTTCTTATTTCGTTTTTTTTAATCTGTAGTGGAAACTGACTCTTAGCCAATAATTAACCAACACGCGTCAGAAGTAAATCTTATAACTCCTCGTTTTGGACCGTCGGGGTATATTGTACTATCTTATGAAAAGTAAAATACAAATGTGGTAAAGTTAAAATTTAATATACATATTATGTCAGTAAATTGGGGAAAACAATATTTTAGACTGACTACTAAAGGACAAAAGAAGAAAAGGCTGAGAATTTCTATTTTTATTAAAAGAAAAAGCAAGTTATGGCAGTAATTATCTGAATGTGAAATGATAACAACATAAGCTATTTAAAGATCAAAACTTTATCCCATGCTGTAATTATGAGACTTTAAGCTTTACTTTATTAACCCACATTCAAATCAGAAACCTTTAATTAAAATTACTAAAAATCATGCAAAAGACGGGGGCCCAAATATTTGACCGTTTGGTCGTATTCATATAAAGAAAAGTAAAAGTTAAAACAAAGGAAAAAAATAATTAAAAAAAAGTTAAATAGAGTAAAAAGAAAAAGGTGGAATCGAGAATTTAAAACAAGTGTACGGTTAAAAAAACGAATAATAAGAAGATGACTCTTCCTTTGTACGCATGTTGGTAATTATCCTAGCTGCTGGTAAATTAGAGGACAAACCAAAATACATTTTGAGTTTCAAACAGTGACGACTCGTTCGTATTTAACTATGGACTTTCACGTTCAAAATTGTACTACTCATCTACAACTAAATAGATATGATAAACTACAAACATTTGAAATACGATAATGCAGATTAAAAATCATGCATTTGAAACTTCAATTTTTGTTTTGTTCTGTGAAAATTGCATGTTGAAACTTTAAAAGGAAAACGATATCATAACTCTATTTGTATGTTTTAGTAAGTGATGTGGAAGCCTAATTCAATATTTGTTTTGATGAATAAAGCAATACTCGATTATAAATTCGTGTGTGGATTATAATAGTAATGCTACATTGCTACAAATATACAAAATGAAATGAATGTTAACATTGATAAACACGAAAAGAGAAGTAGAGGGGGGTCGATTTCTTCTCCCCAAAACCAAAAGCTGATGATACTTTCCCTCTACAGCAATCAAGTTATCAAAACCCTTTTCCTATCACTTTATTTCCCCTTTTTCCCCCTGTTCGTGACATATAATTTATATACTAGACTTAGTGGACTATGTCGCTTCTGAAAAAGTTTAAAATAGCATAAATAAATTTACAATTTATCAGATGTAAATTTCTGATATAGCATAAAATTATGTTTAACATGTTATTAAGGAAGACTAGATGACTTGAAAAAAATGGCATGCATGACATTGTTATTTCCTATAACACTCATAATTTATTTGTTTGTCTTACAATACACAATGAAGATATATCACAAAAAAGTTGCATGAATCTATCACAGAATGAAGATATATACAAAATTACAAATACATGAAAGTTCTTTTTCTCACTTTTGAGAAATGATTTGTTGATGAGATGGGTAACAAAATCCCAGCATTTATGTGCAAATATGTTTTTAAAACACATCCCCTAGGCCTTAAATTTTTCTTAGATTCCCAAATAATTTTTTTAAATTAAGGGGAAACAGTAATACACACTCTGGGACCTGACAACACTGATTATTTCCACTCCCATTTTACCTTTTTTATCCTCTTCCTTTTGGCTTTTCCTTTATAATTTATTTAATTCCTTAATCATGATTTTCAGGCAATAAATTATTATTTACCAAACCTTTGGTTTCAAAATCAACCACTTTGTCATACCTTAACCCAACCACCATATCGAAATGTCCCAGGTGACGTATATGTATCTGCTACCGATAAACCCTTTGTATTTTCTGTATAAACACTGCGAATACTTAAATACCAAAGTATGATTAGCCGTTTTCATTTCCTTATAATTCTAATACTATAATTTTGGAAAAAGCACAATTGATGCTTCCGCTTTAGAGAACTTCTTTCATGAATCGCAATTATTCTATTTTGAAGTCCATCATTAAGTTCCCTTGTAAACATTTTCTTCGAGTCAAGAAAAAGTTCCATGGTAACAACAATTACAACTCAAATTATGATTGAGATTCGTATAAACCTTGCCTATTCAGATGTCTCATTCTTTTTTTTGTAGATAATTTAATTGAGTGATGCAAATTTATTAGTATTTCATAAACTCATCCAAGTATAAATATGATTTGATGATTCAGTGGGATATTTGTTATAAAATGTTAACTATGAATCATATTACATCTTTTCAAGATCATTGGCAGAGAAACATAGCTGTATTTGAGCTGATTTGGAGATTAGCTATTTCCAAGACTCGTAAATCATCATAATTAACACTTTTCATTTTTCAATGAATTTAGGGAAAGTTGCAGCCTTTAAAAAATTTCTTTTTGCTTGATAGGCTCTGGGAATTACAAAATTTAGGCCCTACCTTTGATGAATATCATGAGTTTGTCCATCTTTTTCATACTACAATATTAGTATTTGTTTGCAAACCTTAGTAATAAGCAGTCTATTTTAACTAGTATTATGGTTTTACAGACTCACCAATTCAAAAAAATTATGATTTTAAAATACTAAAGTAATTAACAGATCAATGCACTTTCTAGTTTCTACTATGTATTGAAATGTAATTCTAAATATTATTTGTTCTTCCGATTGCTTTATTAATTTTCACAACATATGCTAGACAAGTTAATTAGAAAGTGTACCTTATTTTTGTAAGTGAGCCAATATTGATAATAACGACAGCTTTCTCTTCACAAACGATGACGATATTTTTTTTTTTCTTTTTTTCTTTTTGAGAAGTTGTTGATCTCGTGGTCCATGATTTTTAATGGATGAGAACCTTATTTTTAGTTAATTAGAGAATATATATGTGCTTACATGAATCTAGAAATTGAAAAGGATATTCTTCTTAGAACAATATTTAGGCATCACTACAATGGAGCCATATGTTTGAATCTAAAAAATTCCACGACATCAGCCAAAGCATCGCTTAAGTTAACATCAAACGATAACTAATTAAGTATTTGATCGAAAAACGCACATTATGTGTTAAAATGCGAAATTTAATGTTAACTTTGGCAAAGTTTGAAAACGAAAACAACTGAACCGATTGATATGTGGTATAAACCGCTGTGTGCTATTAGCTTAATTTAACATATACAAAATCCCATAATCTCAACGCCAACAGATTCAGCAACATCATCTAGAATCCCTAAAACATTATCTTAAACTATTTAAGAGAGATTGGACCATTAAACCATATATGCACCATATCATAACTTGCAATAAGGGGATTATTTAAGTTGATCTTGTTGCATGAATGTGTTCCTGAGTTCTTCGTCTAGTTGATTTTCAGAGCTTGAATTATTGAAGGAAATTGAGCGTGTTATTGATTATTTGGTCTTGTTGTAGAAATTGCACATTTTCAAATAATAAATTAATAGGAAAAATGTTGACCAAGAAAAGTTAAAAGGAAATTATAAACTAAAGTCGAGGCCATAAACATCGACATATTGCCAAGGCCAATTTGTGTGTGCTAATGCTAAGGCCATTTTAAAACTCTAATTGTTAAAACTTTGAACTTATTTAGATCAAGCAGTTTTCAAAATTATTAAACAAATATAGTTGTGATGTAGAAAATAAGAATCCATGCATACAAATCTATAACATATTATTTAATTCATTGGGCAGAGACAATAATGCGAGAAAGCGAATGTTAGACAATTCAACACGGTTTATCGTTCACCTGTTTGATGTATGTACGTTTTCGTAATAGCGTATTTAACCTTGCACTTCTTAACTATCATCGAGTAGACTTTAGAGAATAATGTTGTATTAAACATGTTTGGCCTACTTTGAATGCAACATATAGATGTAACGTAACTTGTGTTAGAGATCGAACAATAAAATATACTATTAACTATACGATTGGACATTTCATTAATCAATAATAAATTTTTCTCTTTCAACTTGTAGTTTATGTTGATCAAACATTACTGTAGCCCAATAGCCTGTACTCGTGTCATTGTTGCGTTATTACCTGTCTTCGAACTATATTACAACATATAATTAATCAGAAGATTTTGTTTGTTATTTTTTACATTTTCATCTCTTGTATATATATAAGATTGGGGGTTGAATCTTCATATTCATACAATACAACAATTGATTGTGTTCTCTAAATTGAAGTTTTAAGTTTTGACAATTTTTACATATAATATCTGTTTTTTTTTTTTTTTGGCTAAGGTACTAGATAATGCTATACTAAAACCTTTCATTACTAATGATATTTACAATTTTAGCAACAAAACAAAATATCTATATAAAGTTAGAAACCATTAATATCGCTTAACCTAATCTACCACTGGACTAAGTCATTAAAAAATACACACTTTCGCATCTAAAATTGTTTTGAAAGCCAAGATAACGAAGCTCATGTAACAACTTTTTCTGGGTTTGGCGAACTCTTTTTAAAAATTTGGTGGTTTAGGCAGAAGTTCAGGTACGACTCTTTTTCGTTTGGGTGCATTGTGTTTTAAACTTTTAATGGGGTTTTTGTTTCAAACCTAACAAAATAGTTCGATATATCGCAAACGCACACCTTATTTTCTCATGCTCAAAACATCGTCGGTTTTTATTTTTATATGCGAGTTTTTAAAACTTTTATATATTGCTAACTGATCTGATAATAAACAGTACTGTTAAGTCAAATACAATGTTGTTTGTTGTGTTGTTTAGGTGATTTGTAGGTATCTCACAGTTTTCTGTAGGATTGAATTTCCATGAAAAGAAAAAGAGAAGTCAATAATGATCTGGTAAAAGCTCCATGAAAATATTTTATGGTATACGAAATATTAATTACGACTTTACTCAGATATTTTAAATTGAAACATTGAAACATACATGCGCATATTGACAAATACTTCATCGAAGACAATTTCATATAGTCGATCATATCAAGACATCATAATCCCATTGAGTAACCAACATATATATTCAATGTACTAAGCTTTTTTTCATTCTAAATAATTAATTAACATGTAATATTCATGTATAATTGTCATGGTAAGATTGCTACGTATTTATTTCTTGGTACCAGTAAATAGATGCGAAAATTTCGGAGCATGTAAGAAAATATAACAAAAAGCCAAACAGATAAATTAATAAGTTTGTTACAGTAGAAATAAAAATGGGAAACGTACGTCATCATCATCTTAAACTATATATGACCCCATTGGTTGGCCTACCCCATTTTAATTTTCCATAAGTTTAAATCTAACCTTATCTTAGTTTATCATCTACTCTTTATAGTTTTCATGTCCACTTGCAAAACTTAATTTATATATTCATATTCTGATTTTCTATAATGTATTAATACGTACGTAGTGTCTCATTTCATATTATGATATACACGTACATGGTTCATAACAGAAAATGTAGACCTACATGTTGATCTACAGGTATACAATAAGTTTGTTGCATAGTAATTATTCTCAAAGACGCTTTGAAATTTAAAGAATACAAACAAATACAAAATCAATCAAAACTTAAAGAGTAAACATTTATATACAATGGTTTCGTTGGAGTCCGTCCGATCACAATAATATATCTGAATCCGGATAAAATGCAGAATAAAAAATAAAAATAAAAGTAGGTGTGGACCCTTGGAAATAAATAAAATAGTAATATGTACAGTTGCTTGCACACATGGATAAGAGAAAAATGAGCTTAAGGGTTAGAGATCAGTGATCAGATCTGATTATTAAATTTAGCAAATCAGAAAACGACTGAAGAAGACAAAGGCTTTTGATAATGAAGGTCTTGTCCATACTTACATACATATAATATATATATATATATATGAGTGTTATGTGTAGCATATGAAATGTATGATATACTGAAATGATGGTTATATATATACATCACAATTCACACATATATACTGCTTTACATCATCATTACCCTACCTGTTTTTTGCATCCTTTTGTTTTTGGAGTTTTGTTGCTGTTTCTTTTGGGCATATTCCTATTTTTCTGATAATTCAGATTTGTGCAGACAAACCAAAGCATGTATATAAATATGCTAATGTGGGGTTTTACTGAGATTCGATCTTTTAATTTGTTGTATTAGAGAAGATCACCTACAAATAGTTGAACCAGTAGCAGACTTTTCTCATGTAATTTATAACGATCTGTTTCCAATAATATATATATATATAGGTTTATTATCATAAAAGCTGGTATATGTACCTGCTTATATAATAATGTACATTGTATATGTACGATGTTCATAATTTAGTGGTTGAAATTACAGCCAATAAAATGGATATAATAACTTCTTAATTTATTGTTGGTGTTGTTGTCTCTATTATCACATTGTTTGTATGTATATCTTTATAATTTGGGACAGTAAAGAATTACCTAATTGATTAAGGTCCTTATTCTGAATATATAATTATTGAACTATTGAACTGTTTCATGATTAATCTTTAAATTGTTGGAGTCTTTACATTTAAAATGTTCACGGGGCCCACTTACTCTAATTTTAGTAGAGATGGGACCATCGATTTAAGTGATGCAAAACAACCAAAGGGAAGAAGATATGATCAAATCCTCCAATATTATTTGATTTACATTAATTTAACGTAAACCATTAAAAAATACGTTCTCTAAAAGTCTATGGTGGATAAAATAATCACAGCTAAGTTTGATTCTATTTCTCTACTATGGTGTCCTATATTCCGGTAGTAGACTAATTCGAAGAATAAAACTGAAGAATTCAACAATGTTGATATGTTTCTTACGAGCGTCGAATATACTAGATTCCTCGGTTTTTAAAATAATATGTTTTGCAAATAACGATTCAGTTTTCGAGTTTGCTGTAATGTAACAAGTAAATGTAGCAAGTAGTTTAATTCTTAAATAGTTAAAACATGTAATGTAACTATAAGAAGATGTGTTAAATACAATGCCTAACATCATTCTGTGTATACATCACAAGTCACAACGTTAGAATTTCAATAACAAGTATGTGAGATGTTTTTTATTTTCAAAATGCTTATAGCTGAGAAAAAATGATTTAATTGCTAGAAACTCGACCCTCCCAAATTGATGAAATTTCGTAAATGTCTATACTCTTTTACTTTATGAAATTTGGGTGACTCTTTGTCCAAAAAAAAATATCAAGAATTTTGGGAGACTCGAGTTAAAAAAAAAACTTAAAATGTAGCTACTAGCCTACAAAATTTAGAATTCAAATGCATAACCTAAAGAAAAAAACGAAAAAAAAATAAAATAAAAACAATCTTCACTTCTTCCGATTCATCACACGTTCATAGCGTCTTAAAACCCTAGCCTCTTTCTCCTTTCTCATCACTTCCTCTAAACTCTGCAGCCTAGGTAAGATAACTTTTAACCCACGTTTCGGATCTGTCTTAAAGATTTGTGGCACCTTCTTGCCTTGGTAAAACCACTCCACGACATCATTAAACCTCAACGGCAGCTTCTGACCAAGCTCCTCTTTATTCATGACATTCTCCCCAAACTCAACGACCAAAGTTAGGGCTCTCAAGAACATGTCTTCCTCCATTAACCTGTCCTCCCGGTTATTCATCCTCACATCGCGATACGGTTTACTCCTCTTCTCTCCTACTGTCTCCGGATCATCATACCGACCTTTCGAATAGTATTTCCCGTTTAAAACCTCATGAGAACAAGACCCTTCTCCAGCTTTAGCTTCAGGTCTAATCCAATACGACGGCGTCACGTTGTCCTCTGGAGTATTTGGCGGTGCCGCCGTTTCCAAACCGCGTTTTCTTTTGAGGAAACCGGATTCGATTAGAAACGTTTTAAACTCTTCTCTCAGAGGCTCTTGGAGCTGTTCAATCAGAACCTCGAAATCGCCGTCGTACCATAACGCATCGACGAAAGCTTTGTATACATTCTCACCCAACGCTTCGAGTTTGTTTATGAACTCAACCGTTCGCTCCACGTCTGATTTCTTCTTCTTCTTCTCTCTGGTTGAATCCGAATAGAGACGACGAAACTCTTCTAGCAAAACGTCGTGATCACGGAGAAGAAAAGCGACTCTGTTTTTGAAAGCCGTGTTGTCTAAAGAACCAGACTGATACGACTCCGTTGCGTACGCAAATAGACGGAAGAGTTTCTTGTCAACGGTCTGATACAGGTTTCTCAGGAATTTACAACCTCGTTGAATCTCTTCCTCCGAATAATCATCCGTCGAAGGAGTTTGAATCGTCCGTGGTCTCTTACAGTTCTTCATACTTGTTTGATTTTTCCTTCTCTCTACTACTCTCTGTATTTCTGATTTTACGATGAACAAGAGCGATTTACACTATTATTTATACTACTAGGGTCTCTCGTCTCTAAATCCTAATTCTACCTGAGTTTCGTTTCTTTATATAACTCCTAATCCTGTTTGCTTTATCTATTCACTAGAATGTTTCCATAAATTAAACAATCGCATCTTTCAGAAAAGGAAATTATTGTCAACAAAAAAAAGGAAATATGTAGCCGTTAACGTTTACATTTTCTTTTTGTTGAATTAAATTTTTTGGATTTAGGTTTTAAAAGATTACTGATTTTATTGAGAAAGCCGAAAAACCAAAGTAAAAACAGTACACAACAAACAAAGATTACACTCATGACCAAACCGACGATGCTTAGGAAATCTAAATGTAAAATTAGTCTAAAATAGTAAACAAAAGTAGAAAACCAAAAGCAGCGAAGTTGCTAAAGAGAGAGAGAGAGAGACGGTAGTGGAATCTATGGAACGTTCATTACCTGAATAGACTGCAACATGTCGGAGACGGCGATGACGAGGTCACCGGATTTGATCATTCCTCTTGATTTAAGCAACGAGAACGTTTTGTTCAGATTGCTCTCCATGTCGTCTGAGAAGCTTAAACGGAACGGGATCAGTCCCCATTGTAGGTTCAAGCGTCTTCTCACCGAGGTCGTGTTCGTGAAGGCAAAGATCGGACAGTCTGGACGACACCTGGAGACTAACGACGCCATGTGCCCGCTCTTCGTGTAGACGAAAACCGCGTCCACTCCAAGATTGTTAGCTGCAAAGGTTTTTGGATGATACAAATCAGAAACAAGAACTTGAAGAACAGAGAGAGTGAGAGAGAGTCTGAGTTTTTACCCATTTTAGCAGCGGAGTTACAGATTTCTTCAGAGATTCTGTCTGAGAAAGTAGAGCCGATGGCTTGAAGCGGTGTAGACTCGTAGCGTTTCTCTTCTCTCCACCATCTTTCGATTCTTAGGCTGACGCTTCTGAGAACAGTGAGGGCCTTGTCAGGGAACTGACCCATGGCTGATTCTCCGGAGAGCATCAACGCGTCTGATCTTTGCCTCACTGCTTCGGAGACGTCGGCTACTTCTGCTCTGGTTGGAGTTGGGTACTCGATCATGGACTCGAGCAGCTGAGAAGCGACGATGACGGGTTTGTTAAGCGCTCTGCAGACTTGCACGATCCTCTGTTGAGCTGCTGGGACTTGCTCTAGTGGTATCTGAGCTCCTAGGTCTCCTCTGGCAACCATGGCTCCGTCTGATGCTCGGATGATTTCTTCCAGGTTTGTCAGTGAATCAATACTCTCGATCTTTGCAATCACTCCTATGTCACTGCATCGTAAAAGAAACACAGCATCAAAATAAAACTAAATTCGATCAATGTGATGTCTTTGGCAATGAGCATATATATACTTACCCTCCACAGGAACGAGCAGCAAGATAGCTTTTAAGATGGTTAATAACTTCAGCAGACTTGACAAACGATACAGCAATGAAATCCACACCTTCAGCGATTCCAAAATCAATATCCAACCAGTCCTGAGGTTTACAGAATTGAGGTATCATCAGTGAAATAAGAGTGCTGATTCACATGGACTCTATATACCTACTTGTATCTTTAGAGGTCTCTTTAGTTTCTCTTGTCCTCTGTTTTGCTAATCTTAGCAGAGAACTGCTGTTTCATGTGTCACTACCTACAGTGTACATCTTCATCCACCACCAATTCACCAAATAAGGTGATTCAAATGGAAGATAGAAATTTACATACCTTGGAAGAAATGGTTGGAAGCATAGCGTTACGCTCACGTACAAGACTTCCATCTCTCCAAAAAGTCAAATTAGCTCGAGGAAGCAACAATCCAGGGTCAGTACATAGACACTTAACATCAGGTCCAATCTTCTCAATCACTTCAAACCTCACCATTCCACCATCTACCAGAAGCTCATCCCCAACTCTCACATCTGCATCATGGCAAAACGATTCCCATTTCACACTCAAAATCACCATAAAAGTTCTTCACTTCCAGGCAAAAACTACTTTTACTTGTACATAAAGATGATTGCTTATATACATACCTTCAGCGAAACCATCGTAGCTCACACTAATTGTACGCTCAGGGCGAGAAGAATCAAACGCTCTCACAGTGAACGTCCAAATCTCACCATCCTGTACACAGAAATGTCAACACCAAGCTCGAATTGATCGGAATTGAGATTGGAGGAAGAGAAAGAGAAGAGACAAACCTCAGTTTTAGCTGAAGATTCACCGCCGAAATCTCCCATGTGAATCTCACTACCTTCAGTATCCATCATGATAGCAACCGCGAATCCTTTCTCCTCGTTAAGCCTCCGGACGCTACGGATAACGCCGCGGTGCCAGTCGCGAGTGCCGTGGCACATGTTAAGCCTCGCGACGTTCATGCCTCCTTCGGCGAGCGCTTCCAATTGCTCGAACCCGCACGTCGCCGGTCCGATCGTGCAGATCAGCTTCGTCCTCCTCGTGCTCCTGAATCCATTCTCCTTCAGCTCAGCTTCCGTCACCGTATCCACATCTATCCCCGCCGTATCCGTCGAAACCGCCGCAGCTACGACGGATCTCTCCTCTGCTTTGACGGCGCCAGTGCCGTTGGGGGAGAGAAGGACCTGCGAGGAGTTTGAATCGAGATCCGGAGAAGGAGAGGGAGAGGAGGAAGCTCTGATTGAGGTGTACTTGACGGTGGAGGTTAGAGGGAATTGGCGGAAGGAGAAGGAGGAGATGGGACGGTGGAATTGAGATTGCGGGAGGTGGAGAGAGTGAGGAGTGCGTGAAGGAGTCGAGAATTGGATAGACTGAGACATGGTTTCCCGGCCGGAGGGAGGAACGGAGCTCCGGGAGATCGGAGAAATGGGTACAGTTGGCTCTGAGAGATTTGATTGTTGGAGAAGAAGAAGAAAGGCGGATATATCGAAGTGAGAGTGTTGAGTTGGATTTTGATACGACTTTGGAAAGATCAAAACTGGGAATATATATTATTTTCCTTATGTTTTTGTTTTTTTGGTTAAAATTTAAACAAAAAACAAGGCTACCTACTGTACCTACTACCTTGAGTTTTTGCTTTTGCTAGATTTGTTGGGTTTTTTTTTTGTAAAGCTAACCTAAATTTAATTCTTTTCGGTTTTTAAATTTAATATTAAAAAAGGTATTCATTTTCTGAAAATATAAGACGTTTTAAGAAGTAAAATATAAAAGAATTGATAGTTTATACTTTATAACAAGAAAAAAAACATGACTTTATGAATAGAGTTTAATGTCATTGCTACTTTTAATTATTTGAATTTTGTAATTTTTTTTTATGAATTGGCGGAATTATTATATTTTAACTAATTACTAGGTAGTGACCCGCGCAAGTGCGCGGGATTACGCTCCGGTTCCCTTTCTCTTCGTATGTGTGTGTGTGGGGTTTGTTTTGTGTTTGTAACACCTGTCTTTCTACAAATATAACAGCTGTGTCTGCCTTTTTTTTTACGAAAATATTAAATAAAATCATGTGGTCAATTATTTTCCAGTGAAGAACCGTATCTAATTCACTTTTCTTCTACCCCTTTCCCCTTTCTTGATTTGAAACTATTGGATTAATCTCATCCTCTGTAATTCTAAATCTTTGAGAAACAATAGTTGATTCGTCGATTGATCAATCTTTTGATTGGTTTCCATTCATTGATTATTTGAGTAAGAATATTCAAATTCTAGTTTAAGATCCTTGTTTGAGAATTTTATCGATGAAGCCCATAATATACTTCCAATTCTTTTTTTTTGAGCTTTCTTAACCAACGGTGTTCTGGAAAATGATCTACTTTTGCTCCTCTGAGTTTTCTTTTGGATCTCGGTGGTTATCGTCGGCGGAGATGTCGGATTTCACTAAAAGTTTTGACTCCGGTGTCGCATGCAATTAATATCTGTGATTATTGGGTTAGTTTGCGATTTACTCATATCTTCAATTTAATGGTTCCTTAATTTGATTTTATAAGATAATATTTTTGAACAAAAAAAAAAGATAAGATTTTTGTGTTTGGATTGTTTAGACTCAAATCAATGTATGTTTTTTTTTGTTTTTCTACGGTCAAGGTTTATTCTGGAAAGCTCAAATCTTATTCTGGAAAGCTTAAATCGCGGTTTTGGTATAAGTTAAGTATATTACGATCTCCTATTGCTTTCTTGTTACATATCAGAGTGCATTCTTGTGATCTTATTATTTCTTTTTCTTGATACACAGAGTCGCAGGACTTGGCTTTATGTTTTCACCTAGTATAATCGGCTCCCTGGAATAAGGCAAGTTCTTTTCCAATAACAGTTATATTGTTGTTCAATTTCCATTAGCTCATGTGATTTCATTATTGGGTTTCTTCATAGATTGTGGTATGCTCTCTGCAAGGGTGAGAGCCAACCCATCATCTAGAAGTCTACACAATGAATAACATATTAGAGTATGAATAACATCATGTCATAGTAATAATCTATCATTCGAACTTACAGTTCCTTGAACTCTTCAATTTCAGGATGGTTTGGATTTATTTGCAGGAGGCTGGTTGAGAATGCGTTTGAAACACTTTTAACACCTACACCAAGAGCTAATAAAAAACAGTATAACGTAATGTATATTTAAAGTTATTTTCTACTTTAATATTTTTTGCAAAGCTCACACCTTTGAATTCCCTGATTTTGGAAAACCTTAGAAGGCATATGACACTTTCATCTCCAGCACTATGGTATGCTGCAGACGTCTCCTCAGCCATTGAATTCCATAAGGTACAGCCTAAACGCTCATCACTACAACCAATACAATTAAAAATAATTTTGAATTCATTATCTATGTTATTCAAGTTATATTTTCTTTACAGAGAATTTAGACTAACTTACTTTTCATCTAGGAGTTCAAATTCCTGCTTCTTTAATGGTTTTGTAGCCGTATCTAGAATCTCCAATTCCTTGACATTGATAACTTGTCCACGTAACTTACTTTTTCACGAACTCCTTTTTAACACCAGCATGAATCTTGGTACCCTGATTATGGAGCATAGTTTTGAACAATATTGAGAATTTTCTACAACAAAAAAGCTTTTCCAAATTTACCGAGAATGTTTTTATATGAAACATGAAATAACTGGAAATAATCTTCTTAAAATTTACCTCTTCATCGGCTAAGATCATCTCTATTGTCTCTCCGGAGACGGCAGTAAACTGCTTCCATGAGTGAAGAATTTTGACTTGGATCCTCCAAGAAGTTTTGAAAGGTTTTTTTTTGTTACTATTGACAACTTGTTTGGACTTATGGCTTATTGATCATCGGTTCACCTATTATATAGTAGTTGGGTTTTTCAAATAATGGAAATTTCGCATATATCATTCGATCATATTTGTATTATTAACAAATTTGTTTTTGAAGATTATCTTTTCTTTAATATCAAGATTCCTTTGATTTCTTATTATCGCTTCATATTTTTTAGAACATTTCCTTTTTGCAGATTTTACAACAGATATGGATTAAGCGTAAGTTTTCTTTCTTTTTTGCAGGTATTCAAGCGGATTGAACCGAGAATTTTGAAGAATAGATTTTCGGTTTAAGAAAACCATTAGAGATCGGTTTGATTTAAGTTTTCTAAAGGATCCGCGTCCCATATTGTGGATATCCGGGTCGGTTTTTTTCTTTCTTCTGAGTTGACTCAGTTGACTCGGCCATTTTTTTACTAAATTATCCCTTCTTATATTTGTTGCCAAACACTTTTTCTTCATAAAGGATTGGTTTTTTGGTCAAAAATTGTCAATGTACTTCTCAATTAATAATAAAGAGATTAAAATGATTTTTTTTTAAGAAAATAATTTCCTAATCTTTATGCTTTTATATAAAACATCTTTACTTACATTTTGGAATTCACAATTACAGTTTTGACATTAGTTCCCCCATATACTTTGCTTCTCTTCAGCCGTAAGCTAAGTAGAAGAAAGCGATTGAAATTAAGCTTCTAGCTGATTCATCTCCATCCTTTTTCTCCGATTCTTGCCTCTCACCGCCATATTCTAGCTGAATCAAGGTTTGATCACAGATTCCTGATTTGTATTTCTCTTTTATTCTTCTTAGATTGGCTAAACTCTGTGATCTTTCTATCATTCAAATCTGATCTGGCTCGTTACGGATGAAATCGAATCTACTTCTCTTACTTGTAGAAATCCTTCTTGGGTTGTTGTTAAAATGAAAGGGTCAATTCGAAGCTGTGTTCTTAGGTCTTTCCTCCTGAGAATCGATCGAAAAGAGTGAAATTTATGTAATTGTGTTCTTCTTCTTTCTCTTGGTTAGTTTTTGGATAGATAAAGATGGGAGCTTTCGTATCGAGGTTCTGGTTCATGATGTTTCCTGCAAAAGAGTACAAGATAGTCGTTGTTGGTTTGGATAATGCTGGTAAAACGACGACGCTTTACAAGCTTCACTTGGGAGAAGTTGTCACTACTCATCCTACTGTAGGGAGCAATGTTGAAGAGCTTGTCTACAAGAATATCCGCTTCGAGGTACACACACTTTCTTCATCATCTAATCCCTGTTTCTCTTAGGTTCTCTATTAGATGTTTGATCTTGGAACATGGAAGTAGAAATTCTGAATCTTTATTCTCTGTTTCTTAAGTTCTCTGTTCGAGGTTTGATTGTGAGACATGGAAGTAGAAGATTTGATCTTGAGACATTGGAAAGTTTGAATTTTTATGGATAAGTTTGCATCTTTTGCTGCGTTAGTGTCTTTAGTAAGGTTACTTACTTGGTTGTGTGCATTTTGTTCGTCACAAAAATGGTTGTTCTCTTTTAAGTCACAAGCTCATAGTACATTGATATATAAACTTAGATTCGACTTGGTCTTTAAGCACTTTGCAAATTGAAGATTTTGATGCTTACGTTGCTTAATGAGATTATATGTTTGTCTTTTAGGTTTGGGATCTTGGTGGGCAAGACAGGCTAAGAACCTCATGGGCAACATATTACCGAGGAACACACGCTGTGATCGTTGTCATCGATAGCACAGACAGAGCCAGGATCTCTTACATGAAAGACGAGCTCTCGATGTTGCTTGGTCACGAGGATCTTCAAGGCTCGGTGATACTTGTGTTTGCAAACAAACAGGACTTGAAAGACGCAATGACTCCAGCTGAGATCACTGACGCGCTTAACCTTCACAGCATCAAGAACCATGATTGGCATATTCAAGCGAGTTGTGCTGTTACTGGAGAAGGATTGTATGATGGTCTTGGTTGGATTGCTCAGAAAGTTACCGGTAAAGCCACAAGTTAAACTAAGTGAAATTCTTCTTTGAATCTTTTGGTCTGCTTCACTTGTTGTTCTTCTATGTAACAAGCTTCAACTATTTTGGTTGGTCTCAGTGAAAAGAATCTTGCTTTTGTTTTCAGATTTTGTCATTCTTTTGTAAACTAAGAGACGCATTGATTATGAATAGATTTTTATCTGCACAAATGAATCATTTTTGTTTTTTGCCAATTACATCAATTTCACTGCCCTGGAATGTAAGAAAAGAAGCCAACTCTTGAGGAAGAAGTAAACAAAAGAGAGGAAATGAAGATCAAAGAATGAAGCAGCCGCATCGTTTTGCTTCTTTAGGGCCTGCGAACCATTGATCCCATGTTGCATTCACTGGTCCTGTTGTTCTGCAAGTGGTCACAGAAAAAGCTTTTCAAATCAGAACAAATCATATCTCATAGTCTATCGAAATGAAGCAAAGAGGGACAAAACAAAAAAGTAGAAATTACTCTGGAAGAAGAGGATCTGGTTTGCTTTCAACACTGTCTAAGAACCTGCATCCATTTCAAGAAACAGAGTCAAGGTTATGGAACATGACTATTCGTTAGAACCGGAATTGGGTTTTAGGCAAAGAAAAAGTACTACTCTTTACAGGAAGCTGATGCATTTTCCATCTTCTCAAGCAGCTCTAGCTCTTCCTGAACATAACATTGGAGGAAGAATCATATACCGGACAGTAGCTTAAACTCCAGGAGACTCTAGGCAAGGAGAGTGTTACATATACACAACATTTCCTGAAGTGAGATTTGCTCATATCTAAGGTCCTTGTTACGCTACATGAAACTATCTCCGAGCTAAATTAACCCTTATAAGCTTTGAAGGTCTAGACTCTAGATAACAAAGTCACTTTTCTCTACATCAAACCAAATGGTACAAACTTTGCGTTAAACCCTTGGAATTAGATCAAGTCTTTTGGATTCAAAAGATTCAATTTGTTAAGCTTCTCAACAGAGAAGCAACTACCAACGCATGGAAGCAAAACCAAACCACAATACCAACTGCTACACAACACCAAACTTAACCGAAGCTGTTTTTTACAATCCTAAATTATATCAACAGTTTTGCTATTGCTTACCAATTCCAAAAACTAAAAAGTTTCAAACTTTCAAATTCTCTACCGTACTCCGAATCATATTTTCTCTATCCCCACAAAAACGAAAACATAAAAAGAAATGATTAATCCAATAAGGTACAACACCTTCAAGCTGAATAATCTTATTATTATCAGATAATAATAAGTCAGAAAATGTTTTTGGAGGAGAATATGTATACCTCTAGGAATCGAGCTTCTTGCTCAAGCCTTTTGACTTCGGCTTGAATCCTGTGTTTGCCTCTCGTGTCAACGACCCGCCCGGAAAGCTGACCCGAGGAATTGGAGCTACCCACTTCCATCAAACTTTTTATTCAACCCCAAAAACCAAAGCTTTTAACAGGAACAGAAAGATAATTTAACACCAAAAAAAAGCCAGTGGAAATTTTACGAAAAGATTCACTATCGATTATGGAAACTCGTAAACCTTAACAAAACCCCATTTCTACTGGTTGGGCCCAAATTACAAGGATTGAGAAGCAAACAGATCTCGAAAAGTCGACAACGAGATACAGCTCACAGATAGAGAAAGAGAGAAAGGGGGAGAATTGTCAGAAGTTCCTGAGAGATAGAGAAAAAAAATCAAGTATTAGCTGGGGAGACTTCAAAAAGAGCTTTTCCGATGATCGAAAGGGTCCAAATGAAAAATAAAAAGTTGAGAGAGATTTTGAAAAAAGAAGGAAAGGCGACGGAAAGAAGAAAATTACTTTTTTTAGTTCTCAAATATGTTTATTATTTTTTGTCATTCCTTTTTTGTCTCTTCCCAAAAGTTGGACTTCTCGTTTCTCCACGCGCCGATTCGGTAATTGTATGGGCCTATTACTGGCCCAACAAAGTTGCAATGTATCATTTCTTTCGTGTCCTTTAACTCTAAATCAGTTTACTGTTCAGATACAATATTTTTAACCATATTTTTACTGAAAAAATGCCTTTGAAGATGTTAAACTGTCAAAAATAGCCAAAATGTGCTCAATTTGTTTCATTTGCGGCTATTTACGTTTTTAGTAATTTCAACCATTTTATTTTTCTTTTGCAATTAGTTCCATGGTTTGTTTGACCGCGCGTGGAGGAAAGATTGAAGTGTCAAGTGTGTATGACTATTTCTGGTCAATCTTTGACCATGTCCATAGTTTCTTTCTTCAGTTCTTCTGCAAACCAATCGACTAAGTCAGTCTTTGACCATGTCCGTGACTTTCACGTCCTTTTTTTCTGTACGCTGGTATCACTTTAGCGCGCCATTTTTTCTGGAGTGAGCCCATAATGCCATAACTTCTGTATTACTTACTCTAGAACGGCTGAAGGTTTTGAGTTTTTAATAAACAAAGAATCTCGGGATGATATATCTAACAAGAAAGGAATTCTAATGGAACAGTTGTTAAGGAACAAAGACAAGTTAAAAGTCATGAAAACAACAGGAACTAAAAGTTTTTATTCAGATTCGTCGCATTCGTATAGCTTGGAACTATGATTTGTTGAGTCATTGTAACGAAACACTTTCTTCTCTGGCTCGTACAGAGCTTGTAATATTCGATGTAGTGAGCTATTAGATCGATTCTAGATATAAGAAAAACGTATAAACTACATCATTCTTCTAATGAGCCTGAACTCGTAAAATGTCCTAAGTATCATATCTGTTTCGATCTTCTTCTGTTCTTGCACAACTTGCAAGTGAACAAATGAAACGTAGGAGTATTTTTTAATTCAATCTCACGGTTATGTAAATGCCACGTGGAATTAAAGAAAACAGAAAAAGCGATTGATGTCTCTCGTGTTGAGGTCGGCCACAGAGAAGAAAAATCAATAAATCAAATCTATTTTCGATTCACGGTGATAAAAATGCCACGTGTCACCAACAATCTCGTACAGAAGTCGGCCAAGAGAAATACTTCCCCTAGTAGACACGCTAAAATTACTACTTTACCACTAAAAAGCAAATCACGAGAAAGCGTTTTTTGTATCAAAAGATTCAAAACTAGTTAACACAAAATAAGAGAGAGAGTATGTGAGCGTTATAAACCTCCTTCTTCCTTTTCATATCACCCGCTCATTTCGAAACCTCGATCATACCAAACCGATTCAGTCTTGGAAATTGGAATCGGAAGCAAAAAATGGCTTCGCGTCTTGGAGTTTCCGTACGCGCCGCCTTGAGCGCGTCTCACGCCCCAAACGACGGACGACGGCGTGACTCCTCCTCCTCATTTCAGATTTTCACAGCACCATCGACTAACCGGAGGAACCGAAATGGGAGAACCGGATTACGAACTCTCCGGGTTACAAGCGAAGGACCCGGACCCGAATCGTACCTCCACATGTGGAAAAACGCAGTCGATCGCGAGAAGAAAGAGAAAGCGTTCGAGAAGATAGCCGAGAATGTAGCCGGCGGAGAGAAAGGCGAAGTGGAATTAGAGAAGAAGAAGAGCGACGAGTTCCACAAAATCCTGGAGGTTTCCGTCGAGGAGAGAGATCGGATTCAGCGATTACAGGTCGTGGATCGTGCTGCCGCCGCGATCTCCGCCGCGAAAGCGATCCTCGCCTCTAACAATTCAGGCGACGGCAAAGATGGGTTTTCAGATGAAGTCAAAAGCGACGGACTTGAAGTCACAGAGAGTCAGAAAAACGCTAAGTCAGGTACTAATAATTTTGCTTCATCATCAAAAATTACAAATTTTTGGTCTTTAGTGTTAGTTACTGTATACATATCTTGCTGATTAGCTTTCAAAGTGTTAAGCTTTATTCACTATCTTTAGAGTATGACTAGATTACCACTTCAATCTCTGTTTGTTATATGTAAAGTTGCTTCCTTTAATTTGGTACTTGAAGTTTTACAATCTGTGTTGTTGGAATTTTCAAAGTGTATTTGAAGTTTTTATATGTAAAGTGTTAAACTTTCTTCACTATCTTTAGAGTATGATTCGATTACTACTTCAGTTTTTGTTTGTTATATGTAAAGTTGTTTCCTTTGATTTGGTATTTGAAGTTTTTTACAATCTGTGTTGTTGGAATTTAGGAGGAGTGTGGAGCAGAACAGTGTACGTGCCACGGCCAGAGACGTCTGGATCGGAGACTCCAGGGCCAGATTTTTGGTCATGGACACCTCCTCAAGGCAGTGAGATGAGTTCTAATTTGAACGGAGACTTGAAGGCTGTGGTGGAGCCTGTTGAGTTTCCGACGTTGTCGAGTCCTGTGCTGGAGAAAGAACATTCAGCAGAGTCTCTTTCACTACCTTACGAGAGTATGCTTTCAAGTGAAAGACACAGTTTTGTGATCCCGCCTTTCGAGTCATTGATCGAGGTTGGGAAAGAGACGGAGACGAAGCCATTGTCATCAGCGGAGCATGACCTTGATGTGATATCTTCAGCGAATGCGGAAGAGGCGGCTCGTGTTCTTGATGGTTTGGATGAGTCTTCGTCTCATGGAGTTAGTGAGAACGGATTGAAGTGGTGGAAGCAGACAGGTGTAGAGAAGAGGGAGAATGGTGTGGTTTGCAGGTGGACGATGATACGTGGTGTCACTGCTGATGGTGTTGTTGAGTGGCAAGACAAGTATTGGGAAGCTTCTGATGAGTTCGGTTTCAAGGAACTCGGTTCAGAGAAATCAGGACGTGATGCGGAGGGAAACGTCTGGCGTGAGTTCTGGAGAGAAGCAATGACGCAGGTCAGTGACAAAACTGAGAGCTGCTTATGGTAACATAGTGTAGAGAGACTTACCTTTGAATCTATTGCAGGAGAATGGTGTTGTGCATATGGAGAAAACAGCAGACAAATGGGGAAAGAGTGGACAAGGAGATGAATGGCAAGAGAAGTGGTGGGAGCATTACGATGCTACTGGTAAATCAGAGAAATGGGCTCATAAATGGTGCAGCCTTGACCGGAACACACCGCTTGATGTAGGCCACGCTCATGTCTGGCATGAGAGGTAACTCTCAAGAACACCATTAAGCTATATAGCATTAAAAAGCTCTGTTCTTGATTTGGTTTTTGTGACATTCAGGTGGGGAGAGAAGTATGATGGGCAAGGAGGGAGCACAAAGTATACGGATAAGTGGGCGGAGAGGTGGGTAGGGGATGGTTGGGACAAGTGGGGAGACAAATGGGACGAGAACTTTAACCAGAGCGCGCAAGGAGTGAAGCAAGGTGAGACTTGGTGGGAAGGTAAGCATGGTGATAGATGGAACCGGAGCTGGGGAGAAGGACATAATGGTTCGGGTTGGGTTCATAAATATGGCAAGAGTAGCAGTGGAGAGCATTGGGACACGCATGTGCCGCAAGAGACTTGGTATGAGAGGTTTCCTCATTTTGGCTTCTTCCATTGTTTTGACAACTCTGTTCAGCTCCGAGCTGTGAAGAAGCCTTCTGATATGGCTTAGAAGATAATCAACAATAAATCATAAGTATAAGTAAGTTTGGTACAATGGAGAATATCTCTTACTATGTCAAGACTTGTTTAATGGGAAGAGAGTATACTTGCTTGTTGGTTAAGTCATGTAGTAATTGGTAAAAAAAAATTGGAGTAAAACTATATAAAGCAAAAGAGTACGTGAAGGGTAAATCGATTCTTTGAATAAGACATGATTTGTTCGGTGGTAAACGTGAAAAAACCAAAACCCTAATTTCTACTTACTCCTTTGTTCGGATCACAAAGAGAGATACAAAACCCTTATTCTTACTCATTGGAATCGACTGGACAAGAGATATAATGATGATGTCCGATCTCCCGACAGATTTGTTAGAGGAAATACTTTCTAGGATTCCGGCCACATGTCTGAAACGATTAACGTGCAAACGATGGAACGCTTTATTCAAAGAGCCAGGATTCACCGAGAAGCACTCTCGTAAAGCTCCAAAGCAGTCTCATGTTCTCGTGTTGAAGGAATATAGGCTTTGTCCAGTGATCGTCGATCTCAACGTTGATCCTCCATCTATGGAGTTTAAAGATGAACTTAGCCTAAAGGATTCTCATTCTAATTCAGTTCAACTCGATATAGCTCAAGTTTCACACTGCGACGGTTTGTTGTTATGCATCACCAAAGACGATAGACCCGTTGTTTGGAATCCATGTTAAGGGGAAACAAAGTGGATCCCACGCAAAAATGGTTACAAGAGACACTCTGGGTTTTCTCTAGGATACGAAAACAACAAATCTGGCCGCAACTACAAAATCTTGATGTATTGTTATGGTTGCGGAAGAGAAAGCACGGTTGGTGGATTTGAAATCTATGAGTTTAGCTCTAATACATGGAGAGTTGTTAATGCTCCCAACTGGGTGAGAACAATATATTCCGGCGTGACTTTAAAGGGAAATACTTATTGGATTTCTGTCGATGATGACGGAGACAACTTACTCAGTTTTGATTTTACAGGAGAGATATTTGGGCTTCCCCCAGCTCAAAACCGTGGTTCTACCGCTCTATCAGTTGTTCGAGAGGAAAAACTCTCAGTTTTATATTACTGTTTTGGCACTCCGGGTTGTGTGTGTTACATGATGTGGGTGAGCAATAATCTTAATACTGAAGCAGACTTGTCATGGAGCAAATCCTTTGAAGTGAACTTAGTAAGTTCCTTACAGATTGGTACTGGTTATCCTCCTTCCGCGAGTCTTTTAATCAACGAGGAGAAGAAAGTGGCTTTGTGTTGTAATTCACATAAGTGGACCGTGCGGAACGCGGTATACACTATTGGAGAGGACCATCGATATTACAAAGAAATCCTTTTTATGAAAGAATTCCAACCATGGCTATTAGTTTTCAGTTATGTTCCAAGTCTTGTTCCAATCCAATCAAACTGAGCAAGTGATTTCTTGCAGCTCTTGTTTTTTACGTTGGTTTTGTTTTTGAAGACAATGTCGTTTGAATAATGTAGTCAATATCGATCATCGTACTTTATGATTCCTTTCTTCTTTATAATTTGTTTTTGCTTTGAGCTCATTTATAAATGTTCTAAAAAATTTGTATGTCTCTGTTCAGCTCCGAGCTGTGAAGAAGCCTTCTGATATGTCCTAGAAAGTGAAAATGTCTAAAGCAAAATCATACAAGTAACTTTGGTACAATGGAGAGTATCTTTTACTATGTCAAGACTTGTTAAATGGGAAGAGAGAGTACTTGCTTGTTGGTTTGGTCATATTTAGTAATCGCTAAAAAAAATGAGTAAATTAACTTTGATCAAATGATTTCTTAGTTTTGCCGATCATGATGGAAAGAAAAGAAGAGCTAGCAAAGTAAAGCATATAGTAGTCTGAAGAAATGAAATCAACAAGAGACGTGTGGATTTGATGGAAGTAAAAAAATTCAATTAATGTCCGTATAATATATGTGAATGAATCTAGATGTAATACCATCTCTGAATCTTGACCATGCATTGAGATCTTGGACGGTTTGAGAAAGAAGTTGAAACCGCGTACCAAGCTGTGAGGTCCTTTTTTCTTTGATGTTTCTTTATATTATTTTAATAGTCCGACTTAAACTAGACCAATCTTATGAATAGAAATTGGACCATGATTCGTCTTGTTTTAGTAACAACATATACAATGTAGTCATAATATGTTACATATGTGTGAACTTGCAAGTTAACAAAACAACTCTATCAAAAGAGTATATCCATTATGATTATTTGGTTTTTGTAACCATAATGGGAACACTGTTATTAATAAAGCACTGACCATTCTTCTACTTTCGTAAATAAAATTCTTGACTCAGTAGTAAAAATATTGGATCACAATTATCGACCCTAATCCATGTCCTATGGAGTTCATCCAAGTTACAACCAACATGTCCACAACTACAATGACAACCACACGTTCAAAAATGGATAAGCATCCTAATTTATTCGAATGCTCAACATATTATAATCAAAATCAGTATTCATATCCTAGCTAACTATACATAATAAATTTTTAAAAAGAACAGGTTTTTGTGTATGTCAACATCTGTACGAAGGACCAATCGGACGACTATTTGAGTTTTGTCTATCACAATTCTCCTTTCTTTATCTTTTCTTTCGTGGCGACGTCCCTTTCTATATCATAATATAGCCTAATATGGATGATTCGTCTATTCGATTCGGGGAATGATTTTTTTTTTTTTTTTTTTTTTTTTTTTTGTGTCAAACGATATGATGAACCATCAGTTCTTGAAAAGAAATTTCCGTTTCTAAAAATATATTCTCAAAATATAATATTTTCACCTCCTGACAAAGAAAATGTATCATACGACGTTTACTTCAGGAAAGATTACTAAAGATGTAAGAAATTAGCTGATATGTTAATAAGCGAGTAAGAGTAAGACTTATAGCAAATACAAAATATCGTGTTATTTCATCAATACAAATGCAATTGATCCTTGTAAACGTGATCAAACTATCAAATTAATGGAAATGTTCAGACGTCTTAATAAAATGACAAGTCTTGCAAAATTAAACAAATCTCTTTGGTTGGATGGACCTCAAAATTCGATCGTAGTTCAAATGACAACATATGTACATTGCACGTTCATATATTTAAACGACATTCTTTTGTTCTTTTAAAACCCCTATAAGATGTCATTTTTCCACATTTATGTTTATTGAGCCAAAAGGTCAAATATAAAGACAAAACTAAAAGCAATAACATTAAATTGGGTCATCACAACTTTTTAAAAGGTAAGCATTTACTACTTTTGACTTTACACAATCAAAACGCATCCAAACACATACGTAAGCTCGTGTCATTACTGGATAATGGTATATACCATATATTTGGCACGTTATCTAAGTTAGTGACTTAGTATTACTAAATTCTTTATCGAGACGATATAAATAAGAATACGTTTGATTATTTAAACTATTGTGTATTTTATATAAATAGTAAATTACTATATAGTTCTATCAAAAAATTATATAGTTAGAAGCTTGATCATCTAAATGAATGTATATTTGTATCAAATGGTGTCATTTCCTCCTCCACTTAATATTTTCAAATATCAACATTCAAGTCAACATGTTGCAATGAAGGAAATACTGTTTAATTTAAGGCTTCCCAATCAACCCTATCCTTCTTGTATAGTTGGAATTTTGGGTCATGGTCCATGACTCATGAAAATTGAATATAAGAAACACAACCGACTTATGTGCGGCCAAAACTGCCTAGTTTTGTATTTGTTGCGGTTATTTGTAACGTTGTGTTCCTCTTCTTTACATTTCAGATTTTGCTTATTTCAGTTCGTACATAGAATTAGAAATACCACTGATGAATCAATATCATAATGATTTGGTTTTGGTGTTCGATTTCGTCCTGCTTAATTTCTGAATTTTTAATCACTCTTACGCATTGGATTCTGTCCTTTTTTTAACAATACAATATGTCCTTTTTGATAATGAACTTATAATCCATGGACATGGTCAATTCAGCTTAGTCAACAAGTTTAAGCAAGAACTCGGACGTCGGTGTCACTCTGCAAATTCTATACATCATGGTGCTTGATTGGTTGGTGCTGACTCTCGTCTTTAAAATTTAATCACATAATTAGTCTTTATCAACTATACTGTTAATATTAATATATTTAAATATTCTCACATGAAGTCTGCAACCAACACCTTCGGACTATTTCGTCTATGTCCCAAATAAAAATACTTCATGCAATTTATATATATTTTGATATTGTAAATTTGTAATATTTTTAGGAAAATTAATCTAGTTTTGAAAGTTGAATCCAACAAAACTAAGGTGTTTAACTGTTTCCTAATTCTTAATTAGTTACCAAAATAACTTGGTTGAGTTAGTACTTTTCTTCTAAAGTTAATGGATGATGTTTTACTACAAACAATATCACATTTAAAAAAAAAATGCTAATATAAGCACAAGCAATACTAATTCATTTGCTAATCATACCATAAAAACAAAACTACGGCGTGGAAGGGTTGGCGAGTCGGCAGTGGTCTGATTTTGCCTAAGATTCTTTTTTCTTTTCTTTTTAAGGAATCTTTTTTTCTTACATGAAGAATGTGTAAAAACGTAAAAAACACAAAAATAATGAGAAAACACAAAATAGGAGATCGACACGTTTACCCGTAACTCAACTCAACTCAAGTGCTTGGTCAGATGGTCTACCAATAATATATCAATGCTCTTTTGTCTCCTCCTCGTTATCTACTCTTACAGCTGTCGAAACACACACTCATTTACAAGTATTTACATACACAAATTGATTTCCTCTATTTTATTATTTACTTTTATAATAAAGTTATTTCCATTTTTTTGTTACAAACACTCACCTTATAAACATTTTGACAACAAACAAAAAATGAAGAAATAGTAAACCCAACTTGTTCTCGAAACTATAAGCCGTGTCCATTATGATATATATATCAAACATAAAATAACATATGACTTTCGAGAAAATTGACGTGATGCTGATCTTCAAGGATATGGGAGGTTACGCTTGGTCTACTCTCTTTGCTATGTCGTGCTGGTGGGGATGGAAATGGCGTTGCTGGTATGTATTTGGGAAAACAGGGTTATGCCAGGATCGGGTGAAATTTGTTAAAGACTTGGCAAAGGATGTATCGATGGCGCATGAGAAGAGTAAAGCTAAGACTGGGACGCGGGCACGCACGGAACAACAGATAGCTTGGGAACCACTTGAGGGAGGGTGGCTGAAGATGAATACAGATGGAGCCTCGAAAGGGAATCCTGGAGCAGCCGCAGCTGGAGGGGTCCTGAGTGATGAAGTTGGTGCTTGGGTTTGTGGTTTCTCGCTGAATCTTGGAATATGCTCAGCCCCGCTAGCTGAACTCTGGGGTGTATATTACGGGTTATATTTGGCTTGGGAGAAGCGAGTTTCGAGGTTGGAGATCGAAGTGGACTCGGAGATGGTTGCAGGTTTCTTTAAGACATGGATCAATGAATCTCACCCTCTGTCATTCCTAGTACGATTGTGCTATGGCTTCATTTCTAGGGACTGGATAGTCCGGGTTACTCACGTTTACAGAGAGGCGAACTGTGTCGTGGATGCTTTGGCGAATCATGCCTTCTCGTTACCGTTTGGTTTCTTTTCTTTCACTTCTACACCTGCTGAGATTTCGGCATTGTTGTTAGGAGATGTTAACGGCTCTACAAGAGTCCGGTTTGTACGATCTTGACTGATCTTTTTTAATAATAATTGAGGGGGACTTTGTTCCCTCTCCCACTACCAAAAAAAAAACTTAGCCAAATATTTTTTAAGTATACGTACGGCTTTTCCACGCAAAAAGAGTTGAACAAAAGAGTTTCAATCATATCACTAAATATTGTTAACTTTAACCCAAAAATATCCCACCTGACTCGTTCGTATTAAATTCTTTTAAGGAAATAGTATTTTGAGTCATGTGACTTGGAATTAAAATTCGAAACATATTAAACAAAAAAACAAATATTTGAAAACGAGTTAAAAAGGATTTTTTAAGAAGAGAAGTAGAAAAAGTAAATGAGTCCAAAGCAGGAAAGTCAAGTAAAGACTTCTATACAAATAGGAAAGCAGAATGAGAGATGAGAGTTAAAACACACCAAAGCTTTAATCTGTGATCTTCTCTTATCTTCTCTCTCTCTCTGAAAAAACACTAAGCAAAGTTTTAATCGGATGGGCGAGACTCAACAACAAGAACTCACGCAAGAACAGATAATGGAGTTCAAAGAGGCGTTTTGTCTGTTCGACAAAGATGGCGATGGCTGCATCACTGCTGATGAACTTGCCACTGTGATCCGCTCGTTGGATCAGAACCCGACCGAACAAGAACTTCAAGATATGATCAGTGAGATCGACTCCGATGGCAACGGCACCATCGAATTCTCTGAGTTTCTCAACCTCATGGCCAACAAAATCCAGGTTTTTTTTTTTTTTTTTTACAATTTACATACATATGCATATTTACTTTTATAAAATCACATCAATTAATCGAAGTTAATTTCTTATTTTCTATTGTTTGTTTTTTGTGTGTGTGTGTTCTTTGTGTAGGAGACTGATGTAGATGAAGAGCTGAAAGAAGCATTCAAAGTGTTTGACAAAGACCAAAATGGTTACATCTCTGCCAGTGAGGTTAGCATATAATTCCCCTTTCTTCTCTTTAATGATAATTAAATTGATACTCCATTGAGTTTTGTAGAACACTCAGTACGTGCGGCCTAATTATGTTTCTATTTAATTCAATAACAGGACATATCGACTACTTATGACTGATTGTAATTTTATCTAGTAAATCAGTGTCTAAAGTGGGTTGCATTGTGTTTAGATTAGTTACATGAAGTCATGAACCAATCCAGCTAAATAAGAATCTTTTGAATTCATGACAATATCAGACAACAGAGCTTAGATGATATTTCGAGTTTTACAAGAGATCCTCATCCGTCTTATTCATATTTTTTTTTGTTCTTTCTGAAATTCATATTTGAATTTGGACAAGAAAATAACAACAAGATATGCCTGTTTGTTTTTTGTTAAATAATTAAAAAAGTGTCTGTCTTGCGTCGTAGAAAGCTAAATTGTTTGAGGCTTCAAGCTAGCTGGCATTGCGACTTTTTGGAAGATAACGAGGTCAAAAGAAATATTTTTAAATGTCGATGACATTTAGTAAAATGTGTATGACTCTATTGGTTTATTGGGCAGAGCACATGTCTCACCTATAATATGTTACCATGTTCTTTTCACACCTATAAATATTTTTCTTAACCGTCAAAATTTGTTAGTTCATCATTTTGTTGGTTCAACGTGATTCAGCATGTTTGGAGTATGATCATCCATTCCATAACTTGTTTGCTTGTCAATTTCTTGGCTCATGAATTCCTATCTTGCAAGTTACACTTGCTCTTTTGGGTGTGATTCAATGTACACTTAAGTTTCCTTGTACATTGGTGGCCATGATCCATGCCTGAAAATAAACATTCTAAGTAAATATTGGTTATAACCATCTGATTTTGATATATAATTGCAGTTGAGGCATGTGATGATCAATCTTGGGGAGAAGCTAACAGATGAAGAGGTTCATCAGATGATAAAGGAGGCAGATTTGGATGGTGATGGTCAAGTCAATTATGATGAGTTTGTGAGGATGATGATGACCAGCGGTTAAAATGTAAATCAATTTTACATGCTAATGTATTACCGTTTTATAAATTTGGTGATCTTTATAATCTTCTTCAGAATATCATCTTTCACTTTTCAAATTAAATTAATTTTAAGCTTTTCTTATTCAGTTGACGAAGTAGTTCTTTTTCTTTATTTGAATTCTCTAATATGTACCTTTGGTCGTCTGGTGTATAATATATATCTTTGGTAGTTTATTGAACATTTTTATTGAGAAAGTCAATCAGATTGGGTATACGTGTATGTTCTGTGGCTATTTTTTATATACATACTAGTCAAACATCTATTATAAATATAATGCTTATACAAAGTAATCGATAGTTAAGATGTTCTTTCTTTGCCAAACGTATTATGTTCATTTTATAGTTACTAAGCTAATGTAAACTAGTAACATGATTCGATCTGATCATACGTCTGAATGTCTGATCGATTAACTGAAAGCCTTGCTGATTAATTAAAATACTTAGAACTAGTTAAACACCTAAACCACCCACCGATTAGATGACTAATCCTCCCATGTTTGACAATTTAAAATAAATGCTTAGCTTGTTTTAGTTTTAATTTAAGTATGAAGACACTCGGATGTAGATACAAAAGCCTTAATTGGTACAATCATATTAAATTCATAAACCTCAGAAATTCAACACCGAGTGTGCCTTCTATAAATGCCGCGTTTTATGATGTTAGCTTGATGTGAAGTTTGTCCAACACATTTTAGTGCGTGACTTTGACCAAGAAATAGATTCTCTTAGGTCCAAAACAAAATGAATGACGCAAATGAAAATAATTTTGTATGTGTATAACAACAACACATCTGATATTTCTGAGGTTAAGTGTAAATAAGCACATGCTAACAAGCCCATTTACATATTACAAATTATTCTGGTTACATTATGGACTAATGGGCCGACATGTATGGTATCTCTTTAAAATACCTCCAAAAGAAGCCCAATCACTTTCAAGTTTCATGGACTCATGTTCTTAGAACTAAACTAAAGTACTAAACTCTAAGCCACAAGTCCTAAAAGTTAATTCATGAACCCTAAATCCAAAAGTCTAAGATCACAATTCCATTTTTTGTTTTTAATTTTGAAAGAGTTAACCTATTTTCTCAATTTATCCTTCCTTATATAAATGATATATCATACAAGTGTGTCAAAAATTATCAGTAAGAAGAAACATCTCTATGCGTCAAGAAGAACATTTTCGTCCTTTTTTGTTCTTTACTTCTCTTGGTCATTCGTTTTTTTTTCCTTCGATCACACGTTATCCTGTAACTCACCCAAAAAGGAGAATTTATTCCTACACAATGGGGCAATACGTATCCAATGTGAAAGAATCTTTGATTATTCATCATGGACTAGAAATATATGCAAGTCAATTCTTGATTCTTATCGCTGACTGAAGTCTTTGTTTATTTGTAATTTATAGAGTCAGTCCACTTTTAAATAATAAACATCTTCATGCTATCTCTCTTCTAAATTGATTTACTGTTTGTTGCTATCAAAAGTTTTAAACCTGTCAGCTAACGTCTTTGTTTATTTGACCTGGTGTCACTTTAATCGTTGGAAAAATTAGACTTTATCGTCCAAAATGTAGAGAATTCTAAAGTTACTAGCTAAGAAATACAAAAACATGTATCAACCAACATAAATGATTTTTATGCTAAACACAGCTTTGTAAGCAAAACCGAATATGATGCTACAAAGTGCAAAAACAAAACACATGTGTTCAGATATAAGTAAGCCATGTATTAGTTAATCACCAACCTAAACCATATTGCGCCATAATCTACCAATTTAGTACCACCTCTTTCCACTTTCTGACGACTCTTTTTTTTTTGTTGCGTACTACGTTTTCTTTCATGACCTCACACTTAGCCAATCTTTTCAAAATAAGCGAATACATTATTATTAACATTTTTGTCTCGACGGAGAATATATAACGTATACCAGTATGCGATAATATTGCTAAGTACTCCATTAATGATGGTTGAGACTTGAGACCATTAACTGAGTCATTACTCCCCATGGAAATTCTTGTTTTCATGTCCCAAAATGTCTTTATTTTTTTAAAACTAAAATAAATAATACCATTTTTTCTTTGCATAAGACATTTGAAATTTCTCTAAGCCAGACGATGAACTTCGTCAGGAAGTTACAGTTTTCCACTTTATACCATTTCTACGTCATGTCTTTGTTTAACTAACGTCAAGATAAAAAGATTATAAATCTGAAACGTAATTTTCGGAATGACTGTATAATGTAGGGTCTAGGAAATAGTTTTATAAGGACATTTTTCTCTTTCACTTTAAATGTAACTGATATTCGTGAAAACACTAATTAGTTCTTTAAGAAAAGTTGTGTACAAGAGACAGGCTCGAACGAACACATGAATGAGAAGAACAAGCCACCATAACATCATATGATCCACTAATTAGTTCTTTAATATAAACATCACACCTAATTGTTAGTTTTAATAACCATTGTTACCATATGAATGCAATGACAAATTAGAACTCAAGTTAGGATTAGCCGTTATTACAATTAGGAATGAATTAAAATTTCACACGATTCAAACTCTGCAAATAGTAATTAATTTCTTGGCGAAAGTGACATACAACATTAAATATGATCAATTACTTGATCGCAAATCAAAGAATTTATGCAGGCATGTCGATATACCAATATACGCCGACTTTCGCTTATTTATTTTCAAATTGGACAACGAATGTTACATATATTGAAACCTAAACACGGACTATACGCATTGTGCATATCCTATAGTGCTGTCAAAAGATAATATCATAGAGTATTAAAAACAAAAAATTATCACGTTGACCATAACGTATAAAGAAAACAAGTCAGGTCAAAGGAGAAATAAAAACGAATCCTTATCTGTGAAGCTCGTGGATAACACGTGTTCTACCTCATAAAACTCGAAACCGTTTTGACATGCTCGCTCCTTCGCAGAAATTTCACTGTTCACTTGCATCCAAATTTTTAGTTTTATGATATTAATTTTTTTAGCTTGCTTTTGTTAATTTAATACTAATAGTTATGGAGAGGTGTTAAATTCAGAGGTGTTTAATACTAATACTACATATATATATATATATATATATATATATATATATATATATATCAATAAGAGGAAATATGTTTTTCAACTTTAATTTATCTTTTCACTTGTTTTCATTTACTTTACTGATTCGTTTATTGAAAAATTGAATGTCGATATATTTGAACGAGATTTTAGGCAATATTTGGTGAACGTGACTTTCGTTGTATGTTACTAGGAAACTTCGTGGATTGATCGCAAAACCGACTCGTGAACAAACTCTTATAAAAGCAGATGAAAGATTCAATTGACATCATTACCTCAGCTTTTCATTTTGCATTCTCATATCCAATCACATCGCTTTCACAAACAAAATTTACAGCTTCCTGGTTATTTTTTTTCATCTTTTCGGTTTAGCAAATTCCGGTTTAAGCAATACGAGAACCAATGCCAACAAACGTTCCTGATCATGCAAAGAAGAGCAATATGGTGGGCGTCGAGTTTCTTCTTGAGCTCCCCACAACCTTAAGCAAACCAAACAAGAAGTGGCAAGGAGCATTCATCAAGATCTACTGCTCAAGAACTCTCCTCAACTGTGCCAAACACGCACTCCCAAAACCCGGTTTGATCCATCGTTCTCTTTCCTACACCGCCATTGATCTTGACAACCACCAAGATCACAAAGGAGACTTCAAGATTGATCAAGAAACGCTAAACGATCTCGTGAAGAACAAGAACCAAGAGAAACTCGACTCTCTAGGCGGTCCAAACGGCTTAGTCTCAGCTCTCAAGACAAACACGCGTCTCGGGATCAACGACGAAACCGACGAGATTCAACGTAGGCGTACAACGTTCGGGTCCAATACTTACACGAGACCTCCATCGAAGAGTCTCCTCCATTTCGTGATCGAAGCTTTCAAAGACCTCACGATCCTCATCCTTCTCGGCTGCGCAACGCTCTCTCTCGGGTTCGGTATCAAAGAGCACGGACTAAAAGAAGGATGGTACGACGGAGGAAGCATATTCGTAGCCGTGTTCTTGGTGGTAGCTGTCTCTGCCGTCAGCAACTTCAGACAGAACAGACAGTTCGACAAACTCTCTAAAGTAAGTAGCAACATAAAGATCGACGTCGTTAGAAACGGACGACGTCAAGAGATTTCGATCTTTGACATTGTAGTCGGAGATATCGTTTGTTTGAACATCGGAGATCAAGTCCCGGCTGATGGAGTGTTCGTCGAAGGACATTCGTTGCACGTCGACGAATCAAGCATGACCGGAGAAAGCGACCACCTCGAGGTGAGTCTAACCGGATACACGTTCTTGTTCTCGGGGACCAAAATCGCCGACGGATTCGGGAAAATGGCGGTTACTTCCGTTGGGATGAACACAGCTTGGGGACAGATGATGAGTCACATCTCGCGAGACACGAACGAGCAGACTCCATTGCAGTCTCGTCTCGATAAGCTTACTTCTTCCATAGGTAAAGTCGGTTTACTCGTAGCGTTCTTGGTTCTTCTTGTTCTGTTGGTTCGTTACTTCACGGGGAACACGACGGACGAGAGCGGTAAACGCGAGTTTAACGGGAAGAAGACGAAGAGCGACGAGATCGTGAACGCGGTTGTTGAAATGGTTGCGGCTGCGGTTACGATCATCGTTGTTGCGATACCTGAAGGTTTGCCGTTGGCTGTGACGTTGACGTTAGCGTATTCGATGAAGAGGATGATGAAAGATCAAGCTATGGTGAAGAAGCTCTCTGCTTGCGAGACGATGGGGTCAGCGACGACGATCTGTACCGATAAAACCGGTACGTTGACGCTTAACCAGATGAAGGTAACCGATTTCTGGTTCGGTTTGGAATCAGGGAAAGCTTCTTCTTCGTCTCTGTCTGGGAAAGTTGTGGAGTTGTTTCGTCAGGGAGTTGCGATGAACACTACAGGGAGTGTGTTCAAGGCTGATTCGGGATCGGAGTATGAGTTTTCCGGTTCTCCGACGGAGAAAGCGATTCTGAGCTGGGCGGTTGAGGAGTTGAAGATGGATATGGAGGGAGTGATCGGAGAACACGATGTTGTTCATGTGGAAGCGTTTAATTCAGAGAAGAAGAGAAGTGGTGTGTTGATGAAGAAGAAGAGAGGAGAAGGAATCAGAGTTGTTCATTGGAAAGGAGCTGCTGAGAAGATTCTAGCAATGTGTTCTACGTTCTACGATGGATCTGGAGTTGTGAGAGAGATTGAGGAAGATGAGAAAATCAAATTCGAGCAGATTATTCAATCAATGGCGGCTAAATCTCTCCGTTGCATCGCGTTTGCGTATTCGGAAGACAACGGCGAGGAGACGAAGAAATTAAGAGAAGAGAGACTGAGCTTACTCGGAATCGTCGGAATCAAAGATCCGTGTAGACCTGGAGTGAAGAAAGCCGTCGAGGATTGTCAATTCGCCGGCGTGAGCATCAAAATGATCACCGGAGATAATATATTCACGGCGAGAGCGATCGCTGTTGAGTGCGGGATCTTAACGCCGGAAGACGAGACGAACAAGGACGCCGTGTTGGAAGGAGAGGAGTTTCGAAACTACACTCAATCGGAGAGGTTAGAGAAGGTCGAGAGGATCAAAGTGATGGCGAGATCTTCGCCGTTCGACAAGCTCCTGATGGTGAAATGCCTGAAGGAGCTAGGTCACGTCGTGGCGGTCACCGGAGACGGAACGAACGACGCGCCGGCGTTGAAAGAAGCCGACATCGGACTCTCGATGGGGATCCAGGGGACGGAGGTCGCGAAGGAGAGCTCCGATATCGTGATCCTCGACGACAATTTCGCCTCCGTCGCGACGGTTTTGAAATGGGGGAGGTGCGTTTACAACAACATCCAGAAATTCATCCAATTCCAGCTCACCGTCAATGTGGCGGCGCTCGTGATCAATTTCGTCGCGGCTGTTTCCGCCGGAGAGGTTCCGTTGACGGCGGTTCAGTTGCTGTGGGTGAATCTGATCATGGATACTCTCGGCGCGTTGGCTTTAGCTACGGAGAAGCCAACGAACGATCTGATGAAGAAGAAACCGATCGGGAGAGTCGCGCCGTTGATCACGAACGTCATGTGGAGGAATCTGTTGGCTCAGGCGTTTTACCAGATCTCTGTGCTCTTGGTGCTTCAGTTTCGTGGGAAGTCGATATTCGGAGTGAGCGAGAAAGTGAAGAACACTTTGATTTTTAATACCTTTGTGCTGTGTCAAGTGTTCAACGAGTTTAACGCGAGAAGTCTGGAGAAGAAGAATGTGTTCAAGGGAATACACAAGAACAGGCTCTTCATTGGGATTATAGTGGTGACTGTGGTTTTACAGGTTGTGATGGTTGAGTTTCTCAAGAGGTTTGCTGATACGGAGAGGCTGAATCTGGGACAGTGGGGAGTCTGTGTGGCGATCGCGGCCTTGTCGTGGCCGATCGGATGGGTGGTGAAGTCGATTCCGGTGCCGGAGAAGCACTTCTTTAGCTACCTGAAATGGAAGAAAAGATCTTGAAAGAAGAAGCAATTTGTATTTCGCATTAGTATGTACATTTGATTATTTAATTTGAATTGAATAACATTACCAAGGGGTTTTACTTTTACATAATTCTAAAAGAAACAAACATTTTAGAGAAGGCCAAGAAAGTCTCCGACGAGGCTGGCCAAAACGATGAAGTCTTTCTCAGCCTCTCTGTAGTCGACGGCTAAGACGACGAACCGGACTGATGAACCGATTTCAATCCGGGACAGGTTCTGGTTAACGAAAATCGGTTCTTCTCCATGAATGTAATCGTAACCGGGCATTTTCAGGTTTGATAGGTAAACCGTTTCGCAAGGGCCGGATCTCAGTAAGACACCGGACTTGAACACTTTGTGAACGACGCCGTTGAGAATCTCTCCGGTGAAGATTTTGAATGTGATTCCGTTGAAAACCACCGGGAAGACGACCTCGCCGGTGTTTTCTCTGATTTTGCCTTCGCCGATTTCTTCTAGATCTTTGAGTGCGACGAAGTAGCCGAGATCTTTGGTTGCTTTTTTGGAAGCGAATGCATCTAGTAGACGGATGAGAATAGATCTCTGGAGTTGGCCTTTCATGTCCATGTCTTCAGCTGGAACCGTGACATTCCATGGCAATTTCACTTTGATGAACATTTTTTTTATCCTCAGCCTGAAAACTTTGAAACATTCAAATACAAATTGAGCAAATCAAGTATGTTGATTTCTAAGAGATTTTGAGTCTGAACTCTGAAGTAGTAATCAGTAATCACAAACTACCGCGAGGCCCTAGATTGAGTAATCGTGGAATCAATCGAGAAATTTATCAAAAAAAGCTTCACACGATGTGTAAAATCGATTTGATAAATCAAAAGGTAAAAGAAGCTTTACCTTTACTTCACCGGAAAACAGAACCGGATATAGTTGAACAACTCCAGTACAGTCACCGTCTCACTGATACTTTCGGTTTCGGAGGATTAACGAGGGGTCAGAGACGAAGACAGTTCTGTAGAGAAGATAAGAACAGTTTCCAAATTCAGAAGCCCATGAAGAGCCCATTACTACGAATGGGCCTTAACTTAACCCATTTTTCAAATAAGACCATTTTTTTCTTCTGTCAACTGATATTGCGAAGGTCAAAAGGAAAATGAAAGATTCATGGCATCTACATAATCCACACACATACATTTATAAACAAAAAGTTGCATAGATTTTGTTTTAAGTTACATAAAACATTACAAGTTTCATCAAACGGTGGTTGGATCAAATATTACAACTTTCGTAAAGGAAAAACAAAAAACAGTCTTTCTGTATTTTTATTCGAAAAAAGGTCCGGTGAGACTTATATATAGGTTTCTCCTATACAACAAACGACTGTTGCCACAACACAAAAGTCACAAAACAGTACAAATTCAAACTAGGCAGAGACAGTTTCTTTGTCCTTTGTCTTTAAGCCGGAACCACTTCCGGTAGTCTTCCATTACCTGCAGGCGTAAGGCTGTCATAGTAATCCACCAGTACTTGCCATCCACCTGGGCACATGAATCCATCCGGTGGGTTCTCTTTGTTCTTCGCCAATGCTCGCATCTGAAAAAAAAAAACGAAAAACACACAAAGAGAGATTTTGTTTCATCAGTCATTGAGTGCGAACCATGAAGAATGTAAGGATTGTGTTATGGAACTAAGTGAATTACCTTAGTGCCGGAGATGAACAAGAAATCTTGAGGTCTCGACGGATCGAAGAAAGCCATCTTTCCTTGCGTCTTGTCATACGCAGCAACCTGAGATTTGAAAACGACAATGAAACCAAGAAATCTCATGGAAACAAAAAAAAAGTGTAAATCTTTTGAAATGGGTTTGTTTTTATATATACCTTGAAAGGAAGGATATTGAGTCGTTCGAGTCCAGGAGCCATGCTTAGCACTTTCTTTCCATGATCAGCATCGTAAAGATCACGTTTCTCCACCGGATGACCCATCCCAGCCGGATCACGACCCACAATGTAGAAGTTAGCACCAGCATTGATTCTCGCCTTTGCGTGCCACTGCACTTCCGTTGGACCAGCGTAATGCATAGGAGACGGGAATATCGAAACCACCGTCGTCTCTGGATCAAGAACACCATCCTCCAACACCTGTTTCCAAATTCACAAAAACCCATCTAGCATTTTTTTCAAGAGAAACACAATCAATAAAGCTTTTTCTTTTGTTTTACCTTCTCGTGCTGCTTCATCCTCCAGCTTAAAGGAACATCATCAGCTTTAGTGTACCCTCCAAGCGGATGAAGCAAAAGGATAGGGTTCTTGTACCCCATCTCAAGAAGTCTCCTACGAGTATCAGTCATAAGAAGCGCGTGGCCGTTGTGTACCGGGTTCCTGAGCTGGAAGGCAAAGACAGCATCCGCTCCACGCTTCTCCAGCTCTTTCCTGAGCTCAGCAGGGGAAAGCCTGAAACGGTCAAGCCCGTCGTTGTACTTGACCGGCTCTAGCACCTCGAGATCACCACCGATCAGCCAGTTTCCTGCGTTGGTTATCGCTTCTTCTACGTAAGGCAAGCCTGGTGCTGTTGTACCCCAAGTTCTTGCTATACGTTCTTCCTTTGGATGCTTGTATATCTCAATGCTGATTCAAACAGAAAACAAGTTCTCAGCAAACGTTCAATCATGAAACTATACCATTGACTAAATCTCAAAACAAGAAACTTTTGAGACTCTCTACAGTGATGCATTAAAGAGTCTTTTAGCGATGTGACAGATTTAGGGACACAATCACATCTATAATCCAACTTTGCTTCTTCTCAATCATCAAATCTATATCATTGACTAATCTCAGGCACACAGAATTTGGATTTTACCACTATTTGCTCATAGATAAGTTTAAGAAACCAATTTGAAATTCTCAGTTTCTTCCTCTGGAATCATGAAATGGATCTACACAAATTGATGAGTGAAGGAGCAGAGTTTGGCTTACTCGCTGAGGATGGCGACGGGATTGCCGTCGGAATCGACGAGCGCGACGCGTTTAGACTCGCCGATCCGGGCCTTTTGGTCGTCGTCTATGGCGAGGACGATAGGCACCGACATGTTGACGACGGATCCGTCGTCAAGACGCAGCGAGTTGAAATGAAGAGTTTGGAGGAACTCGGATTCTCTCATGAAACCTCCGAGTGGACTTGCCCAGCCTTCGCTGAGGACGTGCATCCATTGCATATCGATCGGCGTCAGCTCCACGCGCGGCAGCTCAGCCGCCTCGTGCTTCTTCTCCCTCCGCCGCGGCTCCGCCACCACTAGCTCCACCAGCTTCCCTCCGTCCGGAGCGATCAGCCCAGCGCGAACAACGGCTCCGCGACGGCGCGGCGATTTCGAAGGGAATGAAACGGAAGCGGTTAAGGGGAAATCGGAATTGGGAGATTTGGTGAGTGGCTGAGAAGAAAGGAAAGAGGTTTTGCTGAGGACTGCAGCCATGGAAGCCATTGGAGATCCTCTCAATCTCAAGCTGCTTCAATGGAGATTACGTCGTGAGAGTGACGAGGAAGAAGATTGAGGATAATGTTTGTTCCCAATTCGATTGGAAATGAAAATTTGTTCTTGAGTGGCTTTTATAGACGTGAGAGTAATTAAGGACCGTCTCTGCGAATATTATGTACCTAGACACTAATCGTAGTTAATTACTTTTGTGTTTTGTCAGTGTATAATTACGTAATAGAATTATAACATAAATAAATAAATAACGAGGTTACCTTATTGGTATGGTGCAAAGTCACTGTATAATACTCCCTCCGTTTCTTTTTACTTGTCGTTCTAAAAATTTTCACACATATTAAAAAATTCATTAAATTTGTTATTTGACCCTTATTTAATACAGTACTTAGTTTTCTTTGATAGGAATAATCAGTAAACTAAAAAAATGAGGATAAAACTGGAAAATATATCATTAATCTACATTAGAAATACAAAACGACAAGTAATATAAAAAAAAAAAAAATCTCTCTAGAATGACAAGTAATATGAAACGGAGGGAGTACTAGTCTTTTATTGTTGTTGTGATTTGTGAATCGTAGAAAAACGTATTATCTTCTACTATTTTCGTTTTAAGGAAATTAATTTAATGTTTAGACTTCAAATCTTGTTTTTCTACTCAATTGAATAATTGAAAGGCTACAAACACGCCGATTTTGATCATAACTTGATTGTCATTACCCATTTTGAAATTTAGATATACTAACCCACATTGTTACGTAATTTTCCAAATGTGTTTTATATCGGTAGATAATGCGATTATGTCATATTCCCATTTCAAGGGAAAGTCCAAAAACATTCATCAATAATTTTATGTTAATGTTTTCGGACATAATTATTAGATAAGGAAGGAATCCACATAGGTCAAACATGTTTTTTTAAAACATATTTTTGTTGTTAAGGAAATAAAAAAGAATTAAAAGTTAGGAAATGTGAGGTCATTATGTGGACCGATGCTACAGTTGAATATATCCAAGAATACGGTCAGGTTCGACCATCAATTTGCTAATGACAAAACCCAACTTGCTAATAGAATATTTAGACCACTCGAACTGCCACGTCACGTCAGGAATATTTATTTCTCTTTGGATACTTTTTCATTTTAGGAAGAATATTTGTTGAGTAACCTCATAAAAATGAATACTAGTAACGTAGTAGATCACGACATACGTCGTCGACCATACAAAATACTTTACAACGTTTCGTGATTACGATTATGAATGAACGATTTACGATTTTCAAAAATATATTTGGAGTATAATATTGTGCCAAATATATTTTCAAGGCTAAACTGTTAAATTTGTAGTTAAAAACATGTCACCATTATAGTATTTTCTTATGTAAATATGAAAATATCTAAATTAGCTTGGCCATTTTAAACTACTTCATACCGTAATACTATTGGTTAGTTTTGAGTTTTGACTAGTTGATTAGTGAGTACTAATTATTATGGAGCTCCTCAGTTTTGACCTGAACAGACAAATCTTGATTCTTGACCCGAAGCTGCCACGAAATCATCTAATTTTATCTTTTTTACGTCGACTTTCTTATAGATACAACAAATATGTTTGACAATGATGCTGTTTTTGGACACGTGGTAATAATGTCAGAAAACTGGAAAGTTGGTAGGCTAGTAGCTGAATAATCCTTATTCATTCCTTTCATTTTATCAAATTTATTTTTCAAGCACTATGAGCCCAGGTTTTACTGGATATATACGTGCGGTATTAGTCTATTCTTATCTATAACATTCGAAATTTTAAAACATTGATTTAAGCTATAGGTAATAGGTTAATATATACTACAAACATTTGACTAATTCAATTATAACCTTCGTAAATCTAAAGTAATTAGAGAATTGGATAATGTGGCGCTTGATCAGTTTATTGGTGGCTGAGACCCTCACATTCAACATGTGTTAAATAAAAACATTCATGACCGACCTACCTGCAATTTCTCTCATAATCAATAATCCGATTAAAAATTCGTAAAACAGTAAGCAAAACATAATTCAGTTTAAGGCACTGTCTGTATTGAATAAATTTCTGAACATAAAATTTATTAATCAAATGATTAAAATTTTCTAACAACAACAATAACAAGAAGCAATCCACTTAATAAAAAACCAGTTGAAAATCCGCTAAAAAAACCTATAATTATAAATTTCTACTATTAATTTAAGCGACCCATGAAGTATGCAACTTTAATGCAAGTTTAGCTTGAGACAAAGTTTTAGCAATGGCTTTATCGTATGGTAGTGCCTCAGTTATCATCTCATAATCTCTCACTGCTTCATCCCATTTCTCCAGCTACATTTTCACAGGAATAAGCTTAGAACAAAGTGAAAAAGGCCAAAATTAAGCCACACACTATATTTTTTTTTTAATTAGTATTTTACCTTGCTGTATGACACAGCCCTCTGAATCAATTCAACATTCGTCTTCAAAATTTTGATTTCAGTGTTCTGTGGATCGACCTCTAAAGCTTCCGTGACAGCTGAAGCTGCATCATCAAACCTGCAAGAATTAGTCATCCATTACTATTTTTTATCGATCCAACATTTTAACAAGAAGTAACCAATCAATAAGTAAGTCTATAAATGTCACCTTCCTAGAGCCAAATCCATTTGGGACTTGACAAAAATTGTGTAAGCTCCAGGGTTCATATCGAAAAACCGAGTCTGTGACTGTGAGAAAGAGGCAGGCCATGGGGATGCGTATGGCTCTACTTTGGGAACAAAAGCTAGTTCTGTTTGAGCCTCATTAAGCCGTTTGAGTTTCAGCAGTGCTTCAACTTTACACATGCGTAGCTACACTTGTGAGATAACTAAAATACTTAAAACGTTTGGTTCTGATTGTGAAGACAAATTAATACAATATATAAGAATGGTTGTTCTTTTTTTTGTTTTTACCTCACGACACTGATGAGCTCCATGCATTATAGCTAATCTTGCTTCGTTCAAAACACGAGTCCATTCACCGCCTCTTCTTGCATTAGTGCATTGTTCAAGTGTTCTCTTACTACTTTGTAATATGATGGATTATACACAGAATGCTTCATCGCAGCATCGACGTGGCCTAATCTGCAACCAATATTAAGCACTCAAATAATTAGATACTATATAATATGGTTTTATGTTATACTAAAAAAAAATAATGTAGAAGCAAAGGATGAGTGTTACCTAAATAAAAACGGAGCGACATGGTCACGAGCCTTTGGCTTTGCTTGTTTTGGATCCAAACGTAAGGCTTCCTCCCAATGGTACAAAGCTTCCCCAACCCGCCCCAACCTCGACAATGCAGCTGCTCGACTGCTGAGGTAAGTTGCATTGTTCGGTGAGAGCTCTATTGCTCGATCGTAGAGTTTTAAAGCCTCAGTGTAACTACCATTGCAGAACTTTATGTCACCAAGAAAGCTGATTTTTCCTGGCGTCGAAGGAGAGAACATCCTACGTAACCAACCCAGTTGGCGGCGATTTGGTGGACCGGAATGCAGTTTTTCTTGTTCAGACGTGGCCTTCAACAATGTCTCTCTGCAAGATTACAAAAAGAAAGATAGACGATAAGGATCTCATGAATCCCAAAAATTCCTACTATACTTATATAAAAAAAAAAATCCTACTAGCTAGGAGCAATGACCATTATATATTAGACTCTAGAGAGAGATTAAAGAGTCTTACTCTTACGTAGTAATGAGAATGAAAAACTTTACAAAAACTCAAATATTTTACGAAAATCGTTTCTTCAACAAACTTAAAATCTACGAAAATTTGTCTCTTTAACACATAAATTGATAGGTTATATAAGTATCTATCTTTCGTTGTTTAAGTAGAAGTTATAAGTAATCAAGTTGCAACGAATAGTAGATAAAAGTTGACTTACTCCATCATTGTTTCTCCTGGTTACGAACAAGGAAAGTCTCTTTATAGAATCGTAACACAATTAAGAACTCAAAGATTAAAGAATAACTATCTTTACTAGCTTAAGAATATAACTCAAAACTTAAGCTCTCAATCTCTAAGCTCATAAATTATGTCACAACTTTACATCTCTTTATATAATCATAAGTAACTCCTAATCCTATAAGAAATAAATATATTTAGATAACTCCCAAACATATTTTCCAATCCTAAACTCTTTAGGAATCGATAGCTTGGTAGGATTAGGACAACTTGTAGCTCAAGCTTTGTTCAAGCTTACTTCAACACTCTTTCCCTAGAAAACACAAAACCCAAACCCTACGTTCCACTGTTTTTTGTGGTGCATTTGTTAGCTTGCGTTCCACGCATTCATAAGATTTGGGTTTTATAACTCAATAAATAATTAGATTAGGCCCAAGTTTTAAGGAGAATAAACGAGGCCCAGGTTTGTTAGGCTGGACTCAAATCGGACATTGCAAATCCAATACTCTCAATACAGGGGAAGATGCATAACTTGTTCCATCATTTTATTATCACAGTATACATTGCGTAGCTTTGTATCTGGATGGTGACATTAACACAAATGATTAGGTTGTATGTTAATAACAAACTAGTAAAGAAGTTGCGTCTAAATGATTAATATGTCTAAATAACGTGTGGATCGGACCAATATCATCAGTCTATTAGTTTTTTAGACTAGACTGAAATCAGCTCTTTGAAATCTATAAGTCGGTTGATATCAAATCTTTGTCTGGCTTTAATATAAACCATAAAACTAAAAATAAATCATCCAAAGTATAAAAATTTCTTGTCAGATTTTCCTAAATTTTACTTTGATCCTTGATTAAGAAAACTACAAGTGTATACCAAAATTTTGAGAGTAAGCATTACACAATCTCCAAGATGTAATTACATAAATGTGAATATGTCTAATTTTTGTGTCAGAATATCAATATGTACATATATATGTAGGCGTAATATATATGCTTGGACCTTTTCTTGGAGAAGGAAAAGTAACGGTTGGAGAAAATTGAATGTGATACGGAACAGATTGGTACATTTTGGTGTAAATATATCCACAAATGTAATTATTTACATAAAGACGAATCTTTTTGTAACTGACGAACTAAAACCATTAAAGGAAAGTTTGAAAGAGACGAAAGCAACTTGGAATCTCTCATTTTAAAATTAGACAAAAAGAAAAGAAGAAAAGATTGTACACTTGGGTGGAGCTTTCCCATACAAATAGAAAAGCCAAAGTTTTCGAAACCCATCAACTGAATCATATCATCCCTATAATAGACGTACCTATATATGATGACGAAGGATATGATGATACACATTGATGATCTTATGATTCTTTTGTACTTACTACTCTAGATATTTAATCAGGCATGAGTCCAAAAAAATGTTTTGATCATAAAAATTATACAAGTATATAGCTTTGAATGATTTACATAACGATTCGAAACAATTTAATTAACTAGTTTTATGGGTGTGATTTTATACGTGGAAGGGGACCATTTTACCACCCATTTCCAGCAATGAAACAGTAAAAATTGACGTACGTACGTTTCTTTAGTGAATATATTAATTGTTCTATTTTTTTTTGTGAACCGCTAGCTCTTTAATTTCACTCATTTTACTCACCACGTTTCTAGTTATCTATAAACATAACTCTATGATCCATGAACACATTCAAATTCCAGAAACATTAACATTAGTATCTTTTTTGAAGGCCACAGCTGAAGGACTCTAAATGCAACCCGTTTCTGTTGTTATGTTTTTTTTTTGTTAAAGGATATAACATCATTTATCCGTCCGGTTTTTGTTTTGAACATTGAAAATACATTTTTTTGTTATTATTATTCAAAATTAGATCTAGCTCCAGGAAACAACAAACTCCACAAATCTCTAGCTATATAGATTCTAGTCAAAATCGCGTGTACCAATTTAGTTTCAAATTCCCAAAAACCCTAAGACTATTATAATAAAATGAGTAAATCAGAAAGACTTTTCTTAGAACATTTTACAGTGAAAAGAATAAGTTGGAAGTGTCTCTCTTGAGATCCCCAAAAAGTAAGTAGAAATTTTCAACTTAGTCTTCTTTTGAGTTGAACGAATTAGGGCTTTCCATAACACTCGGTAACCCTAATAAGGAAAAATCCCTCGGATCCATATGCGCAAACACAAACACACACACACACACACACACACAAAAGTAAATACCAAAAAAATCAGATGAACAGAATCATAGCCACAGAAATGAGAATTAGTCTCACAAATCAGATAAAAAGAGAAAAAAAAAGAAGAGAGAAACCCTACTGCGAATGAAACTTGAGAAAGAATTAAGATGTGTCTTTAAAAATGAAAATTGGAGTTTCAAGGGTGCGACAGTCAACGGGTGAAACTGCGAACATGATCTAATCGACACTCATCGTCATGAAGACAACGGAGAAAGAAAGCTAATTAGATCATGCTGGCAGCTTCATCAGATGCCAGTCCACCATAGACTTCATCGTAGCAGATCAAGAAAAAATAGTGAGAGGAAAGAGAGTTTCAATTTTCTGTAGCTAGGGTTTTCTCGAGTGATTGGTCTTATCAGTGTGAAGAAGATGAGGATCTTTATATAGAAGGAAGAGGAGAACGTGAAGGAGGTTTGGGGGTGAATAAAGAGATAGAATATGTAATAGAAGGGCCACTTTTACAATTAAGAGAGAGAGTGTGGGTCGAAAGTAAAAACGAGTAAGGAGGAAAAAAAATAAAAAGAACGAGTGACAAACAAAAGGCGTTAAAGAAAAGTGGTCCAAAGTAGAACCGTGAATAAAATTGAATAATGTCACGCCGATTCTCCGAGCCTCATGCACTTCTTCTCTCTTACACAGACAGATTAGTTTTGTGTTTTGTGTTTGCTTCTGTAACTCTATTAATTACTTCTACACATTGATGGGGACCCTTTTTCTTTCTTTATTTTTGTCTTCCTAATTTATCATTTTCCCTTTTTTGAAAGACAGACAGTTAATTCCCATAGTAATATTATTACTTGTAATATTTTAATTGATGAGTTTTTATTATTTAATGATATGTTTCTAGAAGATGTTAGTTGTTAAATCGGAGATGTCCCGAGAAATTTCTACCACTTTGACTTACAATATCTATGTTTGAATTTCTGTTTAAATTATTAGATTAATGTAAAATCGGACGTCTAGACGCTAATTAAATCAAATGTTTACCTGACTAATCAATCAGTCAATTATAATTGTGTGACTGTGAGAGAACTGAGAAGACTGGATGATTTGTAAACGTCTGAATCTTTTGATTATTTTCTTAAAGTTAAATTTATTTCGAAACATATGAGTTCGAATGTTTTATTCCTGTTGCTCATCTAATTATAAAATGCTCAGTTACGGATTATATTTCCAACGTTGGAGAGGAAAACAAAAATAGTTGTCGACTTGGCCTATATACACTTTATTTGATACATCATCATGAAGTTTAATAAAATACAATCCAACGCGGAGACATACATCTTTATGATTCATGTTCAATATAATTAAGAAATAGTGGCTTTAATTAAGACCTAAGCCTTGAAAAAGTGAAGTTAACACATGCATAAAGTATAACCTACGGATATTAGACTATATAATAAAAATATGTGAAAGCATTACAATTTTTGGCTTCTATATAAGCTCATCGTGCATGGTTGCTACTTTATAACTCCCTCACATACCAATAGATTATTTTCTAATTTCATCGTACACTTGTTTCTGTTCTGTTCGTTTGTATTGTATACTTAACTCTGAAGTCTTTTTTTTTATTTAACACAAGTAATTCAAAAACATAAATTAGAATTCTTAAGAAAGATATTGTTTCTTATGTTTTGTTTTCCAATATACAAAACCTCCAAAGAAAATCCAAAAACATATTTATTTTTTCAATGAAATGTATTATAGCCACTTTTACAATTGTAATTAACTTGAATGTAACTTGAATGTAATTAGTGAGACCTAATTGAGCTCATATACGTAGAATATTCCGTGACAAGTGCCAGTCTTTGTCACAGAATATTTTTGTTTTTGAAAAGTAAACTATACACAATGTACATACAGTATCCAGTCTTAGTTACCGACTACACATGTGTTACAACAATTAGTTCTTGTAATCCACCACAATGCCAATACTCCTGGTTATAGAAATCATTCACAACAACTAGTCTTCTTTTTCTCCAATAGAGAAGATGTAATAATTATAGTTTGTATAACTGATGTTAACAATTAATTATTGCTGTAAATGTATAGAAAGATAATTGAATAATAAAACAACTTTCCTCAAAAAGATTCCTTATCACTAACAATGGGATGATACCATTTCTATGCAACAATTGCGCAAAATTCGATAGGTTCTGGGCAAGCTGTTGGGTCTGTGACAGCTACGCGATATTGCAAGCTATTGAAAATTATTGATATGGACAATCTTTGACAACGACTTGTATTTGGTAGAGATAAAAAGGCAAAACCTCTGATTGGTTTAGAAGATTTATTTTTCGTTGTTCCCTTTTTAAGGTTTTAGTTTGGTACCAATAAGTCAACAACACTAATTGTTAAAGAAATTATATATAAGTTACTCACATCATGCTTAATACTGCTGAAGTAAAATTTCCAGTTTAGTTATGTGTCACGGCCTGCTGGAACTTAATCCTTTTAATTTGTTTATATAAAACTGATTTGCGTAGAATTTACCGTTTAATTCATCATATGCAGATCGAATATATAAAAGTTTGAAGACATTCCTCAAAGTAGAGAACTATATAACTTAGGCTATATTTTTCTTATGAAAGTCGGATGGTTTATATACAAGTTTAATTTGAAACCATAATTCTAAGCAAGAGAGAAAAATCAGCTGCGAGTTTACTTTTTGTTTAAATTATCTATTTATTCCTCATCTTGTTTGATATTCGAAGATCAGGCATACCAAATTTTGTCACACATGCTTTGACATGACTCATAAGGATGCTGATGCAAATGCTTTGATGTGTACGTATGCAAATTGAGAAGTACTTGGTCACTTACATCTATGTGAGGCTCGAACTTATCGTTTACTTTTGGATCATCTATCGAATACAGTGGTACTATATATATTTCAGTTTATGCTTTTTTCTTTCGTTAAAAGCAATATTTGATGCTAAATAAAGAGTTGTTTGATTGTGATGACATCAGTAACTTTGCATCCAACAAAGTCAAGAAAAAGTGATATATATAGCCTTATGTCCTTCCACAAACGTTAATTGGACGCATCTAATTAATCTATATCTCAAAGTACTTTAAAAAACTCAACAAATTACTTCTTGTTTAAAAATAAAAAACTCAACAAACTATACTATGAATCTACAATTGTAAATTTACTATAAATTATGAAATCAGAAAGTTTCAACAAATTTTTTTTTTATTAATCTCAGATATATTTCTTACATTTTTGCATAAGCTTCCCACATCTATAACGGCTAGCTGGCATTGGCATTTTTGTATTTTCCATTAAATAAACTGGTACTAATTTGTCGTCGGTTCATGTATATGTGATAAATGTCTTGCAGATTGACATTTGTGATAAGTTTTATATATGTATACATGCTAAGAGAGAATACATGAGAAGAGTTAAAAAAGAAGCATGCTCGAACCAACAGAGAGTGGATCCAAATGTTGCTTTCCAGCTTTATACAAACGTATCACCCACATTACTGCCACTGCTACATAAATTGGATGAGAAAGAGAGAGAGAGAGAGTTTGATGATGATGATGATCATGATATATCGATGTCGATGATAAATTGATGATGATGGCTCCGGTATGTGTACCCTAAGAGTTGTAGCTAGCTAGGACCATGGTGTCTTTACAAATTGTACGTACCTAGAGAGCATGGAGTTTACTTAAAACGGCGACGTCTGGTGGGGGAGTAGTGAAGTTGCAAGTGGGGCTGAGTCTATATGTGTGTGTGATAGGAGATGCAACATGCAAATGGTCCCCCTTCTGTTTTTATAAAAAGAAATTAGTGTTTACTGAGAAGGAAACATCCCATTTATAGATTCACACCCATAAAAGCAAGCTTCTCTACTTCTCTTCTTCTTCTACTTCTCTTCTTCTTCTACTTCTTCTTTTTTACTGCCAATTGATATTACTAGTACAATATATGAAGTCTACATGTATATAGATTGTGTGCTTTGAACACTCATGTCAAATATAAACCCTAATTGGACTATCTTCTAACCTAGAACACCATATCGATATGTTTTAGCCATTGCCCATTGGTTGGCCCTGAATTCTCATGCTTTGATTACACTACACGTACCGGTTTATTAATACATGTCAAAAAAATTCATGTACCAAAAAAATAGCTAACACATAACCACCTGCATTACCAAATCTTATAGTTATTCTCTAATTGAGACTGTAGACTTCGGATATTATTATCTTCATCAAGACAATATTTTAAAATATTATATACAGCAAAAGGTGATGATGCCATGATGGTATATTATAATCGAAGTGCATATGCTATGTAATGTATATAAACAAAAAGTCTTTAAATGTATCAAAAAAATTATATAAAAATGTTTCTTTTGTAATCCACTTCTCTTGATATGGGAGATTCGTTGAGTATCCATGTGCTCTTTCAATCGACCCTATTCTGTCTGTATCTAGCCAACCACATGTACCTTTTCACTAGAGAGTTTCTATAATTCTTTCTTTTAACACAATGTGATATAGTAAAGTATGCACAAAATACGAGAGAGAACAAGATATATCAAAGTAATATGCATATCAATTTGACAAAAAATGCACATATTAGATCAATATTTGTGACAAATTGTTTAAATAAAAATAATCATAGAGTACTGTTACTAAAGGTCATGTACGAAACCAAATGGCCCCTTGCTTCGCTGACACAATATCAAACTCCAAAACATATAAGCTGTGAGATATTTTCATAAGTTGTAGAATATGTAACTACAACTTTTTTTACTTACAATCCATATGTACCTACTCGTTTTGATTTTTGAATGAAGTTAAGAAAATATATGGAATGAAGTTTGACAAAATCAGCTATAATTGAATTGGGATATACAGACCCGGTCCAAAGCGCAGGACCGAAATACCATGATTCGAAATCCGTATCAATGTTGAAAAGGGCCCATAAAAGACATATTGGATCGGGCCTGAAATGGTATTTCGTAGAGTCGTTACGTTGTAATACTAACGTGCGCCGTATGGTTTCGTTAACTGTAAATGTGCGCCGTTGTGATGCAACGCAACGCAAGTGGTCAATTTTTTTCAACTAGCTTCCTTTTCTGACCGTCGATAAAACTGATGATCAATCCGACGTGGCGTGATCTTCAACCGTCCAGCTTCATCGAACAGTGTCAGTGTAACAGAAATGCGGACTCCAAATTGCCAATAAGTTCGACTCAACGGCACGTTTCAGTTCCGCGTCCCGCCTTATAAACCCCTTCACCGTCTAACAAATCCGGCGATTATTCTCATTTTCAAATTTCAAATTCTCTCTGAGACTCACTCTCTCTCGTTTTCAAGCTAACAATATCCACCGGAGCGAGAATGATTTCTGCTCTCAAGTAAGCGATTCATCTCTTTCTCCACACTGATTCTTCTGCGCTCTTCGTTTTGATTTAGCTTTTGCTTTAAGTTTCATGTATCTGAATCTCTTCTCGCTTTTTGTTTTCCTCTTCCGATGATGTTCTCGTTGCGTTGGTACGGATCAGTAGAGCTGAAGAAGCGAGCCAGATGCAGCTCGTTGAGCGCGAGGAAATGGATGAAGACGACGATCTGTTCGAAGCGATTGACAAATGTAAGTTCGAAATCCGTTTTCCGATTTCATCCGTTATCTGGTGTACTCGATTCTGCTCGTTTATCTCAACAAATTTCTCGTGAAATTTCTTCAGTTTTCGTTTCCAATCCGCATGTTCTCTCTTCTATTTTGCTCAATTTGTTTATCTAGACTTCGTTGTTTGCTTGATTTCTGGGTTTGAGGAAATCGGATCTAGATTCCCGCCTCTAATCTGTAGTATTCTCGAAATTATTGTTAGATTCGACTTTAGCGATGAATCTGGGTCATATACTGACTTCTGAGTATAGAATTTTATTGATCGCGCGAAAAAATTATGATCTACACGTATTTCTGGTACCAATCGAGCTCTATTAATGGCATAAACCTCTGGCTGATTTGATCTCGTGACTAATATTTCTGTATTCCAGTGATTGCTCAAGGTATTAACGCTGGAGATGTGAAGAAGCTACAAGATGCTGGAATCCATACCTGCAATGGCCTGATGATGCATACGAAGAAGGTATAGGACCTGATTGTTTGTCATTTTCACTGGGCTCATACTATCTAGAATTTGGTTGCGTGAATGATGATGATGATACTATTGTGATATATTGACGCAGAACCTCACTGGAATCAAAGGTTTATCTGAGGCCAAAGTTGACAAAATCTGTGAAGCAGCTGAGAAGATAGTGGTGAGTTTTATACTCTCCCAAATATTGTTTAGCTACATCAATGTCTTTCGTTTTAAACTATCGTTTTGACTGTCACAACATTTCTACTTCAGAATTATGGATATATGACTGGAAGCGATGCTCTTCTCAAGGTTAGATTCACTGATTCTCTAAGGTCTAGAAGTCTAATCTTGCAACAAAGTCCTGCTGATTGTTCGCACTAACAGAACCATGAAAATTCGATGGCTTATTGAAACATTTCATTTTAGATACTGAAACATATACGTTTGTTTTTGTTTATAGAGGAAACAGGTTGTGAAAATCACTACGGGTTGCCAAGCTCTTGATGATCTCTTGGGAGGTATACTGAATTTAGTCTGTTACTGTTTTGCCATCTTGATTACACTACGTAAGAGTTCTCGTTTAATTTCTTAAAAATGCTTGGCAGGTGGAATTGAAACCTCGGCCATCACTGAGGCTTTTGGGGAATTCAGGTGAGAAGCAGATCCCAGCTCTTTAAATTTCCTTGTCAATGGCTTGTATTCTAAACATGTTGAATCTCACTTCAGGTCTGGGAAAACTCAGTTGGCACATACCCTTTGTGTCACTACGCAGGTTTGTTTCTTTCCTAATGTCTCAGTATGAATCAATTCTTATGGTGTTTACTCTGTTGAGGTCTCTGTCTCTGACTGATACTGTTACTCATTTCTGTCATGCAGCTGCCTACAAACATGAAAGGAGGGAATGGGAAAGTGGCTTACATTGACACTGAAGGAACCTTGTATCCTTTAATATGTTAGACCAGATCTTGTAGCTTTCATTAGGTGGTTTACATTTCATGATTTTTTTTTTCCTTGACTCTGAAATCTGTAGCCGCCCTGATCGTATTGTCCCAATTGCTGAAAGATTTGGAATGGATCCAGGAGCCGTGCTTGACAATGTAAGGCATTACTCAATCTCACATCTGATCTTGTATGACTGCAAATGATATTCACAATTCGTTTCATCTCGATGTAACAGATCATCTATGCTCGTGCTTACACCTATGAGCACCAGTACAACTTGCTTCTTGGCCTTGCTGCAAAAATGTCCGAGGAACCATTTAGAATTCTGGTAAAAAACTCAACATTTCTGCTTATTTTAGCCAACTCAACACAACTATGAGCTAACTTATCTGAGCTTATCATGTTTACAGATTGTTGACTCTATCATTGCTTTATTCCGAGTTGATTTCACTGGTAGAGGAGAACTCGCAGACCGTCAGGTTACCTTTTTACCTTTGCCTCCCACACATTTACTAACATAATCATTGACAAAACCTGTCTTTGCTCATAAACGTTAGCTTCTTCTGTGTTTGCAGCAAAAGCTAGCTCAGATGCTCTCAAGGCTTATCAAAATCGCAGAGGAATTCAATGTCGCTGTCTACATGACCAACCAAGGTTTGCTTTACATTAATGACATAAAAAAAATCGACTCATTTGGTTTTGTTGATTGCACTAACTTATTTAAGATCATGTATTTCGTTTTGCAGTGATAGCTGATCCAGGCGGTGGAATGTTCATATCAGACCCAAAGAAGCCAGCAGGTGGTCATGTGCTTGCTCACGCAGCTACCATCAGGCTCCTGTTCAGGAAAGGCAAAGGAGAACAACGTGTCTGCAAAGTCTACGATGCTCCAAATCTCCCTGAAGCCGAAGCAATATCCTTTACACATTGAAAACAACGCACTTATTTCATATAAACCCAATTTTGACTGATTTCGATTGATTATTCATATCCATGACTTTGTTTCCTTAACAGCAGAAAGCACGTTTTCCAGATTACTGCAGGAGGCATTGCGGATGCAAAGGATTAGAGAGGAGCGAGCTCTACTATCTATCTTATCACGAATCATCTCCACTTTTTACCTGCTTATTTCTATTATGCATATCCATATTTACTACTACCCACAGGATTTTACAAGGGAAAGTTAATTTTACTTAATGACTGATATGTATTCTCTATTGCTCTGAATCAGACATTTTTAAGTCTTCATGATTATTATTAGCTTCTTATTGCCAAATACAGTTTCAAAGCAATACGATGGTTCTCAAATCCACATCATAGTAGAGAGTCTTTAGAATGGCTCTAAAGTGAGAATAGTTAAACGATGGAAATCTAAAATCTGTGGAACATAAGCCACAGTGACCAACAAAGTAAGAAACTCGAAAACATTTAACGGACTCAGATTTGGTTAGACCAATTCTGGACACTCCCGACTCTAGGCATCTCTTTCTTGGTCTCGGAATCAACTTTGAAAGTCACACCGCAAACATCACCCGAACTGTCCACTCTCGGTACAGGCTTTAACTCGTTTAACGGATGCTCATAGCTCCTCAAGCCTCCAGATGATGTAAAGAAACATCCTGCATCAATCCAAAACACACAATCCCTAATTCATATTTGCACAACATCCAAGAACAATGAGTATATGTTTTTGCTGCGTTACCTTTTGGGAATGGTGCAAAGGATTTACCACAACCTTTCTTCACGGTTTCAACATCATCAGAGAGAACGAGATGTCCTTCAGCATCAGTTCCCCAGAAGAGAGGAACACTCCCATCAACATCCTGAAAGATGCATAATATTTACATACCACAACACTACGCTGTGATTTACAAGATCTGCGAAAGGAGAAGCAAGAATCATATACTAACACTGGCGAGGAAGACGTTTTTGGTGGAGCAGTCGAAGAGCAAGAAAGCGAACTTCCCATTGAAGTCTCTGACAACTTGGTCAGCAGAGTATGGACCACGGTCTCTGAGGGTTCTGTAGGCTTCGATCACAATGGTGACCTCGGTTGCTGTTTTTGTCAGTCCATATTGTTGCTTCAGAATTGGAATGTTCTCTATGTGTCCTTGGAAGATGCAGAACACATCATCTGTCACAGCAAACAACCTGTTTGTTTGTTGTTACACAAAGAAAGGAAACAAAAAAAATTCAACACTGTTTATTCACAACAAAGATCATGAACAAGGCTGTGATTTATGGAAGGACCAAAACATGTATCATAAATAAAACAACCTATCAATGATTATTTCGATCTCTCAGTGAACCAAACAACACCAAGTAGACAGCAAATCTAACATATTTAGACATAACTAAATAACCAAAACATCAAATCCATAATTTGTAAGGATCTGTTCATTCAAAGAGCAACCAAATACCAACTTTGAAAACAAAAATCCAATTTTTTAAGGAGAAATGTAAAACCTGGGAAGGAGAGGATTCTGTTTATCGAGCGAGCAAGCGATGTGACCAGAAGATCCGAAATTGATCTTAACGGCGGATGGATAAACGGAGGAGAAATGGTTGAGCAAGAAATCATCTTTCAGAGCAGAAGCAGATCCACCTTCCGGACTCTGCAGAGCCTCAGGGCTCTTGGCTACATTTTTGTCGAAAATCGCCAACATTTTTTCTTTCTTCTCGTTCACACAATTCACACACAGTAGAGAGAGCGAGAGATCAAAAAGTACAGAGAAAATGACTTTACGAATCGTTGAATGGGCATTTATCATACACAATTTATTATTAACAAATGGCGAATTCCACCAATAGGACTTTCGTTTCTGGGAATGGAATATAGAAAATATTCGGTCCTTTGCCTGCAAGTTTTTTTTTAGATATTTGTTTGGAAAAAAAGATCTTCTTTTTAACACGTTTTATTACGTATCATCATCTTATGATCTCCTCGCACGTTATGCGCAAACTATAAAATCATATGCGACCCAAATGTGGTGGTGTTCATAGCTTTTTCTGTTACCCAAACACATGAATTCTCATTTCAAATTCATTATAAACTTAAGATTCAGAAAAATATACTTTTTCAAAAGATCAATGAATCAGAAGAAAAGCTTTAACAAATTTCTCCATGTTAAACATAAGTAAAACTGAATCCAATAAATATTGTATTGTAGAAACCAAAACAAAAGAATTTTTCAATCGAATTGAAGCTTTAGATAAGCAATGGTCTGTTGAAAATATACTGGAAAAAAGGACTCGATTTTGTCATAATCAAACTAAAAAAGAATATTTACCGAAAATTTATGATCCATTTTTGCACGGGATCCTCCGCGGAAGAATCAAAAAATTAGCTCCATTCCAAATCATAACCGAAAGCTATATAAAAAATAATATAGGAGGATCTTGGATAAACAAGATTCATGGTATACTTTTAAAGATTAATTCTCACAAATTTGAGCAAACAATAGAAAAATTTAATAGAAAATCTCTGTCAATAGAGAAAAAACTTTCTTTTTTTTCAGAACCCCAAGAAGAAAAAATTCATTCAGAAGAAGAAATAAAAATTTTCAAATTTTTATTTGATGTCGTTATAACTGATAACAACGATCAAACTCTTATAAAAAATTTTATTGATATCCGTGAAATAACTAAAAAAGTTCCTCGATGGTCATACAAATTAACAAGTGAATTCGAAGAATTGGAAGGCGAAACTGAAGAAAATGTACCAACGGAGCCCGGAATTCGTTCAAGAAAAGCAAAACGTGTAGTGGTTTTTACTGATCAAGAGCCGGATAACAAGCTTTATCCTAATCTCAAAGATAATCAAAATTCGGATCAAAAAGATGAAATGGCTTTGATCCGTTTTTCACAACAATCTGATTTTCGTCGAGAGATAATTAAAGGATCCATGCGTTCCCAAAGGCGTAAAACTGTTATTTGGGAATTTTTTCAAGCAAAAACACACTCGCCCCTTTTTTTTGATAGAATAGATAAACTTTTTGATTTTTCATTTGATATACGGGGGCTCAAAAAAACAATTCTTAGAAATTTCATGTGGAAAAAAAAAAAAAAAAAAA